GGTGTTCTGGGCGATCTTCTCAACATGAAGAAGGTCGATATCTCTCAGACTCAGTTGCTCAAGGGTCAGTCCACTTGGAAACAGTGGAAGACCCTTACGACTGCGCAGGAGCACACTTTTGAAACTGTCAATATTGCTCTGGTTGGCAAGTATGTCAGTCTCCACGACTCTTATCTGTCCGTCATCAAGTCCCTGGAGCACGCGGCTATGGCTTCCCGCCGAAAGCTCAACATCATTTGGGTCGATGCCTCGCACCTTGAAACCGATTGGGAGGAGACTAACTCCAAGGAGTACCACAAGGCCTGGTATGATGTCCACACTGCTCATGGAATCTTGGTTCCAGGAGGCTTCGGTACCAGAGGCACCAATGGTATGATACGCGCTGCCCACCACGCCCGTACCAAGTCCAAGCCTTACCTTGGTATCTGCCTGGGTATGCAGATTGCCGTGATTGAATACGCTCGTAACGTCTGTGGTCTCGAGGGTGCCAACTCGGTTGAACTTGACGAGCTTACCAGCCATCCGATCGTGGTGTACATGCCTGAGATTGACCAGGTGAACCTCGGCGGTACTATGCGTCTTGGTTCCCGTCCTACCCTCTTCCAGGAGAATACCGAATGGTCTAAGCTCCGTTCTCTCTACGGCTTGGACCGCAGTTCTATCGATGAGCGCCACCGCCACCGCTATGAAGTCAACCCCGAGTATATCGATCAGCTCCAGGCTGCCGGTCTTCACTTCATTGGCAAGGATGACCAGGGTGAACGCATGGAAATTGTCGAGCTGAAGGACCACCCCTGGTTCGTGGGTGTTCAGTTCCACCCCGAGTACATTTCTCGTGTGTTGGCACCCAGCAAGCCATTCCTCGGATTCCTTTCCGCCGCAGCCGGCTGTTTCGACCAGGTCCAGGCTTTCTCTCAGGCCAAGGAGATGGATTTGGTTAACGGCGTTGGCAACATTGTTGTCTAAAGCATTAATGGTTCCAAATGATGGTTCCATAGGAGTTTGTAATTGTCACGAAAAGCATATGAATATAGAGAATTAAATAAAAATATTTACCACATAATACGACTCTTCAATTATACATATCTTCCCTTTTTTTTTTTTTTTTTTTAATACTCCATACGAAGCGCTTCAGAATATCAAATGTCATGCCTGAGGCAGAGAGAGGCTCAAGCATGTGACGTTCTAACCTTATTAGGATTAGCGTACTTTCAGTGTTTATGTGGGCTGTTACAATTTATTGAGCGCTCGCATTATTATCTTTGAGCTTTGGATCTTTTATCTTTTCCCTTCTGTGGTTGTCAACACTCCTGCTCCCCTTTGAGTCTTCTGAATACTTAATCTTCTTTTGTCCCCATCCATCTTTTCTTTTTTTCCCTTTCCTATCTATTCCCCTCACCTGTGTTGATACCCCACGTAACAAGATGGCGGAGGGTCTTGGAGCTCTTTTAGAGGCAAGCTTGGACCCCAGGCAAAACAAGGCAGGTGAGTTTAAAGATTTGACCCTCGAGTGCTGGAAGCAGTGTTGACTGATGTGATTCTTTTTTCTTTCAGCCGAGATTACTCTTCGTCAGGAAGAACAGAAGCCCGGTTTCTCGCTACAGCTTCTTCACATCACCGCATCGGAGACTACACCTTACAACACACGTCTTGCTAGTGCTCTTTGTTTCAAGAACTTCATCAAGCGCAACTGGACGGACGAAGATGGAAATTACAAGCTGCAGCAGGATGAAGTTAACACTCTCAAGCGCGAGCTGATCTCCTTGATGATCTCGGTTCCGCCAGGGATACAGAGCCAGTTGGGTGAAGCCGTCAGTGTGATCGCTGACAGTGACTTCTGGGAGCGGTGGGATACTTTGGTTGATGTAAGTTGCGACTCAACAAAAGGATTGCAATGTTATTTCTGACAATTTGTTTTCTCCAGGACCTTGTCTCGAAGCTGTCACCGGGCAACCCCACCGTCAACATTGGTGTGTTGCAAGTCGCCCACTCAATTTTCAAGAGATGGAGACCTTTGTTCCAGTCCGATGCGCTGTATACCGAAATCAACCACGTTCTTGGCAAGTTCGGTACTCCGTTCCTGGCCCTGTTTGAGGTATCCTCAATTTTCTACCCAGTTTTGCTTCGGTGGGCCGAATGCTAACACATCCTAGGCACTGGACAACTATCTTGAGCAAAACAAGACCAACAAAGAGAACCTGACCCAAGGGTTCACTCAGCTCAACCTCATGGTCAAGCTGTTTTACGACCTTTCCTCCCACGATCTTCCTCCCATGTTCGAAGACAACATCTCCGGAATCACGACAATCTTCCTCAAATACTTGACCTATGATAACCAATTACTCCACACCGACGACGAGACGGAGGCTGGTCCGTTAGAATATGTTCGCGCTGGAATCTTCGAGGCTTTGACTCTCTACGTGCAGAAGTACATGGATGTGTTCCAGCCTCACGTTGGACAGTTCATTGGGAGCTCATGGAACTTCCTCACAACCATCGGCCAGGAGACCAAGTATGATATTTTGGTCAGCCGAGCACTGCACTTCTTGACATCTGTTGCAGGCATGCCCGAGCATGCCGCTTCTTTCCAAGCCGAGGAAACCCTGGGCCAGATTGTTGAAAAGGTCATTTTGCCAAACGTGAGCCTCCGCGAGTCCGACGAAGAACTCTTCGAGGATGAGCCAATTGAGTTCATTCGACGGGACTTGGAAGGGTCTGATAGCGAGACCAGACGCCGAGCTGCCACTGATTTCCTCCGCAAACTGGCAGAGAAATTCGAAGAGCCAGTGACCCAGGTTGTCCTCAAGTATACCCAGCACTACCTGGCCGAGTATGCTAAGGATTCATCCAACTGGAAGGCCAAGGACACAGCGACGTACCTTTACTCCGCTATCGCCGCCAAGGGCACTGCGACCTCCTCGCACGGTGTCACTGCCACCAACCAGTTGGTCAGCATCACGGATTACTTCCAGCAGAACCTCGCCGCGGATCTTATCAACGAGGATGGCATTCACCCTATCCTGAAGGTCGACGCTATCAAGTATTTGTACACTTTCCGCAGTATCATCACCAAGGAACAATGGCAGCAGGTTCTCCCTGTGCTGGTGAAGCACTTGGCCTCGTCGAACTTTGTCGTCTACACGTACGCTGCCATTGCCTTAGAGCGAGTACTTTTCCTCACCGACAGCCAAGGACAGGCAGTCATTCCACCCGCTGAAATCACACCGCTTGCTAAGGATCTTCTCGAGCACATCTTCCAGCTGATCCAGAGTGACCCGGCCCCTGAAAAAGTCCAAGAGAATGAGTTCTTGATGCGTTGCGTGATGCGGGTTTTGGTTGTTATCAAGGAGGGCGTGGTACCTTTCACCGATCTTGTCCTCCAGCGCTTCATTAATATTACCAGTATCATCAGCGCGAACCCAAGTAACCCCCGGTTCTACTACTTCCACTTCGAAGCCATGGGCGCCTTCATCCGGTATGTTCCTACACATTTTTCGTTTCCAAGTGCTAGAAGCTGACATGATGATAGATTTGCTGCTCCCGCCAATCCCGACAAGCTCGAGCAGGCTCTTTATGCGCCCTTCGCAGCTATCCTCCAGAATGATGTCCAGGGTGAGTCAAATCAAACGAAGTCGATGTTTTTGTCAGAACGACCCCTTGCTGACAAGTTCCAGAATTCATGCCCTACGTTTTCCAGCTCTTCGCGGCGCTGCTCGAGGCCAACCCATCCGGCACTCTTCCCACCTACTACCAGGAGCTTATTGGCCCTATCCTGATGCCCATTATGTGGGACTCGAAGGGAAATATTCCTGCCTTGGTCCGGCTACTTTCCTCGATCATTCCGCGTGGTTCGCAGTTCATCATTGAACACAACCAGATCGAGCCCATCCTTGGTATTTTCCAGAAGCTAGTCTCTACCAAGGCCAATGAACGCTTTGGCTTTGATCTCCTGGAGACAGTTGTTGCCAACTTCCCACCGTACGTATCACATCTTCCAAGCGCCCAATTGACGGTTATCTGACTTCACTTTCCCTAGAACTGCCCTTGAGAACTACTTTGTCATGATCATGCAAATTATCCTTCAACGTCTGCAGAACTCCAAGACAGAGAACCTGACTATGCGCTTTATCCGCTTCTTCCACTTCATCTCGGCACAGGACAACAAGGGCTACAGCGCGGACTTTGTCATCCAGGTCACCGACAAGGTGCAAGAGGGGTATGTATCATCACCCTATATAAATTGCTCAAATGCTAATGTATGCCTAGACTCTTCACCCCCATCTATGTCAACGTCATCCTGCCTGAAACCCAGAAGCTTGCCCGGCCTTTGGATCGCAAGACAGCTATCATCTCCTTCACCAAGACCCTTGCCAACTCGGAGGCCTTTGCCACTCGCTACAGCCAGAAGGGATGGGGCTTCACCTGCACCGCCTTGCTCAAGCTCCTCGAGCTTCCGCCGCTGCCCGCAAGCAGGGATGATCTCATTAATGATGCAGACATTGAAGACATGTCATTTGGTGTTGGATTTACTCCTCTAAACACCATCCGTGCCCAGCAGAAGGACCCGTGGCCCGAGACTGGTGCCGACCTCAAGGCTTGGGTGGGCTCATACCTGAAGGAGGCCGATAAGAAGCAGAATGGCCGTATCTCCCAATTTGCCCAGGAGCGTCTTGACGACCAGTCGAAGGCTGTGCTGGGAAGTTACATTTCTTAGTAGTTGGCTTTGCTATATCCCCCTTCTCTTCCAAGAAACTAAAAAAGTTCAACCTATGCTTGTTTGCTTTCTCCTTCAGAGTAATGCAATCATTTCCCCAACTTCCCCTACTACACATATGTATGTTGCGATGAGACACTAGATCCATGAAATAAATGTTTGCTTGATTTTCCATTAGAAGAACATCCATGAGAATGTAGATTTTTCAAAAGTAAGCGCTCAAACATCAATGCAGTAGACCTACTATACAAAATCCCAAAACACATGCAACAATATAAATCTCACATCATACACCCTTTCCAGACTCTTCAGAGGGTTTAGCCTCACCCCCAATTTCCGATTCAGTCTCCTTAGTTTCAGTCTCCTTGGTTTCCCCATCCTTTACATCATCGTCCCATATAATCTCAACCTCGTCCTCTTCCTCCTCAACAATTTCCCCCTCTTTAGCACCCTCCCCAAGCTCCCGATACTTCCTCCTCGTCTTCTTCATCTTACTAGCTTTCTTCTTCTTCGCCGCCGCAGCCTTAATCGCAACCCGACTCGTATCCCCCTTCTCCTGCGCCTCGACTCTATCAGCGAGCAGCGAGCGCGCAATCTTCGCGTTCTGCGACTGCGAGCGCGTCGCTTGGCATTTGATTACCACCCCGCTGGGCTTGTGGATGATTTGGACGGCTGAGTTGGTTTTGTTCTAGGTTTGGTTAGGTTTGGTCTGCTGGTTGGGGATGGCGGTGGGTTCTGGGAAGAGAGAGGAGAGGGAGGTCATGGTCTAGGAATGGGATTAGGTCTTGGGACGTACAATCTTCTGTCCGCCAGGCCCAGTGCCTTTTAGGTATGATATTGATATGTCGGCATCGTTGATCTTGAGCCGTGGGGGGAGGGGTTTTGCGGGCACGATGGGGGTTTGGCTGAATAGTCGGGCTGGGGCTGCTAGTGTTCGGGATGATGTCCACCAGCGTAGGCGAGAGAACATTGCTTCAGTGCTGGTACGGTGGTTTGTTGAAGGTCGAGGTTATTGCCGCCGACGTTTGTGATAAGAGATAAGCTTGAAGTATGCGGGCAGCCCTGGAGTATTATTTTCTTTGCCTTTTTTGGGTGGTCTACTGGTTGACTTAAAGACTACGAGCTTGGTATTTTAGATTAATGGAGGTCCTATGTCATTGGGTATGTTCCTGTTTTGTTGTTTGGGGGTCGTGGTATCTAGACTTGTAAGCTTTCTTCACTACAACTAGATAAATGAGAGGACTGAGGAGGTGGTCACAAATAGTAGCGCACTTATTCAAGGATCATGAGACGGAGATTGAGTCTCTTACATCTGGGCAAATCAACTTGATCAGCAAAAGGACATGGACCTGCTAGTAGCACATCGCACATCTATGCTCAATACCGTTGCCTACAAACCGAGGCATGAAATAAGTGCAATTAAGACCAATAACTAATTAAAATAGGTGAATGAATTGATGGAGGAGATATAAAGGATATATATATCCTATGCCTACAGATAATTATACTATCTAATGCCGTAACATCTAAATTGTACAAATAAATTGTGCATACTCCGAAACATGAAGTACCGAGTACCTAGGACTCAGCTGTAAAGTGGTAGTCAACGCTTGTACTGGGTACAAACTCTTGCGGCAAACACGGAAAGGGGAAGGGTTTTGCAGTTCCCCCAGCTTCGCGACTCTTATCCGCCATCTCTCCCTTACTCCTATCATCAATCCACCTCAACGTCTCCGTGCCAATACGCTCTTCCTGGTTGGAACAAACATCCCCCAATCACCTACGTCTCCGCGATATCCGGCGACCTCACGTCAACACTTCTCCGAGCCGTGTTGATTTGGAACACCATCGCTCTTTTTTTCCCCTTCGCAACACCACATTCCAGCCCGACATACATATAGTGCCCGTGTTTGATACGACTGTCTCCGGGATCTGTTTCCCGCTTTTGTCATTGGCGGTTCTTATCCAGGTGGTGGAGAGGGAAAAATATCAACCGAACCGTGCCGCAAGCCGCAAGAAGCAACGAAAGACCGGAACATCCTACAATCCTCTAAATACCCCGCAACCATGGACTTCATTATCTGGGCCGTGTCTAGCCTCTTCCGCTGGATGCGACTGAAGATCTACCAGTATGAGGTGACCTTCTCCCTCTACATGCTTACTCCGATTGAGAAGCTCATCTTCAGTACGTTGCGCCTGTCCCTTGTCCAAAATACTCTTGGTACACCATGCTGACATTTAATTCCCTATTCAGACACGCTGCTCCTCGGCCTTATCGCCATGATCGCTATGGGCACTTACATTTACCTTCCCGACCACCTCCGCGCCATCTACGGCCGCCTCTACTACTACTGGGCCGGTGAGCGTTTGTTCAGCTCCGGTCGGTTGTCGATCAGCTCGGTCTTTGGCGAAAATGGCGTGGCCACACAAATTGGGGACATGATGTACGAGACGGCAAAGAACGCCGCTGCTACCTCGACCGAGCGCATCGCGGAACTGTGAATAAAAGTCCGACATGCGTAATGGTTGCATTTGCATTCTCTATTGCCAAGAGTAAGGAACCGTCTAATCTCCTTGGAGCTTCATATCCAAGGAACCTCGTATCCACTCTTCCTGTCGGCCGGCGCTTGTTTGGAGTTCTTTTGTTCTGGGAACTTGCGGCATCCCTATGACTTGCATTGTCGCAGTGCGGCGGATTACATTATTATTAATTCTTGTATTTTCTTTTTTTGGATCATTCGCACCACACTGTATAAATATGCCTCTTTCCCGGCAGAGTTCTGTGGTCGATTGATCCCAATTTGTGTTATCATTGGAACGTGATCATGATTGAAGTTGATATTTGCACACTTTTCCAAAATGATGTACAGGAAATGTAGATGTAGATGGTAGAAAAAAAAGCAATATGATGTTGAATAATGCAACATATAAAAGGAAACGCCAGAACGCCCTCGATGTCCAGAGCAGAGTGTTGTACAAGTAAACCCATCGTCAGCACATGTGTAACTCCCCAGCGCGATGCCAATGTTGTCCTCGGTAATTATCAATCCCCAAAAGAGAGGGAAGGGGAATACCAGTGGCTCCTTTCGCAATGCACTTTCCCCCGAGGACTTAGACAATGAGCGCATGTGGTATTTTAGACCACGCCACCAGCTCCTCTCAATCATACCCACTAATTGCAGTCTCATTGCTGACTCTGCGTTGCCTGGATCTGTGCCTGTGCCTGTGCTTGCGCTTGCGCTTGAGCCTGTGCTTCCGCCGCCTGTCTCTGCTCCCGCTTGATAGCATCTACCATGCGCATACGTGCCAATTCCTGGTCAATCTCCTCCTTATCCAGTGGGATCTTGTGCGATTGTTCGGCAGTGGGCCAGAAACCCTTTGTGGCGAAGCGGTCGTCGAGGTTGGTACCGAAATAGTACATCCAGCCGATGGGGAAGAGAACGTACATCCCGAACTACATGGACTCCGTTAGTCCTAAGAACAGGCGATAGAAGGCGGGAGCTGGCATTGCCTGCTCGAGAGACTTGATTGTCAGCTACGCACCTTGAGGACTTCGAGGTTGCCTCCCTGCAACTTGCGGAAGATTTGCGACATTGTATGGATTTGATGCGTTGCTTTTTTTTCCTCCGGGTGTTTGGGCTTCAGGTATTGCTAAGAGTGTCTGGATTGAGGTTCGATGTTATTGTTCGGATATGCTCAATTGGTAATATCGCCCTAGTCCAGCGGACAGAAAGCAGCAATAATGTGTAGGTTGATCTTCAATCGCCGAGTGGTGCCATGGCCCGTGGACCAGTCACGGGCGTGATGACTTGGAATTTAAGCAAACAGAACAAACAGGGCTTTCACTTTGCCTCAGGCGCCAATCGGTTGGTTCACCGCGGGCCTCGGCTCCCCGCAAGCTCAAGTTGTACCCGGATAACTTGCATAGAGACGATTAATAAACCATTGCAATCCCAATTTAATTTCGTATTCCATTGAACAGTTCCATTCTCCAATATACAGTAACAATGTCGAACGATAATCTCATCACCGTTACCTACCAAGATCGCGTAGCGATTGTGACACTCAACCGGCCCGACAAGCTAAACGCTCTCAATGCCGACCTATACTACCTTCTAGGCGAGCGTCTACGCGAAATTGACTCACGAGAGGATATCTTCATTACAGTCTTGACCGGAAAAGGTCGTTTCTTCTCTGCGTATGTCATCCACAGCCACAGCCACAGCCCTACATATCCCAGAACTACGTCCCAAAAAGGAAGCTTGACAAGATCTACTATATCTAACACTTGTATCTTCTCCACAGCGGAGCCGATGTAACAAGCATACGTCCTGGCAGTGATGGTAACGACGCAAACGTGCGCCGCGAGCTTGTCAAGGGCTTTGTCGCCAACAACGTCGACGTCACGCGCACCTTCTACAACCACTCCAAGATCCTCGTCGTCGCCCTGAACGGGCCTGCTGTTGGTCTCTCAGCCGCACTAGTCGCCCACGCTGACTTCATCTACGCTGCGCCGCACACCTTCATCCTGACCCCCTTCTCCTCGCTCGGTCTCGTCGCCGAAGGCGGCGCTAGCCGCGCCTTCGTCGAGCGCCTCGGCGTTGCCAAGGCTAACGAGGCGCTCATCATGAGCAAGCGGATTACCTGTGACGAGCTTGTTTCCACTGGCTTTGTGAATAAGGTTATTACTCCCGAGTCTGGGAAGAAGGAGGACTCTGATGGATTCTTGAAGAAGGTGCTTGAGGAGGTTGATGATCGTCTTGGTACACACTTGAACCAGACTAGTCTGTTGAAGATTAAGGAGCTGGTAAGACGCCCTGAGAGGGAGCTTTTGGATCGCCAGAATGGTCTTGAGGCGTTTATGGGGCTTGACCGCTTCATGAAGGGCTTCCCGCAGGAAGAGTTCCGCAGGTTGGCGTCTGGTGAGAAGAGACATAAACTTTAGTTGCTGGATGATATTTTTTGTATAGAGCTATTAGAGGGTGCGTCTTCCTCTTCTACTTTTCCGGGATTATTTTTCATTATAAACATTCAGGGGGCTTGAGTGCTGCTTTGATGCATTACTTTGATTTTCACTTTGATCTTCAAGACGAAAGATAGCAGTAATAAACACTACCAGAAGAGTGCAATCAGTTAATCAGTTAATCAGACCTCTCTGTTGTTACGACATAGCATACAACCTTTGTCTTTTGCAAATGTTGGCAGAGATCTCTTAAGTAGGTAATTGTGACTACTGGAGGCCGAGGGCGACAAATATATATCGAGATTTATTCATTGATAAAGTGTGGATTGATCTGTAGTCCACAATGCAACCTTGAAATTCCCATAAATTCATTTCCCTGCTATAGTCAAACGCCACTAGACCAAGAATCCATGCATTTATCTCGCTCAGCACTTTGAGTTGAGATTATTTTATTCCGAGTCACTGCTAGTGGCCCGATCTTCTTGCTCTTGCTTCTTCAAGATATCCTGCCACTGGCCCATGAATTCACTCATGCCGCCAGGCCCCTCAAGCGAAGCATCGACCAGCTCCCTCGGCACCTTGTGAGCAGAATATTGAGTGGAGCTGAATGCGTACGCCTCAGGATCATCCTTCTTGATGAGACGGAATTCCGGGAGGAAGGGGGCCTGTTCATCATCTCCTTCGGCGCCCTCATGTTCTTCCTCCGAGTCGGAAGAACTCAAATCATCCTCTTTTTCCAGCTCTTCCGCGGTGCCGGTAGAGATGATATTACCATCAGAAAGTGAGATTCTGACAAACTCTTCTGCTCCATCGTCTTCTTCCTCTTGCACACCAATCGGATCCTTCATCCGGAGAATCTCCAACCAACTGTATAGCAACGGGTCGGTACGTTGCGCCCACGGATTGATATCAATCAACCAAACACGCTGATGTGGTGCGGGGATATACACGTCGAATACGAAGTTGGATTCGGGGAAGGTGTTCTTGAGCTTTTCATCGAAGAATGACTGGATACGAGACCGGAGCATATCACGCATGGGGAAAAGGAAGTCGAAGTGATTCTGATCGCGCTGGGTCATGCAGAGCAGGACCCGGTTGCGCACAAAGCAACGGAACTCGAGCGAAGGGTTGAAGTTGACATATTTACGGAGAACCAGAGAATACGGCACATCCGGCAGTGGTGAGTCAACGGTGGATGGCGTGGGTTCGTCATCAGTTGTATCCGGCACACAGTCGTCGAAGGGATGATCTAAATCATGGGTGATGAAATCGCTGCTTTTCAGGAGGAGGTAGATGTCATTCGGAGAACGGCATTGGGTGTCGTTTGTGGCGGCCATGAATGTTGCATCTTTGGGAGCACTCCAGTTCAATTTCGGTGTTACAATGCCGCCGAAATCCGAGATGGTATTCTTGATCTGAGTGTGAATCTCCAGCCACTCTGTAGATGGATCGGGCTCCTCCTCGCCCGAATCGGAGAATGTGTCTAGGTTATCATCGTCGGTTGGGGCGACGGCCTCCGGTGGAAGAACAATGCCGTCGGCACGGAGGTATTCAACGAAAGGAGCGGTCAACGGAATGACGCGCGACTTAGGAGCAAGCGTGCGGTACCTAGTACTTCGGTCAGATATGTTTGGTGTTGAGTCATATAGGGAAGCTTACCGCGGATGCCAGTCATGATAGGAGCAATGCAAGATATGGGAGTAGGTGGTGGGTGGAAAAGGGAGACGATCTGGAAGATCGTCGGATGACGTCTCTGCCATAGCAGGGTCAGATTCAATCAACGGCATATTGTATATCGTTCGTGTAAAGTATAAGATCGTCCGGCGACGACCGAGTTCCCCTCGGTGGCGGGGGACTTTTTTTCTGCCATCACGTGCCGATAACGATAAGCCCGAGTGCCCAGGGGTCTAAGGCTCTCAGGCATCCGTGTCGCATGGATTACTTGTTCCTTGTAAACCAACGGTCTTAGCACTTAGCCCGTCAACATGGCTCCTGAGGCACCCGATCCTCAAAGCCTGAAGTCATGGCATGATGCATTCCAATACCCAATTCCCACGGTCCGCCGTGTGGAACAAGAGCTGCGCCGGGATATCGCGAGCAATAGGGAGAAGCTCCGAGCTCTCGTGGGGTAGGTGATTGATTTGCCATATTAGCTGTTCTTTTGCTAATCTTGATATAATTTGATCATAGGACGCGATATCGTGACTTAGTTGGAACTGCTGAGACAATTGTGGCTATGAACCGAGACATTCAAGACGTGGAATCCATTCTGGCCGATGTTGGACGCCGGTGCAACCCCCGACTTATAGAGAGGAAGCATGTTCACGTCCGGCAAATAAAGACTGGCGATGCCGAGAAAGGTACGGAACTAGCCCGGGAAGAAATTAGGAATTAGGAGCTGATACTGTGAACATAGATGCAGAGAAGCACGCATTCGGAGCGCAGCTTTCCCTCCTTCACCGCTGTACAACCTCCATTAGCCGGCTTTTGCGACGTCGCAGCTCGCTCCTGTTGGTTGCGAAGATTCTGGTTGTTTCCCGATCACTGCACAACACATTATCGAAACATGAATCACTCCCTCCATTCCTTGATGATCTCTGGAAGCAGGTAGCGTCCCTTCGGCAAACACTTCTTAAACGGATTAATAAACGCCTTGCCTCTACAAATGCCACAGAAGACATTATCATCGAATCATTGGCTGCCTATTGCCTTGTAGAGAGCCCTTCTTCCGATGATGCGATTCGTCATTTCCACCGAGTGCGCCTGGACATCATTGTTAGCCAGTTGGATACGTCTCGTGAGAACATTCCCAGGGCTCTCCAGCTGTTTGTTCGGACACTTCAGGCCTCAAAGGTTTTGCGATCTCATCGATTCTCAGATGTGCTCTTGAAACTTAAAGCTCGACCCCTCCTCGCCGACCCAGAGATCCAGAGTCTAGATGGGCTGGAGGTTGGAGTTCTTGGCCGCTGGGTAGCTCCAGATGTCAAAAACTTCACACCCTGGATCAAGCTCAGCGAACTAAACAGAACGCAGGGCGTGGAATCAATCAAGGAATGGTCACTCGAGGCTTTCAAGAAATTGTCCGAAGGCTGCCAAAAGAGCCTGGCCCACAGCACTGATTTCTCCGAGCTCCTCTCTCTCCGTACAGAGACTGTGGAATTGTGGCTATCATCCTGGGGCTCAACCACCATTCACAGCTCAGTGAATGTCCTCGAAAGTCTCCGAAATGTCTTCAATGAGCAGCTCTCCAGAATCTTGAATGTGCAAGCACAAGGCCTAGACGAAGTTGGTACTCAAGTTTCATCTATAATATCAGACTGGGAGAACACCGACCACAGCTCCGTCGGATCTCTGTGGGACGCCGATCTCATTACCGCAGAATACACGAACGGTGCACAGGCATTCAAACGAACCGTCGCAGACAGATTATTGGGTCGTGACGAAGACGTTTCCACCGTCCTTATGAAGTATCAAGCATGGCTGGCATCAATCCAAGAAGTCAACGAATCCATCGATTCTCTACGCCGCACGCGATGGTCCGACATTCTCGTCGGAGGTGAAGTCGAAGACGAAGATATTGACATCACACCACGACTCAACGAAGATGATCCCCGACACCTATCGGATTCTCTCCACTGTGCCGTTCGCGACGCATTCAGTAATCTCCAGACATCATTCAGCAGCGCTTTCAAGTCATTCACCCCCTCGCATTCAAGTGAAAAAGCCACTTTCCTACTGAGGCTTATACGACTCATCCGGCGAGATATCCCCGCCGGCTTTGTATCTGGAGACTTTGTCTTCTCGAGTGAAATCGTCCCTGATCTACAGAATTTGCTTGCAACAGAAGTAGTCGCCAAGGCTGGCTCGTTGAGCTTGATCCCGTTCCCCAAGAGCAACCCCCAAACAGGCAAGATTAAGACCGTGCCCGGCCGATCACTCTGGGAAGGCGAGCCTGCCATACCGGTTCAGCCCTCGGCTTCGAGCTTCAAGCTCCTGCGCCGTCTCACTTCCTCGATGGATACTTGCGGATTGGACCTGTGGGATCCGTCCACGGTGCAGGCGTTGAAGCAGGAATTGAAAAGGAAACTTGGGGCGGCTATCTCATCTGCTTTGGATGATCTCGATAGCGAAGATACCGCTAGCAAGACTGAGACTAAGGATGGTCAACCCACTGCCAACGGAGATAAGGACGAGGAAGATAAGACTGCGGAGAAACCAGAGACCCAAAGCCCGGACCCAGATCAAGTCGAGGGCCTGCGCGACTGGAAAGTCCAGCTATTCTTCGACTCTATATATCTGTCTCAGATGCTCGGCGAGCGAAATCAGCTGGCTGATGTCGTCGAGCGTGCTCAGAAGAGCGCTGGTTCCAGTGCGGAGACTGTTAAGACTATCAAGAAGCTTGCAACTGAGTATTGGACTCGGACGGAGCTGCTGTTTGGTCTCTTGGTAGGAAACTGAGTGGTTCTCTAGGGATATGCTACATCTTGCCAAATGCCCATATATGTTTTACATTATCCTTTCAAGAAGCAGTGGATACATACTCAACTTGAATCTATTTTTGAACAGAAAATACCTTGGTTACATAGCACGCAAACAAGAATCCATTACAGAATATGTAGACAAGATATCATACATTTCACTTCATACAATCGTATCTCATCCAGCCATAAAATGATCAGAAGCCAGATATTAACAAATTTTCTTTGTTTCACACAAATCATCCCCGGTTAACTTTTTTTTGCGGTTATTTTTTATATTTTCATATGTTTTTGCGGTTTTTTGTTGTCGAGCCTCCGCTGATCAATCATGGAAGGGGAAATAGCCCTTACCGGTCAGCAGTCTTCGCAATGATCTCAACCTGATATCGAATGATTTCAATCTCGCGCTGAACAGCCCAGAGGGCGCGCTGGGCCTCACGGGCTGAGATACCGAGGTCCTCAGCCTGAATGGTCATCATACCCTCCTCAATGCCTTTGGGAGACCAGTGCTCAACAATGTACTCAAGCTGTCCATCGATCGGCAGAATGCGTCCGCGGATGACAGAGAGCTCCTCTAGCTTTGCGGTGGACCAATTGCTGTCGAATTGCTGCCTCCATCGGTCCTTCAGTTGTCGGAAGCTGTCAAGGACACCATCAATAGACATGGCGATCTTCATGCCGTCGGTGAATATTACCTTGCGCATGTGTATTTTATCCCGAGTTGACCAAGCGGCAGCGGGTAGAACGCTCATCCGTCTCGTGCACATCTCATGGAAGTGCTGAATAAGTTTGCCCTCGCGGGTTTGTGCCCTACGGCGGTTGTTCTCGAGGACCTCCATCACTTGTCGCCAGCGTCGCTGAAGGTTTGTGATCATGTCGAGCTCGTAACCGGTGTATTCGTCAACTTGCCAGTCTTCTCCCAGACCCATGGATAGTGGGTTCTCGGCAATGCGCGAGACTTGCAGGATCTCACTTAGCTGGGCGAATTTCGCGTTCCCTTGTGTGAAAGACCGTAGGAAGAGAGGAGCGGACTTCCTATCGTCAAGTGCAATGACGCACAACTCGTCTTTATTGTTGTAGGCTGCATACTCGCGTATGCAACTTTGTCGGAACCTATCACTGTTGGAAAATTCCAGTGCCATTCCCGGTGGAATAAGGGATGATCGAAGCGTCTAGTCTTTTTGTTATTATAATTAATCAACTTTATCTTATGAAACGTTGCCATAAGCAAAGGTACATACCTTGTTTACTACCTTCTCCATCTCCTTAAAACCGATTGGCTGCTTGGGCCAATGGTTCAGGTTGAGATTCACCGTCGTCAGAAGCTCAGTGCAGCGCCGTTTGACAATAGGAATTGGAAGATTACTGCGTCCCAGTCCTTGGAACCTGAGAATGCCGTTATTGAGCGCATTTTCGACCTGTTCCATGAGGTTGCAGAAAATGACGACAATGTTCATCAAGTCGGTTGTGTGAACTCGGATTTCTCTGTCCTTGAACATGTAGTCTTTTGCAGGAGATTGCATAATTGTCGACAGATGCTGCAAGGCCCAGGACCAGGGAATTACGATACCCTTTCCTGGATTGGCAATACAAAGCTGCACAATGTTAGTAACCTGTTATATAATCGACGATATTTGGAAACACACAATGTACGTAGCTGCAAATTCGAGCACAGAAAGAACAGCATGGAACGACCCAAGGGAAGATTTGGGTGTTTTCTCGAGACATTGGACAAAGGCGCCGACGCCGTTGTGCTATACAAATGTTAGTAAAATTCGATAAACGATATAGATTAATGTCTCACGAAGTCTTGACCGTGGCGTCTTGCAACCGCTGACCGAATTCTCTCAGCAGCATTCAATGCTGTAAAAGGCAACGCCAGCGGATGGCCGGATCGCCGAGGGCGTGGTGGCATGTTGCGATCCATATTCAGAACGAGTGCTCGCTGGAAACGCGTCGCTGGGTGAGGGCCTGCAAATTTAATTGATTATTAGGGCTAGTTTTTAACCTTTCAGAAAGAGAAGTTCATCATACCGAGAATCTGAGCTTCTTGGACCTTCTCTAGAGAAGAGCTCAAACTGCTCATTGAGGCCCCTTCCTTGTTCATGCGATAGAACAACAACTCTTCAAGGCAGTATGCAGTTGCAGCAAACTCTGGATTACTTTGCAAGTTGGAACGCAGATTTGCAATCGCTGTAGAGGACTGGTCTAGTGAAGTGACAATCACTAGCTCCTCTTGGAGATGTTGCATCCAAGTTCTCCCTATAATATGTTAGGTCTGGAAGGGTACGACGAGATTGGACCGACCACTTACTACGACCCAGAAATGGTTTGCTGAAAGCCTCACCCATAACTCTTTGGTAATAAACAGGCGTGAGCCGCGCAAAAACCTCAGCAACAGTGAGAAGGCACTGCGGGAGTTAAATGTTAGTTGATCTCTTATTCCTTCTCGGTGTTTTACTCACATTCAACTTCGCAATAGCGAATTCTGCAGTAGGCTTCTCATGACCCCAGAAGCATTCATTGGCTTTAAGTTTGGAACAAAATCCTGATTGAAATTGTTAGATATTTTGAAACGAGGGCGTTAACAGATATACCTTACCTTTGTAGAGTTGCTGGAAACATGTCAGCGGAAAATCTCTTTTCATGAGACTGTATGCACTCTCATGGAATTGAGTAAGTGCTGCTGCAAACTTCTCTTGAATGAAGTCTTTCGCAATGTCCAGCAAGTTCTCGAATGAACATGCATCGAGAGGTGTTTCTGTGTAAGTCCTCAATGGAGACCACTGAAGTAAGATCGTCTGGCTCTCTTGTTTTGGGTTGGCAAAAATGCCACAAACCATAGCCAGGCAAGTAAGTGAGTATTGGTTCCGGGCATAAATATCCTGCAGCAACTTTCCAACTCGGATCACAATATCCATTGGAAGGTGTTCGACTTTCTGCTTGGTGAACACGGACGGCTCGAAAGCAATCACCTGAAAATAGTTAGCTCACTACTCACAAATGATGGGAAGATTGAAAACAAACAAAAAGACAGAAGGCGTCCTTCAAAAGACCTTTATCCAGGTTTTTAACTGAAGCAGGTAAATCCATATCCTCAAAATCTTCGATCAATTGCAATAGGGCTTTCCACTGAGCCCCAAGTTTTTCAAGGTAAGTTGATTTGACTGATTTCAGCAGCCCATTTCGCTCAGGTTTGTCCGGAATCACGTCTCTGTGGGCGTACAGGACTTCGACCATGGAATAATTGAACAGCTTTTCGACAACTGACTTGTCCACCACTGGCGTCAATTTGTGAACCAGCAATGTGCTTATCGCCGCAGGTATGTCACCAACAGCGACTGATAGATCATAATACTCAAACCATCTGGACTTTGATGAATAGAGCGCACGCAGCTGGTCCCACATTTCGAACTCTTTGAAAAAAGAAATCTTGGACACATCAGAACCAAGCATGTTGATGGTTATCGCCCTCAGACTGGCAGAGACACGTCCCTGCTTCAGCAAGATATTGCAGAGTCTCGAATAACGAAGCAAGGTCGTCTCGCTGAGGTACTCGCGGTTCCTATACAGAGTCAATATTGTGTAGTCAATGTAGAGAGAAATGGGTGTAAGAACCTGTTGGCATAGGTGACAAGTTCATCGAACTGGTCTCCGCGGCGCAAGACCTCGATTGCCGCCTCGTACTGACCACAAGAATGATAACACACTGAAGCCTCGGTGAAAAGATGGCCTTTCTCATAGAAAGATGCAGCTTTTTGATATTGCCCACGATCCTTCCATATTTCTAGAAGAGAGGTCAGTATTACTCAGGCTCTATGCGATTGAAAAAAAAAAACAACAAACAAACCTGCAACTTTGCTGAATTGTCCAAGTCCCTCGTAACACATCGCCGCTTCTGAGATGAGACCAATCTCAAGGAAAAGAACAATGGCTTTCTCATAACACGCGGTAAATTCATCAGTCTCTCCAGCTGCTCGGTGGGATCTTCCTTCTTGTTCATGCAAACACGCCTGCGAGTGTGTCATTCCTCGGGGATCATTGGCCTTCTTGTAGCAAAACAATGCCTGTTAAATTTTAATTAGCACAAAACCCCCCCTGGCTGGTGAATAGTATGTTACCTCTGCAAAGCTCTTCTGATGGAGAAGATGTGCTGCTCTCTTGAGCCACCTTTCTGGGTCCACCGAGCCACCGGCCCGCAGAACCATGACCTTTGCTGCAACCTGAGAGAGATGAGTATGCGAGTCATTTGGATTAGAGGATTACTTACATTGGGGTCTTTCTGCTTCACAACTTCAGCAAGATCGAGGCTGTTACTTTGTGAGAGAGTTTGGAGAATGGGATCAACGCTTTTTTCTTGGGTTTCCATGAACCAAAGTTGCTTTCTAGCTCGAGTAACAGCAACATAAAGTGACTGGTTATTATGGTTAGCAAGAAATATCGTTAGCAATGGAATAGATATACCTTAAGTTCGGAGCACAAAGCCTAGTTCGGCATGTTAGCAATCATACGAGCTGATTATTTCGTGGAATACTCACTGCATGTTTCTGAGAATCAAATTGCGCTCGTGATGCTTGAGCAAGCATGTATAGGCACCGGTAGCTACTGCCAAGCCCACTGCTGCCGAAGAAGTCATACACCAAGACATCATCAAACTCCATACCCTTGCTTTCTAGGATTGTCAAAACAAGGGCAATCTCGCCAATCTGGATTTGCAGTTTGTCCTTTGATGCATCATCTCGGACAAGGATGACTTGCTCAGCCCCAAAGTCGGCGACCTTGTCGTTGAGCTTGACCAGGCCAATCATTTTGGCAGAAAGAATCGAGGAGTCAAATCCCGCTATTGACAAACGTTAGTGATTGAATGCCAATGCAGCGATGTGACCTACCAAAGATAATTGGCTTCGGTCCTCCAATGTAGCCAATCTCTGGGTCCAGTTTGTCAATTGTTTCCGGAAATCCTGTACATAAAAAGTTAGATAGAGATAAGTGTGAGCTTTGCCCTTTGCAATGTCTCATACCGTGCCAGAGTAGCTGCATTACCCATGATGCAAAACTTAGAATGCCCTGATGTGACCGATAGTTCTTCGCCAGAGAGAATTGAACAGGCTTGGCAAATGACGGCTGATTTAGTTCATTGGCAATGACTTCGTAATGTTCGTAGAACAAAGCCTTTATCTCAGGGAACCGGAAAACCGAATCTTTTGAGATGCACTGGGCAGTATCACCAGCTATGTTCTGTTAGTCAGTTAAGCTTATGGGTCGATTTTGTGAGACAATTACCAAGGTGAATGCCACGGGCGTCACTGAGACAGCCCAAAAGTAAGACAATATCCAGACAACGCAAGTCTTGGATTTCTAAATACGTGGTTAGTACTTTGCTCTCGAATATTGAAAAATAGACCCACCATCAACATAGACCTCTTCAAAGCAGCGCTGGATCTGCTCTGATAGAGCTTTGTTGTCTCTCAGGGACTTCAATAAGCCACTGACACGGTCCAACTCGTCGATCTCCTTGCGGAGCTTCTTTTGTTTCTCATAGCGCTCAAAAGCTCCAAATACTTTCTCACGCTCTGTCTCGGTGGTAAAAGCGGGAGAGGCCTTCGCGTTCTTCTTGACATATTCTGCACGGTATAATGGCTTCAGGCTTTTTGCCGTGACACTGGAGCCTTTAATGACACCCATGATCTCCGCGAAGAGGAGCTCTGGAGAGCAAGATGGTGGAGCTAATCCACTGAGAGAGCCCCAGTATTCTGTTTTGAAAATGCTGAAGTCAATCACTCGTGGCCTGTCTCTCACCTGTGGGTCCAGACCCTTTGCCTTGTTGGGGTTGATGTCTCTTAGGAAGTCTTTTCGATCAGCCATTCTACGTCAAGTTAGCAGGAAAGAATAGACACGTTTGGGATTGTAAATATTCAAACCTGATTGTATTCTCCAGAAGCCCAAGAAATTCGTCATAAGTGCAGACGACTGGAAAATGCCAATTCTTCAAGGCGAAGAACGAAGTCGGTTTTAAATCTGAGTCTATATCCTCTTCAGTCGATGGAGCCTTGGACTGAGCGTCTATCAGACTTTTGGCATATGTTTGAAGCTTTGAAGCCAGATAGGAGGAGCGAGTCAAGAAAAGCTATTCATGTCAATTTTTCATCCGGCATTGTGAGAAGAAAGAGACATACCTGTCGAGATTGCTGCTCATCCGAGGTTGACTGCCTTGTTTTGTGCTTGGCCAGCATCTTAAACAACAAACAGGTGGTTTTTCCTGTACCACTTCGTCCGAGAATCAAGGTTGATGTGTTGAAATGCTTCACAATTTCTAATTCCTCGGGTGAGAGATCAAATGGAAACTCCTCCGTGCCATTTTCATCAACGATCGACTTCAAAAACGGCTCAGTGAGATTGTAAAATTTGTCTTCAAACTCATGGTTAGCTTACAACTCACAAGGCTTGGGGTGGGATTGGCGGGGTTGAGCTCATACTTGACATCTCGATCAGAGCTGGGCTTGCCTTGGAGGAAGCAATGGATTTCATTTGATAAGACCCAGTCTCTTTCACGTTTTCGAACCGCTGTGGTGTCCAAGTTCCGTCGGATTGCTGAACAGGACGTTCCAAACAGAGCTGAGCAAGTTCAGGGGCGTATGACTCCTGGATCAAAATTATTTGCTCAATGGCGGTTTCTAACTGCAAAACCAAGTTAGCGGACTTGTCCTGCCGTTCGAATTAAAAACACACCTCCTCTTCCGAATTCACGATTTGCCAGACTACCAAAGTTAGCAGAGATCTGCAAGTCTCGATGAGATAGTTTTGGAGATACTTACCTTTGACAATCTGCTGCTGAACCCATGGAAGCTCGTTGTAAAAGCCGACATCAACCTGCCACAAGATTGACACTGTTGCAGAAGCGCTCACTTCTAAAATAGGAACTTGCATTCTTTTCTTCTGTTGTTTAGATCCCACGCGGTGAGATACATCTTTGCCTTTCCATTCGCCGCTTGCCAAACCTCTGAGCTTCTGTTCCACTCCGCCAAAGTCACCTAGAGACGGTTAGAAACAACCAAATCGCGTAGACTGGAGGCAAACAGTAGATCAAGCAGACTTACCTCCGCGGACCAATTTTTTTGCATTCTTGAAAGCGATGTCAGACAGCAAAACCTTCCAAAGACCGACTCTTTTTCCGAAAATATCTTGTGAACTTCCCGGTGCTGTAGTTCGCTCCGAAGGTAGGTCCGTCGAACTGGCCAGAGTGCCTGTAAGGCTCCCGGTAGTGAGCCTATCCAAACAGATTCTGCATGGGAAGCTTTCCAGGGCCGAGCGCATAAGTGCTGGGATTATCTCATTTTGAAGATGCTCTGCTGCATGGGTGAGGCCTCTCGCGGACAAAGGTGATGGAATGTTGAAGTGGTCCATCTGCCGAAGGATCTCGCTCGAGACTTTGAATTCCTTTTTCACTTCCTTCTTAGGAGCTTGTTGCGCGGGTGTCGACTTTTTGTCATCCCGACTGAGTACCTTCATTGATTCCAGAGGAGGTAGATTCTCGACTTTTGCCCGGTTCAATTCTTCTTCATAAGATGTGTCAATGAGCGAGTTGATAGATTCAATCAGTTTTTGAGCAATATCCCAGCTCTCCACGATATCATCAGTTCCATGATCAGCGGAACAGGCATTGCACATAGCGATCAGCCTGTCTCCCACCTGCCTAGAGAGAGCAAGGGGGAGATGGTTTCTTTTCGACAACAGCCATTCCTTCAAAACCACTGTGTACTTTTCGTTGGCCACCAGGTGGTCGAACAACCCCTGTGACGAGAGCAGGGTGTTGGCGAGCTCTCGCAGACATTGAGAATGTTGTTTGATGATGAGAGGTAGCGCGGATCCAACGAGTTGAACAATCTGTTGTAGCGAGAATATGTTGTCGTGAATGAAGCGAAGGACCATAGTCTTGAAGATCTCCTCGGCAACAGGTCCTGGGAGTTGTTTGGCTCTCAGAATTTCGAAGGATCGCAGCAGGCGTGCGTGTGTTTGGTCTGGGTTTAGAACAAGTTGGTCATGGATGGATCCATCTTCCATGGCTCGCTCTAACCGAGTGTAATACTTTTCAACGTTTGAGAGAGCGTGGTTGTATTCGTGTAGTCCAGGCTTCTCCTGTAGCAGGATTGAGGTCCACGGGGTCTGTACAGACGCCATTGTGGTGTGATAAGACTGAATGCTTGTTGTTTACGGTTTGAGAAGTTGGTTGACACAGATGGAGATTGATAGACGCGTCTGGCGCCTAGCGAAGGATGATTTCTTTTTTTGAACTTTTCTGGATTTTGTAGTAAGCAGAACTAGGACGGGGAATGGTATGGTTTAGAAAGCCAGGCCAAGACAAGACAATGGGTTCGTTGCCGTCTCGTCAATTGATAGCTTGAGGTGACAGAGATCGATGTGTACTGAGGAGGTAAACAAGTGGAGGAGAGAGAAGTGGAAGAGGAGAGGTCGGGGGTCATATGCTCAGACGCGTGCCTTCCAAATCAGAGATGTGCCTTCCTCAGATGTGAGTGTACAGTCGCTCCTTCCTTAAAAGTTCTTTGTTCAAAACAAACAAAAATATCTACTATGTATGGTTCCATGGTTCCATTTCCTTCTGACCTTGGAAATATTCTATGCATTGCAGACCTCGGGACAGGGGACTTGAATCTGCTCACTTGCACAGGTGAGGCCCATGGACAAGTCCATGTTATTCATATCCCTATATAGCTCTAGTATATGAACCTATAATTACTTGAACATTCTTATTATCATCCATGGCTCAGACAAAGATACTCTTGATCTCTATCGTAACCTGCAGAATTTTCAGCAAGATCAAATCCAGAAAGCGAAGTAGAAACCTTGGAAGGGAAAGCCATAAACATTTTCAATATATCAAGCGCCAGCCAAGCAGCTTTCGGCAATTCTGGAACCCACGCTCATCGCCAAAGTCAGAACTGCGAGGGTCCAGACAAGTCAGACGAGTCATTACCACCTGAGAGAACACCCATTCCCATCTTCATTTATCCGCGTGCTAGAGAGTGGAGTCAATATTTGAAGAGCGAAGTACCAAGATACAACCGCACTTCCACCTCCAAAGAAAGGCCGACCGAGCTGCGCTCGTGGGATGTCGTCATTTGAAAGTAAAGAGTCTTCAGCGTTATAGTCCACAAAGGTCTTCCACAACCTTATCTCTAACAAGCACACTCTCAGGCTGTAAGTATTATGCTGCATGATGTAGTCCTCCATCGGGGTTCTGGGCCGCGCCCATACGGCTGGGACGTTAAAAAAGCATAATTTCACTCACTACACAGTTGTGCTAGCAGAACGATTGCAATGGGGTCATATTGGGTTTTATCTGTTATCCTTTGACAAGATTGGAGATAGTAGAGCGAGAAGGGCCCTCATAGTACGGCTATGCGTACAGTACGTTGCGAAACCGGTGTAACCGCATCCACTCTTCGAGTGATTCGCTAGGCCTACGAGAAGTGGTGTTTTGCGGAACGTTGCCTTACCCGCAGCAAAATAAATATGTATTCATTGTGCCATAGTCATTTCCACTCTGCACGTCAATGTTATCACGGAAGGGTGTGGAGGCCATAGTTAAAGAGATGCCTTTTTCTATTTAAGGGAATACCCCTTGTCCGACCCTCACTTGAAGGAGGGTTACGATAGGGCAACTTCAGATGACGCCACGGCGCCAAGTTGACTTCTACTGTAGGCCAGGTAAGGCAAGGGCATATCTCGGAATAAGGTTAATCCGGGCCAGAGTAATCGAAGGACGTATCATCCCCACACAGGAATGTTTCGGACTGTAGAGGGTTGTGTTCACTAATAATGTTAATTTTTTAATACCTTCATGCGCCACTCAGGCCTCGAGATGGAGTGATTCTCAGGGTATGGGGGAAATTCTTTGTTTGTGTGACGTGGCATGCAGGGTGCGAGGCACATAGGGCGGCCAACGGGCGGCTAACGGGAGGGTGAGAAGGAGCCACGTTCAGTTTAGGGATAGAGAATAAGAGTGGTTGAAAGTGAGCACCAATAAAACTGCAGAGATATTGGGCGGATTGGCTTTGTTAAGACATCCTCAAGACAAATATAAGAGGCCAAGTCCCAAGGTCTGCCGCCAGGCCACCATGGTAGTCTATCGACAAGAGATCTTATTTCTAGTCAATAGACTCTTTACAGGGCAAGATTAATGGCACCGGATACACAGCCCATAATTTGTCTGGATGTGGCTGTCGACCACCGGATCAGACGGCTCTTTAAGCCTGTCTTCAATGACCTGACAGAGCGTTCCAATCACGTTTTCCGTATGAAGGCACGAGGGTTGTCACTGAATCGACCGCACATCGAGATCCAAGTTACTACGGAGCTAGCAGGCCCAGCGGTTAAGGGCGGCATAGCCGTCGCACTCCAGCAGCCCCGGCATAACCACCCATTTGAGGAGGGCCTTAATGCTGTCATTCAGGATTGCGAAACCCTTTCTGCTCTTGATGACGTATTTTCCGCTGTATCCTGCAGGTCCCTTAGTATCCGGACCAATATCGCTGTCGTCGACTTACTGCCCTACATACCTGAGGACATCGAAAGTATTGACGATACAACATTGGAGGAGTCCTTCCGTACGTCGAAGCACATTATGCTTGACAAAGAGCCCTCTGTCTTGCTCTGCGCAGGTAGAATATGGCTACCGGATGCCGGCAAAAACTACAAGCTGAAGGGGGATGCCCGTAGGCTCGAGAGCCTCGGTGTTGGGCAGAAATTTGGTCTCAAATACCCCGTCACTACAAGGATCCGCCGTGAGGAGGGGAGGGGGTTTGTCACCATCAATAGGGTGAATGGTTTCCACCCCAGCCATGCGATGAATCATCATCCAAATGTCAGTCGTTTGAGGCAACTTCAGATTTTGATTGGCGCTGAAACTTGTGGGATATTGAGAGGAGACTGGGAAGAGAAAGACTGGATGGGTGAATTGAGGCATCGTTGCCAGAATGTTTCCGGAGCACTATCAGGTAAAGGAAAACCCTGCTATCTTCATCAAAAATCCTCGTGTTGATTTTTTTTTCTACCAATAAGATTCGCCGATCGAATCTCCTCGACCGCAGAGCCCGGGTGAAAGCTTGGCCACACGCAACGATGCTAAGTATTTGCCCTACTACCAAGAGCTCTACTCCGACAAATTGATCAGCATACGTACATGTGTCCAGTCTCTTATTTCAGAACAAATACCGGCAATGAAGTCATCCACAGCGCTCTACAAACCCCTGCTCAGCAGCTGTCTAAGCGAATTTTGCAACGATGCGACCCTTATCTTGCGCGAAATGGTTCGTCTCCAGCACAAAGGCTGGCCCGACTTCGTAGCAAGGAAGAACAATGCCGCCGTAAAGAAAGCCTCAAGTGATACGGTTCGACTCACCAATGATCTGCTTAAAGCCACTAAGCCTGGCAAAGACACGCAGTTCGCGGAGATCATTCAAGAAGGAGCAAGCGTTCTCGTTGAGTGTGTATCGAGTGGGAGTCGCAGGCGACTTGAGCCTGAGCTGGACTTCGATAAGGCTGGGGATGCATTCCTAGAGATGGCTACGAGTATCGAGACTCTACTCATGGATCTGCTACTGGAAGAGGAGGAGGTGCTCCACGCGTTAGGACAGGAAGAGACATTATCTAGTAAGATGGATAGGATGACATTGACATCAGCGGTGATTTGAGCTGCGTCGCCCTTGTTACCTGCAAGTCATGTCTGACTGCGGTAAGGATGTTTATCGGCGCTTGGGTTGGGATCAGAACAAGTGGAGGGCGAGATTCTTTATGGATCGGTAACAATACTGGATGGTACAGCTTTACTTCCGTCTAGTGTAATACCGTTCAGCATGGGAACGTGACTTGAAAATACAGGCATGACCATATCTGTACTAGCCAATCATGTGATTAGGGTTTGAAACAGTGCCTTCCATGTTTCTAACTCGGAATGCGATGTCACTGTATCGATCCTATTGGTGCACTGATAATGTAATTGCAATGGCAATTGTTTCAAGTTACCATTAGAATTGACCGCAAATAACTAAAACCAATTCATTCCAGAGCTCGCTAATCAACTATAGCAGTCAAGATTGTATTAAGGCTCTTAACTTAGGATCGTGCATGCTTCGAGTCTTTCGTCTTCAACACCCAGATTGTAAAAATCAAGTTCAGCGGAATGAACATGAAGCCCCCAATTGTCCACCCATTCGCCGAAGGTCCGTGGTCAGCAGTATACCAAACTGCAAACAAGAAGATTCCTACCGAAAGAATAGCGGATAATAGCAGGAGATACCAAGGAACGGAGAAATCCTCGTCAATCCAAATGCCCCATCCTACTGTGGCAATCCTCCCCTCCGGATCAATGCCTAGTGGCTCGTGACGCCTTTTTGGAGTTTTATGGAAGATATAGCGAGGTTCTAATTTACCCAAATCGACATCAATGCTCCCACTTTGGAGCCACCGGATTCCATGCTCTTCTAGCTCGGGGCTGTTGGCTAAGAATCCACATTGTCAGGTTAAAGATATAATATAATTCAAGAACTGGGAGTTCTCACATTCTGGTACTTCTTTTCCTGGGAAGTAGATTTTCGCCGACCTTAACATGGTGATCCAGTGTGAATCACTAACAGTTTCCAGATCTTCTCTAACGGGCAGGGTCTGCTTTGTCCGTGGTCCATATATTTCAATCTTCGGGAGCCAGGCTTTCTTGCCAACAGAGCATGTGGCACTGTTTATCCCTAAGTTCTTTATAGCACGGCTAGAGTGTTTGTGACTTCTCTTTGAGGTCCAGAGATGGACCATGAGCTTTGAAATACCATCCGCAGGTAGCCCTTCTGCATCATCGTGGGCGGGCTCCCAGTCCGGATTGTTTATCCCCGGCCATTTCCACTCAATATCACTGACCAGTAGGCCATTTGTCGTGTGGCTAAGTTCAAACTATCACTGGTAAGCCCTAGTCTGCTATCAATGTAGGCTCTAGCTACTTACCCTAGCTAAACGGACGTTTGCAAACCCACGGAGCTCCCCAAGCCTTCTCCAGAAAGGTCTGAGGACATAATAAGACTTTTTGATTCTTCTGATTAAGTCATGGTCACGAATTTCGGTGATTTTGGTTTGCCTCATTTCACGCATAGAGTGGTGAGGGAAGCAAACAACAAGGAATCTAGCCTCCACATCATTGGGATTGTCTTTAGTGCTGTCAGAAACATTCGCTCTATGTCGAGTGCCCCTATAATTTAGGGTTGACGTAGGTTCATTGCTCTGCGGTGCTGATGAATCCATCGTGGTACTTTCACTATGACTCGTATTCGTGCCTGTATCATATGCAAGTGAACCACTCTGATGTTGTTGTGAATCAGGTGGAGTTGAGAGGACACTTTGAACCAAATTATTCACACGTCGCCCAGATTGAATGAGTGCCACTAGTGGTTCCATGTCGATTCGCAATTGCTCGACATCGTACATAAGTTGCTCACCACACTCCTGCCACAGATCAGCAATTCCATAATCTCCGTCGAGCTAAAGATCACTTACACAAGAAAATCGGAATCGAATAAACCCCACCCGTACGGGTCAGTTCTTAGACCTCGATATCTTCAGTAACCTGGGGAGCAAATGTTTCGTAGGTCTTTTGTATGCCTGGGTATAATATACGAAAGCGACGGAGCCGATGTAGCCCAAGGTAATGAAATAAGCAGTCTCCGATATAGCCACCGAGGAGGTAAATATGAGCTTAGTGGTGATGTACAAGAGTAACAGGACAATGCACAGGATTACAAGCCAAACAAACGCTCGGGCTGCACTTTTCCGTTTTACCAGTGCTAGGCCATAAATCGGTCCTGTCTGGACTTCTGTAAGAAGATCCAACTCTGGGAGAGGAAGAGTTCGTCGAGGTAAAGAATCCGTTATGGTGTTATCATCTCGAAGAGCGCCCAGGAAAGTGAAGCAATGTTGTAGGAGGGCTTCTCCAACTGGGAGATTGGGACGCATAGTCCACAATTTTCTGCTCCTAATCTGGGCCATACTATCTCTAGCTGCACTGTAATGAAGCTCATTTTTGACAAGCTCGACCTAACCTGACTCATTAACAGATGCTACATGATGACTGTATAGGAAACTGCCCACCTTCACTAAATCAACGGTGTATCGGTCTATTGTGAAAAGTTGTCGTAGTTTGCCTTGAAGAGATCTTGACTTTAACAGGTGAAGAAACTGCAGGGCCTCGAAGAATTTCCTATCTCCTAATCCCGCGGCAATATTGGTTACGCGAAATGCGTTTGGCGGTCCGGTTCCAGGTAGGATGTGACTGTGTAATCGTTCCACAGCTCCAGAGCTTTGCGGCTCGTATTCAAAGAGGAGTACGTACGACAGCGGATTTAGGGATGTTCCTTCGGGATGGATGATTCGTACGCCATTTTCGTCTATTGGACGTGTCGCAGTGCCCCAGGGTGTCAGCTGTAATGGGTGTAAATTTTCTCATCGTACAGTTTGTGGCTCCAACTTACTGTATTTCTGCTATCACTGTGGGGTATCCGGGGTGCCGATGTTTGGAAACCCTCTCGGTCGTGAGTTGTAGTTGGAACTTTGGGGAGGCTGCGCCGAACATAAAACATGAAGTTGCTGAGAAATTGGGAGAAATCATTCAATACCACATTTAGTGCATTGAGAAAAGTTATTAAAGGCACCAGAAGCGGCTCGCTAATAGTGGGTTGTACGGGGATGTTCACCAAACGGTAACCGTCAACTCGTTGCTCAGTCATACTTGACAGGAATAGCTAGCGACGAGAAGTACACTCTTAGCGAAAATGGCAGGTAATCGTGTGGAAAAGATTGCGTTGAAGAAGCACCTTGAAGTTGGAACAGGAGGAACAGCCTCAGGAAGGAGCGGATAAATCTTATGTGCCCGATCTACGCGCCTGGGGCCCAGGGGGAGGTTGGGCATACAGTAATTTACAATGACTCATGAGACACTGCAACCCGATACATTCTACTCTGCGATACGGCTAGCAGGGGGTGTTTTTGAAGTAGCGTTATACGGATTAGCGTGGTTTCGGGTACGGGCCAAGAGACAAGGACTGAGTGGTTAAGGGGTAGTAATCTGTTTTCGAAATATACTGTATACAACGTGGCTTGCAGTAGTGCCCGTAACCGAATCCGTTCCAATTAGCCGGAGAGGTTAGTTCCGAACTGTGCTGCCGTAGTAGCGCTATATCACTACAGCTAGGCCAGCGTGCCGAAAATGTCCCTCCGCGCTTTTCTCCCTCGCACCAACAACATCAACACACCAATCAAGGAAGTTATCGAATCCTTGCTCTGGATTTTCTTCGTAGGATTGCCAATTACGCCGGATAAAGGCCTTGAGCTCAGCAAAAAACTACTCAATGGGATTCAAATCAGGAGAAAATGGAGGCTAATACACCAGCTTTACGCCAGCTTCCGAGCACATCTGTTCAATTCTGCCTGAGTGATGAAAGGATGCGTTGTCCATGACTAGCACGGACTTCGTCTCGGGCCATTCCTGTAGTGCTGGAGAAGCTGCTCGATAAAATCCTCGAAGACGGATGCGTCAGTTGATCCTTAGAACACTCGAGATAAAACAATGCTATCTTGCGCATACATAGGCAGAATGTGATAACGCTGATCACGATAAAACTTTGATACTTGCACCGGCGCGGTACCAAGTGGGGACCAACCCGTTCGCCTAAAGCCTATCCTTTTATCATAGCCAGATTGATCGATATAGACAAGGTGGTAAGACTTGAAGTCTGAAATAAAATGATAGTATTCGTCCCGGAGATCAAGGTTGCGTTCTCGGGCCATGACCCGAGCAGTCTTTTTCGACCAGCCTTTAGACTTAAGGGCACGACTGATAGTCGATTTTGTTACTTGAAGAGCGAATTCGTCCCACAGAAAAACAGCCATTTCGTCCAAATATAGGGCAGGCTTTTCAACCAGATGGTCGCATAAAGCCTCGAGCATGACTAGACTGATGTTGCGGGGTCGTCCGCCTTTAATTGGCAGTGCTTTAACGCTGCTAAACATTCTTATATTGGACGAGATTCTCGAGATGGTGCTCTTGTTGTAACCAGCGGCCTGTGCCGTCTCATTTATAGATAGTTCGCCACCGTGGATCATGTCATAGATAAGCTCATGCTTGGAAGGAGCTAGGTTTGGAGCCATCGTTGGTTGGACCACTCGTGATTGATTGTAAATGGTGCCTCCCAAGGAAACCTACTTCGAATGAGGGGCATGGAGGTAACCAATGTATTGAATTTATAAGTATATACATGCCTAAAATTATTTTGTAACCTACGTATGAAGGAATACATACGAAGGTCCCGGAAGAACTCCAAATACAGACTAGTGTTTCTTGGCGCAAGGGGCAGGAAAGTTAATCGGAGAGTGGAATTGCTGCACCGGTTTCGCGACGTACTGTATGGGACTGCGTATACGGGGCAACAAACATCCGTACATCATACACAGCAAACCAAAGAGTTTCACAGTTGGTCTGGGGCCATGCATGCTGCGCAAAAGGAATTTTCCCCCTAATTCCTTTCTCTTTTCTAAACCTTGGAACCGTGATCCAGTGTGGTAAGATGTCCAATACTTTGGTCTTGCTTCGGACAATCCTGTTGCATCTCCAATTTGACCAAGTCCACCCCAGCAGCTTCAAACATTTCCCCAGTTTGCAGACATCGATGAGCTAACCCTCCGTTACGTGGCCGATGCCCCCAGCCTCACCAGCTCCTAGACCGATTCCCATCGCTAGGAAGAGCCCGGTATTAATCGATGAACTTTGGTCGAAAAGTGCTTGAATATCCGTGACCCAATCTTTGATACCAGGGATAATTGCCGAGCATGGCCAGCATAGCACCCGTGGTGGCGGGAACGTTCTAATAATTTATCGAGGTGGCATGGTAAATTTTAGAGTCGACGATTATCGTGCTTCCGATCATTGGTCTATTTTTTGAACGGTGCATCCTGAGACGTAGTATTGCAAAGGCTGAGGAAACTCGATGTCGTTTTTATAGGCTGGTTTTCACTGTTTCTTTCCCAGCTGGCCACCTCTCCCAGGGCTCCACTTTTCCCAGGACCTCCAGGGCTACTAGTGGACGAGGCCCTCCGGGAGGGCCCGTCGGGTGGATCGTGGAGGGTCCACGGGTGGGGTCATGCCGCCGTTTTGTAAATACATGTAATATGCCGTTCGAGATTCAAGGTTCCGAAAACGAATATAATAGAGGTAATCAGGCACTCTTCTGCTCTGGAAAAAAGACGCTGGATAGCCCGATGGGTATACAACCGCCAGACCGGAAAGAAGACTGAGACATTTCTAAATAATGTTCAAAACTGTGACACATAGCTATCGCTTGGGCTACTATAGCAAATTACAAGTCACGCCTTTGTAATATCGGTTTTCTTCTTCAACTTCAGTTGCTTAATGATGAGGTAGCCAAACCTCGTGTTAAAAATGATTCACATAAAGTACCAGCATTTCAAAACGATCAACTAGCGGATATGTACATGTACTATTTCATGTATATTGTGCTATTGATTGCTTGGTTTTTCCGCTCACGAAACTGGTGTGTTCTCCCATACACAGATACTAGTCCAGCATTTCCACATATAAGTTACAATGATTTTCTCTGGAGAATTATTCGAAAAAATAGTGATCGGGTCATGATCGTAATCCTCCGTGCATGAGAACATTGCCCCGGTGTCACTCTCACCCTGAAGGATACCTCCACCCTTCGTAGTGCTAAATGTGGTAGTCTGGCCACAAAACTTTGCTTGTGACCCTGTCTCAACCTCGGACTTCATCATACTGCCAGAGATCGGGAATACCTCGCTCAAGTCGCCCTGACTTACAGTCATATAATTCCAGTTGCCATAATCGGATTCATGGAGCAGATTCATGATGATGAATCCGAGTGGGGTTGAATCACCATCGGCTGGTTGCGTATGGCTCACTGTTGCTGTCTTCGTTGTTGTTGTGGGCTTGATCGTAGTCACAGTCAAAGGAGGATCGACAGCGCAAATCAGGAAGGTCGACTTTGCGGCGTTAGTCTTTGTCGACAACGAGGCTCCAAATCCTCCGTTACAGGTGCATATTGTGGATGAAGCTTTACTGTCTGATCCAGTCATGCTAAAAAAATAATTGTCATTAATCCTTTGCTCTTGTCATTAGGTAATATAATTGCCTCAACATACCTTTGCAAGCCACAAGAAGTGGCTGATATCCCCGTAACTGTAGTAGTCTTCGATGGTGCAGCCGTTAATGACATGGACCCGGTAAATGTCGTACCGCTGATGAGAATTGGATCTGCGGAGCTGAGGTACGGGTTAATGACAGAAGCGAAAGACATAGCTTGAGCGTTCTGTTCATCCTGACTATCATTAATCCAGTCCCAGGACCCGCCAATAATTTCATCAACCTGTACGCCCGCTGTGGCAGTTGGTGTACATCCGCCAACTGTGACTGTGTCGCAAATGGTAGCACATGCCGTGTCCGTTGCGTCGGCACAGGCCGTATCACAAGCAGTGGTGGTAGTCATGCTTGCAGTCTCAGTGCAAGACGAAGTGGTAGATGTTGATTGTTGGTTATTTTCCGACTCGCCACTTCCACCTCCACCACCTGCCACTATACAGTGCCCTGAAAGAACAGTCAGTGTGTCTGTCATCCTAAGATATGTTCTTACTGTTGACACTTACCATCTCCACAGCCTGGACCGCAGCCAAGCAATCCACAGCCTCCACCACAGAAGCCAATACCGCAGCCGCCATCACATCCAAAGATTCCGCAATGTCCTGAACATCCAAAGATGTTGCAGTTGTGCGTTCCGCACCCGGATAACGCCTTGCCTGCACTGCAGCCACCGTTGGACGGTGGGTTGCCCTTGGTATATTTGATGTGCGGAATTGGCGTCTTCTTGGGATTGATTGATGTCACGGTGGGCTGAGGAAGTATAGTAATAGGATGCGAGCTGGAGTAAGTAATCACAGTATTGTCCGATGTTGTCGCAGGACTTGTACTTGTAGTACTTGTAGTTCCTGTGGAAGCGACACCGACACCTGGAAAGACGTAAGTTCGTGTCCACTGTTCTCCTTCCTATAAGAATAGTTGGTCTCTTACAATAATATTCATCTTTCCAAAGTCCTGAGCAATCTGAGCCGACGGCTGGATTCCAATTCTAGAGGCAGGTTAGCATACCCAACAAGAGGTAAAGATGGCAGATAAGACTCACAAGGAATTGATCACTTGTTATATCATGCTCTGAAGCAATGTCGTAGCATCCATCACCATCTGCAGCTTTATAGAAGTCTACACAGTTGCCTGCAATACCTGATTGCACAGCAGCAGGCGTTGACACCGCTGAAGCACTGGGTGTGATCACGGGCGTTGATCCAGTGGGAGTCACTCTTGCGGAGTAATCAACAGTATCTAATGGAAATGCTGCTTCTGTCGCTGGAAGATCGATAACCAATGAAGGCGGTGCAATGCTCTGCATAGGGCTGAAATAAGCAGTGAACCCTGCTGTGCTGGCTATAGTCTCCGGCCAGAAAGGAATTTCGGTGATAGTGAACTCAGGAACATTGAACGCTGTTGTCTTAGTGTATACAGTCCCATCTGAAGTGGACAGAACGGAAGTCTCATATTTCGGCCAAGTGATAGTGACGGGCGTTTCGAGGGGATGAGGAGGGAGCACCAATGTACAAGGTGCATTACAAGCAACCTCAGCAGTATCGTTGGTCCATAGGTCAGGTCCAATGTAAACATCCCCTTCGCCTCCTTGGGAGCCGTTATCATCTGGGAAGAGATCGGTTGCTCCAGTCAATCCGTCTAGAAACAGTCAGCTTCCGAGTGTATATAAAGGTTAGTTTCTAGACTTACTCGTTGCAGATCCATCGGCATCTAGACTGACAGCCCAAACCATTGTCCTAGAACAATTCTAGGTCAACAATGAAAAGATTGTTTGAATAAAATAACACTTACCCGCCAATGCAGTGGGAATTGGCATAGTCGATCTTGGCCCCAAACGACTTCCAATCATCATAACTCACCCACTGGTTTTCTCCAAACGTCACAATCTGAACGGCCGCAACTGAATCGTAGTACTTTGTAGCCTTTTTGCTATCATCATTTAGGATAGAGCGGATCTCACTAAAGGAGAGGGTTCCAGCACTGTTCGTACACGGCCCTGCGTTTCCTACGCGGGGAAATACCAAAATTAGCTGATGCCTAACTGATATTGCACACTGGCCCAATTAAACTTACCACCACCCAAGAATGGGCACCCAGTGGTTGTGCATGATGAGTCTGAAAGAGTGAAGCCTATAGTCAATTCGTCAACTGGGCCCATCTCTCCGAATACTATGTAGACATGTGGATTACTTACTCCTGCCATAGAAGCCTAATCCCATCACCACCTTCTCGGGATCGATATCATTTCGCCAAAGCAGGTCCATGGCAAGTTTTATCTCGGTGAGGTTGGTATGTGAGTTAACAACTGAGCCGATCCAGGCATTGTCGGCATCCCAAGTTCCGTCTGTAACTGTTAGCCTTCCCACTTAGTTATAGGATTCCTTAAACAGCACTACTCACGTAGGTCGTAAGTCATCATATTGAACTGTTATAAAACGTTAGCAGGTATATTGTAGGTTAAGTAGTTTATCAGTTCTTACCCAGTCAACACTCTCAATAAGATTGACAATATCAAAGTGTTGCAGATACCAATAACTGCTTGGGAGGGTGATAGAAAGACCATAATCCTTCTTAGCCCCATCGAGTGCTTCTCTTAGGTTTTTTAAGAACGTGACATAATTATCGAAGTCTGCTTCTCGACCTCCACGTTCAGATGCCACGGGATATTCCCTAAGCCTATTAGCGTCCACGTCGTTAACCCAATATATTTATCAATATTAGACTCTTACCAGTCCAGGTCAACACCATCAAACCCATAACTGTCCAGGAAAGAAAGCAAGGATTTGAAGAAGGTAGTTTGTTTCAAGGAAGAGGCCGCGAGGTCTGAAAATGTACTAGCCGTGGAACCTGGGTCATTAAAATCCCATCCTCCAATAGATATCCAAACCTTCAGATTGGGCTTTCGCTTCTTCAAATCCACAACCTGCGAATACAAATCCTGCTGACTTGTCTTCATCGGTGCAATGGTATATAGTTTGGGATCAATGTAGAGAAAGGCGAAATTGATATGTGTATATCCACCGATAGGAATTGACTCTGGCTTGATAGTCTGACAAGGTCTCTCGAGATTCCAGCCTTCATAGTAACCAATAGTTCGCTTGGTACTAGAGCTTCCGCCACACACGGGCTCAGCAACACTGGAGTCTCCGCAAAATTCGGTGGTGGTGCCACAGAATCCAAATTCACTGCAGCAGACATTTAACGGGCAATGCTTAGTTGCAGCGTAGTCAGAACCTATTTCCAGTTATGAGCTGTTTCTAGTTGACGATTGATAGAAAATGCATGGCTTGGAAGAGAAAAAATGGGTAGACAAGACAATGGAACAAGAACCACATACCCCAAGAATCTCCCCATCCTGGGAATCCACCGGGATCGCACTCTGACTTGTGTGAACAAGTACCATTGGCGCTTCCTGTCGATAGACACTTATCGTCGGAACAGTATGAAAGTCCGTAACCACAAATTTGCAGGCTTTTAGAGCAACAACCCTCAGCACATTGGCTATCTGCGCTGCAAGGATTATCTTTGCAAGACACAAAAGAAAGAAATAATAAGGAAAGAGTAACCAAGACACAATTGAACTTGTGCATTTTGAGATTTGACAAGACGCCTGTCTTAATCTTTCTCTTCCAACCAGACAATTTAATCTAGTGTGCTGCCGGAACCTATTTAAATGGTTCCCAATCGATATGCTTCTCGAACTTCCGGCCCACCTCACTTCCCTCCATCTATGTCTCTTTATCAAGTGAGGGATAAAATTGTTGTACTCGCTTGCTAGTGGCACATTAGGTTGTTTCAATGCTCGGATTAAACCTGCTTGATCGTGTATCTAGTCCTAGCACATGTACTTCCAACCACTAGTAATATCTTGTAATCACACAGGCCAATAAGAATCCCAACCTTGAGATATTAAAATTGGGTCCCTAGTGGAAATGACGACACTTCGGACAACTGCACGTCGCTAAAAAACCAAGGCGACCATAATTAGGCCTCTTGGCAATAACTCTGTTCCTGTGGCGCGCTAATTAATGCCCCACATATGCATATGCAGGTCCGATAGAGTCGAAAACCCAATAACATTAAAAAAAAACTAGGATTCTTAAATTCCCTGAAGCTCATAATCCTAATAGGCAGCTAATAAATATATCAAAAGGAGGGCCCTATCGGGGAATATAACACTGTAGATGCGATATAGAACAGGTGTCTGGTGTCTACTTCCCAATTGGGTAACTCGATTTCTTCTACAGTAGTCCGCGGTTCTCCCGGAGCTTTTTTTCGAGTCTATCTCTTGGCACCCGAGCTAACAGGTTACGTTCAACTAGTGTACCCATAATATAGCAGGGATAATTTTCTGGCCCCCATATTGCGGAACAAGGGTAGTTATCCGTACCTGTTTATATGTGGAGATTTTCTTTCGCCAGCGGAATATGCACATATCAACCTACGAATCAGGAAAGGCTGGAGGATGAGCGTGCATATCCCCCTGAATATCTTATGAAACGTTCCCTGTACAATGATCCTGTTATAATTTCAGTTTCAGATATTTGTACGATATTCACATCTAGATGCATCTACTGGCCGGCGCGGTTATCCCTCTCTCTGAAACAGGTAAGCCCTCCAGGGCTACTTGGAACCGACATTAGAACCTTGCGCACCTGCCTGGTTGCGGAGCACCTCCAGAGTTACCCGCCCGGCCCCGGTTGCCCAAGTACTCCTGCTCCTTCATAACTCTTTCCATGAAGAGATTTTCATACACACTACGTCGTATATATGTACCTATATATATTTCACCATTTCTATTCTTTGGTATTCCCCTATATTGCCTTGTAATCCAATTTTCCCACCTTGTTCTGAGCGAACAGAAAAATGTGAAGATCAAATTTGAAACGATGCTACTAGTAGTTGATGTGCTTGCATATGGAATCTATAATAACATATACCTTGACCCTATGCATTTTTCCGTCTAACTTGCCAAGGAGCCATTGTGTGTGGAAACGCCCTAATCTCGATCAAGTCAATCTATAAGTAAATGCCTCATAACAACCTGTTGGTAGGGCCCACAGTGTGCATGTATGATAAAGATTTCAACCTAGGGTGAACTGTGGGAACGGACAGAAAGTTAATAGAAGATAATATCTGCTAGTGATATAGCGCCATATTTTATGATCGACTCCCCGGCCAGTAATATCGCGACGATCGCCTATTTGGATACACATTTCACTGTGTTTCATAAATGATACGGTCAAAGTGACCTTCTCTAATACTTGACTTATCAAAATACACGCCCCCGTATTATCTAACTAGAGACTAGTCAAGGGAATTACTATGCTGCCGGAGACTCAGTTCACAATAAATAGCAGTGTCACCCGTTTTTGGGCGCAAATGGGTCCTTCTAGTATAAGCGTTTGCCGTTCTCATTATGAAGATAGCACGTCATATCTACCTCAACCGCTTTCTGGCCATCCTGCAAGTGATCGCGTTTCTGTCAACTAGCGTGTGGTCGCAAGATGTCTACACACGCTTTCGCGTGGAACAAGGCAGCGGGCCTATCACACGGACTGGCAACACAGGCGGATCTTGTGAGGGCATCGACGTGGAAAAAGGGTTTGACCTGGCAGCGGTGTATAGAGAAGCTATAGATATGGCAGCCGTGGCTGTCGTATCTATGGACAATTACGCATCCGATGCAACAGTCAGAGCGAATCTCCAAACATGGTTTGCAATCAAGGAGGACCCTACAACACACGCTGTTTCAGCAGCAAGTGTTGCTCGTTTCGCGAAAGTGAGAAGTACGATAATCCATTTCCTCAAAGAAATTGGATATATGAGGGACTAACAGTCTCCGATAGGATATTTTCAAACAGTCATTGACGAATCCGGAACGCCGCACAATGGAGCTAATCCGGCGCTCTTCTGCTCCGAAAAATGGCGCTGGAGAACCCGATGGGTACACGATTCCCAAACGGGAAAGAAGACTGGGAATCTTCTAAAAGATGACTGTAAGTCACAAACCAACGTGGCTGTTGTTCCGATCACTAATGCGACTCATATCACCAGTCGGAGTTGATTGGTTAGTATGGTCTCCCCTATTCAAAGGCTATTCCCAAGAAAACATCATGTGCCAAGGGGGAACTTTCGCTTTCACGTCTCACGGGGAGTGGCAATCGATTACATTCTGTCCTCTATCGTTTGAATATTCACGTAGAAAACACACATTGGCTCAGTGGAGGAATGGCCAGCAAACAATTGCCGACGGGACCAATATGCAAATGGCGCTTTCAACACCAGCTGTATTCTTACACGAGCTCATGCATATGGTGAATAGGGCGAGTAAGTTGACTTCTTTTGTGTGCTCTTAATGAAACAAGTTCGCTAATACTCTACCGATAACAGGGGATGTCAAGTTCGCTAATCCCTCTAACGGGAAATTCGAGACCGCATATGGCGCCGTCTTAACAGGGAGCCTGGCTTTAGCTGCTCCTGATGAGTCGGCCAATAATGCAGACAATTATATGTGGTGTGCGACTGCTATGTATCTCCCCCAATATGACTGGTCACGGGTTATTGCGGGTAAACGAACGGCGAATGGTGCCGCTGCCCGTCGTTCTATCTCGGCTGAAGCCCATGGCCGGAAACATACACATCATTCGGGGAAACGCAGGCAAATATAGAACTGATCTTGAGATGAGTGACGATGATGAGCTTCTGTGATGCATATTTACACCTCGATATGGCACATACTGCGTCTACCTATGCTGGCGGGCAGCATGTGTTTGTTTCTAAACTGTTCCTGTCAATAGCTTACACCTTGATGCATCTGATAGCTTTGGTTTGTTGCGAAGATTTTTGATTCTCTTTTGACCACCTGCTCTCTCTCTCTGTAGAATGCAGTAAAGGCTCTGACAGCCTTTCCCTTTCTACTTCTGTCCATATTTCTCAACTCACAATACACATACATTGCATCGCCTCATGAATTCAGATACTATCTTCCAGTAGTATCTTCAAATAGATATACTCCTCTATCTCGAGAAGGCTCACAATCCGCGACTAGTGCCCACAATCTACATCCATGTTTGAATTTCCTCAAACTTAGCATGCCAAGCCTCGTATCCCACCATCCCAAGACCGTTCAGCTCCTCAACAAACGAATTTGAAGCTAGCTTCCATTCGCCATTATCTTTCCTACCCCATGACACTGTTGTTTTGTAAATGTATTCCGCTTCCCTGGACTTCCAAGTCCTGAACCACGCCATTCGTTTACAGCGCCGACCCTTATACACGACTTCACCTGAAACCCAGGCAACAGTCTGATTCAAAATAGCAGCCATAGGGCTTGGCTCTTCATCGGGTTGGAGGAAAATGTTCACCAGCTTCGGATAATCGTAAAGAGGCTTTGAATCCGACATAGCAACGACAACTTCAATCGGAAAATAAACCATCCAGATCTCATAAACCATGCTGGAAAGACTGGAGTCTGAAAAGCAATCAATAATAAAGGTTCCAACGGTGTTGTCAACTTGATAAATCAAAAGAGCCTTGTTGTTGTGGCTTCTTCTATCGTTACTGGGGGTATCGGAATCTGGCAAGAAGATGACTTCCTTCATGGTCTGTGTCATTGCATCTGACTGATGAAACTCGTCACGAAGAGCTCTGCTACGCCAGTCTTTAACCATTTAGTTAGCCTTGTCTTTGAGGAGATCTGTCGTATCTTACGTATTATAATCCATAGTCTCTGGGGATTTTCCACGGGATGTGCAAATGTGATTTGGCGGCAGCCATCAATTTGGTGAACATCCTTGAGAATGGACTTCCAATCGGTCTGTTTTAATATGGATTCGGCGGCATAGTCAAGATCATGCCATTCAATGAAAGCTCCTCTCGCCGCTTGTTCTTGTTCCACACTTTTGGTGGAGATCTCGCTATCCTCGGTGGTGCCCTGTGCTGGGCTCGAACTTTGGTTGGTCAGGTTCTTTGACTGACTTCGCGTTACTGGCATTTTGATGGTTTGGTGTACTAACGAGAAAGAAAGAAATGTCCGAAATACTTTTATGCATCACGATGACTAATCCACCCCTAACCACCACCCGGGCCGTGGACCTAGTGTTAGGTGCCCAAGGCCTGAGGATATTCATTATTATTATCATTACCTTACATATCCTAAATACGGCCTTCCGGGTACTGCCTTCCGTCCCGGGCAACTGGGCAACTGGGCAACCTTGGCACCGTAGAACTTAGCTCCAGGGCTACGAACTCAAAAAAAAACCGGTAATCGTGCCAAGAGCCCATGGCACTTCCTGGTATTGTGGGCACTTGGCATTGGTAATACACTACCTTGTCTTGACGATATTGCATTCGTTGAAGCTGTTGAAGTCCCGGGAACAAACTGGGTTGAACTCGTTGCCAAAAAGGCGAACAGCAAACAAGCAATTTGAAATCGAAGAGGTGAGTCAAAGTCACAGTTTCAACTTTGGAGCCTTCCTTAGACAGTTGGACACAACACTACCTGATGACCTCACTTCAACCGACGGTAATGGTCACAATGGCTTCTCCGGTGCTAGGTGATAAGTGGCTCCACCGTTGTAACTCAAAGCTTTAATGAACCACATATTGCCACTTTATCGGGATACGTTTACTTCGGCACAGCACCTGCAATATTTGTAGACCAGTCTATACCTTTTCGTGGGATGATAAACAAGAATTGTCGGCCGCTTATGCGGCCGTGTCAAGTCTTTTTTGGTAGTCTTTTATAATAGTCTTCTCAGATGGTCTTTTAGATGTCTTTTTTGGTGGTCGTTTTTGGTGGTCTTTTCAGATCTGTTTCATAGATATTGTGTCCCCCTTCCCAGTTTGTTAGCTAGACGGCAGAAAAAGGCAGGGAAAAAAAGCATACTTTATGCAAGAGACTTTTCTATGTATAACAAAGGATGATGGAGTATCGAATATTCGTGGGAATGTGCACATCAGGCACCAGCAACCAATCAGATCCTCCCGAGGATAGCTCAGCTTGATATGCTTGATGTGTATTGACCGGATCGGATCTTTGGAATGAAGTACGTCTCATCTCAAGGACTTCAATTCGATTATATGTTGTCCAATTGTAGAGAATAAATCCTCGATCTGTTGCCCATGTCTACATGCAAAAAAAATAAAAATTTACAAATGAAACCAAAACTTCTTCAAAATATTTTGAGGCGGGCACGTGGCGGGCACGTGCAGAGCTGACTAACCATCTATCGCCGCAGACGGGTGACGTTGATGATTCCCCGCGGGAAACAAAGTTAGCTTCTTCATATCCTGGTTACCACCATGGCCACACCGAGGCTCCCGTTCCTGTATCCGAATTTGATGCGTGCGGTGCGATCATGCGAACCGAGAACATACCGCTCACTTAGAATCCCATACCGGCCCACTCAACGTTTCCATACGAGCCAGCAACGGGAGCGCGATTCCTATCAGCGCCGGTATGGTCCAGCTGTCGAACCGAATACCGCCCCTTCGTTGCGTCCGAAGAAGGGCTTACATGATCAGGTCCAGGAGGTGCCAGAGGATCCATCGGCTGGAGATGAGGCTATAAATGCCTCCGAGCAGGAGGAAGCTTCGCCAGAAGAGTCACAGCCACCACAGGAAGCCGAGCAAGACACCGAAGATGTCGCTTCTTCAGAAACCCCGGCCCTAGATCAACAAACTGAACCTGAGACTAAGGAAGACAACCCCCACAACCCCCCGACGGAACGGGAACCCCACGAGGAGCAGGCAAAGGATATAGAGGGTGCCGAACAGGAACAGGCTTCGGCTTCTTCTTCCACTCCTTCCGAAGGCGCATCGGAAGAAAGTACGGATACCTCTTCGTTCACAAGCCAAACTCCGTTCGAGGACGTTCTCCACATGCCGTCGCCGTCTGTTTACCTAGCTCCAACCGGGGAACCCTCCTCGTCTGGCGATCGCCCACCACATTTGTCCCCAGCACCTTATGTGCACCCTTTCGACACATATTCGTTGGTACAGGATTTGTCTAAAGGGGGATATAGCCAAGAACAGTCTACTACAATCATGAAGGCTGTGCGGGCTATCCTACAAAATAACCTCTCTCTGGCCAGGGAGAGCCTCACCTCCAAATCCGATGTCGAGAATGAGGAATACCTGTTCAAAGCAGCCTGTTCTGAGCTTCAGACATCGCTTCAGACAACTCGCAACTCGGAAATACAGCATCAGCGCTCATCGCGCACGCAATTGCAGCATGAAACGGATATTATCTCGCAGCGTCTCAGCCAGGAACTTTCAGGCATGAAAGACGACATCAAGGGCATGTTCAATGATCACAAGATGACCACGCGAGAGCAACAGCGGAGCATCGACACCTCGGTTCAGGAACTGAACTACAAGATCACCGTGTCGCTGAACAGCGATGGAAAGAGTGAGATCGAAGGTCTTCGATGGATTTTGACCAGACGCGCCGCTCTGACGATTGCCATCTGCGCTTGTAAGTTTCCCATTGTTCCATACCTGGTTTTTTCGTGTAGCTGACTCGATTATAAGTCATGATCATCGTCTTCTTGAAGTATGCTTCCACGCGCAAGGTGCCTGAGCCCAAGCAAGCCAAGCAAGAGGAGAAGTCGGCGGTCACCAAAGAAACCGCCACTGAAACTCGAGTCGTCGAAGATGGTGGCATTCAGACAGTCGATCCGTCTGCTAAAGCGCATCTTAGCGAATCCCTCGGTTGAGATCTTGAACATAAATCCTCGCCTAATACTCCTCCTTTCGTTATCCACTTGACACTTTCCACTCCCCTTGTCTTATAGCCCTCAGTCACATATTCTTTTCTCTCATTTGTCTCAGGTCTCGTGTATCCATCCACTTGACCAGGCTCTTTTACACCCCTTGTATCACCACCAATTAAACAAAAGCCGATATATATATATATTTTTTATAGAACATGGCAAACCCACCTAACCAGGTATGTACAACAGACCCAAATCACAAAAATCACATTTCCATTCCCGTACATCAAAGCTCAGTTCCAGAAACCCTCGACTATTCCTTAACCCAAGGCACCTCCTCAGGGCGATACTTGTAAGCCCTAAAAACCGCATTGCTAAGATAATCAAACCCAATCGCCTCCATCTCCTCCAACTCCTCTTTCTTCATAACCTCCTTATAATTCCCCAGCTGCGGCACAACAAACTCCCAAACAACCTCACCCCCTTCAGTAACCTCCATAACCCTTCCACTAGCAGCCTCACAAACCAAAACATTCCCTCCAACCAACTTCTGCGCAGACCCCATAAACGGCGTAAAGAATCCTAACCCCCCCGTCGAAAAGTCCTTATACTCCCACTTAACAACCCCCTCCTTTGAAACAACAATGGCCCTCGAAAACGGCACCGAAATCCCCGGCCTGAAAACACCATTATCAAGAATCAACATATCCCCCGCCTCATTAATCTGATGAGCACAATGCTGCTGGCTAACAACCGGCGCACCAAGATGCCATTTCACCGCACCCGTAGCACGACCAATAACAAACACACTAGACGCATTCCTCGACGAAGCAATAATATCCCCAGCAGAGTCAAACGAAACACTATTGATAAGCGGCCAGTGCTCGCGCGTGTAGTGCGCATGCGCAGCAAAGACAGCAGGATCCAGATGGTCGATTGCGCGCCACGACCAGAGGAGCTTAGCGCCTGTTTTCCCGCCGCTGCCGTCGAAGTCTGCAGAGGAGGAGGTGGTGCTTGTTGACCATGGCTGGACGAGTTTTATGCAGTCGCCGTAGATGACGCCGTTTGGGGCTTCGGTGGATGGGATACCGCCTTGCACGCGCGCTGCTTCGGCGCTGGTAAGTGGTTCAAGCGTCGTGTACAGGATTGTCCCGTCGTCGAGGTGGTTTTGGTCGTGGTGTGCTAGCGGGTCGCTATATTGACGGAGAATTTCACCGTCTGGGCTCACTTGCATCATTACGCCACCCCGGTACTTCGCCCACATTGGGAAGAGGTTCGGGGCGTCTGGGTGCGCGCCGTTGTAGGCGAGGTTGCCGTCTGCGAGGATGCGGGCGTGGCGGCCGGCGCGGTGGGAGAGGGTCCAGCGGTGCACTTCTTTTCCGGTTATGGAGACTAGGTGGGCTGTGTTTGAAGTGAGAGGTGCGTATAGAACGTAGCCTGGGGAGATGCGCTCGGCGTCGACTCCGCGGAGACCGAGGCCTCGGCGGCAGAATGTGTGCTGCTCCATTGGAAACGGGTCAATTGATTAAGGAAGTTGATTTGAAGAAAGGAAAGAAAAGTAACGCAGATGCAGGGGACTTTATGTTGGGCGAAATTGAGAGAAGTGGATTATACTGGTTGTTCTTAGGGCATCCCGGTCCGGCATACCGCGGTATGCCGCGGAAGATAAGTATTAGCCAAGAGACGTTCGATATGGCGTGAGATAAGCCCAATCATGGATGCTAATACGTATAGTTCAGTGTGTAATGCGTTATCGATGGATAGAAGATGAGTAGAAAGGGGAGATATTGTGGAAATATAGAAAGGAGAGTGTTTCCCCGTCATATAGTGACAATTTGACCAGTTCAGTTCAGCTTTCTATCCCAGGCTACTCATCGAAATGGATAATTATAATGCATCTATACAGAAACCACAGTCTGAATCAGAGACAGTGAAGCCTCATCAGCCATTCTTTAGAAGATTCTCTATTGAAGAAGGTGGCATCGAACGAGTCACCGATGAAGAGCGACAACAGAATACAACCAAGTTCTGGCACGCTGCTACATTCTGGTAAGACTAATATCTGAGTGAATATAGATCACTACTAACTCATCACTTTGTATCTACAGGTTCAGTGCAAACATGGCCGTGGCTACCCTCAACATCGGCTCCTTGGGAGGTTCACTCGGCCTTCCCTTTTGGGACTGCTTCATCGTCATTCTCATAGTCAACATCACAAGCAACTTGTTACCAGCCTGGACATCTGTATTTGGATTAACCGGGCTACGCATGACGACGTTCTCGTGAGTAATGTATTCCCATGAGTACCATCTCTCTACACCGAATATCCCACTGACACACCAATCTTCCCAGGCGATACTCATTCGGCTACTGGGGCAACATGCTCGTCGTGATATTCTCCATGGTCGCCACAACAGGCTGGAACGCCATCAATTCTATCTCCGGGGCAGCCGTCCTGCACGCCGTCTCAGATGGCCGATTCCCCATCTGGGCGGGCGTCATCGTGATCTGTGTGGCTGTCTGGGTTATCTGCGTTCTAGGTATTACCTGGATCCATCGCCTCGACACATTTATTTGGATCCCGCCTTTGATTGTGTGGTGTGTCGCAGCTGGGACGGGTGCTTCTCAGCTCACCGGTGAGGACCATGTGCGTCTTCAGGGCTCAGACAAAGCAGCTGCTATTCTTACATTCATGGCTTTGATCTTTTCCTTCTCGGTATCCTGGGTGAATTGTGCGGCGGATTATAATGTGCGCATGCCTAAGGATACGCCGCGCTGGCAGATCTTCGGTGCGACCTATGTGGGTATCACTGTTCCTACTATCCTTGTTCAGACTCTTGGTGCGGCATTGTATACAGGTACGATTACCAATGCTGCGTGGAAAGAGGCGTATACGGCTTCTTCAATTGGAGGATTGCTCAAAATGGCATTGGAACCTGCAGGGGGATTTGGAAAATTTTTGATGGTTCTTGCGGCATTGAGCTCAATTCCGGTGAGTCAATCAACCTGCCAGTTGGTGTCAATCTACCATTTGGTCCTAATCTGCCAGTTGACATTTATTTCAAATTTGCATTCTAACTTTTGGGGACAGAATAACATCCCAAACAACTACTCCTTTGCACTACACGCACAGAATTTGGGACCGTGGGCTTTGCGAATTCCCCGTGTGGTTATGGTCACTCTTGGATTTATCGCGGCGATAATAATCGGTTGTTGTGCAGCCAGATATTTCTCGGATACTCTGCAGACATTGCTTAGTGTGATTGGGTACTGGACTGTAATCCACATCACTCTAGTGATGGAAGAACATTTCATTTTCCGACGTGGATGGAATGGATATGATTTCGACGCTTGGAACAGCGTCGCTAAATTGCCATTTGGATGGGCCGCGATTGGGGCTTTCGCCTTTGGGTTCCTGGGTGCCGCTCTTGGTATGAAAACCGCGTGGTATTCAGGTCCTATTGCTTCTTTGATTGGCAAGAAAGGTGCAAATATAGGTCATGAGTTGACATTTGCGTTCTCTGGGGCCGTATTCCCTCTGTTCCGGTGGATTGAAAAGCATTATGGGGGCCGGTGAAGATCGGTTGCTATGTTCCCGCATTATGTTGTTTCTAACTCTCCAAAACCGCTTGATATCTCAGTCAGGTCTCCCTGGAATAGATGAGCTTTCCGGAAAGAGACCCATATTGGACATAAGATCCCAATCTCCATTAGCTGAAATCCCCAATCCAAGAAATTCCGGGAAATAGTAATTGCTAAGTTCACCAAGTAGCTCATCTGGTTGCGGGTTTGCTGGCGGTAGCTCGACGTGCGGTCGTAATTTTTGATGCACCTTGGTGATGATATTTCCCAAAGTATGCGCCGCATGGCATGGTAACCCAATGCAGTACAGCCACTGCACTAAGTCACGAACAAGCAATTCGAGCTCGTCAATATTGTGAGTCGAGGCAACCTGTTCTTGGTAGCCATTCAGCAGGCGGCATATGACAATCGCTGCAAAGGTGATCATATGGTAGATGTGATCGGTCAAATGGCGCGTACGCTCATCTACTGTATCCATGGCCAGTTGCACAATTGCCGTGGCATGGCGAATCATTTCCGACACGACTGGTTCCCTAGCTCGGGAAGACTTGGCTTTCAGAGCATGCTCGTATAGAAGCAGATGGGAGAAATGGAAGCCCATTGAGAGAAACTGAGATCTCGGTTGCTCTGATCGCGAATTAATTAGCAGGAATGAAGTAATCGAATTCAAATGTAACATACCAAGGACAAATTCCCATTTTCGTCGCCAGTCCTGCAAAGCTGCGACTGATTTCAGTAAATCAACTGACTCCTGTATGAGATATTCATATACAGTCCAGTAAAGATAAATCTCCGCCACCATGCGCACTTCAAAATTTATCGCATGATCCGAAACAATGATATCACGACATCGCTCGATTTGCCAGGGTTGTAGCATGGATCGACGACTGGTTCCAACACAATAATGCATATGAGCAAGACAGAGATGATTCCACAGATAGCAATTATTCATAGTTTCCTCATCCAATCTATTTGGAGGATGAGATTGAGTCGTGACAGCAGCAAACAGTGGACTCGAATGGGAGTGCTGTAAAGCGAACCCGCTCAGAAGCCAGCTATCGATACTCAAAGGCACCTGTCCGACAGTTGTCGACCACATAGAAAGGATAAGGGTAGCCTGGAAGAACTCAATGGGCTGTGGCGCAACTAGAAGGGTGGTAGAAGCAAGAGAGCGGGCATACTCATACAACTTCGGAGCAAGGCTTGCAGCCAATTCCTCAGAAGTGTGCCTCACGGCGATCAAAGAACAAGCGCAGAATAGCAAGCTCGATTTTTTCACTTGCCGGAGAAGCTCGCTTGGCTCACACTCGGGATCAAAGAGAACCCACCGTCCGTAATATTCGAGGAAACTAAGAAAGGGTTAGTGACAATTCGTCACGACAAAGCAATTCATGTAAAGGGCAGCAGACATTTTGATCAGGGTAAGTGCAAGATCAGGGGAAATAAGGTCGTCCAATACCGCCCCCAAAGATCTGGCATCGGACATTGGTTTGATACCGCTGTCCGTTGCTAGATCGCGGATGACCATAATCGGAGCCGCGGAAGACTCCGTGTCTTTGTACGCACCGCCAGACTCAGGGCTCGTCTGCGCAGGGGTAGGCCTACTCGACTCATGACCAGGAGTTTTTTCTGGGCCTTCTCCAAGCCGATCGAGCAGAGTAGCCACAGTTTTTTCAAGACGTTCTAAACTATAGAAACCTGTCAGTTTGAGAGTAAATATGAGCTGCGGCATTCATACCGAGCATCCGTGCCTGGTGCGGGGGCTACGGATTCCTCGTCCGAGGCAATAATTTGGACGAGCGAGCAACTTTGGTGAAGTCGATCGCATCGCATACACGCTCGTCCAGGAATTCCGGCCTCATAGCATCTAGTCTTTTGTTTTCTGCATGAGGTGCATGCCCGGGAGGCACGACCGCGGTCCGGCGGCATTTCGACCTCGCAGGCAGAAACTGGCTCTCAAAGACAGGAATTTGAGCATACAATGATCCCAAGTTGAAGTGATGTAGACAAGAAACTATAACTGAGATGGGAATGGGAAGGTCACCTGATGCATCGGGTGGGGATAAAATAAGCTCCGGTCAATCGATATTGGCACTCTACGAGGGTCTATATATAGCTGGTTGCCCTTGACAGTTTGCCTACATCTTCCGGGTTTGAATATGAAAAAGATTTGGCATTTAACTATATCATAAAGTGTTTTCTCTGATTTTAGACCGTATAAATATTTAGAAATCCATGCGCAATGCTATACTTGGCGCAGCCTGGGGAGCATTGTCTACCGCATCAGCGCCAGTCTTCGAAGCAACAGCTCCGACTCCGACACTACGAAGAACCTCCTCTAGAAGAGACTTCTGGTCTGCGTTCATAGTAGCCACCAGCGTCCGGAAAGTAAGCTGGTCGGCCTTAGCGAGCTCGAGGAGATGGCCCGCTGATTCTTGGTGCACAGACTCGCCTTCACGCTTGGCGCGTGCCAATAGTGCCGACATGATGAGGGATGTAGCGGCGGGCAATTCAGAAGTGGAGAAAGTGGCATTGGAGATGCACGACACGAGCGTGCGAGCAACCACTATGCGGGAGTTTTCGGGGTCGCTGGGGATATCGCCGTTGTCTAGAGGGCAGGCAACCATGAAGGCGATGAGTCGCGGGACAAGGTATCGGCTGATAACTTCATCGGTGATGGAACGAGAGCCTGGTTTAACGAGGATTGAACGGAGGCAGCTAGCTGCCACGGTGGCAAGGCCGACATCTTGAAGACAGTCAAGCAACTCATCCAGAACTCGGATCAGGACTGGCTCCTGGGGCGGGATGACGTGCGCTCCGGCAGTCAGGAGGAAAGTGATGGCGAGGAGCGTGTTCTTGGCGCAGGGGATGGAGATATCCGACTCCCGTCGCTGGGCGATGGTGAGAATGGTGAGGAAGCGCGTGAGACATCCTCGAAGCTGGAATGACACGACCTCAAGGTCTTCGGGTGATTCCGTTGTGTGGGTAATACCGTGAACGAACTGCCTGAAGATGGGAAGAGCTTGTGGAACCACGCCCTCTTGGCAGATCCCAGTCGCGAGGATAGTTGTGAATATATGTAGGATACAAGCATGGAGATCGTTGCGAATGACGGATGGGAATACGGATGCAACATCGACGAGAGAGCGAAGTGCCAAACGAATAAGAGTCAAGGACTCATCCGAACTTACGTTGAACCGCGCGAGTGGTGTCGATTCGCGGAGATTGGGAAGCATTCCAGCAAGAACAAGAATGATGCTTCTTGTGAGCTCGAAGAGTTGCTCGATGTCATCGGAAAGATGGTCGCTGCGTTCCAGATCACCCTTTGCTGCGGGGTGATCTAATGACAGGTTTTGGGCAATCTCGACAATGACGGTCTGGATGGGGGTAGCTTCTGTCAACACAAGACGGTCGAAGCTGTCCATGGTCTCTGTGAAAATTGCATCTTGGTAGATGGCATTTCCAGAGATGACTGGCCTTAGAATTCGCTTCAGAGCCTGAAGAATCTCCAATCGTTGGGATGCCGAAGTTCCTTGATCAACCAAAGATTCGAAAGCCAGTCCGAACAAGACAAAGAAGAATGCCACCGGCTCTTCGCGGTAATTAATATCATGTCCTTTTCCTTCTTCCTTTTTAATGGCTTTTTCTTGCTTCTCCTCGGGTAGCTGCAATTTGCCATCTAAAGCATCGAAAACAAAGTCAATATCTTTCTCGACGAGCCCAGCAATTGCATCAACCAAGTATAACCACGTGTCTTGGTAGAACTGAATATATTATTAGCGTTCGCCGGATACAATAGGCAGATCAGGGCTTACCTTTAACAAAGTCTCACGATTCAACGCCGCATACACGTCATCCAGGTCACCGGTCAAGCTTGTCCCCAAGCTACCGGAGATATCTGGCTCAAAGCGCAATCGAGCATATTCTTGAAGAGAAGACAGCCATAGAGGTGTGAGTTTGGCAATATAAGGCTGGACCACCTGGGTCAAATACTCATGTTCGATGCTTGCGATCTGGAGCCGGGCCCAGGCCGAAAACAGAGCGAGTTTTACCATAACTCGAGCATTTGAGTTTAGACCCTTGAGGTCACCGATTTCAGTAGTCTCTGGGTTCTTCGCGAAGTTCTCCAGACCCAGCACCAAGAGCTTCAGGATTCTCCCCATACGATCGACATTTGTTACGATTCCTGTAGCAATGAAAGTCGCAGAAACATTTATGGCCTCTGATGCCAGCTCCGCGGAGGAATCGGCAGCAAAGGCAGGAGTAAGTGCAGACCCAATCTGAGCTTGATATTGCTCGAGGAGCGAGGCTTCAGCAAAGTCAGGATCCGGTGTCTTGCCGAACATTGTAAGAACTTGGTCGATGATCTTTAATCCCCATACGCGCAGCTCAATGACATTGGCGGTAGATGCTGAAAAGGCCATTCTCACAATATCTCCAACGTTCTTCTGGAGAGCCAACTCCGCTGGGATGGCAGAGTCTGGGAGGATCGCTTCTTGAACAGTAGCCAGAAGTTCGGAGAGACAGCTCATGGCAAAGTTGCGGGTCTGCCATTTCAATAATTCTTGGCCTGAGATGCTTTCGTTCGCAGCGTCACCTTGCCCTTCCCCAGCAGCCGAGGCAAAACCGGCAACCTCGTCATCGGGGATATCGGCAGCTGCAGCTTGAACAGCTGTGGTAGGCGCAGGTTCCACCTTGTGGCGTGTCTTGGTCATGATGTTCTGACAACGTTGGATCCACATCTCGGTTTCTGTCAAAGCAGTCTGCTGTAGCCAGTCCTGAATCATTGACTTGAGTGACTTGTTGTTCGGGGCTTCATCGAATGCGAGCCAGATGTCATCTTCCAAAGACTGACCCACCGTTTGCATCACAGACGATGCGTCTCGTTTCATGAGGTTGTTGAGTCCACGAACTGCTACATCTCGCATGAGGAAGTTACTTGCTCGAAGCTCGGTCTGCAGTCGCTTCACGTATGCCGCAATGTCGACATAACTGGAGGCATACATCGAGAAGTGGTCCAAGCATTTGGAACTTTCCGTCACTAACGCTGGGTTTTCCTCCAATTGGAACTGGCGAAGCAGGGTCAAAATGAGATTTCGCGTCTTTGCAATGTCTTGCAAGTCCGGCCCGAGAACATTGATGAGAGAGTCGACGCATCGACTGATCACGACAGGTGTCAAGAATGACATTTCAATGTTGGAGGTCGCCAACGCGGCCGCCTCCTCGTTGTGGGTATCAGCGTTGTAGAGTTGAGCAAGCATCCCCAAAGAGCCGGAGACGAAAGGCGAGAATGTCAACCCAGCGGAGTTGGCAACTCTCTCCAAGCCCCCAAGAGCCCAGAAATGGACAACGGGGTGAGGGTCATTACACAAAGACATCAAAACACCGACAATTGTTTTGAGGTGCAAACCAGCTGCCATTCCGCCAATCTGAGCATGGATACATCCAAGGGCAGCAGCACAGCCAGCTCTAGCGTTAGGCTCTCTGTTCTCGACAATGGTATCAACAAGCCAATTAACCATTGTATTGGTGCACCCGTTTCCAGCACTGTCGCAAAGTCGTCCAAGTGCCTCAACGCCGATTGTACGAACAACGGGATCGGCATCTATGACGAACTTTTGGAGAAGCTCTTGCAAAATCTTATCGGTTGACGGATTTAGCTTGCCAGGCACAAAGTCTGTCTCCTTGACAGCAACTTTCAGAGTATGTAAGAGGGCCACCGAGATGTTGACGACCAATGCTGCTTTCCTGCCGGGGTTTCTCTGTAGTCCGGGAGAAGTGAGGAATGTAGCGATCTGTTCCACACTGCTTTCCTGAATTTTGGACGAATGAAGGGCGAGGGCCACAGAGAACAAATCGATTGCCGAGTTGATAACTCCTGTTGTTGGTGGATCAACAGCAAGCTTATCTCCATCTCGCAAACTGTATAGAAGAACCGCGTCATGCTCGCTAGCTTGACAAATAGGAAAAGTTAAGGTGTCGTCCACAACTTGGTCCACGGAATCAAGCGCAGACCAGCCGGGGCTCTTGTCATCTTCCTGAATGCCAGACAGTGTAGCACGAAGATATTCTCGGGAGAGTCCAGTGACACCAAATCCATAGTTATCACATAGATCCCATAGGCCATCGAATTGTCCGGCCGAGCCTGAAATAGAGCTTTCTAGTTGCTTGTACTGGGCATCTGGGTCTGCGAATGAGGAAATAGCCAGGCTCAGAAGACTGGACTGGGAAATAATGTCCCCATGACTAGGTGGATGGACATGCACAAGCTTCGTGAAACACTGCAACACACGTCGGCGCACCATAGTTGAATAATCTTGCAACTGCAGGGATGGGTGCAGCCTTTGTGAAAGATCTTCCATAGCCTTCGGCTTAGGCAGGTTATCTAAGAATTCGACAGTATTTTGCAACATGGCAGCGATTCTCTTTGCACCATCTGATGTGATCAATTTGCTGTTGAACTCCATGAACACCAGCAACGAGCCCAGTGCACATTCCCGCACATGAGTCAGGAAACTGATCTCAACGGTACCTGGCTGGGCAGCGTTCTCTTTGCCAAGATGTTTGGGAAGTGCGTTCTTCCAGAGAAGCATCAATTGAGACAGATGGGTCTTGACAAAGCTGGGCCCAAGAGGCATCAGACCTCCGATCAGAATCCACGCCACCTGGATTTGAATGCTCGCAACCCGGAGCTCGGAAGTGCTGCTCGTCTTAAGAAGATCGGTTGCTTGGGTAAAGACGCGCGCAAAAACATCCACTGCTCCATACAGCGGTTGTAAACGAGAAGTACTGAGCATTGCAGATAATCCATTGGCATAGCCAACACACCGGCGAGGCGACTGGCGCGGTGTGCCTAGCTGTCCGATTTCCCTGTTCAAACTGTTCATGCAAATTGTCACACATGACAGCAGCTGATGGGGAGAGGCTAGGACGAAGTTTCGCAGACAATGCGCAACGTGAACTTGAACAGTGTAGCTAGGGTGAGGAAGGACTTGAAGTAGAGCATCTCGGCAGCTATCAGCCTGAGCGCTGAACGCGGAACCAAGCGATGAAATCAACGAGGACAGAGCGCTGACCGCACTCGTCAATGTATACTTGCTGGGCTCGCGACGTTCCTGGATAACCTGGGGGTAGTCCTTGAGGATATAGTTGATTATCCATGCTGCAGCATTGAGTTGACTGTTCTCGCGCAGCAATTCCTGGCCAATAGTATCCTCAAGAATACTCTTGATGAACTTCCTGGTCATGAGTAGGCGGAAGCGGTTGTATGTGACCGTCGGATGATTCAACAACTCGACAAGCAAGTTGGTTGCAATCTGCCCATAGCGCTCTTCGACAATCTTGTCTCCCAGGTTGCGCACAACATATTTGTAGCATATACAGATCCCAGCGCGTGAGCGATTCGAAGTGGTACTCTTCAAATATTGGGACGAAAGCTGCCTCAACAAGTCCGGAAGAAGGAAGTACAGACGCGAGTCGGTTTTCTTAGGGGCAGACGACTCTGACATCTCGGCCTCGTCCTCATCTCCAAGCCCCACACCAGGTTTCTTCGACATGCGCTTCGATTTCTTGGATTTCGGTTTCGGGGCGGTCGTAATGTGCGCGTCCGTAGCATGTAGATTAATCAGTGCTCGACCAAGAACTGCAGCTACGGCGTGCCGCACTGGCGCAGCGGGGCTGTCGATAACCTTCCATACAAGGGTTTTGAGGTGTTCGAAGTCATGTGCGTTATCGAAGAATGGTGTGGTGGCAACCAACTGCTCCAGGCAGCGGCATGCATTGACTTGGACGAAAGTGGATTTGTCGCTGATAGCAGCATTTCGGGCCTGCTTCCAGATGTCGCGGGCGGTTCCTTCATCGATGGGAACCCCAATCCCAACAACAATCTTGCGCATCACCGCAAAGAGAACTCCCCTAAGACCGGTATGGTTGCTTGCTGATTTCAGCAGTTTGAGTGCGCCCGAAGTCGCAACATTGGACTGCATGAACGCGCTCTCACCGGCTGTCGCAAAGACCTCCCCTAGACAATGCGCCGCAGCGAATTTGATCTTCAATTCGGCTTCACTCTTGCCAGCATTCACAATTTCCAGCAGGTCGGTGATTGTCTCGAAGAGGATCCCGCGATCCCCTTTGCTGAGTATTGCGCCAAAACATCGCCCTAGATTGTTGCGGAGGACCCGAGTGACAGTCGGTGAAGGGAGGTTCAATATCTTAAACAATTCCTTTTTCAGATCCTTCTGTTGCGATGTAACTTCCGCAGCTTCCAAGCCAGATATGTATTGTACGAGATCGGAGGTGAACGTAAGCATGTACAGTTCCTGCTGTTCGGAGGGGAGGGCGTGTAGTTTAGGGATGTCGAGCTCAGGGACCCCATTTTGTGGAGGGGAGGGTGCTGGAACTGTATCTGAGGAAGACATGAGATAGATTCAGGGTAAGTGTAGCCCCATAAACAAGAAAGAAAAAGAAAAAAGGTGGGAATATTTAGTTCATAGTGGTTGCGTCAACCCCATGTTCAGGTCTCCTTATCGTGTGGCCTCGCTGTCCGCGGAGATCGGATAAACAGCCGCCCGAAGGAATCTCAATGGAGATCGGATCTTCGTCTATAATATATGGAGAAGGAAAGGCATTATGGCTCTCAGGCTTAGCAGGCTGCTGCGGCAGCCCCGGTGGGTTGATTCTGCCTGTCATGAGTGTCGCTCCTTCAGCACCTCATTGGCCACCCTCTCTGGTCACAACAAATGGTCCACGATTAAGCATGACAAGGCCAGAAACGACAAGGCCAAGAGCAGGGAACGCCAAATAGTGGGAAAGGAAATTGCCAGCGCTACACAGAGTATGTATGGCCATTCAATTGTGCATATTTCATGTCCTAATACTATATTCTAGTGTGGGGACCCGACACGAAGTACAATCCTCGTCTAGCCCTCGCGCTATCGAATGCAAAACGTGCCTCCATTCCGAAAATCATCATCGAGGCAGCAATTGCTCGCGGACAAGGACTCAGTGTGTCAGGTCAAGCACTGGAATCTGTGACAATTGAGGCCATGCTGCCTGGCTCGGTGGCTGCGGTTGTGGAGTGTCAAACAGATCAGAAGGCGCGCGTACTACAGGACGTTCGCTATATGATAAAAGACAATGGAGGAATCGTCACCCCGACTACATTCCTCTTTGAGAGGAAGGGGAGGGTCGTCATGGAGAAGAAAGATGATGCGAATGTAGACGACTACTTGGACCAGGCGATCGAAGCAGGAGCGGCGGATATCACCACCGATGAGAAGGGCCGCCTCGTGATCTTGACCGATCCGTCAGAGACGAAAACGGTAGGCGAGACATTTGCGAAACTGTCAGGTCTCAGCATTGAGGAATTGGAGATCTTCTGGGATCCCAACAGGGATAGCATGGTCGAAGTCAAAGATGAGGAACAGGTGAAAGATCTTGAGGATCTCCTGAGTGCTCTGCGAGAGGATCCCAGTGTTCAAGATATATATCTGAACTCGATAGAGAAGTTCTGACCTCTTCGACGCCATGCTGCAGTCTGTCTGAAACCGAGACTGTCTCATATAAAGGGCCGAGCATGTACAATATGTATTATACCGATACCAAGCATTTCAAGCGGCGTTATGGGAACTTTCATTTCTAGAACTGATGTCAGGTCTCACCCGACTATTATTATTACTCTTTGCGCAAGGCCTTCATTGTGCTTCTCATCAGAATGCCAGTACCCCGGCATCCAATTGCATCCAACCAGTCCAGCATATGTACACGGTACTCCTGCCATGTAATCTTAGCACCACCATCCTTCTCCAGTGCCTGTAGCACTTTCTGAGTGACCGGTTTTCTCAATTTCGGGCGGTGGTCCGCGACCTGCTGGTCCGCTTCCAGATCCGCAAAGCAAGCTGCAGACAGGTTGCAGAATGCAGCGTGGTGGCTGAGAGAGAATATCGACGTAAGATTAATGTGGAATGCGCTCTCGCGGTCATAATGTCTGGCTACCTCGGACAGGTCCTTGATATAGTTTGTCAGAGCAGTAGCAGTCGGTGCTGGGACGAGACAGCCTAGCGCATTCGGGTCTTCGGTGTTAAGTGCACGGTTGCGCCATAGCACATTACACATGTCCATAACATACCCGTTGAACCGACCAACGAGATCTGTTCCATAAGCCGGCGAGTTTTGTGCTTGGAGAACTTGGGAATTCAGAGAGGCCTCGAATGCAGATTTGTAGACGGCTAAGATAGAGTTGAGGGTTGAGATCACAGCGACACTGGGTGTGAAGGCGAGTGTATATACGGTTTGCGCGTGCGGAAGTGTGAGGCGGAAACGGGTGTCTTGGGGGGCGTGAGAAAAGAGTTCTGACAGGGTTCTGTAGAAGTCAAGCACAGAGACTGTAGCTGGCTTGGACTTTTTATCCTCTTCCTCCACCGAGAACTCCAGAACCGAAGATGCTAGGAGCTCGGCGTGCACGATTATTTGACTCAGAGGGACTGATTCTTCTGTTGTATCTGACTGTGATCGAATTTTCACACCCCATTGGCTGATCAACGCCGAGTAGAAACCCAGCAATGCTGTTCTGGAACGGAGACTCTCATCCAACACAGCTGACTCCAATGGTGACAATAATTCACTCCGAAGAGACCCGAAAGATTCGATTGGGATGTACTGGAGAAGTCGGAAGATGTGGTCACGATTATCCTTGCCATTCCACATTTGCAGATAAGACTTCAAAAAGGAACGTATCGAGGACGGGAGGTCCTAATGTTTTGTTAGTATCTGAGTTGATAGTGATCTATCCGAAGAGCTCACCTTGGTATAGGACGCATATCCTACAACAAAATCCAGCACATATGATAATGTCTCGGGCTCATCATCTTCATCCTCATGGAGCGTCTCCAACTTATCCTCCAGGAAACTTCTCAGCCATTCATTTAGACGATCATGTGCGAGTTCGGATTGGACCAGATGAAGATACTTCTGAGCCATTGCATCGCCCAAAGTCGATATAATCTGATTTGGTAACTCGATCTTGTCAAGCTTCTCGACGAAATGTCCCACGTCACGCAGCTCCTCCAGGGATGTATGCCTATGGGATACCCGTGAAGTTTGTAGAGTCGGAATAACCACTTCAATTCTACTTCTTTTCATAGTCCCCCGATGAAGGACTTGGAAACTCGATCCCTGGCCGGCCTGTACTCTTTCCATATTCTGATCTTGAAGCACCTTCACATGGCTTGACCACTCGGGGTCTGGATGTTTGAAGAAGAGGGCATTCCTTCTCGATCCTCCAAACTCACCGAGAATGATCTCAGGGTAATAATTCTTGAAAATCCTCAAAAGGCTGATAAGCTCTTTGTCTTCTTCACCAGCAGTCTGAGTCAACTCCATCAAGGCTTGAATCCGGAATGGCTTGACATGTTTTCGTCTTGTGATGAGCGAGAGAAGGTGACACAGTGGTTTCCGCAAACTAATCATGTCCAAATGGTTGAAAAGAACGGCATAAAGTTTGGCGAGATGCGTCCTATCTTCGAAAATATCATACGCAAGAATCAACCAGCGCAATAACAGAGCCTGTGTGGCGGGGCTTGGTTTGTTCTTGCTGGGCCCAAGACAGCACACCACTTGAGTGACATTCTTGGACGCGATTCTCTCCTGGGGATACAGGTTTTTGATCAGCGTTGTAACTGTGCCCTGGTCCAGGTTATTTTTCGTGGTCAGAATCTTCAGGAGACGGGCCAGCACGGGTGGCGGAATGCCGCTCTCGTACGCGTTTGAAGCGATTGTTTTGGCTAGCAGACTGGCATCTGTGTATCTCTGTTTGGGCGGGACGAATGCAACTACCGGATCGCATTAGTAACATGTTTTGCCGTCTCAAGAAGCTTTTTGGCCATACCGGCTTCCAAGTGCTCGACCGCATCAAGCAGGCCGCTTGGTTGGTTGCTACCTGAAGAATTGTTAGCATTATTCAATTGGAAGGCTACAAACACGGATTACCTGTCTCAGTATCCATTCTACACGAATTCTATTACAGATTTCCCCACAATTGGTGTGTCGTCGAGAATGATAGAATGTAGTTTGCTTTGGGATGGTGGTATTGGCGCGTAGTTGCGCGATACCGCGCTTCGTCTTCAATTACGCGTGTCGAAAATGCAACAAAGATGTTTCGTCGAGTACAATTTCTTGCGATGATTTTGAAACCAATAGAGGCAAAGCAATGAAAGTTTTTGGTGCAGATCCAATGGCAGTTGCATAGAAGAACGAGTGGGCGCGAAGATGCAAAAATGGCGTTAAACCCAATCGGGTAACCATCAACAACGGCTTCTACCTTCATCTATTATTGTTCGTCTGATCATATTATGTTACTTGTCTCGTCTACTTTCATAATGCTGGATAAGTGAAGCTCAGAACTATAAAGTGATTTTCTTGAGGAGTCCTAATTAAAAGAATCGGAATTAAACATTGCTTGCTACAACATCGTAATAATTATGATCCAATGCTCACCAGCATCATGCCAAAAGTAGTGAAATCGAGTGATTTGCTACGTATGGAAAATGATTTATCCCAGGTTCATCGCCCTATTGGCCGACAAGACCTGCATCTAAGCCGTCGTTCATTTCCTCTTGCGAGTAGACGCCTTGGAAGTAGTCTTGGAAGAGGATTGGGTAGCCACTTCCTCCTTCTTCTCGCCCTCGATGGCAGGAGTAGGCGCCTCCTCCTCGTCACTGTCACCTCCCTGGCCGAACTCGTTGACGCGCTTGTAGTCGACCTTGTACTTCCAGCCCTGGTAGAGCCAGACGAAGAAGATGACGTCATCGCGGAGAGTAGCCAGGCGGTGGAGCCAGGGCATCTTGACGGTAAAGGCGAAGAGATCGTCGATGAAGGTGTTCAGGAACTTGTAGGTCAACGCCTTGCCGGGCATGTGGGCAACAGACTTCAACCGGTAGTTGATGTAGAGACTGGGGACCATCATAAGGAAGCCGTAGGCGTAGACACTGCCCACCAGGGTCTGGATAACGTAAGAGTACCACGACTTGTGGGTGTTGTAGACCAGACTGTACGCGGCGTATGCGAGCAGAAGGGGAACAGCCAAGATGTACAAGTAGCGGAACGCAATTTCATCGTACTCCTTGGTCTTTTCCTCGGTCTCGCTAAGCTTGTGCTTGTCCTCGAAGACAATTACATAGGGCAAGAACGACAACCAAGAGTTGGCTGGCGGCGGGCGCAAGCGAACGTCGACGGTCTTGGTGATCTTCCAGAATTCCAGAAGGATACCAAATCCTTGACTAGCCAGGATCATCCAAGAGGTGTTGTCGCTGTTGTCCATGAGGTAGAGGAAGATGACAGCCTGCATGAAGACGTTTGCCAGGATTGTCCGAACTGAGGTACCAACAATGTCCTTCTTCTTACGCCAGTGGGCCTAGAAAGTGATAATGTTAGTGATGCTAGAAACTACACGTTTAAATGGTGAGATATCACTTACAATATCGTTCTTGAAGGCCAAAGTCTCAAACAACATATGGAAGACAGTGACCACACCCGTGGTGCAGAGGAGCCAAATGTTCGTATCCAAGAGAATCTCCTTCACCATCTCCCACTCGGTTCCATCTCCACCACCGGGAGCAGGCTTGCCGTAGGCAGCCTGGCGAGAACTTTGCTTCGAGCCTTCATCAACACTGCTGAGGATGCTGAACTTCCAGTTCGCCATGTTGTTGAGAGTAATATGCAACGGCACGGTCTCGACGGTAGAGTTCAACTCGGTCATGTGGGTCTTCAGTTGCCAAAAAGTGTTGAAGAAAGCGATCGGGTAGTACCATCCATTCTTTCCACTGGCATCGCGGGCACCAGTCCGCTCCAGCTGTACATACTGGCGAGCCGCGGGGTTCATCTGGGCCAATTTCTGAGTTCCGGAGTCTGGAATCAGGGACAGGGTGAAGTTGGGGTGGTAGTATGACATAGTTGAAATATCCGGGGTGTTGTCTTCCTCCTGGTCATGTTCATCCTCGGGGCCCGACAGAAGATTCTTCAGCTTCTTGACCTTCTTCTTAGGAAGGTACTGGTTCAGAGGTCGGAGGAAGTGGACTGCATCAGCGGTGTTGTAGCCCTTAGCGGCGGGGTCTAACGGGTATCCGGTGCGAGCCAAAAAGAAGTGAGCCCAGAGAGTTCCATTCTGTTGGACCTGCTTTGGGACCTTGATGGTGGTGTCGATTTCGCGGGTGTCACTGTAGTTTCCAATTGTGAAGTTCTTCTCGTCCACCACAAGAATACTGTCCGGTGACTTGAAGTTGGGCACAATGATAGACGGGGTTACATAAACGCTGAGATCGACAGCGCTGTCGGAGGGCCAGATAGGGGCGATGACCTCGGGGAGAGCACTGTGTTCGGCGACTTCGCTAGGATCGGGGCGATCGGCAAAGGCGGGGATGCCACCAGAATTCACGCTGGGAGAGTCCGTCTTATCCTTATTTCCCATGTACTGGCTGATGGCAAATTGGGCCAACAAGAAGATTCCAAGACCCTGAAGGGCCCCCTTGAAGCCCGACTAAAGGAGGTCAGTAAATTCAACACAACAACACTGAATCAGCAACACATACGCTGGACTCCTCCTGTCTGCGTGGCCTCTGTTCCGACATGATGGATGAAGAAAGGAAGAGAAGAAGCCGAAAGGCCAGCTAACGTGGGCGATTAGCACGCGATTAGATCGAGGCCCGGGAACTTGCGCGGTCTTGGCGTTTGTCTTCCGACCCTCCGGGCATCTTCCATTCTTATACTTGTTTGCTATTAAGCAGCTTTGAAATTGCAATCGCGTGATGGATAGCGCGTTCGGCTCTTGCCGTTGACCCTCATGGACAATAACCCCCCTTTTGATGCCCGCGCGCAATTCCCGTCGCATAATGAGCCTCGAGTATGGCTGATTACCGCAGGGGATTCGCCTATTGGCCTCTCAGTCGCGCGGCAGGTCCTTGCGCATGGAGATTATGCATTTCTTGGACTAGCACATTCAGCTTTGGAACGCGATGAACGTCGCCGTGATGAATTTGATGCTTTTCTCGCTGAGGTGGAGCACCACGGTGATGGCTGGGCACAGCGCATGAAGACAGTTCCGCTAGATATCCGGTGCGCGACATGAAAGCAGCCAAATTAGTTATGGATTTTGATCTTAATGACTGACGGTTTTCCGACACAGGATGATGGGAGAGTGCCAGGCAGTCGTGGCAGATGCTGTCGCAACATTTGGAAGAGTAGATATACTTCTATGCTGTACAAGTCAAGGTGACTCTCCATTCTTGAATGTACCTTTGAACAGTATACTGACCTACTTCCAAGCCCTTATTGGAACAGTTGAGGAACTTTCCGCTTCAACTCAAACCATGAATCTCGTACGCGATCAATTCGAGGTTAACTATTTTGGCCCCCTCAATATCATCAAGGCCACACTCCCCCATATGAGGAAAGAGCGAGCGGGGCATGTAATGATAATATCAGGGATCAGTAAGAAAAATATATCTCCCAGTGCTTGGATATTTGTCTGACGATATACAGCGGCGCATATCGGTACACCCGGGCTAGGAATGTACTGCGCAGCAGGCTGGGCCCTTGAAGGATTCTGTGATGTCAGTCTCTCTATGCGCATTTGCTTAAATGATCACCATTGCAGAAACTAACCAGCTTTACAGAGCTTGGCTTACGAAATTGCCCCATTCAACGTCAAACTCACTATCTTCCAATGCAGCATCGAAATTGGCATTCTTACCAACCTAGTAACCAGCGTTCCTCCAATCTTCCCGGCCTATTCACCCGCCAACAATCAAGCGCCTCTCTTCCGCGGGATTCTAAACCATCTTGTCCCCCAACTTCCCGGTGCTTCTATCTCATCTGACAGTCCAGTCACACCCAGTCGAGCAAACGATGAAAACGCCCGAGTCAGCTCCATTGAAAACGGTCCATTCTCCGCTCCAGAGGTTGTCTCCATGCACCCGCCATTAAGCTCCGCACATCTTGAAGTGCTGGTCTCTGAAACAGTCTATGCCATTACATCAATTGGCGGCCATGAAAACCCTCCTTCGCGACATATTGTTGGACAAGAAGGTGTTGCAAGTGTCAAGGAGAAGCTCAAGACTGTGAGTGAAGAGCTCGAAGACTTCATACAGGCCAGCTTTGCTGTTGATGTTGCCGCGGACTCGGATCCTATGCCCGCTATATCTGGAATGAATGACGGGCCTTAGTAGATAGTATCAGCCTGCAATTATATTTCTCTTTCGATTAACCAACGAGCTCTGGGTTTTGATAACTACACACGTAATTTTCATTCTACGTCGCCGTCAACTTATATCACTCCAAAAATCGAGAGTCCAGTCTGTTTAACAATGCTCACTAATCCTACCATGCCGTCCAATGGTTTAAACAAGAAAAGCGAGAAAAGATTCCGCGAAAGATGAAAGATTTGCTAGGGGCAATAGGGCTTGGCGGATACAACTGAGTCCAAGACTAAGTCTCTATTTCCTAAACAGGCATTCTGAGCAGAGGTGCTTCCTGGTCAGGTATGGTTTAAGAGGAGATGCTATGTACATGTATCCTCAATCACATATTTCAGAAATATTCTTCAAATGCAGCTTTCCTAAATTTGCAATTCCCTGCTCTGTCAAATATGTATATATACAACTCGATTGTATATTTAAGTTCTTTGACTCTTGACCCTAGAGAATTATTTGTTACCAAGGATAGGACATCCATAGATGTGATCATTCTCCTCGATACCTACTTGTACTATGAAAGCAGAGGACACATCCATTGCGAAGGATGACCGCCCTGATAGCGAGAACATTCTGACGCAAGTTCCAACCAAGTCCGTATTCGAAATCAAGTAATCTTTCTAGGGAGCTGGGATCAAGGAGCTGGACGTCCTCTTTTTGCGATGAAATATCTGCTACTTCCTCTCTCCATGCGTGGCTTGTCTTACCTTTCCATACATCATGAGCGAGATCTTTTCGGTCCGGGAATAGAAGAGAAGTTCGCTGAGGGCTTATTAGCACGAGGCAAAAGGACAAATGGAACCGGAATAGCTCAATCCCACCAGGAAGTCCAATCTCGTACCCAGGGTAGGCAATTGGATAAGAAGGGCTTGCGCAGCAGCTCTGCATTGCTCGAGCTCAAACTTAACCCTCCACACGAGAACGAAGTTGTGTTCCAAGAATCGGGAAACCCCTAGATCCAATGGATTCAACTCTTGATCCATTGAAAAGCCTGCAAACACGTAAAGCAGAGTAACGCTGATATTATCACAGCTTGTTAACTTAGTAAATGGGACCGCCGCAATTAATGTATTCAGTGAGTCGGCCCCCATTGTAAGTCAGCTACCACCTCTAGAACACATAGAAAATGAAATATCTATAAGTTAATACCTTAACAAGGTTGATATGGGAATACTTTCCATACAGCCTAGGCCTGTAAGTTCACTGTATCAACAATGAAATGCAACCCCTTGCTGCCTGTTTATATGAATGTTGCAGGTGTAATTTGTCTCATTTACCTAGGCCAGAGCTATGCCTGTGCCACGTGGCTGAGGCAGAGATGTGAATGGAAATAGAAATGATGTCATATAACATTTTTGTGGCCGTGAGTTATCCATCCCTTTAAGCTTACTTGATATGATCCACTCGTCTGGGTTTTCCATAAGTGATATCTCAGATAAAGATCCACAGTTGTTGCCTATTAATCAATTGGCAAAAAATAGTCGTACATAGGCTTGTATAGGCTCCTAGGACGTCAAGGTTCTTCGTTTTCCAATATTCTAGTCATGAGAGAAGAAAAGCCAGCTCGATCCATTATTGGGACTTAAGTGACATGATTGCTTATCCTCACCTCAGTCTGGATATGGCCGACTACTCTGGGAGGACAGCTTTACTATTATATGGCGCCACTGGGATTCATCTTTCGAAGGATTACTGGCTGAACAATCTAGAAAGGAATTGAGCATTGTGGGCTTGACAGGCCACATAGCGCGAGATATCGCAGAGGATCGTGGCCGTATGCAAATTCAAATTCATACAAAATTGAGTCAATTCCTTCTTTAACGCTATTCTCCGCTATACGGTCTTGTCTGCCGTGGGAACGAGCGGACGTTGCACTCTGGCTCCCAATATGGCCACATTATCAGTTGAGACCATTCCTTCTAATTGCCATGACTGATGCCTGCCATAATCCTCGGCGAATTTCAGGAATTAAAGTATGTTTTGTACTAATCATTAGCGATCATGGTCCTCAAAGTGAGTGTGAGTTGTCCAACATATGCGCAGTCAGAATCCCAGTGCCAACAGGAATGGACGTCGCTTTAACACTAGCGAATAGGGTATTTAAAACACACATCTTTTCGTGCTGCCGCCCGGAAGGCATGTTGTCCGCCTTATCCATTGCCATATCAAAAGCTAGGGATAGATATCGAAGAACAGAAACCCTCGTCATGAGAAATGCTCAGGTTGACCCCTTGCACGTATTTATCTTATGCATATGAGTAATTGCAGATAATTTGAATTTCTCCTGTTGTCTTCCTTCCCATTGTGACATGTCGACTTCTTCAAATTCAACCTGTCTCTCAGGGGAACGAGCAATTCCTTTGACCACAAACATTTCATGCCTGGATGGGTTCTTCTGTAAGAACAATCGTACGTTTCTATTTCAGAGCTGACAGTACAAAAAGGTCCCAATAACAACGCGGAACATCCTCCAGAATATTGCCCACCAACTCCAGAATGTCAATTGAGACGACTCCAAGAGTCTAACAGCATTTGTGATCAGCCTCAGGGAGAATATGAGCCCGCTATTTGTAAGGCTGGATCATACTGTCCGCCTGGAGGCCAGAGTCAGGTCAAGTGTCCTAACCACCACTTTTGTCCCTGGGGCTCTGTGAAGCCAACCCGTTGTATTTCCCTATCTGCCTGTCCAGAAGGAAGTTCCCTGGAGGTTCCATTGATTGGTTTCGTATGTGTTTTGCTCTTGGATCTCTTTCTGGTCGCCATTGCGACAGGACTTTTGCCTCAATTTTCCGTATTCGGACACTGGGTCACAAGAGCTAAACTGAGTTGGCCGATTCGAGGAAGACAAGGAAAAAAGAATCCAGATTCAGAGAATTGCACGCGCACACATGAGCCTTGCAGTGTGATGGACCGGTTTTTCGAGAACTTCCTGCATATTATTCCTGCAAGACCAGAAATTGAGATCGCATTTCAGGGTGTTAGCAAGCGACTAAAAGGGTCGAAATATGACATCCTTCGTCCACAGAATGGGAGGGTTCGGGCTGGAAGATTTCTCGGGCTGATGGGACCCTCAGGCGCTGGGAAATGTTAGTTTTTGGGTTCTGGAACGAGCTCCTGGATGGGTGCTGATTTTATACAGCTACCCTGCTAGACATCCTCACTGGACGCATCAATCCAACTACAGGGGCCTTATATATAAATGGGCATAAAGTACATTGTACCGAGTATGACATTCAGTTCCTGAAGGTTGTTTGAATAATATTGACTTGAGCGCGTCAGACTTAGGGACCTGGTTGGATACGTTCCGCAGAATGATACTCTTCTCGCGGATTTGACTATCCGAGAAACGCTTCTTTTCTCAGCTCGCATCCGGATTGGCAACTCATGCAGTTCCAAGGACCTCGCAATGTTTGTGGATAGTCTGATTGCTGCTCTGGGGCTCGAAAAAGTTCGATTTCAAAGGGTGGGGGATGCTTCGAAGAGGTCACTGTCCGGGGGAGAACGGAAGCGTGTTAATATTGGGTTGGAATTGGTCGCAGCACCCCAAGTTTTGGTTTTGGATGAACCAACATCAGGCTTGGATGCTAAAACAGCCCTCGATCTAATGGAGCTCCTAAAGAGTTTGGCTAGTAACGGCACCATTATTATTTGCGCGCTCCACCAACCGAGGACCGAAATATTTGCTCTTCTTGACGATTTGTTGCTTCTACAAGCTGGTCAACAGATGTACTTTGGCTGCACAGCAGAAGCCCTGCAACACTTGGAAGCATCCGAGAGAGGGTCGTATTTGAGTCCGAATCCAGCTGATATGATCATGGATGCTCTCGCAAGTGGCTATTATCATTGCCAGTCACCATCCACTCTCCTCGACAGAAGGGAAAGCATCCGCGAACCACAAGAAGTCAATAAAAGACATGATGATGCAAAGGCTTCTGTCAAGTTATCTCTAAGTTCCATTCGACTACGACGAGCATCGTGGCATAAGCAAGTCGTTTTCGTCTTCGTCCGAGGTATGACTCAACAATGTAGACAAACCAGCAGTCTCCTACTCGAGATGATTTCAGGGACGATCATCGGCATTTTCATTGGTTTATCCAATTACGAATTTCGAGGACACCTTTTCCAGGGGCTTTTTCAATCGCCTTTCGAATCCCTCTCGTCTGCAGTAAGCTATCGGCTACTGGCGGAACAATCCCTCCTCTCTTGTCTTGCAATAGGTAAGTGGGATATGCGTTACATGAGATGGTGGGAGCCATTGTCTAAGATCATATCACTGAATTTGCAACGCAGCTTGTATCGCTGGACCGGCAGGTGTGAAAACGTTCGGGGACGAGAGTAAGTCAGGACTTGTCCGATTTATATTCTGATCTACGCAGTAGCTAATAATGCCGATTTACCTGTCTGCTAGAATTGGTCTTCTATCGAGAATCTCAGGCCGGCCATTCTGAAAGTGCTTATTTTTTGGGAAAAGTTATTTCCACCTTTCCACGGATCGTTCTGTCCGCGATTCACTATACAACCTTCTTCATGGTACTCACAACCCCGATTATTTCTTTCAATCTCCAATTGGCTCTCAACTTCTTGTATTTCTACTGTGAGTGTCATGTTTCTATTTCTTTTGTGCTGGAGCATATTGGTTGATTTATCTTTCCGTCTTAAAGGTATATATGGTCTCGGATGCATTGTTGCGGCCATCACACGACCACGCGATGGACCCTTAATGGCCATGCTAATCAGTTTGATAATATCTGCAATGTCTGGTTGTGGACCTCGCCTAGTGTCCGTCAAAACGTGGCACTTAGAATGGTTTTGGTATATCTGGCCCGCGGTAAGTCTTTCTACAGTCTCTTGGGTGGATTGGCTTTATCTGATCATATTTGTTACCATATCTAGTTATGGTACTCGGAGGCCAATTTCAACGAGAATACAGCCCCGTTAGCTCACTTGTACAACGTCCAAGCTGGAGCGGATACAATGGGGTACACGACTGGCAGAACTGTCTACGATATTGGGTATGTTATCACGCTCTTGTATTGGCTTCCTGATTCATGCCAAGTATATATTTACTAACAAAAGATCGTATAACCAGGATTCTAATAATAATTGGTTCTGTATATCGGCTAATTTCTTTCTGTCTGTTGGTGTTCTTTCCATGGAGACAACCTGGGTAATCAGATAGTGGCTTACCTCATGGTATACGAATATTGGGAGCAACAGAACGGAAATTAACTTTCACAAATTGTGCCCCTTTGCTGGTCCTTGCTATCATGGTGCAAGCCCGCAAACCCCGATGAAAGCCTGTTAGGTCGTGTGAGCTAGACTCTATATTTCTGCTATAGCCCGATGTTGATGCTGTTATATGTAGCTCATCGAACTATTGCTTCTTTTTTATGAACCTATATCCAGCCTGGCCATAGATTCTTCTTGCCGGCCCTCAATATATTCATGCCGAAGGCCGCACCCTGACAATCAGGAAGCTGATGCTAGCCCACACAGCCATAACCAAACCAATAGTTGAGTGGTTCAAAAAAATGTGGACCAATATATTTCTATACTATATTTTCCTAGACTGTTGCGGCTCAACGCTACTGTTTGGTTTCCAAGTCCACGTCAATTGGCCCATGTAGTCACTTTGCCGTCTCACGCGAGCAATTGCTGCAGCTGTTCAACCATCGGAGATGCAATAATTGATATATTTGTCATGTTTATTCGTATCTGCAGTAAATGCTAGTTTTCCTAGGGCACTGAGCAAAACGTACTCCGTGGTGTTCACCTTTGAAGTGTGACGGACTACATGTTTAGGTAGATCCCGTTAATCAAGTAATTAAAGATGGAGATGGGAAGATGCGATTTAGGAGGAAAGGCTCAGAGCTCCTATTGGTACTGAACTTTGGAGTTTCAGTGGTCTCTTCAGCCATATATTTGTTTCCAGCCCGCATCATTTTCTAGCCGTCCTCGAGGCGGACGCCACGGCGAGGTAATCATCCTCCGATGCAGGAGGGGCATCAGTGTACTGCAATCTGCATTATCGGCCTCCCGCCACCTAAGCAGGAACAGACTTGGGGAACTCGTATTTTGGATCCCTAGTAAGAGACTTGGTACTATGGCAGTGGTGCAAGCGCAGGTAAGCATAGGATGCTTATTCTTCTCCTCATGATGCTTAATAGTACAATCCGATGAAAGGTTTTGTTGATAACATTAGTGAGGATAATGCTATTCACCAATCAGTTCATTGTAAAAATAAACACAGCTCTCCATATTTGCGAACGTAGTATAACACTTTACAGGTAGGTATAATTACGCTATTTTCGAAGATGATTGAATCAGGAAATAAACCAATTGCGCAGAATCTTGCCATCAAATGTCCCACAACAATTGCACTTCGTTCCACTATAGATAGACATCATCTAAATAGACTTTTTGCTGGTTACTTTACCGAAGTTGCGATAGAATATCCATACAATCAGAAAGACCAACCAACTCTTACTCGCAAAGTGGTCCATAACGAAGCGGATTTGCTCGGTTCTTTCCTGTAGCCGATTGTCCCGATGGACCGATGTGAATAGCTGAAGATCTGAAAGTTCTTCGCTTGAGAGTGTCGTGCTCAGGGTAACGGTTCGATCTTCCAAGAAGCTGAACGAAGTCCCCAAAATTATATAAAAGCGACATATTTGATGCTGACGTGCAGACTTCCAATCCTCCACCACCCATTCAGGGTGCAGCGTCCACGGGATCTGGCGAAGCTTCATAGCCGACTGCTGCCACTCACGAATATCGATTCGAGCTCTCTTACCACTCACAGCATGGACGCAGCCAACCGATCCGATAGCCAGATGGCTTATCAAACGATCAACAACAACATCAACGGGAACCTCATCCAGGTTAATATGGTCATCCGGGCTTGTAAAACGGGATGCAGCTCGAAATGTCCAAGATGGAGTCAGTGCTAGTGCCGCCGCCAAGATCGTTGATGGAGTTGACATCGGCAGACTATACCCTGGAAATGGGTACTTCTGTGCAGGCCCGATAACCGAGGGGCGCAAAATAAGAAGTTTATGCTCGACGCCGTGATAGACGAACAAGTGTGAAAGCAGTCGCTCGGTCAGGTTCTTAGCATAAGCATATGCCCATGGAAAATCTTCCGCTTCATAAGCCTGACTTGTACCGTTCTGTTGGACCTCGTCCCACTCAGAAGTAGCGGTACTTCCTTTTCCTGGGGCGTAAAATTCCTCCTTGATTTCGACATCGGCCGCCACATTGCGAGGATAGAGATGGCTATTTGCATATGCCGAAGAAACATAGACAAAGCGATCGAGGAGCTTACAAGTCAATGCAAATCTTGCAACTGTCTCGCTTGCTCTGATAACTGTCGGTACCAAGCTTGGCAGACCTTTAGATAGGTTGATTGAGGATGCGGCGTGGATGACGATTTGAGCGTTTTGCCGGATGAGATCTTGCTCCGGACCTGATAGCCCCATTTCTGGCAGGACAATATCTCCATCGAGTACAGTCAAACGATGTGATTTGCATAGCTCATCTGCTATTTCAGGTGGCAATGATTTCCTCCATGTAGCAAGTAGCCTTCTATGGGTGCTATATTAGTGCCCATGCTTTTCAAGATATATATCATATGAGAATACTGATATACTTACTTGCGACCTCCTCTGCTAAGCAAGTAAATGGTTGACACAGTCGTACGTGTCAGCAGCCGATAGACGATGGCTGTACCTAAAAACCCAGATCCACCCGTTACCAAAGCAGACTTATTGTGATAGTATTCCCACATATTTGAAATATCAGCTTGCCAAGTAGGTCAAAGAGGGTGCTTATCCGCAAGAGATTTGTTGCTGGTGGTGAGGCGTGATTTGCTAAATGTGAGTTCGCAATATATCTAATATAGGCGGAAGACGAATTGCTGGGAGTTTAAATAAAGGATCCATCTCGACCTGATCTTGTGTTACTCATCAAGATAGCCAGGTTTTTTCTTGATAGGACGCGCATTGTCTCAAATCGGTCCAGCTTGATTGTGGCCCTTGGCAACGTGTGACGTACTTCGACAGCGCCATCTCGTCATTGTACTTAGTATACCTCCTAGCTGCCTGGGTATAATGCCTCAGGAATGGGTCATGTATGATCTGCAAAGATGGTGGTTCTTATTAGAGCAATGTGACAAGGGGCATTGGCTCAAATAACTCCTACCTCGGCCTTGAATTGGTTTCATTCTTAGATTTTGACATATTCTCGCCTCCTCAAAGTCAAGTGGCTCGGATTCTATTTCCGATATCTCCTTGCTGAGATTGTCTTAATGTCATCTGGTCAATAGTATTCCTTCTCTAGAGCTAAATAAAACAACAAAGATGATTAAAATTAAGATGGGTTGATTGGGAGTTTGCATGCTACAAAAGCAGTTCCCTTTCTTTGCATCTCTCGTGGAAATATGAACTTTTAGATACGAGGGTAGGTCAACGAGAGAGGCCATATTATAATGTCTCAATCAGCATTCCCAACATTTCGAGAGGTGAGACAACAGTTAAGGAGACATTTAATTGACCTGTAGCACGTCAAGGAAATCCATCCCGTTCAACAGCCATTTTTATTGTTGACGTTACATCACAATTCAGCGTCTCAGATCATCAAGGGTCATACATAAGTAGCGTTTAATGGCTCTGTATGACTCTGCTCATAGCTATCTCGTTTTGCTTCGATTTTTCTTTGCTTTTTGGGCCGGGTTCGAAGCAAAATTGCGTCATGTCATCAAAACAATCGCATGAGGCACAGTCGAGCACTGCAATACATCGAAACTCCGCAAAAGCCCGCGGTGTCTCTCTGCTATGTTCAGGAAAGACCATCGGGCGTTCCGGTCTACAGTTGAAGAATACTTCAAACACTGGGATGATAGGAAACCCCGCGATGAAACTGCGAAGGATAGACTGGTATGTTATGAATGACTAATGATCAAACTTGATGGTACCTAGCTAATTGGGTCAGGATCGATTGACTTCCTATGCGGCATTGTCACAACAGTAAGTGATTCTTTTTCTAGAAAAAAGGGCCAAAACTAGCATCGTCCGTTCATTCCTCCCCTACGGGGCGAAAGCTGACATCGATAATCTCAGATATTATGACCTTGTGACCGATTGTTTTGAGCATGCGTGGGGCAGGTCGTTCCATTTTTGTCGGGTTGCCTACGGCGAGCCATTTAGCCAGGCCACGGTTCGTCACGAGCACTTTCTAGCTCACAAATTGGGGCTCCAAGAAACTCAAAGTGTGCTTGACGTTGGCTGTGGCGTTGGTGGTCCTGCTCGCGAAATTGCCAGGTTCACTGGTGCCAGCATCATTGGCCTCAACAACAATGATTACCAGATCGAACGAGCACATCAATATACCGTCATGGATGACCTCAGCCATAAAGTCAGGTTTGTCAAAGGGGACTTTATGCAGATGCAGTTTGAGCATAGCTCTTTTGATGCCGCTTATTCAATAGAGGGCACGTCATACGCACCCGATTTGGCATTGGCCTACGCAGAAATCTTCAAGGTCCTGAAGCCAGGCGGAGCCTTTGCTGTCTATGAGATGGTCTTGACGGATTCATACGACGATCACAACTTGGAACATCGTGAAATTCGCTTCAATCTCGAGAAAGGCTTGGGTCTATCAAACCTTGCACAGGCTTCTGGCGCAATCAACACAATTAAAGCTGCTGGCTTTGATCTGGAAGCTGCTCATGACCTGGCTGAGCTTCCACACCAAGTACCTTGGTATTACCACACAGCTGGCTCGTTCAAGAACCTGAATTCCGCCTGGGACATCACGAGGATTGCTCAAATGATGTTACTACGTTGTGGTATTTATGGTAGTGTTTTTGGAACACTGGAAAAGCTTCGTATCGTACCTCAGGGCGCCAGAAGGATTGGAGACAACCTAGCTCTAATGGTTGATTCCGTTACTCGGGCCGGCGAAATGAAGCTGTTCACACCATTATTCATGATGGTAGCCAAGAAACCATTGAAATAAAAAGCAAACCTTCCGCCACTCGCCCACTGCTTGCAAACTTTCCCACCTAGCCTGTGATCCTATCGCCTTTTTGACATGATAGATTCTCCATCAAGCAAAGTCTCTACTAACTGCGGGTATTCTCTCGATACTGGTAATCTAGTGGTTGAAATATACTTTGTGTACGATGATGATGATGAATTTTTTTGGCCGATGTAGCTCGCTCTAATATATGCTGCTATGCGGGAGTGCTGTCCACTGGGCGAGTTCCTGAATCGGTCATCCTCGAATGTAAGAGATGCAAATTAAACAAAGGAAATGCACGGATGCAAACATGATAAACACAAAAGAAAGCCAATATGAACCTCATTTACATGTAGTTAAGGTGTGTAGTTAAGGTGGGGGTGGAACTCGTGTTTCTGATTGGTCAAGCAACCCCTCGCTAGTGTCTGTGATATGATGAAGGCCCGAGATAATCTTATCTCATCCCAGCACTTCAAAGGCGACCAGCCCAAGAGTCCCAAAGATATGGATGTTTTGTCGATCTTTTCTGCAATGCCGATAATTTATCAAAACGGCGTAAGACACCAATGATTTCCTCTACCTAGTTATATACTGAATTATACAGTTTTCTTCATGATATGATCATATTGTTCGTCGGTCTTCGTCGGTGAGCAGTGTTAATCTTCCAGCAGATGTCGATCCGGCCGGACACGACAGGAACGAGTGTTGAGCGGACGTTGGTATCAGCCCTGGTCAAGGTTCCACTTCGTGGAGAGGCGATTGATGCGTGGGCGTGGTGAGCCAGGACGACGATGGCGCTGAGGATGGCAGCGAAGAGTAGGGCGGCGGAATTGACATACCATATGTCAGATTCGTTGAGATAAGTGATGGGGAGAAGAGAACAGAGTGTTGTGGCATTTCCCAATGGTACAGTGGGGAGACAGATACGCCCATTCTGGACCATGGAACATACACAGGTTCATCTCCTAAAACCTGATGTGTTTCCGACGTGATGCTTCGTGAGTTCTCCATGTATAATCCAAGTATAAACGATTACGCCTTTGGACGGCGCACAGACTCGATGGCAGGTGTTTCGAATCAAGCTGGGAATTGGAGTGAACAGAAGGAATATCGGGGCGTCACAGCGGGGGAAGCGATGCGAAGTTGTCAAGGCGCACGAGTCATTCCCGCGAGGCACGTAAAATTTTACTTTCCCAGGGCAAGACTAGTGAGGATAGCTGCAGACAGAGAGCAGGCACACATTCTAAGACACATATTTCCGTAGATCTGGTGAGAGAGTGAATTGATTCTAAATGGCTCTTGCCCTAAACAAGATAACCGAAGATACCGGGGCAGGATCCAAATCCTTGGTGGAAACCTTCCCTTGTCTGAGTAGCTGATCAAATAATAAGACCCACCGGCAAATTGGCCAGCATTGGACATGCCAGCATACTGGGGCGTTTATTGGCTTGTGGCGCAAGCTGTCCACACCAAGAGACAGTCGGTCATGATTTCACAGGAAAAATGGGAATGCTACCCTGTACGGATGGAAGGCTGAGTGTTGTAAGCGGGGAGAGGCGCGTTCTCCGAAATGGCCCTAGTACAACCCCTATCACAAATCCGGTACCTATAGCCGGCTATGGGCAGAGGTACCCGGATCAGCCACCCCCATTTGGTTTGAGTTTGGGGAACAGGCCGCTTGAGCCTCATACATGTATGCGATACGAAGAGTAGACCAAATATAGGCTAGACTAACACACATTAATACGAGATCGGGTTGGCAACAACGAGAGAGCGGGGTAGAATACGAGCTCCTCCATACAAGCATAAAAGGAAAGGCCGCAAGAAGATTTTCAGGGCCATTTTGGGCACGGAATAGACTGGATATTATAAGACTAGGGTTAATCTCCTAGGATTCAGGTTAGATCAAACCTACTACTTCCCATAGAACTATCTTTATTAGGACCCGAACTCCCAGGTCAGTCTTATAGTTCCCGACTTCTTTACCTCAACGATACCAAATCCCCAAACCCTCCCGCCATGCACGCTTGGCAGACTATCTTGGCCGCAGCCTTAGGCTGCCACCTTGCCAGCGCCGCCGAGTGGAGGATACAAGCAGCCCCGATCATCACCGGAGCTCTCATCCCTCGACAGGAGCAAACATGCCCCGAAGCAACAGAAACAATGTGCCAAGACGGGACCGGGGGATGTTGCCCATCTGGCCAGGCTTGCACCTTCGTCTCCGGCAGACCTAGGTGCGCAGGTAGCTGTAATGGCGGTCCTATTTGTTTGGGTGGAGGTTGCTGTGATATCGGATATAACTGCCCTACAATCGGCGGCAGCTTTTGTCATCAAGCAACTAACTTCATTCCCGTGCCTGCTCCAACTCTCACAATCACTTCTGCACTTGAACCGGCTCCAACTGAAACTACAGAAGCTCACACTACTGAGAGTGCTTCGGAGCCTACGAGTACTTCTGACTCTACAAGTATCTCTAAGGCTTCCAGGACATCTGAGCCTTCCAGCACGTCGGAGCCGACCACTACAACCACCTCGAGCACCAGCAGTGTGTCTTCGTCCTCTAGCCCGGGAGGAGATACATCAGATACTGTGTCGGAATCGTCTAAACCGTCTGAATCAACTGACTCTCCATCGCCGACAGAATCATCCACAGACAACAAGACTCTCGTTATAGCAACACCAGAACCTCTCCCCGGTATGGCTGGGTCGTTGTCAGTTAGTTGGGATTTATGGATGGCATTGGCTGTTATGGCGCCTTTCATTTTGTAAAGCATAATGTTATGAATTATGGATAGCGAGGATATGATCTGTAATTAGAATCTTGGTTGAGAGCCTCAGAAACAATCCATGGGTTTCGATATAGGGCTTACATATAAGATCTAATTAAACTCCCAACAATTATGACAACAAGAATAGTCGGCCGCTTGTGCGGCCTTGTCAAGTGTTTTTCTTGGTAGTCTTTTTAGGTAGTCTTTTTAGATTCTGTTTTTATATATATTTTCTCCCCATTCTCAGTTTGCTAGCTAGACAGCAGAAAAAGGCGGAAAAAGGCTTAATTTACTTTTCTGTATAACCTTTGAAACAAAACCCTAGAAGACCTGTGTAGCAAAATTAATCCTTTAGGAAAGGGCGACACTTCTCTTGTCCAGTAAGACTCACCCAACCTTTGGATCTACCTTCAGTGACCATGGACTTTTGCAAGTTCTGATATATTCCCTTGCAAAATATGGACTGCAAAGCATAGGTTGCTAGAAAAAGCGAGAGACCATTCATAGGTCGACGTGATTGCTTCTAGCTCTTTGCAAGGCTGATCAGAATACATTCCTTTATATCCATGCTAGACTCCTACTTGTTGCTCTATCTGTAAGATACTACTAGACCCTGGGGTTCATTTGTGCATTGCAAGCTAGCTACCTTGGTCACATATGGACCATTTCTCATTCTGATCTTCACATGATAACAAAGGTAGAGTACGCGAAAATCAAATGGTCTGGTTTATCGCTATTTCCATGCCAGAAGTGGAAGGCAGCTACTCAAGTCGTCCATGCTGGACGAACCAAGCCTCTCGCACATCAAAGAGGCTGCCCATGTCCTGGTTGTTTCGGTAGCACCGAATTTCCTTCCAGGCATTCGCTGTACGGCCGTTCGGCATGCGGCCATCGATTTGTAGAATCTTCAAGACGAGCGCTTGTGGCGAAGCGAGATTGGGAACGATGATCTCGTCCGGCTCACTAGTAGTAGTTTGAGATGGAGTTGGGACTGGATCTTTCTGTTGTTCAGTACTTGGGGGTTTATTGATTTCGTGCTGCTCAGCCTCAACGGGTGCCTCAACAGGTGCCTCGACGCTGTCCATAGGTGTGCTGGACTGAGCTGTGGATAATCCCAGTAATTCCGCTCTATCATTTTTGCCGTTGGTATTGGCAATGGATGACTCCTCTATTGATGTAGATAACTCTCGCGCAATGAGCGCTGGGGGCTCAGGGGTGGAAGAAAGCACAGACAAAGGGGATTCTGGCTGCGCGGTCTTTGGGTGGGATAATTCTGCTGCAGCTCTGCAGTTTTCTTCAATCTTTGCAGTCACGATGTCCATGACAGAAAGAGCAGTTGGGTTCTGCTCATTGCTTTGGGACACTTCTATTTCCTGAGACACCTCCGGTTCTTTGGGCGGCTCCGGTTCGGGTTGCTTTGGTGGGTTTTCACGTGGTCGGCCTGGCTTGCGTTTCGGTGGTCGGCCTCGCTTGCGTTTCACTGGGGGTTGAGGTTCTGGCTCAGGAATTGTGCGCTTGGGCTTTTGATTTCGCGTCCCACCTGGGCTGAAAATAATCACGCTGAATGGGGTTTCTTGTTGGCTCTGTTCGTCATTTGAAGGTGAAATGACTGGCTGTGTGGCGGTGTCGGTGTCGATATCCATCTCGTCAGTGGAAGATGCAGGGATCTCATGCGGCGCTCGGCCATTGTCAAGCTTCATTTCCTCGTCATTGGAAGAAGCAGGGGTCTCCTGTGGTGCTTGGCTGGGTTCAGGATTTATCTCGTCAGTGGAAGAAGCAGGGGTCTCCTGTGGTGCTTGGCTGGGTTCAGGATTTATCTCGTCAGTGGAAGATGCAGGGATCTCTTGTGGCGCTCGGCCATTTTCAAGCTTCATTTCCTCGTCATTAGAAGAAGCAGGGGTCTCCTGTGGTGCTTGGCTGGGTTCAGGATTTATCTCGTCATTGGAAGGTGCGGTAATCTCCTGTGGCGCTGGATCGGTATCGAGCTTCATCTCCTCACCATTGGAGACTGCGTTGGTGACCTGTGATTCTGGGTCCTCAACTTTAAACTGTTTATCATTCCAAGGTGATGTGACTAGCTGTGGCTGTGTGTCGACGTCGACTTTCACATTTTCCTTTCCCTTCTCTGGCGTCGAAGATGGCTCTGCTTTGTCGAAATTGTTGCGAAGAAAGACTCGTTCACCAGGTGGAATCGCAAAGTTAATTTTACCCCATTACGGTCATGGACCTGTAGGGGTCAGCAAATGGCGAAGCTGTATGCGGAGTGGATATACATACCCTAACTTCCTTTTCGATGACAATTCTACCGGGACCTCTACCATAAACATAGTAGAATTTCCAGATGTCGCCTAGCTGGATGACACCTTCATCGATAAGAGTTCCCATCTTCACACGCGCACTTTCTCCAGCAGGTGCATTCCAGATGACTTTCTGCTTCTGTCCCCAGAACTGCTCATATTCGCGCTCTTTGAAGTCGTCAAAGTCGCCGTTTTCGCGCTGCTCTCTGGCTTCCTGGGCCTGGTGTAGCCATTCGGGGTCGTAGCGACCGTTTTGAAGGTCGAGCTGGAACTGTCGAACGCCGTCGCGCCAATTGTTTGAATAGCGGATAAAAGAGTCGGGGATGGGTTGTATTTTTGCGTCTGGGTCATCTGATGTAGCTTGTGCGTCCGGGTGAACATCTGGGGGAAGTAGAGCGAGGATTTCGCGCTTATCGCTTTCCTCAAGGCAATTCCATGCTTCAGGTCGTGCTAGCAGTTTCTAGATATTTTGAGCTTATCGTTAGCTTGGAAAACTGGTGTCGCATTTGTGGAGGATTGGCTCATACCACTAGATCAAAGTCAATGAGGAGGGACTTGTCACTCGTCAATAGCTGCTCCTCGCTCCATTTCCCTCTAGCTGCAGGCCTTCTTGGGGTTCTAGCTCGTGAGCTCGTTTCGGATTTTGGGGTCGACATGGCGAGACCCAACTGTTCTGCTACATCGGCAGAACTAGCAGCAGCACGACTAGGGCATTATTAAAAGACGTCAGTAAAAAAGAGTGTAAAAGTAAATGCGGAGCTTACCCCGAACGTCGTGGTTCTGCCGCACGGGACCTCGCTACCGCCTTCGTGTCTCTCTTCCTTGGAGCCATTCTCACAGCAAAACAAAGGAGAAAACGCTGTCCTTCAGAACAAGAAAGCAACCTTTTCAGGATGGTCAGGTCAACGCAGATTGCAAGGCTCGATGGTGAGGAACACTCTGGGAGGTCGAGAGGGGGTGGAGTGCTAATGTCAAAGTGCAATAGGCCTTATGCTGGCAGCTTCGGTCGACGACGAGCAGGTACGTGACAACAATTATTTAAGCTAATCATGAGCTTACGATATCTGCAGGCTGAATCGGAGCTCTCTGAGATTAAGGGTCAGGCTAAAATGATATTTCGGCGCTTGAATCGCAACTCCGCGGCCCAAGCCAGTATTGAGTCTGGCCAATACAGTCTACAGTAAGTCGCACCACAAACATTATCAATGGACAATTTCTCACATGGCTTGCAGCTACACAATTCAGGACGATATCTGCTTCCTATGCATTTGCGACAAGTCATACCCCCGCAAACTCGCATTCACCTATCTCGCTGATCTGGCCTCCGAATTCACGACTACCTATACCTCCTCACAATATCTCTCGCCCACCCTCCGCCCATATGCCTTTGTCGAATTTGACACCTTCATTCAGCGTACAAAGAAACTGTACCAAGACAGTCGCGCCTCTCAGAACCTCGACAAGCTGAACGATGAGCTCCGTGATGTCACCAAGGTGATGACGAAGAACATCGAGGACCTCTTGTATCGAGGCGATAGCTTGGAGCGGATGGGCGAACTGTCAGGGCGACTGCGCGAGGACAGTAAAAAGTACAGAAAGGCGGCTGTACGCATCAATTGGGAATTGTTGCTGAAGCAGGTGGGTCTATACTTTGCGCCAGATTCCCCTGACCGATTTGCTAACCATCTCATAGTACGGACCTTTCGCTGGCGTCGGGCTTGTCATTTGCATTCTTCTTTTCTGGCGATTCTTCTGATTCCTTGCTCTCCGTGGCCATGCTCATAGGCCTCGCTGTATGAATGTACGCATAGTTAATACCTCGGTGATTGCGGGTTACAATCCGCCGATTCTAGAATATGGAGAATTGCGTGTGAACATGTATCGTATTTGAAGATGTCTAAATCTCATCCTCTTCTTCGTCGAAATCGTCTTCTTCTCCCATGTCGTAAAGAATCCGGCCACCTTCGCCTGGGCCATCGTTATGCTGTGCGTCGAAGTACGGCAACACAACACCTTCTCTTTCGCGCCTCTGTCGGTCGGTGAGACCCAGCTCAAAGGTCGATGTCGGTTCCTCGTCGCCGGCGCCTGGATCTTGCTCCATGGGAGGGTTGTACAAAACATTATCGTCAAGCAACGTCACAATCTCTTTCAGATACTGTGGCGAATACCGCGACGCAGGCGGGAGAAGGTACCACTCCAGTACACCACGGCCACTCTTCCGCCTGTGCTCCAGCTCAATGACAATTCCCTCGGCTTTGCCAGTACCGGCCAATCTATCCAATCGGCCGAGGAGAACGCCTTCTTGCTCTTCCTCAAGGCCGAAGACTGGAGGAGCTAGACTGCGGTCGCGAGCAGCCTTCTGTGCTAGAACGTGTGAGAATGAATGGAGTGTGATAATGCTCGTCGCGAGGTATGTCAATTCAGAAATAGGTGGTGGCGAGTAGGGACTTTGCCGTGGAAGTTCGGGGACATCTTGATGATATGTCACCACGAGTGACGCATCAACCTTGGACGATGGCGACGTGGGAGCAATGAACGAGCCAAGGAATGATGGCAGATGGAACCCAGGATCAACTTTTTTGAGTTCAGAAGAGGGTTAATTGAATCAATGAGGATAAGACGCCCTAAAAAGGCAATAAGTATGAGTCCACTAGCGGGGTAAGTGCACAATGCTTACTGCGTGAGGGGTTGGAGGCTGCAACAGGCTGATAAACTGCGCTCACTTCTTTAACTATATCAGCCGGGCTCTTGCGGCGTGTTGATACAAAAGCATCGACTCCATCGGGTTGCTTCAGGGTTTCAAAAGCGATGAGCGTGACATGGACTTTGGACAGCTGTCGAACTAGTCAGCATGGCCGTCCACTCCCGTGTCTAGCGACGCAGTGTCGCTTATGGTAAAATTCTAGGTTAAAATACCTTTGCACGTCTAATGTATTCTTTCAGGAGTGGCGTAGCCGGTTGCTCCAAAGAATCCAAGACAAGTGTGAGGGGCGACGCAGTGTCGCGCAAGCTCAAGAGCTTCGAAATCAAGAGCAAATTGTGCGTCCGCCTGTGTGAAAGGTTGATAGGCGCCATCTTCTTTTGATATTAGATACTGTTCTTGGCCAGTTGCTTTCTGGAGACGCAGGTTGATGACCACACAGGAAGTGGGGTTGCGCTGCGAAAATTTCGTGGTGGAATTTAAAGTTGAGGCTCGACGGGCCGGCCCGCGGGCTGCAGCTCTTCAATGCCCTCCTTGTCTTTGGGGACCCTTCCGGGTTGCTAGATCAGTCTGTATGGGAATACTATGGATATGTTGCAAGAAGTCTTTCCGCCTTTTTTTCATTCTTGAAGTAGTAATCACCTGGAAGCTTTCGTTGTTCCATAGGTTCCCCCAAGGAAGCGGAAGAGGTCAAAGAATATGTTGAAGATATAACAACAAGTCAGACTTCTCGTATCAGTAAGCACTTCTACATAATAAAATTGGCATGAAGGACTGTAAGGTCTCTTGAGATACTAACATCCTATTCTTTTGGTGATATCCTCTTCATTGGTGAGAGAACAACCTATCAATGCAACCGCGGTTACTAGCTCGGTAATTGGTATCGTTGTTAGGCGCTACATGTATCACGTATAATCAACAGATACCTACTAAATACTTGCAGATAATAAGTCAGTTCGGTCCCTTTGTGGGGCGATAGATCGATTCATGTTAGATAGTACAGAAAGCTTCAGAGAAAACAGTTGCTAGCAAAGAAAGCCGCTGCGCCGGGTCTGTTTCACCCCTTTTGTAGAAATCTGGAATATTGATGTATTGGCTCAAGTTCAAACTGTCATTACTTGCCTGATAGATTGGCAATCGAACACCCGGTTTCGCTGCATAGTCACTGTTAGAACCCTAGGGAACACCTATCGGAGAACGAACAAACCAAAACGAATCTCTCCAAGGGAAATCGATGGAATGAGGGATGAGAGAGGCAGTCAATTATCATCGAATAAACGATGGGTTATGATGGGGATTACTTCTAAGATACTCCCTGCAAGACTATTTGATCCGACTCTTTTTCAACTTTTCCGCTAGTCATATCTCATGTTACCTTTTCTGACCGCATAAGTCTAGCCCCAGGACCAAGAATAAATTCCTTTCTCAATTTATTTTTAAAGATACTTTAAAACAATCATTGTTTTGAAGCCTCGGCTGCCTATACCAATTTCCAGGCGGCTCCGCCCAAAGTGGACTTAGTGCGTTGTCTGCCTGGAACTAGCCCGTTTCTGCCTGGACCCCACCAAGACCGCGCGAGTACAAAAACAACCTGTTGGCGCGAATGATTGAATATTATTATATTAGTCTTCTACGTCGAGATGTCTTCAATTCCCAATCCGCAGCTTCGAATGCCGGGGTTCAATGTAACGCTGAACCTCCAGCCTGATGTGAGAATCTAGATCTTCTTTTCACACATTCCATTTGCTAATAAACCAGCAAAATGTGATGTACGGCTTGTACTACGGCTTTCCTAATGCATTGGATGATAATGTGCAGCAAGAGGGCTACTTGAGGTACGTTCCAATAGTACTATGGGCGGGAGCTCGAGCTGACCTTACTCTCCAGCAACTTGGTGACTCACCGAGAAGTTTTGATGATGCGAGTGATCAACAACATTACCGATAAGCCTCAATGGGATCAAAAGGTGTGTGTTCGGGCTTGTGTTTATATTCTTTAGCTTCCATGGTGGTTTCTAACCCCCTATAGGTCTTTGATAAGGGCATCACGACGAAATGGCGTAGCGAGATTGCCCAAAGTGGTCAAGACGTGACTCCTAAGATGATGGACTGGATCATCGAAGAACTTCAATGGAAAGCCAACATCCTTAAAGAGACAGGCTACGTCCGCGTCTTTGATATGGGTGTGATCAAGTCCGATACCGCCATATCGAAAAAGATACAACAGTCGCTCAAAGAGGCAGTAAAACCTCTCGAGGATATGCCGGAGAAAGATTACCACCCCGGCTCTGACAACAAAGTGGTAAATCTGGTGCATCCATCACTGTTCCCCGTGATCTATGGCCAAACTCGGGTGCTTCCGGACAGAGTTATCGGCCTTAATGACTGTCTAGGAAGCGTGGGACAAGGAGATCTTGTCCCCGTTCCTTCGAGTCAAAACTGTGGCCCAGTTTTGAATAGCCGACATCAATATCACAGTCAAGAGCAAATATGTGTCTACAGCGATAAGTTTCAATGGCTCCCGTGCGACGTGGAACTTGTCGATGACGCCAGCTGTCGAATCACATCATACATCAATAACGCCCACCCCGTTCATCATAAGCCTCTCTATGAGGTCGTTGAGAAAATCATCGCTCGGGCAATCCCGCTCTGGAACCGCAGTTTGTCCGAAATTATCGATACAAGAATCAAGTACAAAGCGGTCGAATATGGTGAGCATCCAGATCCTGAGCCTATTGAGCCAGAGGGGGATGATCACGACGAAGATGCGTTCTGGGAACTCTATGAACAGTGGGAGAGTACCCGTCCTATTATCCCTCCTGAGCCAGCCAGGTTTGAACCTCAAAAAGAAATGCTCACTGCCGATCTACGAGAACAATTTTCCGACAAGAAGCTGCAGATTATCGTGAAGCTGGCGAACATTGAATTGAGCCCGGACAAGCCCGAGTATGAAGGAGGCTCTTGGCACATTGAGGGACAGCTGGTAAGAGTTTTGCGCCCTTTGGTTAGCTCTATGTTCTAATTTTGAGCAGAATGAGCGCATCTGCGCTACCGCAATCTACTACTATGACAGCGAAAATATAACCGATAACTCTTTGGCATTTCGTCAACGCGGTATGATGGATATGCTAGATATCAGATACGAGCAAGGGCATTTCGGATTCTTACAGACCGTCTTTGGATTTGGCGATGAGGTCGAAGGCAACGGGAATAATCACGATATCACGCAAGACCTTGGAGCTGTCGCTTGCAAAGAAGGTCGGCTACTTACCTTCCCGAACACCGTCCAGCACCGGGTTTCCCCATTCTCACTAGTTGACCCGTCTAAGCCTGGTCATCGCAAGATCCTTGCACTATTTCTGGTTGATCCCCATCGTCGGACTATCTCCTCGGCCAATGTGCCTCCGCAGCGGGAGGATTGGGGCTACGAGAGACAGAATGCTGTGAATCAGGCTTTAGCAAATCTACCAGCGGAGCTGCAGGATATAGTTCAAGGTGACTTGGAGCCCCTTATGACCATGGAGAAAGCCAAAGAGTACCGACTGGAGCTCATGGAAGAGCGTGGGCTCAGATCAGGAAAACACAATCTGCATTTTGAAGCCGGTGACTTCCATCTGTGTGAGCATTAAATACGAACTCCGATAGTTTAACTTACTCGGGTTCATCGCGTGGTTTTATCGGTCTACCAATGTAAATATTATACAAATTGGTATCAATATTACCTACTTTCTGGTCGTGAAATCGATATTGTGAGACTTCCAGTCTTTTAGGTTGTCAAGTTTAAAGTGGTATGAGAGGGAAGAAATAATCAAGTCAATTCCAAAGTTATGATCTTGTGGGTATTTATAATGACTGTATCCTACGATGTACCTTACGGGATTATATACATAGCTGAACTATCAATCTTTATCTGCATGCGCCTCATGGACCTCCGTCACCTCTCCCTCATACGGATCAACGACGGTGGTCGCGAATTTCCTTGCCGGAACTCCGCGCTCAAAGAGTAAATCCAGTTCCTCATACGTGCGGCCCTTCGGCTCGGGGAGCCGGAAGTATGCCCAGACCAGGGAGGCTAGACACGTGCCAGCCCAGAAATAGGCACACCGAGCACCCCAGTTCCAGGCCGTGGAGTTGAGCTGATAGTTGGTCAGGACGTTGACGACAATGTTGCTGATGTTGTATAGACACCGGGCGAGGACGATAGTCTTGGCTTTGAGACGGGTAGAGGATAGTTCCGAGACAAGAGAGTATGTGACGGGGCCAACGCTGATATCATAGCAGAATGTGAAAATAATGAGCATCACCCCGATTGCCCATTTGGCTGCGTTATTGTCTCCCGGTGCAAAAGATAGAGATCCTGTAATGACCAGAAGGACGAAAAGACTAGCGAGACCGGAGATGTGGATGGTTCGACGGCCCGCGTAGGACATCAGGAACCACGATCCCATTGTACCCAAAACGCCGAGACCGTATTGTCCCAGGGACAAATTGAAAGATTCAACGGTGGGCAGGCCTGCTTGGACACAGAAGTAGGCGAAATAACCCATCAAGTTCTGGCCACACAGGGTCTGCACTAACCAGACAAGACAAACTACCTCAGTTCGGCGAAGATTTGTTCCCTTGAAGCAGTCCCAATATGTGGTCCCACTAGAAAGCGATTTCTCCAATTCGTTGGTGTGTTGAATCATAGCAATCGTCTCTTCGGGGTCAAAGTTGGGGTCATTAGACGATGTCAACCGCTGCAATGCTCGTCGAGCTCCTTGCACATTGCCCTGGCGCACATGCCACCATGGGGATTCAGGTGCGAAAAGACAGCCGATCATGATTGGGATTGGCCACACCCATTGCACGCCAAAAGGAATGCGCCAGGCCCATTGGTCATCGCGAGAAATAGAGCCGCGGTTGACACCAATGGCCACGAACTGCCCGAATACCCAACACATGTTGATGAAAGTTGTCAGGTAAGGTCGCAGGACTACCGGGCAAACCTCGGAGGCGTAGGCGGCTGGCAAGGTCTGGAAGATACCCCAAGGGATACCCGCGAGAATTTCGGCGGCTAGCAACATCTGGACATTGACTGCGAAGAAAAACAGAAAGATGACTGCCGTGATGGTGGCCAAGGCACAGACCATGGTCTTGCGATACCCCAGGCGTTCAGAGACCAAACCATTGATCAGAAGTCCAATTACTTCACCACAACGTGCACCATTGGAAAGGCCGGATTGCCAGGAAGCCGGAACAGCCCATTTTCCGGAGGGAGTCTGTTCTCCGAACTTTTGGTTGAACGCAGGTGATGCGTACATTGAGCTCAGCAATGCGAGGTCATACCCTTCCATGATCAGAGTAGATGAAAGGAGGACTGACCAGCCAACAGCTTTCGGGTATAGCCGCAAAGCCTGCCAGAGGGTCATGGACTGCTCCTTCCTGGCTGCCTGTCTGCCCTCTGCAAGGACGGGGGAGACTTTGCTGTCCATCCTCGCGGACGTGGCGTCCATCGAGACCATTGGAAACTGTGTTGTGATTTCGAAGCCAGATGAACCCGGTGAAAATTGTATGCTAAACAAGAAGATTCGAACAAGGGGTTCTTTTCAAGGCCTAATCAGAATCGAAGGCTGACAATATCCCGATACTTCAGGCATTATCAAGGCTGATAGACCACGGGGCGATGCGTGATTTATACAAAAGATTCCAAATCAAAAATACACGCATAGTTTAGTCCACGCGCATCGCGGATCCGGGGAAAATGCACATGGGATGTCACTCGCTTCCGAAGATTTGGAGAAAACTGGGGAAGCCGGAGTGTGGAGGTCTAACCGTGGCCAATCAAAGTGGCGGAAAGGGGCCCGTCGGCGGCAAGTCGGTCGTTAGTCGGATATGCAAGAATCTCACCGGAGCCTTGGCGGGTATGCAGGGTCTCCTGAAGATATCCCCGCGTTTGCCCAGGCCGAATTGGTGCCGAGCTACGATGAAAACGTATAAGAGGGGTGTCGGGAGGGAAAATGAAGGTGTCAAGCCACTATGTCACCACACGCGACACAGGATACAGCCGTTCCTACGGGGTCCAATAATTGGTGGAAAGAAGCCACCGTCTACCAGGTCAGTTGCCACAACATTCAGGCCCTCCCGAAGACTTAAAATTGACGTTGTGTGCTCGAGTTTAAAGGTTTACCCGGCTTCCTTCTATGACTCCAATGGTGATGGCTGGGGGGATATCCCGGGCGTTGTCAAAAAGGTCGATTACCTCCAGTCACTAGGGGTTGATGTCGTGTGGCTATCGCCGATGTACGACTCGCCCATGCACGATATGGGCTATGACATCTCCGACTATGAAAATGTGCTCCCTGCCTATGGAACCGTACAAGACGTGGAGAGTCTTGTGGAAGCTTGTCACTCGCGAGGCATGAAATTGATTCTAGACCTTGTCGTCAACCACTCCAGTGATCAACATGCTTGGTTCCAGGAAAGCCGGAGTAGCAAGGACAATGACAAACGCGATTGGTACTTCTGGCGCCCTCCTAGATATGATGAGGCAGGTAATCGGATGCCTCCGAGTAACTATCGAGGTTATTTTGCAGGAAGCACATGTGCGTTGAAATGGTTGACAACATTCAATGTCTTTGAACTAATGAAGCTTCTATGTAGGGACATGGGACGAGAAAACGGAAGAATACTACCTGCACCTCTACGCCAAAGAACAACCTGATCTCAACTGGGACAACAAGGCCACGCGTGAGGCTATCTACAACAGCGCGGTTCGGTTCTGGCTAGACAAAGGTGTCGACGGTTTCCGAGTGGACACAGTGAACAAGTACAGCAAACACACAAACTTCCCAGACGCCCCCATCACAGATCCGAAAAGTTACATCCAACCCGCCATCGGAATGTGGTGCAACGGCCCTCGAATTCACGAGTTCCTGCGCGAAATGTATGACGAGTCATTTGCTCCGTACGGGGATGTCATGACTGTGGGCGAACTGGCCAATACACCCGATCCCAAGAACGTTCTTGAATATGTGGGAGCATCAGCCAAGGAGCTGAGCATGGTCTTCCACCTGGACATTGGCCATATTGGCATGGGACCCAGCTTGGAGGAGAAGTACATTTTCACGCCATGGAAGTTGACAAAGATGAAATCCATTGTGGAGAAGTGGCAGTCTTTCATTGAGGGAACGGATGGCTGGACCACCGCTTTCTGTGAGAATCACGACAACGGACGCTCTGTCTCTCGGTTTGGATCGGATGCACCTGAGTTCCGGGAGATCTCTGCCAAAATGCTGGCCCTGATGATGGTTACGATGACTGGGACTCTGTTCATCTATCAGGGACAGGAGATTGGTATGATCAATGCACCACGTGAGTGGCCCATTGAGGAATACAAGGACATTGAAGGATTAGGATATTACCGAGAAGCAGAGCAACGCAGTGAGAGTGGAACTGATCCTACTCGCAAAGAGCACATCATGGATGGTCTCCGAATTCTGGCTCGCGATCATTCCAGGCTTCCGATGCAGTGGGATGACTCGAAACATGCTGGTTTTACTACCGGGAAGCCGTGGATGCGAGCTCATGATCTTTATGGTGAGATCAATGTAAAGAGGCAGCAGAATGATACATCAAGTGTGTTGTCTTTCTGGAAAGATGTTCTGAGTCTGAGAAAAGAGTACCGGGAGTTGTTCATCCACGGTGCATTTGAAGTGCTTGACTACGAGAATCAAGAGACGTTTTGCTTTGTAAAGTCGAGAGATGATAAACGAGCATTGGTCGTTTTGAACTTCACTGATAGATCTCAGCCATTCACACAGACTGGGAAAACCGCAGGCATGAAGTTACTTGTGGGCAACTACTCCGATTCATCACTGGAAACGCTGAAGCCCTTCGAAGGACGTGTCTATATTTGAGATTTATACCATGAAATACCATGAAATACCATGAAATACCATGAAATACCAATCAGAAATATATTACTATGAATATTGATTGATATGTTACTTTACAAGAATACTTTCTGCATAGCACTTCTTGCAGCTGGCCACAATATTTCCAGATGTCGGTGGTTTCTTAGCAATCCCCAGCTTGTAGCTCATCAGGAACCCCCCCAAGAAGATTTAGCTGAGCCTCTAGAGTTTACTTCTCGTCTTTTAAAACACAATGCCAGTAAAGAGATAATTTCCACTACAAATTCAATAGCCATATTAGATTCAGGGAAGACAAATTTGGGGCCCTGACGAGATATTTATGCCTGACAAACAAGGCCACAAAAGCATTTATTTGCCCGACTTGTTCCCGACTTCCCCCCGCAACCCCGGATTTTTGTGCGGTGCTAGTTCCTCTCGGTATATTTGTACCTGATTATCCTGATGCCAGACCCACCGGTCAAACAAGCATGTGATGCATGTCGCCGACGTAAGGTCAAATGCATTTTCCCAAAACCTTGTGAGCAGTGTCGAGCTGCCGGCCTGATCTGTCGGACGTCTTCGCAGCGACAGAAAAAGGGGCGACAGGGCCAAACAGCCAACATTCTCAATGAGCTCCGAGCAAACCAAATTGAACAGGCTCTGGTGCGGGATGCGAATATTTCTCCACCATCGGCAGCTCTCGGGTTTGGAGATAATATACCAACGCCCCAGTCATTGCAAGCCTCGGGAAGATGTCAGTTCTCGAAAACCCCGGGCCTTGTGAGCCAGGAGCTTGTCGACGCCTGCTCAGGATATTTTTTCTCGCGAATGAGAGGAACAGTGCCCGTCTTGCAACCAGGCAGTTTTCAGAAACAGGTGGACCTTGCCGATACATGCCTCCATGCTTATTGTTTAGTCACTGCTTTCTGCGCTTTTGTGGTCACTCAAACTGGATTTGCCGTGGAACATGCATCCTTGGAATTCTCTCAGGGATTTTGTACTGAAGACTACCGAAATTCCCTGATTGAGGAAGCCACAGAAGCTCGGAAGCATATCGATCCATTCACAGATCCTGTACGGCAAAGCATTATCACTGCTTTCCTTCTATATGGATGTCATATTGGACTGGGAAACCAACGGCATGCATATTATTTTCTCCGTGAATCCACGACGCTTTATACGGCTAGCGCACTGGAAAGTCAAGCATCATCGGCGCAGGTGGATGACGATGACCCTTCCTTGGCAGGCAAATTGTTTTGGCTCTTGGTGGTGTCTGAGAGGTATTTTCTTCGCCTGTTCGTTAGTCATTCGCTAATACAGGGACAGAGCTCATGCGATCCGCCGACATAGACCAATTACGCTCCAGGTCACTCCCGAAAGCCCCCAATTAGAAGATGGTCCACTTGCAAATGCGTCAGCCATTGGCTTTCGGTGTCTGGTAAACCTCTACCGCCCATTTGATGAAGGTTTTCTGAGTCAGTGGAATGGAACAAATGCCACATGCTCGATTGAGTCGCTAGTTCATCTTGAGGAGCGCATCCAAAGTGCAGTTCCGGCAGACCTCGATCTTCCTGATATACTAATGGCGGACTTGCGTGTGTCTCAGCAGTGGCTGCGCATCATGATATGGCAGCTTTCTACAACTGCTGGGTTTCTTTCGACAAAGCCTTCGCATGAATGCATGGATTTTCGCTACCCCCTTTTAATTGCTCAAGATCTCTGCTTCGCAACATGGAAATTATCTAGGCAGAGCATGGAAACCCATGGAATTGGTCTTGTATGGTTTACCTTATAAAATACTAAGCATATTCTAACAGATTGTAGATCGAAAAAATATTTGAGGTGGCATGCACCTTGATTGACGTTATGGCATGCCTCTCGGCGGCTGGGCTTCGTTCTTCGGGCTTCAAGCTTGGCCCGCAAGATTATCTCAAGCATTTCTTTACTCTCATCCATGATCTTCCGGGAGGACGTCGAAGGTTTCTTCCACTGCTACTTACCAAAATAGGGCAAACTCTGCCATCCATGGTAGACCCTATCACCGTTCATCTCAAACTCCAACCCAGCCCCCTTGTTCCGAGCTCTACCAGTGAGGCATCATCAGTATCCGCCATTGCCGGAAATGACAGCTCCGTTGAACAGTCCTCTGCTGAATTGGTTTCTGAGTCTGAGAATTGGTTGAATGGTAACTTCAACTATGCGGAGATGAGCCGCATCGGTGAGAAAACACCAGAGATTGATGAGGCATTTCTCCAATACTCCAGTTACTTCCCCTGAGACCAGAGAATGGACTGCGCCATCAATATTATGCTTGGCCAATAAAGCTACGTATGGGGAAAGTATTGAGACAACAGGGTACTTTTCTATCATTCTTCCGAGTTATCTATCAAGAGCTGGACCTAATGCACACAGTAGATTTGTCCAGCTGGTTCTGACGGGCCTCATCATGCGTGAGATATCCAATATCCGTCATGTATCTCACACTACTTTCCAACGCGATAATCGTTTCTTTTTGGTCAAAATAGCAGCTCCGTGGGAGATTGTCTTGATCAACCATGAACTGCCAGGCGTTCTCTTCAAACCAGCTCAAAACGGGCATAAATGGATGCTCAAAATCGCCTTCTTCAACATCTGTCCTCATCCATTATTGATGGCTCATTGTTGGCTCATTGTTCGAATTGGCATCTGCATCTGCCTGCTTATAGCGTCGCAGCATGTGGAAACGGTGACTCCATCCACGCAGTTGATTGCTTCTGATGAATATTGCTCCGGGTGCAGGAACACATCGGTGATTAGACTGGAAACTTGATCCACGCCTGCCACAGTGAGTTATTGGAGCTCCTGGCTAACGGCTTTCAATCGAACAATGCTGAACGCCAGTCGCCACAGGGAATCTTCTGTATGTGCGATGCCCTCTTTCTGGGTTCCAACGATAAATCCTGGTATCACGGTGCGCGCCTTCTCGGCCTTGGGATTTTCTCGGTCTAAGTGCTTATTGTACTCGTTTAACAGCAATTGGGACATGAACTTCGTTTGGTCGTATCCTGATGCTTCCGAGAGCTTCTCGGCAAAGTGGTTCGCCGGCTCCATTGGGATATACCCTCCGGAATCATAAATCAGTGGACAAGGAGACTCCGCCTTGGAGAGCCCAGAGAGGATGTTGGTGGTACTGTGGATGTTCACAGGCTCGAGGATTTCATAGCTATCCATCCAGTTTACCCGAGCTGCGTTATGAATAATCCCATCGACGTGCTTTGCTTCGTCCGTTGAAAAGAGGCGGTCCCATTTAGACTGCTCCAGTCCGAGCTAGGGTTTGCTCAAATCTCTAGTCCAGAATTCTATGCGATCTTGATACCCAGGATGCCACCAATGGCCTAGTTCACCGTGTTGCTGCACCTTCCGTCGGGCTTGCTCTTCATCTTTCGCCCGAATAAGGCCAATGACACACTTGATCTCCGGATATTCCAATAGAAATCTCAATATCTGGCTGCCGAGAAATCCGGTAATTGATGTTAGAAAGACAGTTGCTTGGCAACTTTGAATGAAATCGAGCTTTGGCTTCAGTTTTGCGAGATCGGCTATCAGATTTCTGGCTTGGCTAGTTTTCCTCTTCAGTCCCTTTGTTCCGAGAATACAGTCTTCGATATTGCAAACGGTCAGATCATGTTTCTGCAAATCGTCGATCTTGAGTTTCTTCTGGTATTTCTTCCGGATCGAGTTTACCAATGATTCCATATGCATGGACGTGAGGCCAACACTGGCGAACGAAAAGTCTTTTCCTCGGAGAGACACTGCAAAGTCTTCGTCTTTGCTCTCGAACATGTCTGCAATAATGTTGCTAATTTCGACCGCCAATGTTCTGGTGTTTGGGATTTCAAAGCAGTCATTGACTGAAAATTTCTTTCGGTATGCTTGAAGGTCTTTTTGGCTTATATCTGATAATCGTCCCCGAAGTTGCTGTCGATCGATTTTCTTTGACAGCGTGAGTGGCATGGACTTTATTGACACAAACGCGGTCGGAATCATATATTTTGGTAGGAATTTGGATAGCTGGTCATGCATCTTTTCGGCCAATTGATATTCCTGGTAATCGGTTGTTTCGGCGAAAGCAACAACCTCGACATCCTGACGATCGTGTTCAGACAAGGTGACTGCCAAGCGACCGGATTTGAGGCACGACTCGATCGCACTTTCAACCTCTCCCAGATCCACACGCAGTCCTCGGATCTTGACGGTTTGACGACCCAGAAATATCACGTCGCCATTCTCGTTTTACTTGGCCAGATCACTCGTACGGTGCACTCGAGTCCCTTCAAGCTGCATGAGAGGTGCCCATTCTAGGGACCAAGGATCGAGCATGGCTTGCGCTTCACGTTCTGGGTTTTGCAAATACCCGAGTGCGAGGTACGGACTCTGGATAAGTAGTTCTCCCTCGGCGCCAAATGGCATCAGTCTATGCACGTTCTGTGGATCTGTGATCCAACATGCGATACTGCCAATGCCGCGGCCGATGTTCTTGGGGTGATTGCCGGGTTTCATTCCTATCTTCATTGTGTCTGTCTCACACGCCGGCTTCAGTCGTACCGTATAGGTTGTTCAGCTGGACCGCTCGCCCCATGTTGACACGAGCTCTACAGAAGCAGGCTCCCCTCCAACGCTGACGCTACGAAGATTTGGCAGGTTCTCTGGTTGTATTTGTAGGGCCGTTGATCGTGTGGGCCATGCGTGTGATACCTTCAAGCGCTCCATCGCCGACTCCAGATTGCCATCTCGCTCCTCTTGTAATACCATGCAGAGGCATCCACCAGCAGCGAGTGGCGCGAAGACTTCCAATATGCTAGCGTCAAAGGCCAAGCTTGCCAATTGCATGAATCGAGTAAAGGCATTGATTGAAAGCTCCTCGAGGCATTCATGGAGACTGAGAGACACTGATTTGTGCCCGTGGACAACACACTTTGGAAGGCCCGTACTGCCAGATGTAAACATGAGCTATACTGGCTTTGATGTGTCGGTGTTGGTTTCTTCGAGCCAGTCTTTGAGGGGCTGAGCATATTCAAGCTGGTTTGGCCTGATCAAAGTCGCTTTTAGATTGCGGAATTTGTCACCTAGTTTGTCTGTGGCCACATATTTTATGTCGGCTTTTTTCCAAATTTGTGTGATTCTTCCCAGTGGAGAGGATGAGTCCATTGGGGCATATGCAGCTCCAGCTCTCAAAATCCTAATCATAATAATGATTGTCTGGACCGATCTGTCCATGCAAAGACCCACTTTGTCTCCGGCCTGGATACCCTTGCTCATCAAGAAATGAGAAATGGCAGTTGGGCTTTTGCCTAGTTCTGCGTACGCCATGCTTTGGAACCTAATATCATCTCCCCCAATTGGGCAGGGGATGTGTAGGCTGCACCCCGTGGAATGGAGTTCATACGTGGAGGCAGCCCGGGGAGCTGCTAATGACCATTCCGGCGAGCAGGATTCGAAGACAAAGACTAAAATGTGAATAAGTAAAGGTAGGTAGATGATATTCTGTTTGTAGTGGACGACCTGGGAAAATAGGCTATTGATGGCTGCACAAACAAGGTGGATATATAATATGTTTTGACTGAGTTCCTGTCGTTTATTCAAAGTTATGCAGTTTGGCCTGTCAAATGTCGGATCAAGCTATTACTGGCACTCATCAAATCAGTCATTAAAAACGAATAAAAGTTGTATAACTCCACCTGGGCATGTCCACGGGTTGTTTGATAGGGCTATAGATCGGTCATCTGCCATGTCACAAAATGCGCAACTGGTCTCTTCCCGCGGCCGGAATAAACTTCTCTTTGGTCCTGAGATATTCAGGCCAACACCCATTGCGACAACTTGATACCCTCTACATTTCTATCACTACGAGCATTCGCTTTTTGCCTCCTTAATCTTGTTCTAATTGCTCAAGCTCTCGAAATTTGAGCGAAGCCATCCTCATCTGCCCCCAGCCGCAACAAACACCCACGCCATACGGGGCAACGCCCAGACTAGACCAGACCTTTTAACAATGGCGGAGCCACCTGCAAAGCGTGCTCGCCGAGTCGACAGCTCGGCCATGTGGGATTCTAACGATAAACGGCCTCAGGCACCAGAGCAAGAGTCAGACCGCGACCGCAAACGTTCACCAGCTCCACGAGATGACCGACGCGATGGCCGGTATCGCTCTCGCTCACGAGAACGCAAGGATGGAAGGCGAGAACGGAGCTGGTCTCGAGATCGCCGCGACCGGGACCGACGAGACGGAGACAGAGATGGGCGTGGGGCCCAGGACCGAAAGAGGAGCACCAGTCGGGAGCGCAATCAGGATAGGCGAGGTTGGTGAAATATTTAACTTAATGGAGTATTTGTGCCATGCTAACCTATGAATGTCAGGCAATGCACCCAAAAACGTCAAGTTCCGCGAACGTTCGCGCTCCCGATCTCCGCAACGCAATGGCACAAAGGCCCGGTCACCCCCTCGAGGCCCCAAGATTGACCGCCAGGGCGACCGCAAAGATCCTCGATCGCGAGATGCTGGGCGGAAGGCAACTGGCGCACAACCAGGACCAGATCGTCACGAGGATGAGATGGATGTAGACTTCAACGAAAATGCGGACGAGGACGAAATGGAAGCACAAATGCGAAAGGCCATGGGTTTCAGCAGGTTCCGGACAACAAAGAACACCAAAATCCCCGGAAACAACATCTATGGTGTGCGAAAGGAGAAGAAGATCGAGTACCGACAGTACATGAACCGCCAGGGCGGTTTCAACCGGCCTCTCAGTCCCTCGCGATGAATCCTTACACCCTTACTATTCCTACGATCCCATACTTTCTTTGTATTCAAAAACACTGGACATTTTTCTGCCTTTTTTCGACACGATATGCATTTGCGGAGTATTTTGTTGGCTTGATTTTTACCTTCCCATTCAATGGTCCAAGCCTTTGTGGATTTGCTACCAATCCCATTTGTTCGAATATTAGTGAAATATTAGTGAACCAAAAAAATTTCTAAATGATTCATTGTCAAACTGGTAGAAAAAACCGGTCATGGTGGACTTGATTGCGGATGCGACATATGACTGGACATACTAGATCTCCAGTGACGTAGCCATCTCTGTATATAAGCACACCTGCGGTCCAAACTTGTCAGTTACAACTTTCTACATAGTGGCTTCGTTACGATCATTAGCGTCCAAGATAACGCCAAAATTCAAGATGTCGGCGACAGGAGATCGGCGTGAGATCGTTATTGTTGGTAAGAATAGATTGTTTGCGACTTTTATACCCCGCGCGCTATATTCGCAACTCGCTGACCAAAACACTCACAGGTGGTGGCATCATTGGATGCTGCACTGCATACTACCTGACCAGACACCCATCTTACGACCCTGCCCGCCAAAAAATCACACTCATTGAGGCCTCTGAAATCGCCGGCGGGGCATCGGGAAAAGCGGGTGGTATGCTGGCGCAATGGGCTTTCCCGAGCAACCTCGTTGGTCTCAGCTACAAACTGCATGCTGAACTTGCAAAAGAGCACGATGGTACCAACCGATGGGGATACAGAGAGGTCAATTGCGGCCAACTCGTCGTGAGAGGTCGTGCTCTTGCTGAGAACACTGCAGGGAAAGCCGGGAGTGGAAATACGGAATCCCTGCAGAAACGCAGCGCAGCGGCTCTGTCTAAACTGAAGTCTGCCAAAATCCCCCAGGACTTGGATTGGATTGAGCCAGATCTTCTGCGGGCCTATGAAAGTATGAGTGGACCGGGCGAAACCGCTCAAGTGCACCCATACCTCTTTACTACGTCCATCGCAAAGCTTGCCCAGGAGAAGGGCGCAAATATCATTCTTGGACAGGTTACAGATATCGCTCGGTCCAAGAGTTCTGTCGAATCAGTGACATACACCGATAAAACATCGGGTGAAACCCAAACAATCGCCGCTACCGATGTGCTCGTTGCTGCTGGTCCCTGGACGAAGACTATCCTTCCGGAGGTTCCGATATCAGCCATGCGGGCCCACAGTGTGGTGATCCAGCCAAAGAAACCAGTCAGTGCATACTGCCTGTTTACAAACATCGAAATCCCCGCCGACTTCAACCCCGAAAAGAAGTCTCGCCCAACTGTGGCCGCGCCAGAGATCTACGCGCGTCCTGATGCCACTGTCTATGCATGTGGCGATGGAGATAGAACGGTTCCACTACCAAAGACTTCTGCAGATGTCGAGGTTGACCAGACACGCTGCCAGGAAATCATAGACCATGTGGGTAGTATTTCTGACGAGCTGCGAGACGGAGAGGTTCGCACTCGCCAGGCTTGCTATCTTCCAAACTGTGATTCTGGTGCTGGGCCACTAGTTGGCCTGACTGATGTGAAGGGACTGTATATTGCGGCCGGCCATACCTGCTGGGGTATCCAGAATGCGCCGGGTACAGGGAAGCTCATTAGTGAGTTTGTATTTGATGGCAAGGCGAAGAGCGCGAACATTGGATCGTTGGATCCACGCAAGTTCATGTGAATAAATACTTGATACCATAGTGTCTATAACAAGAAAAATAGCACATCTTTTTCTATGAAAGTATTGTTGATGAGACACCTGGGCATAGTATACGCGTGGACAACGTGTAAACGAGGTGGGCGCTAAAGCGGAAAAGGAAAGGCGGGCGACGTCCGAGGACATTGTCCGGTACGCATATGAGACTAGTCTAGATTAGGTAGGCGGTGAATTAAGGTACATACACCTATAGCTTAATCCCGCGGAGAGGACAGCAGTCAATTGACTGAGGCTACATAATGCGTCCCCTTAGGATTTCAGTGTTATTGACGTCGCTCCTGAGTGCAACTGGGATTGTTGCCAGCGAAGATCCCAATAATGTGTCCGTCTTGATTCGAGAGGCCGGACGTGCCAGCAACGAGTCCCTGCTTTGGGGTCCCTACAAGTCGAATCTCTACTTTGGGGTGCGTCCTCGCATTCCGAAGAGTCTCTCGGCGGGATTGATCTGGGGAAAGGTTGATGATTTTGCCGGTGCTCAACAAAGTATGTGATTCTTGGTAGCCCGGTTGCATTGGTGAACTGTGAAGCTAACATTCACCGAAGACTTTAGACACACATGCGAACAAAATGAAGGAATGGCCGGGTATGGCTGGGACGAATACGATATCCGGAAGGGCGGACGGGAAACAATTCATGACGCTGGGAATAGCTTGGACTTGACAATCGATTTCATCAAAGTTCCCGGTGGTCAGCACGGAGGTAGCTGGGGATTCCGAGTCAAAGGCACGCCTAGAGAGGGCGCAGACCCTGACCAGCCCATCACGATGATCTTTTACTCCACTCTCGAAGGCTTCGGTCACTTGGGAGCTGATTCTGTATCCTCTGAATCCACTGGTGTGGAAGGCAATGTCAAGCTCGAAGGATACTCCGCAGAACTTGGTGATTTCGCTATCGATGTCACCACTGGACCGGAAACCAACTCGCACCCCCGCTACGATCATCCTAGTTCCACCGATAAGCCATTGGATCGCAGCATTGTAGCTAGCGTGGCCTTCCCAGAGGAGCAGCTTTGGCAAGCAAAGGGAATCTTCTTCACTCAATTGAAGGCGGAGGTTGATGAAGCCCTTGAAGAGTATGGAAAAGAGAACATTCCGCCCCCGGCCCAGCTGTTTACTATCAAGCATAAGCCTGGCCAGGGTAATGCTCATCTTGTCCAGAAGGTTTTTACAGGTGCATTTGAATTTGATGTCCTGTTCTCCTCTGGCTCCGCCCCCGAACCGTTAACTTCGGAAACCCTCACTAAGGAAATTGATGATGCTTCGGCATCATTTTCCGAAACATTTGAGCAGCTTCTCCCGCCACAGGCGCCATTTGACTCGCCGAAGTACTCGAGCTTCTCTAAGGCGATGTTGTCTAACCTCATCGGTGGCATTGGGTTCTTCCACGGTGATGATGTCGTGGATCGGTCCGCAAACCCTGCCTATGAAGAGGAGAATGAAGGCTTTTGGGAAGAGACCGCCGAGGCCAGGGCTGCCGTGCAGCCAGTTATCGAAGGCCCGAAGGAGCTTTTCACTTGCGTTCCGTCCCGACCATTCTTCCCTAGAGGGTTCCTTTGGGATGAAGGTTTCCATTTGATGCCCGTGATCGAATACGATACTGATCTGGCGTACGTTTACACCTATTTTCGTTTCATTTACTGGTTTTGGTTGATATACTGACATTCACAGGCTCGAGATTATCAAGAGCTGGTTCCACTTGATGGACGAGGATGGATGGATTGCCCGTGAACAAATTCTCGGTCAAGAGGCACGCAGCAAGGTTCCGCAGGAGTTTACGGTCCAATATCCCCATTACGCAAACCCGCCTACTCTATTCATGGCCCTGGAAGCATTCATGGACAAAGTCAAGTCTAGCAGCAACAAGAGCACCGAGTCCGAATCCCTGGACAACCAAGATGCGACCGCGAGCTTGCGCTCTGCCACTGTCCGACACCCGGAACTGTCTGAAGCATACCTTCGCTCATTCTACCCGCTCCTGAAGAAGCACTACAACTGGTACAGGAACACCCAGCGCGGTGACATCAAGTCGTATGACCGTGAGGCGTTCTCGACCAAGGAAGGTTACCGCTGGCGCGGACGTTCCGTGCAGCACATCCTCACTTCTGGCATCGATGACTACCCCAGAGCTCAGCCACCGCACCCCGGTGAGCTGCATGTCGATTTGATCAGTTGGATGGGAATGATGACTCGCACTATGCGTCGCATTGCCGAGAACCTCGGCGAGGAAGAAGATGCCGAGCAATTCGCCTACTATGAGACCGCTATCACTCGTAACATTGATGACTTGCATTGGGACGAGAAGGAGCAAACCTTCTGTGATGCCACTATCGATGAATATGAAGAGAGTGTCCACGTCTGCCATAAGGGTTACATCTCCATCTTCCCCTTCCTGACTGGTATGCTGGGTCCTGACAGCCCGCGCCTCAAGGCTGTGTTGGACTTGATCGGTGATCCCCAGGAGCTGTGGAGTGACTATGGTATCCGCAGTTTGAGCAAGAAGGATAAGTTCTACGACACCGATGAGAACTATTGGAGAAGCCCAGTCTGGATTAACATCAACTACTTGGTGTTGAAGAATCTCTATGTAAGTGCTTCCATCTTTTCATTTATTTACCCGCAAAATCTGACAGAACCTTCACAGGACACTGCAACGGTTTCTGGTCCTCACCAGGAACAGGCGCGGGAGATGTACTCCGACTTGCGGAAGAATTTGGTCGAGAATGTCTTCCGCGAGTGGAAGAAGACTGGGTTCGCTTGGGAACAGTACAACCCTGACTCAGGCAATGGCCAGCGGACACAGCACTTTACCGGCTGGACCAGTATGGTGGTGAACATGATGTCCATGCCTGATTTGGCCGGAGTCGGAAAGACCACTCATGACGAGTTATAAGCTATTGAACCACGATGTGAAAAAGTTCGTCACGTAAATTAGATAGTGGTCATTCTGATAGTGGTACGCAATCATTTATCCGACATTTGAATCGATTCCTCCAACGCCAAGCTAATGTATCAGTTCATACTCCGATTTGTAGCTTTGTAGCTCAATGGCGGCGGTCATGGTCGTCTCGGTCTCGTCTGCGTTCGGGGTGTCGCCGACGCTCAGCCGGCGAGTAGCTGCGCTCCATCCGTCGTCGTTTCTGATGTTCCTCGTCTTTGCGGCTGGGTCGACTCCTAGAACGGGAGACAGAGCGCCGTCTGTGGTGATCTCGACCGCGAGATCGTGAGCGCGATCTGTGACGATGGCTGCGGTGATGGCGCTCTCGATCATCATGATGTCTGCGGTGTCTTCGGTCCTTGTCACGTGAAGAATCGTCGCCCCGGTCATGCCGCCTTTCCCGTCGCGGGCTTCGGGTTCGCTCGCGTCTGTGTCGGTGACTTGAGCGATGATCCATTTCTCTTGTTGTAGCATCTGGCATCTCTTCTTCTTTTGGCACTATATTGGTACTATTCGGACCTCCTAAAGGAACCATGTTGGCGTTTTCAGATGCTTTCGGGGGCACCGGCAGGCCCAGAGCGACGGCCATTGCTTCCTCCTCCGCCTCCTTGACACGTCGAAGTTCCTCCCGCTCTCTGCGGATTCGTTCTTCCTCATCTTCGTCTCCCTTCGCATACCAGCCGAGATCACGATTTTGTTGCCATCTGCCGACCGGGGCCATCACTGAGTGGCCTAGGTAGTTCTCGCGGTGGGCAGAACTTTGGACGTCGGACCATTTGAACTCATTGCGGCCGCCGCTGAGACAAAAAATTAGCGACCTTCAACATATATAAAATGATGGTAACCAGCGAGTAAACTTACCGGCTGCCTTCTTTGCGTACACCAGCAACCAAATCCATACTGTGAGAAAACCGTGCTGAAGAAACCTATGTTGTAGGAAGGAGAAAGGCTAAGCCCTCGAGGCTCTAGGTATGAACGTACTCCATGGTGGTCCGTGCGCGGGCGGTCAGTCATTCCATCATCGGATGATTGCACCTCCCCGCAGCCATGGAGGTGTTTTCGACCAGCTTGATCATGATCTGTTTACAAAGTTCCCTCTCTTCTGTCTCTTGTGGTTTGGACTTTCCACCCTTGGCAATGACAGAACAAGCTTCTTCTCTTACTATTCACGATTCTCTCTGCTCAGACCCAAGGAAGTATTCTTCCCTGCGCTCCACCATTGGGAACAAGCACCCTTAACCTACAACAATGTCTTCTCCTCTCACTGAGGAGACTGGCTCTACGGACGCTGAAAAGGAAATTCCACGACACCGGCCCCAGGTACAAATCTTGAATGTCGAAACAGAAGAGGAACGCGTATGTTTGTCTTCAATTTACCTCACGTGAGAACTATAAACTGACTTGTGCTAGTTTCCTAGGTGGGTGTTTACGCGTGTACTGGCTAAATCCACTGTGGCTGATTATCATTGAGCTATAGTGATGTTTCCAGGCCAACTACATCTACTTGGAGGTGTAACTTGGTGAGTACTGCTAACCTAGTTGCTGTTCGACTGTACAATTTCTCCTCAGTACTGACCTTGACTTTGAAAGGCCGCCCTATCACAGCGTCGAAATTTGCTTTTCACGGCTCAAGTCGACGACATTTATGTATGGATTCCCAGTGGACCTCACCAGCTCCTTGGCGCCCGACCCGAGATGATCATTCATCCGGCGATGAAAGAACCCAATGCGCCTGGATACATCGATCGTTCTAGGCCTCACACAATCAATCACATCATTGTGGATGATTTGGGAGTTGATGAGGTTTTGCTATTAGCGACAGACTCTGGAAACGTCACTGGATACAATGTCGAGGCTATTTTCTCGGCAATCAATAGGAGCGCCAAATATGGAGGCAGTCGACCCTTTGATGCGCATGAAGTAAGACCTTTCTTTGCTGAACATGTTCAGTTAAGTGCCTGGGGCTTGGCCACCCACAAATTTGCTCGGTTGATTGCCGTGAGCGCGAACACGGGCGTTATCACAGTCTTTGCTTTCGCGTTGGTGGATGTTGTGTCTGAGAGTGATGGTAGCAGTCCCAGTTCCGTTGAGACCTCAAACGTGGGAGGCTCTGATGTATTGGAAAACACATGGGTATCAATAGACAGTGCATCGGCGATGGAGAAGCTGAAAAAGGACATACCCAATCATCGAACACGCAATCTGCGGCTCAGCTATAGGGGTCATTTTGACAACATCCCATGCGTGTCGTTTGCCAACTTTGAATTGGACCCCAACGGTCTGTGGATGGTCAGCACCGATATTCTCAACCGAGTCTTTGTATGGAAAGTCTGGGACAACCTATTTCCTGTCAAGAGATCCAGTTATGATTGTCCAAGGAGTGGTCGAGAGCAAAGGGGCTGGTTTGTCTTGCCTTTACATCCTCGCAGAGTCCAGCAGCACCGCCTCAAGTTTGATGCCTGTGGATGCGAACCAAAGCCAAACATGATGAATGGTCGGATGGTTTTTGACGTGACAGATGCAGCTGGTTATGTCGAAACCAGATCCATGCGCGCTTCTCGGAAAATCGCTGTTCGGGAATATGGAACCGTTTCGAACCTATTTCTACCAGACGATATTTTCCCTCCTGACGGTTGTGTTCATACTGAATCCCGACCGCAACCATCAAGCTCAGAACATAATCATACAACTCTAGAAGCTTCCGAAGCTGCTTCTCCTCCCACCGCCAGTGATAATATCAGCGCTGAAGGATCACAAGACTATGAGGTGGCTTCACCCCGTCAATCGATTCGCGTGAGGCGTGGTATCACCAATTTGATTGAAGAAGAAAATGAGCATTGGGGCTATGATTATGCTGTCGACGCGGACGTTTTAAGAGGCTTTGTACGCCATCGTAAGTGGGCGATGTGCTTCGGTGTATTGGATTACGGGAATGCTAACTTATTACTCAGCGTGCAACCCTCAGTTTTTCCCTATTATCCACTTTTCTGCAAATAACATCACTTTAGATCCTTATCCATTGGACGATGGATTTCAGACTCTCTCTCGGTCTCCAGTTGAATCGCTGGTAGAACAATCTGTGTTCTCTTCCTGTGATCGCTTAAACTTGGTCAAGTACATCCCTGAACTTGGGATCATTATTGCCGCCTCCCAGGCTGGTGGAGTTGCCATCATCACTCTTACATGGCAGGAGGAAACTGGCCACACCTTTCGCCTAGACTGGCTTCTCCCTTTCCCCATTCAGGAGAGGGACGATGACTGTCCAACACCACCACTTATGGGTATTGCTGCAAGCCCGATGCCTGGGTTTGAGATACCGCCGGATGTTCCTTGTATTCCTTGGGATGTCCACCCCAAGGATCGGTTGAGGTTCAACTACCGTCTGCTTAACCCAGATAAAGATGAACCTTGTGTCGCAACCCCTCCCGAACCCGGGGCTTCCAGTCCCTCTGATCCGGATCTTAGCCCTGACCCCGAAGACCCGAATCTCACAATTCCTGAAACCCACTCCTATGCCTCGGACATCTACCAACCTCATGAGACCTGGCATGGTTACCACCCTTCTCGGCATTACAGGTTACTTTTGCTATTCTGCGATCTCACGGTCATGAGCTATGAGTTCTGGCACAACTGGAGAGGTTGATCAAAATCACCTAATTAGGTTGCGCTTCTTGATCATGGGTGCAAGAGGCATGTTCAACCAACCCAACAAATCTACCCGTGCTAGTATCTAATTGTACAAATGCATGTCGAAATCAACTTAATTGAGGAATATAAAGTATCTACGTCAATATTCCACATCAAATTCAATAATCGTAGCCGAGAAATTCTTTGAAGAAATTTGTCATCGTTCTCTTCAACGTGATTAATTTGTACAGCGGTGACTTGAGGCTCAAACCGCTGATTGGTTCCGCGCAAAATAAGCTTAAATGTGATGAGTCACGAAACAACCTTGGAAGTTTCTTGTTCCAAGGTCCGCACTTCGAGTATTACTATTCATACTCCATAGTAGTAAAAAGCATTCGTAGATCTCATATAGGAGACGAGAGGCAATAACCTCATAGCCGTTGTATCTTATTTCACTCCTTTCTATAACTTTAATAATTTCACCTTACATCCCTCAACCTTTCACATCTGAGACAGGTCCATTTACATCCCTTATGTTTTTGTATCTCTTTCATCCCTCAGGCTTAATTTTCCGTCTCTCTACACATTTCATTTACTTTAGCTTTATACTAGCTCGCAGCCAAAAGAAAAAGTCACTAAGCCTAGTGACATGTTCAGACCGTCTGATGGTATCTAGTAATGATAAACTTGGCATCCTAGAAGTCACAAAAGCTTCACTTATCTACTAGCACAGTGTAAGAGTCGCGCTCGAGAAGGCACCGACTTGTCCCCCATCCTACGCACTTTGTTGCGTATATCCCAATTCTGCGGGTGACCTCAGCAATACATTGGACAAGCTATTCAAAACCCTGTGATGCAAATCGTTGTCGATAGTGGGCTCGGGTATAGGAGTCGTTTGCAACTGGAACCGAGTTATCTCGGATGAATGTTCGGTCTAACGAAAGTCGAATTTTGCTGAGCAATATGTCTTCCCATCCAAATTCGAGTACTCTTTAGCTTGTTTTGCCATATTACGTACATGTATGTCCGGTATCGAAAGTAGAATGTAAAGGACCAGATGTCAATCAAAATGGCTCATTCATTTACCATTTATTATTATGATGTACCTGTTACTACATGGGTAAGCTGGCATCCATTTCTTGGCCCCTGGGTCCACTTACTAGGCTTGGCACTGACCTTGGCGTTAGTCTTGGCAGCAGTCTTGGCACTAACATCGGAAGACAGTCGCATTGTTCTATGTATAAACCTACTATAAACTTGCTCTATTTTGACAATGACACCCATTCAACCTCTAACTAATTGCCGGTTTGGTATTAGTTATACCATAAGAGTCCTTCGTTCAACAGTATACATAGAATTGGATGAACGAGAAAGGGTACTTAATTCGTATGATAATAATAATGTCAAACTAAAATTATTCATTGTGGGGCAAATAGGGGTCCCCCGACCCGGGGGAGTGAGGGTGAGGGCCATGTATGTATTTATGTATGTATGTAGCACCCTCCCCGGAAAGGACCGTGTATATCCATGACTGCACGAAATAGTATAATCCATTTCGATGTTTCGGAGGTCGGAGCTCGTGTTGAACTCATATACGGAGTAGTGGAGACTATACGAATATGTATAATGATCGGCGGCGATAGGCAGCTGTTCTGATATTTCGCCAAGAGCTGTTGGTACAGAAGCCCACGTTTTGGCATCGTTTACTCCGTAGCAAGCACGGAGTATGGGGTGCTTCAACGTAAGTATTAACCGCCGGATACCCTTCTTCTCATCTACATGTACTAGTAGCTTGTGACCATTGTCAGTTAACTTATGCCTCGGGTATCCACAAATATGCCTTAGGCAGAAGGGTCTCGTGGGCAATTTCTCGAAGAGGCAGTTGGTCGCAATACCAAACACAATGACCTTTTTCATGCCAATGAGCTAGATACAGCTACAACCCTGCCGATTCAGGGGCCATCTAACGCAGTGTGTATAAATATGGCCCTTTGCTTCTATCAGACTCGGCTTCCAAGGAAACTACATCTTCAGTCCTTTGTTAACTTGGCTGTTTTATTTGGTCCCTCATCTCATCGGCCCCAAGGCGGTACACCCCGATGCATTTCAGCCAGTTTGGTGCACTGCTTTGCCTTCTGGCTCCGGCCAGTGGCATAGCAGTCAGGCCTTATGGAGGAGTCCCTCATGCCCGAGCACTCTCTTCTTCAGCACCTTCAGCAACCCGCGTTGTCGCGTTCGCTGCGGCTGCGGCAACCGGAGGACCCAACGCGGGAGACTCTAGCCATAATATCTCATCGCTTTGGACAACAGCACAATGTGACCAGAATTCCATTGACGATGCTACTGTCGCTTTCATTGATCGATGGTATGCGGCAGGCGTTCCAGGGGCCTGGAATACGATGCTTGCAGAGTGGCAGAGTGGAGCTAAGGACGGCATGTATCGCAACCTCGCATTTCCGCAGTTCGTCAGTTACTACTTCCACGGTCCGGAGCAATGGAATTGTAAAGATGTCGGCAGCGTCCCATGCTCTACCGTCGTCCAGTGCAAGGACGTCGATCATCCAGCAGGGTATGATTTCAATCATAGGTCTCGCTTGGTACCATTACCGTCGTGTTGACAGCAGTATAGCTACCTTATCTTGAATTCTTTCTCTGGTATCCATCAGGTAAGCTCTCCCTAGATTCCCGAATTCAACTTTTAAGCAGAGGATGCTGACCAGAAAAAACCACTACAGCTACACAGTGAGATGTCCGGTGCACTCGATACTGCGATGCTTGAAATCCAGGGCAAGATAGGCAAATTTTCCGAAATATTTGCTCCCCAGAGTGATGACACCAAGATAATCCTGGCAATTTTTGACGCCTTGACCACCATGATGGGCTTTAGTGTTTCAGCGTTCTTCAGTGTCGGTAAGTATAAAGGCCACCTTTTTCATTCGAAAACCCCCGGATTATAGATTAACGAAAGTGCAGTTGAAAAGGATGTCGCAAAAGCAGCCTCGGGTATCTCCACGAGCCATGTAAAGCCTCCTCCCCAGGCTCCTTCTAGCGCTTATAGCGATCGTGGCCCTCTTGAAACTATTCCTGAGGGTCTCGCCCTTGGACCAAAGACGCAAGAGAGGACGGAAGAGGCGCTGAAATTGAAAGGATCTGAGATTGAATTCGATGGTAAGGCGTATGCTAACGACATGACCTACCAAGTTTATGGTATCACAGCAGCCTGGACCAGGAATAATGCCCCTACGTAAGCCTACACATGCCCCTCAAGCTCCCCCGAGGCCGTCCATTCTAATCAGAATAGGGTTCATGATAAACTTGGAGCTCAGAACTCACTAGCCTCCGCTCTCGGCGACATATTTGAGGCTTGGAAGGGTGTCGAGGCATCCTATCTAAAAAACATATTTTCGGGCGAGGAATCATCAGTGCACGACCTTGAAAGTCTCATTGAAGATGGCAAAATGAACTTTATGCCAAACAAACTAGACGAAGCTCAGATGGCAGCGGATTTACAGTCGGTACTATATGGTCAACTGATGCCTACTGCGTGGAAGACCGCCTCCAAGAACGCCGGCGCTCATCCAATTATCCTGTAAGATGTCTCAACTCCTTATTTGAGAAAATTGTGCTAATCAGAATGCCTACCACAGGAAGACGGATTTCAGCTGTGAGAACAAGGCTGCTAAGATACCTGAGATCAGCGACTATAGCATGATGACTGATGCGGACTCTGCCAGCACACGTGCGTGCTGGAATGAAAAGCTGGTATTCCTTGTGAACGCTAATGAGTGGGACTTTTTCAATCAAGTTCACTTCACACCACTGCCCGGTGTGGATAGCACCAACCTCTCTGGAGATAAATGGGGAGGCATCACCATTGATGACATTGTTGCAAGTGCAATGACCGGATATGAGAACGCTGGCAACAAAAACGGCTACAAATCACCGAGTTCAGAGGACATTGAGAAGGATAGCAATGCCGATAAGTATGGAAAGCGAATCCGTTACCCTGGTTTCTTCAATATCCCTGTATGCGATGGTTTGGAGAAGACCAAACAGGCTATCGGTTCCAATCACCACGCAAACTCTCCTTTCTGGCCTTGCGACGCGCCTGAGAACTTCAACAACGCAGGAACTACCATTGTACGTCCAACCTGTCTTCGAATTTCCAAGCGTGGTGCCAGTTGCTAATCGCCGGTGTAGCATGTGAACGTGGGATGGATTACCGCTAATGGTGATAAGCCTGTTTGCGATACGTTCAGTAAGTGGTTGCCCCGTGCTTGGTTTTGAATACAAGCTTACAATGTGATCTGTAGAGGTTGATGATCCAGGAAATGGTGATACACTCAATGCAACATTGTATGGACGATTCGATCCACACAACACTGCCGATTCTACTGTCAAGGCAAACTGCAAGATTACTTTCTCCTGGCCAAAATCGTATGGTGATATCTATTATGGAGAGGACAATTGCATGTATGACGGCGAATCCAAACCAATCCCGGATGCAGATGGCAACCCCGTGTGTTGCAAGCAGGACAATAACCTCACTGAGAAGGTCACTAACCCATACTTTGTTGGAGGCGCATGTACGCCGAACTGATCTTCTATCCTTGAAATCCCTGTGCAATATGACCATGCTGAATGTGGGGGTTAAACTGGGGTTGATGATGCTCTGACTGGAGAGAAACCCGTTCGGTGTTCAGATGTGGTTTCCTTTGGAATTATTCCTAACGTTACGATCGTTTTATCCTTTTTCCCTTCTTTCCCACTTCATGTGCCTTTTGGCTATACCAGTCTGATAGATAGTTAATTTTACACAGCTTCTTGTATTTCTGATGAGTGCTGATGACAGTCCATAGTTTGTTGGTGGCCAATCCAACTTTCTTCTTTGCCTTTCACAAACAACTCTCGCCACAAATGTCTCAGTTGTTTTATCTCTCACTTGTCCGTCATATCCATCTCTTGACCAACTACTTGCGAGCCCTTTACATCTAAGACCTGTAGGCCAGTCTAAGGCAGGCCGAGTTCTCATTTTTCTTCCACCCCATCCATCTTTCCTCATATCGCTTTCCGTACGTCCTGTCTACGGTAGTGAGTTGCCCTAGCTGTCCAAAGGAAAAAAATCTTGACCTCTACGGCTGAAATATTTAACGCAGTACAGAATGAGACTCCCCGTGGTTGCTATATGCCCCGATTTTCAAGCCATAGTGGAGTAAATCTAATTGCTTTACCTTTCAACATTGCTTCCGATACTCCTCCTCCTCAGGAATGTCATCCTCCAGTCATCCCTTAGGCTCAGGCCTAGGCACTACACCGTCATCACAAGTTCCTCATCCCCGCAAAACCCATGTGCTCCTTCTACTCGTGCTTGAGGGGAACGCAAAACAGGTTGTTCATGATTTCGAGAAGCTTGTTGAAAATCTGCCTGCCAAACTCCAGGCTAAAATAACAGATGCATATGAAACTAATGCATCTGCCGGTGTGTTTCTACGGATGACTTGGGAGGCATATGCTCGAATCCTGTCAACCGTAGAACTTGAACCACTACTTCCTGTCATCGGACTCTCCCTAGTTCGAACCCAGGAGCTGCGGGAAGTTCCTGTCTTGGCAAGCCGAGAAAATATCTCATTCCAGGATCGACCCCAAGACAAAACATGAGCTTACGATAACCCCTCCATCTCTCCTTTTATGTTACCTGACATGTGGTCCGAGGCCTAGGCTAGGTAGTTGATACCTAGGTAGAACCATCCTTGATTCATCCACCAACTTGTACCTTAATGGTAGCATGTCTTGGTATTCATCTCAGCGGGTTCTCCTGAGTCAAAATCTCATTTTCTAGCAAGCATATATAAGCCGCTTACAGATTAGCCATATTCGCGAAACTGTGGCTGAATAAAATATTTTTATATAGTGAGTAACCTAAGTAGTCTAAACACCTTTCTAACTAAGGGAATATTATATATAGTGTAGATCGAAACTCTAACTAGTTGCTATATACTTCGATTTTCAAGTTATGGTACGGAGTAGAGTGAACCTCACTCTTGTATTATTCTGCTTTATTTCCACTGTTAGCCTTCCATCCTCATAATAGTCGGAACGACGTCAATATCAATGATACACCGTGTCACCTTTGATAACAGTCTCGTATTAGGCCATGCCTTATAGTAGGGGAGTCTTATGGTCTTAATCTTTGATTGTTCCGCTAGTACAAAGAGGGCCAAATAGCGGGATCCCAATTTAGTCAAGCCCTTCCAGGGTTTTTATCGCAGCTGAGTCAGATAAGAAATGACAACAATAGAAAACCCCAGCCTCCACCAGCGCAGCTCATTATACGACCGGAAGTACAAGCTCCAATTTTACAAAACCATCACAGACTGTAGAGATGGACACCCAACACCCAGCCCAGACTAGGGCTCTCGCGATCCCCGAGATCGTAATATCAATCCTCCACCAAATGGACATGCACACCCTAATCACCGCGCAGCGCGTCTGTCACGCCTGGGCAGACCCAATCCGCAGATTACGCTCGCTACAAGAAGCCTTATTCTTTATCCCAGCCAGCGAAAAAAGCGGGACAGACACACGAGTCTTCAACCCCATGCTAGCACGAGCATTCCACTCAGCGTTTCCATCAGAAGACCTGCGAGGTGCTAGCAATTCAAGCGACAACATAGAGGATGTCGGACTCAGTGATTTCGATCTCGCGAAAACCCCAGCTAAGAGAGAGATGTATCTCCGACCCGAAGCGAGCTGGCGCCGTATGCTGACGCAACAACCGCCTGTCTTCACCGTCGGATGGTTCCGTGAGGGGAGTGGGCCAATGGGTATTTCTTGGTACCAGTCAAGGGCAGCGCGGCAAGATGAGGGACTTCGTATGGGGACTTTGTTTGAATGGCTTGTGAATTTGGGACGCTATAGGTGGAATTCCGCGTCGGTTGCGATTTGTCCGGGTGGAGCTGAGCCTCTGAATACGCCGCTTGAGATTGAGCGTCCGAATGAGTATGTCTTTACGGATAAAATTAATGAGGATTGGAGGGCTATGGCTGCGGATTTTGATCTCGTGCTTATGACGAGTTCTTCGGGCACGTGTGTGTATCCTGAGGGGTCGGATGATCCTGAGTGGGTGAAGAGTAGCGATGAGATTGTTTGGGAGAAAATTTGTGAGACTTATTGCGAGTTAGGATTGACTGTGGGGGAGTTGAAGATGGAGGTTTATAATGAGGGATGCGCGGGGTGGGATTAGAGCATGGGTTTTTAGCATGAGAAACTAGGGTTTTGTACATATACATATATATGTATGAAGACCGTGTTTATATAGTCTTATTACCTACTGAGATAGAGATGACCAAGTAATTCCTTACTAAAAGATACCCTACGGTTAGGAAGGATTTTCCTGCCAATAGAGCCTAGCTGTTCTTTTCCCTCCCAATATCCATATGCAAAGAGTGAGCAATTGAGTATCTAGTGAGAGGATAACGAGAAAGCCAGAAGTAGTATGCAACACGGATAAACCAGTGATGTCTAGGTTGACTACCTTGGGCTTAGTTTATAATTATCCCCCCGTCTATATTATATGTAGTATAAGAAATTGGCGATAAACAAAGGGAGAGAAGGGTAGATTATAGTTGTAGAGAGTAGACTTCATAGTGGAAATAGCCTTAGTCTCAATGATAAAGGCAATGCTCGAACTACCTAGGCAGTATAGACATTGTTCCTAAATTTGAGGAGCCGGTAGTCAGAAAAAATGTTACATATTTTATACCCATGCACGATGCAAAGCCGTTGTATACATCTGGTCCAGTTAAGTGACTATAGAGGACAGTAAATCCACATGGCCCTGTTTTACAGCCAAAAAAACAAAAATTGTCAAACGATCAAGCACGATAAAAATATGGAAATATTAAATGAAAACGCAGAATATCAAATAGACGAGGCGCTGGCGACGCACGTTATATGTGTGGGAAAATATGTATGAACATTGCCTGCCCTCGGGCAGAGAAGAAAGACCTAGTATATGAAAGTCAGAAGCAAATTGAAACGAAACGAAGAAAAATCAGAAAAAGCAAGAGGGAAACAAAGGGGGAATTGATGAGAAACACATATCAGAAAAAGAAGGGGAAAATGCGAAGAAAAATATAAAAAAAGGAACATGAATTCGTTGTATGCATCAATGTCATTAAGACGCTTTTTGAATGGGAACAAAAGACCAAAATCCTTATGTCCCGTTAAATGTTGAGTCATGCACATAGAACTTCGATCTAGAAGTCATCGTCCATCTCATCACTATCCCATTCGTCTTCACGGTCGTTTTGTACCAGATCCAAAAATCGCTGAAGACCAGGATGTGCCTGTGCTCTACCTGGTCGGATTGCAATAGCCTCCCATTGAATGGGGCCCTCCTCATCTGCTAATGGCTCTGCAGGAACCTCTGCCCACCGTACAGGGCGTCTGGGATCACCTGCCTGTGGAGGGAGACGTTGGGGAGGAACGTCCGCCCATCGGACAGGTCGTCTGGCTTGTCGTCTTGCATTTCGGTTTCGTACCTCGGCCATGGCGCGAGCTTGTGCTTGACGTTCAGCCGCAGCAGCGCGGGCAGCTGCGTGGTCACGCTGGCCAGGTCTGCCGCCACCGCGGTTGACTTGAGGTGGAACGGGGGCGGGAGGAGGAGGGTGTCGGTGGAGGTCGTCTTCATCGTTATCAAATTCAAATGCAGGGTGGTCATCATCGCTTTCGTCGGTTTCTTCGTGAATGGCTACCACATGTGGGTCATCGTCAAAATCTAGAAGTGCGTCTGGGATGCGGTGGAGTGCCTCGGCTCCGTCGGGGTTGATGCCATCACCACCTTCCAAATCCCAAAGACGATTGAAGCATTGGCCTTTCTCGTCATTGAAATGCCTGTATGGGTTGTCTGCACATAGCCAAGCCGAGCAAAGGTAGCAGAAGTGTGTGTCACACTGGAAGCAGCGCATGTGATTGCATCCCATTTGCTTTTGACAGGGCACGTTGCAAGTCGGGCAAGGGGTAGTGTACAGACGCAGGTACTCTTCGGTTGCCTTCTCCTCCTCTGTGGGCTCACCGTCTCGGCGTGGGAAGCAGCGTACCAACTCGCCATGCCAGCCCTTCTTGCAGACGCAGCAAAAGGCGTAGTTACAGTCTTCGCAAATAGACACACGCTCCGCCATGGGAGGAAGCTCTCCATCGCTGAATTCGCCGCGGGGTTCAGATCCATCTTCTTCGTCGGAACTATTCAAGTCATCCGACATGGGATCTTCAGGCTTTGGGTGTCGCTTGGATCGTGCAGCTCCCTGACACCATTGGCGTGGACAGTAGACTGTGGTTTTATCGGCTTCAATTTTCTTCTTCCTCTTGAGGAACGCATAACGTTGAACGGTTTCACTGGCCAGAGGAATCTGGAGTAGCTCACTTGGTCCCAGGGTACGATCACGCTTCTTGCGGGGCGGGGTCTGGCCGTCGCCTGGTACAGCTGCAGGTCTCTTGTTGTACTCGCAATCGGGCGCCATGCATTTTACACTATCAACATCACCTTCGGTGATGCAAGTTTTATAGAAATCCTGCAAGCATTGAATGCAGAATACGTGAGAGCAGCGAAGTAATCGATAGCAAACGGTGCCCTTCTTCGGTTCAAGGCATACCCCACATTCGAAGGTCCCCTGCTCAAACTTTTCCCGCTCGGCCTTTTTGTTGTAGTCCAGCAATCCGATCTTCAATTCCCGCGATAAACATACCTCCCCAGACGGATCCTGGATATTGAAAGTTGTTTCTGCAAGCTGCTGGAGGTGGTCGATATAGGTAAAGACGACCAGATCCTTTCCACATTCTTCCCAGAGTCGGTGGCAATCGCTGGACAATTTATCGATGACCGAGAGAGGTAGCCATGAAGGGATCGTTTTCAGATGGATGATAGGCGGCTTTTCGGTTGGGTAGCCCTCTGGCAATTCAATCTCGAGGTTAAGCGGAGGCAAGTGCGAAATGGGATGGACGTCTTTAACGGGTGGCTGGTCTAGTTCTCCCTTAGACTCGTCCAATGAAGTTGGAGGTGTGATGGCGGCAGCTGCAGTATCGAGCGGTTGCTGAAAACATATTGAGGTCGGGGCGGAAGGTGCGACTGGAAGATCGAGAACGGCTTTGAATGGGGAGAAAGGATCGATTTGAATTTCTGGAAAGATGGCAGCAATCGAAGAAAGCTCGACTGAGCGCTCATCTTCCTGTAAGTCGAGTTCGGTCATGGCGGGATGAAACCGAGTATGATCACTTGTGAAGATTTCTCAGGTGGGGGTTGTTGTATATTTGCCTCCGGTATGATGCTAGTGAATCGCAATTTGGAGACAATGGTGTCTCCTGCAAAAAATCTCAGTAACGCTGGCTCATGACTGTCGTAAAAAAATCCAAGGTAATAATGATGACCGATCCCAAGTGAACTGTCACTAAGGACGATCGGGCACAAAAGGGGGGTTTCTATCCTGCAGGAAGATCACTTCGAATCAGCGTTGCGACTGAGACCCTTGTTAAAAATTCAGACCAACCAAAGATGAAGAGGTCCGAAGTATTCCTTCTATGGGCCAATGTTCGGCGGAAAGTCGGGAGGGGTCTAAAAGATGATGCAATAGAGAGTCTGGGGTTTGGAGAGAGAACAACGGCGTCATGGTTTGAAAGTGAAGTAATAGACGACAAGAGAAGAAAGGAAGAAACCCAAAAGAGACGACTTGAAATATTAAGATCCAAAAAAAAAAGGCAAATCCCCTCGGATGCCTAAAAATGGAGGAAAATAATTTGGCCAGTCGAAAAGGTCCCCCGCTGCCCAATATCCTTATCGCCACGATAAGAAAAGGTCTTGGCATTGGACTTGGCCCTGGGATATTCCTGATCTCCCTGAAAAGGGAATCTCCAATTTTAGGGGACTTTGGAACCTTTGGAACTTCCCTTCACTCTTTTTTTCTATATTACCATGGGAGACACTCCGCTGGCGTCGTTGTCTCTGACTCATGTCCACTACGTTCGTTACATCATTATATCACTGTTTTACTTGCCACTGACTAGTTTCCAGAACCCCGAGGACCAACTGTCCTTTGCCTCAGCATGGCTGGCCTTGATCCCCCAGGCACTATGTGTGTCCTATGCAACCTTGATCTGGTCAACAAGGGAGGTGGAAGTCATCTTGATGTGTGTAGGGCAGTTTGGCTGTGAAGCCTTGAACTTTGTCCTCAAACGTTTGATCAAGGAAGAGCGACCGAAGGGTAAGTTGTCAATCTCGATGGTCTCGTGCGTACCTTCCCAAACTAACACATGTAATTCACAGAAATGTTCGGCAAGGGATATGGAATGCCATCTTCACACGCCCAATTCATGACCTTCTTCTCCGTCTACCTCACCTTCTTCCTTCTCTTCCGTCACAGCCAAGCTTCCGCCAGCTCCTACCCCAATGTCGCCGTCCTCCTACGAGTCCTGGTCATGCTGGCCCTTTGCATTGGAGCTGCTGGTGTCGCTGCCAGTCGGGTCTACCTCAACTACCACACCCCGAGACAAGTCCTTGCCGGCTGTGCCGCTGGATTCGTATGCGCTTGTGGCTGGTTCGTTATCACCAGCCTGCTCCGAAGCTCTGGTTTGATCGAATGGGCCATGGAGACTACTGTGTCCCGGTTGGTCAGGATCCGTGATCTCGTCGTAAGTGAAGACCTGGCTGAAGCTGGCTGGCAACGTTGGGAGTCTCAAAGATTGAAGCGTCGTGGCCTTAGAGAGAAGAAGTCCGAGTAAGGGATGCCCCTTTTTAGCATATACCTACCATAGTAGCGAGCGAACACCTGCCTGTTGATTTAACTGCTTGAAATCAATTTTATTTTACCTCTGTCTTGCATACTCATTCATCGTCGTAAATCTCGAAATAACCTTGGAAACAGTACACAATGGCATTGTAGTCTGGTCACGTGTCAACTTGCCTCCCGCATCAACACCGCAGCGACCGACCACCCCTCGCGCACTGCGAAGACTTGCAAAATGTGTAGTGTTCCATTTGCATGAGTTTAGTTTTAAGTTTGCGCTTACTTTCTTTTCGCGTTTTTACCTGATGTATGGAGCGTTGGTACCCTGGTGATCCACCGAACAACTTTCTGCCAGGAACACAACAACTCAACAAGTCCCCAATGATGGACACGTCTTCAGATCCACCCGAATCCACTATGCAGGAGCATCATATTGTCAAGGCGGATGAGGTCGACCAAACTGGGACCGATATCTCGCCAGTTTCAGACGACCAGCTCATGGAGGAGGTGGCTGAGGGGCTCCGCCAGGAACAGGCCTCGCAGGCGGCACCCGGTCCTGAGATGGCGCCCTCCGCACCCGACAGATCCATGAAACGACCCGAACTTCGTCGTGAAAGCTCTGCTCCGCCGCCTCCGATGCAGCCGCCCCCTCCAGCTCCCGTCCACGAGAATACGGACCGGGGTGCGAGCTCTCTGAGCTTATCGGAGTTGCGGAAGCTTGTAGGTGAAATGCCCAAGATCGAGCAACCAGCCTATGCTTTTGAATATGCCGATGCCCAATCTTTTCCCGATGAGCTCGACGAGTGGTTCCAGTATAACGCCTTTGATCGTGTCATGTTGATGGGCACGAAAGCGACTTTTAACAAGAAATGGCCTGCCTTTTGCCAGCGACGCCAGCGAGACACGCCCGGGGTGCCTTGGCTTGACGCATCCAAGGATTTACGTCGTTCATTTGTTGCTCGGATGCTTGAGGATCTGCAGCTTGCTGAAGGCTCCGCGCGATTGGAAGCCCTTGAAACAATTTGCTATGTTGTCACTGGTGTGTGGGGTCTCAGCGGTGGGAGAGTCGCACCCGACTATCCTTCAGATGGAGGTTCCGAATCAGCAGCCGAAACGCCATTGCTCAAGTCAATGCAGCTTCAGTGCATCGAACAGAATGTTTCCCTTCTCCAGGAATGCTCGGGCGTTACCGCCTTGGTACAGTACATGTGCCGCCTTTTTGATAAGACCCGCTCAGCACTCGGATCGGACTCCAGTGACATTGATTACGAGCGAATTAACCCTGGTGATATTGCGGCACCGGAGCGTGAGGCCAACTTGGTCCTTACAAGTTTATACTTTGCCGTGGAAGTGGGTCGCACGCAACAGGCGCGCGACCCTCAGTGCAGCTCAATCCGCGATGCACTGACCAGCTCGAATCCTAGTCTATTGGTCTCCATTGTTGAAATCATCGCTCGTCTGCGCTGGGACGAATCTGCCAATATCCCGCTGACCAGGATCCTTCTGTTGTTGTGGAAGTCGCTGCTTCTCGTTTTTGGCGGGACCGAGGATTTAAAGCGCGCAAAGGAGGTACTAGAGCCCGCCGTTTCCTCTGAGAAAGATGATTCCAAACGCAGGACACCATTTTTACATGCCTCCCCTCTAGACTACCATCTCTTCCGCCAGGAAATCACTTCCAAATACCCAGCTTACAACCCTCCGCCACTTGTCGTTCCGCTGGAATTGGAAAACAATTCCATTCTACCCCCTCTTCCACACAATGCAGTTAAGATGAACTCGTCCAGTGGTATATTTTGTGGTGTTGCCCCCTCGATTTCCGGTGGAAATGGCTCTATTCTTCAACAGGCCGTTCATATTGCAACCCCAGCTCCATCCCCACCGCCATCTCCTGCCGGTCCAGGAGGGAAAGCTGGGAAGAAACAGAACTACCAGACCAATCAAAATTTCCCCTTCATGTACCCTCCCCTGGATGATTCCAGCAACCGCATTGGCGGGAAGGGCACAACGGAACGCCAGGATGCCTTGGTTGGAAAAAGATGGGAAGGCAGTGATGTCCCTGCGTCAATTATTGAAGCCGGAAAGCTCTTTTCTACCCATGTGAAAATGACTCGTGCGATGCGACAGCTTTGGCAGGAGCGTGAACACTTTATGCAGTACGACCGTGGCTGGAACTCCGAGGACGCTGCTCACTTCCCTGATAACGTCTCGGATGATCTACCGGACGATTTTGAATATCTAGAGTTGTCGGGCGACGAGGAGAAGGCCGAGCCTAAACCAAAACCAGTAGAGAAAGAGACAGATGATCCTGATATCCAGCGGCGTCTGGACGCGGTTGATTCGTTTTATGTGAGTGCACGGTTTCGAGCCCCAATTTCGACATTCGCTTACTGTTTACCAGACCCATACTCTATCTCACCTTCAGTCAATCACCATCGTATTCTTGAAAATCATCCTGACAAATGTCAGCGCAGTGGTCAGCCAGGCTACTAGCCAGACTACGCAGGGCATGAGGTGAGCTCAGACACCTCAAATAACAACGAATTCGTTCTAACAAAAGTTTCAGTAACAGTCATTCCATGAATGGCTCCTCTCACAATCTCCTTTCCGATGCATCCATCGATGAGCTCGACAATGTTCGACTCCGCGAGATCACCGGGAAAGCCGTGTCTGGAACTCTATTGCTTCTCCTTAAGTGGTTTAAGCGATCTCGTGAGTCTACACTCCGAATCCATTTTCTGAATGACGTGTCGCTAACCCATCAAGATATCTTGAAATTTGAATACATGTCACAGCTGTTACTTGACTCCAACTACATCCCCTTGATTCTCAAAATGTTCGCACACCAAGACGTTGACCAAACGGTGGCACATAAGAATGACCGAGAAGACTTATCGTATGTCACTCAACCTCATTTGCTAGCTCACTGGCTAACACAACACCCAGCTTCTTCCACTTCTGTCAAAGCAACACGGACTTCCCCCTGGAAACCGAAGAAAACTCATGCGGTGACACTGAAAGCGAAGATGAAGCCATGCCACCCCCAATCGCGCGCCATCGCTCGGATCCAACGGCAAACGGCAGTATGCCAGGTCTCTCCGAAGAAGAATCCCTAACAGATATCCTCGACGGACCAGCACGCCCCGAAGTCGACGAACTAGGCTACCCAACCGCGCCCCTCCCCAAAGAACCAATCAAAGTATTCTCCTTCCGCAACTTCTTCTCCGCCATCAACTACCTACACGTCATGCAAAAAATCACGCGCAACAAAGCCCACCGCTGCCTCCTACTAGTGCAGTACAAATCAAGCAACATCCTCCGCAAGGGCCTCAAGATCCCCGATCCACACCTCCGCTTCTACACCCTCAAACTCTTCAAATCCCAAGTCCCCTACTGCGGCCGAAAATGGCGCCAGAGTAACATGCGTGTCATTACCGCTATCTACCTGTACTGCCGCCCCGAGCTGCGCGACGACTGGCTCGCTGGCTCTGACGTCGATGCTGAGGTTGAAGAGGCTTTGCCGTTGGAACAGGCCCTTCGTGGTCTTACGCACTGGTGGCATCTGCGCCAGTACAAGGATGTCATGGGTGGTGATGAGGGTGCGTCTATGATGGAGGAAGAGCGTGATTTCTTTGTTCGAGAACTTGAGTCTATGGGCTGGGGTGCTGCTGATGAGATACTCAATGGAACTTGCGAGGAGGAGGTCAGTGCTCCTGTGATGCAGGGTAATGAATGGGAGGGTGTTCCGCTCCCTATGGAGGGGTGGTCGTGAGATCCCTGTCTTGTGAGGCAATGAGATCAATGAAAATGCTTTCTATACCCGCGGTGGTTTTTCTGTTCGGTTATGTTTATGTAGTCAATTTTACTACTGGTTTTTTTGTATGTCGAGCTTTTAGTTTTTCTATAGTTATCTTGGGGAATTCAAGTTTCACTCTGGGTCAATCGAGCCTTGTTAACCACTAACTCATGGATTAAATTTACATATATGGCCGCCTGTCCTGATATATATGAACAAACTCAAAGAGGTAGTCTTTACAAAGTGCAGGCTACCTAGTACATGAAATATTGGTGCGTAAGCGGAAGCGAGGTAGCCGCCTCTGCTTTGCAGTGCACTCAATCGGCCATAACCTCTGCTTGACTACCAACGTGCTCTTCCAATTTCAGTATCTGAAGAAATGTGACACAAAAAATGCTTGACCGTGCTTTATATCTAAACCAAGTCAACAAAAACTAGACCCGAATAAGGTCAACTGTAGTGGTCCGATACCGTCCTAGCCCGCGAGACGGTGCCTGGTTTCCCCTTCTTACCTTCGTTTGAGCCCTCTAGTAAGCTCAAAATGCTTCAAAATGCGACCCTTACTTCACTCCGTAACTCCCTTCCAATATGTCTCAGTTTTGGTCAGTCCACTAGCACATTAGTGACTGTTTCCTGTACCACGCACACGCAGTCTCTATACATCGGAAAATTCAATGTCCCTATATGTATAGATTTGGTTTGATTCAGCTATAAATCCTGTGTAGTCTTGTGGAGCAATCTAAAATGATATGAATTCACAAGACAGCAGTAACATCAAAGAAACAAGGGTACATCTTCCGACCATCCACCCGGCATCTCCATCCGTCGATCAATCATTGCCCAAAAGTCTCCCACAAATTCATCAGAGGGCTCACTAATCCATAAGCACCAGTCCTCCGGTGTTGGGCCGTGTGAGAATCCAATCAATCGAATAACAAAGAGCCTCGATCTACCGAAAATTCGAAAATCGATACACCCCCCTTGGTCTTTCAGTATCAACTCTTCCCTCTCACCGAACTCTTTTAGGTTGACACCAGCACTTTGAAGATCCCGCAATAGCGCTCCAAGGGCTTCATTGCACTTTTTCATAAGCGAGCCTTCAAGCGGTTTAGAAAGCTGGAAACAACCATCTAAGAAAGCGTGCAATAGAGTCAGCCCGTTCATTGTTTGGTGTATGTGAAGACCATTGTCCAGCATTTCTCGAAACATGATATGCCATTCCTCATAAACTGTGTGCTGCATAGCCCTGTCCTTGATGGCATTATAAGGCCAATTTGAGCCAATTTTAGTGCAGCCCATACAATATGCAACACCATGAGGCAAAGTGAGCATGTGAGTTCTGCCGACAAAAGAGCCAGTGCCTGGAACTTCAAAGTTAGAAAGTGTAAAAGAGATAACTTCAAATTTGGAAGTTGTAAAAGAGACCCCATTGAGAATGGCCCTAATGATGAAGGGCCCATTCCAAAAATTACGGGATAAGGAAGGACCCAGTTCGTTAATGGCAAATCGAATGCGCTGCTCATCGGACAAGGTGAAAAATAACGGGCAGCAGGCTCGCTGGAAGAAAGCAAATTCCTCTGCTGTGCCTCTGAACCTGTGAAAACTTCTCATAAAGACATCCCGGGGATCCTCCTGTGATTCATCTTCAAACTGACAGAGCAGCCGTAGAAGTGGGAAGATAGGTTGTGACTTCATGGGAGGGTTAATCCTAATTCGCCCTATTGTAGAAATAGGCTTCATATTTGAATCATCCAGTGCATTTGGATCAGCCCCCTGGTTCAGTAGAAACTCCGCTACTTCGAAACTGTTATTGTAGCAAGCCCACTACTATACTTTAGAAACCTTCTGTGAAGGGATAGGATGGTAAGCCACTTACAGATAGTAAAGTCATTCCTAAATCATCCCTTACAAAAAGGGAGACCTTCCCAGATGAGAACACCTGACGTAGACCATCAAGGTCTCCATCTTTGGCAAATTCAAAGGCCGGGTCACCCCGTGGAGGAATATCATACGTGCGAAATACCCATTGCCAACCGCCGTATGCTCTTTTCCCTTGAATTTCAAAGACCTTCGAGGTGACCCAGATTGGCAGACCAAGCCGCCATGAATATATGCCTCTTTGCGACGATATGTGCACTACACTAGAAAGTGATCCAGGCTCTTGTTTATTTTCTTGATAATAGTTAGATATTATAAGCAGGATAATAGCTGCGACTGAGCCTTACTGTCACTTGTGTTGTCATCAACTTGAATCTGAGGGACCATAACTGGTTGTATCTGCATTAAAGCTCTGTAGAAATATTAGCTATAGAGCTTGTAGTGAGAAATTTAGCCAAACATACATTGAGTAGCATTGCTGCGAAAGAGAAAGCAATCTAATCGAATTGCTGAGCCTGGCCTTGTACTTCTCCACTTTCCTTTTTTGAAGCACTATTTTAAACGAAGAGTAGGATCGCCTAAAGCGACTAGATAAACGGAGGTCTTTGGCAAGATCCTTTGAAATGATCTGAAGGTTCTCTGCTGCCTTCTTGCAGACCTCTAGACTCTGAAATGAATGTTCACTCATTTCTATGGTATTCGCCAGTGGGCACGATGAAAGATTCTGTTCGATTCCCCTCAAGATAAGATCATAAATTTCTAGCTCAGCGATGAGCTCTTGCAATTCCTCGGGCGCGTCGCGGATCTGGCTCCAGCAGTCTTTGATTTGGATAATCGACTTGGAGATCTGCGCAACGACGGTTGCAAAGGTGATCGCCCCTGAGACGATCCCGATCACTTCAGTCATCTTGTCCCTGCGACCGCACAGGTGAGCTGCTGAAAGAAAGAGGAGAGAGGAGGTAATACAGCGGGTTTCGTGGCGCATGATTTTGTTATGCATGAGGGCGACTCAAGTCGCTCTTTTCATTGGGCATCTATGCTGCGCCTCGGACTCAGTTAGCGTTGGCTGATTTGGCCCCAGCAGGCAACTTCTCAAGCAGCCAATTAATCCTTCTCAGATGCCTACAACTAGCCGCCTTAATTAATAGTGTCATGCTATCGCTATTTTTTACATCACAATCTGCATGTTGCGATGAACACAAAACCACCGGCCTCGCCGCCTCGAAGAGGGCCGGGTATGGTATGTATGAAGGACATTTCCGATAGGACTTTCGGCCCAAGAGACCTTCTACTAGTAGCCACTAGGAGCTACTAGTAAGCAAAACTCACCTGACAACCTGACAACCCCCCCAATTCCTGAATTGTTCAGTGGCACTTGTATGAAGTAGTTTTCTTACATCCTATCGGCGCCATGGGCCCTCTGCCTTCAGCACGGCCGATTTCTCCACCTGAATGTCCCATAGGCAGAGCTCGATGCCTAAAGCGTCAACGCCAATGACAGCAGCCTTCGGATTTAAGGTCGAAGTGCCTATCCTTAACGCCGGAGCAACGACAATCTTGGTCTGGAGAGCGCAACAAATCAGGCTTAGGTGAGGTATCGGCTTTAAAGCAAAGTCCGCATATTCATGTGCATGATAAGCAATTACTTACATAGATACAAACCATATGTAGACCCTCCACTTTCGCTACATTCTGCATGCTCCGGCTACTCAAGTTCACCCGTCTCTTTAACGAAAGAACGTCTACAGCAATCCGCCAGGCATCTACCCACCATGGCTGGAACGCACCACGCCGCAATCCTCCCACAAAAGGGCGGACCCTTGTCTGTTGAGGAGCGAGCCACGCCCGAGCCCGGTCCAAATGAGGTTCTCATCGAAGTCAAGGCTGTCGCCTTGAACCCCGTCGACTATTACCAGCGTGACTTCGGCATGCCTCCTGTGCCTATCTATCCATCTGTTCTTGGGTCCGACACCTCTGGTATCGTCGTAAAGGTGGGCTCCAATGTCTCCACAGTTCCTGCGCCAGGAAGCCGAGTCATTGCATTTGCCTCATCCTTCTACCAGAATGGTTCGCCAGACCACGGTTCCTTCCAGCAATATGCCTTGGCCCAGTCTGAAGGCGTTATTGCGCTCCCAGAGGCCCTCTCGTTTGAGGAGGGTGCTGTCTTCCCCTTAGCCGTCTTAACCGGCTTAACTGCCTGGACCACAATCGGCATCTCGCTCGACACCAAGTACACCCAACAGGATAAGCAGGCGGTCCTAATTTGGGGCGGAGCTAGTAGCGTAGGCACTTTGGCCATTCAATCAGCCAAGTCGCTCGGCTTTACCGTCTATGCCACCGCCAGTCCTAAACACCATGATTACCTCAAGAAGCTCGGAGCGCACGCAGTTTTTGACTATAAAGCGAGTGGTGTCGTCTCACAGATTGTTGAAGCTGTGAAGAAGGATGGCGTCAATCTACACAATGCACACTGCGTCGTTGACGGAGGTCTGCAGCTAACACTCGACGTTCTTAAAGAAACAAAGGGCGATGCAGTCGCTAAGGTTGCCCATTCGCCAATTTTGCCCCCGGATCATCCAACGCTCGAGAACACGGAGATTACGTTCAATTTCCCATCGATGGATCCGGCCGAGAGGAGTAAGCACATGTACCAGTGCTTCCATGGATGGCTGAAAGACGGTCTTAATTCCCGTTCAGTCGTTCCCAGTCCGCCTCTCCAGATTGAAGGTGGCGGTCTGGACGGTTTGAATGCAGCACTGGATAAGCTGAGGGCCGGTGTCAGTGGGGCTAAGATTGTTTTGTCGATCTGATACACAGTTTGTCCATAGCTGATATCGCCAATACGAGTAGCTCGGGGACAGAGAATCACAATAAAGAAGTTTATCCGTGGATAGCCGGTCCTAAAGGCGTCACCACTAAATAGTTTATCTTTTTTCTTGATGTTTACATGGAATATACTCCAGAACTAAGATTTATATGCAAAACCAATATTCTTCTAGCATATCACTGCAAAAACCAAGAAGGAACTTCTGGTCCCCACACAGCGAGAAACTCATCGCCCGCCGGTCCATACCCGATGGGTGTCTGATCATTTACCAAATCCCCATCCGCATAGTGCTCAATCATATTTCCCGTCGTATCCCACCAGTAGTCGAAAATCTGCGATCCGAGAATATGCCGACCAACACCCCACACTGACTTGTACCCTTTTTTAGCAAGCCATTGGTGGCCTAGTTTCTGTGTGTTGAAGTCATGGACTTCAAATGAGCAGTGGTGGACGTGGCTTGTCGGATTGGAGCTCATGAAGAAGGTATGGTGGTCAACATGCTTCTCGCCTCGGTCGATGCGGGCAAATAGAGCCACATTCTTCTTGTTTCCTTCTCTTTCGATGTAGAGGAAGTCTGTTGGGGCGATATTGAAGTTCTTAGTATAAAATTCGACGAGTGCTTCGAAGTTTGTGGTGCAAACACCGTAGTGACCAAGCTATTCGGGGTGAGCTTTTGCTCCTAGAGTAGTGAGTATATGAATGGGGGCCATATATGGACTCACTTTGTGGACTGCAGCAGGCCCTGGCTGAAACCGCTGGAACCGGCGAACTCTTGGCTTCTCGGTCTCATAGTTGATCTCGAGAATCTTCGGATATGGTCCAGGAATGGCTTGAGTCTGTCCAAAGAATAAATTCATCTGAAAGCCTTCCGGGTCTGTCAGTGTCACCATATAGCCTCCCCCAGGGGCATCTGTGAGCTCTTCGATCTTTCCGGCTGTCGGTAGTTCAGTTGCCCTAGAACAATTATTAAGGGACATCATGAACAAATATTTGTAAAGTTACCTCTGGAGATCCTGGTAAGATTCAACTTCAAATGCGCCACCAAGGAACTGCTTCGGCCCCTTCCTAGCATAGTAGACGTAGGGGTCTACTCCATAACCGCGATACCAAACTTCGTCATCGGTCTGCTTTGCGATTGTCATACCAAAATCTAAGTATAAATTAGATTAGCCAAAGATTCTATATAATTATCTTGAAAGCCAATTCCAAACACATACCCTGAAGAAACACAGTAATTTCATCCAGGTCGGGGTGCTGGTATCGCATATGCGCCAGTTTAACAAGACGAATTTGAGAATCTGTCCTGATTCCACATCTTTCACGCCATGCCACTATACTCTCCGACTCAGGGCCGATGGCAACAACGTCTTCGATAGAGGCGCCGCAGTTTGCTTGGATTGCCTAGGGGATTGGATTGATCAGTGATGTACTCATTTACCGACAAAGCATACCTACCATGTTGGTGATTTCGATATTACCCTACTCGTGATAGTGAAACACCCTCTGGACTCAGGCTCGATATCAAATAATCCGTTACTTTATTCAATGATATTCGATGTCACACAAAGCCCTCTCCCTGCAGTCCCGCACAGCCCCACATCCCACGCTTCTCGGCGGGACACCACGCGGGGCCCCATACATACTCAGATTTAGATCCAGGATATGTATATCGAGGTATATGCTGGTAGTAACAACATGAACGGCCCCATAGTGGGGGACTAGGCGAACGTCACAAGCGGCAGATGAGGGTGCGCGTCTTGCCGATGGCAATTCGCCTTAGCGTGGTTCTTTTAATCCCGCGATTCAATTTGCAGTTCCGATTGACATCTTGTGTTCTACCTGGGCAAGATTTAAAGAGTTACATGATTAGGGTTTAGAAATGGGCGGGTTTTACAAGGCATGGATTCACATCTAGTTTGCTTTTTATTAGGAGAGGTCTACAGATACGTCAAAATGCTTGGGTTGGTGGGAGACGAGGAAGCTAAGTTGCTAGACTAGTAATTTTGACATTTGACACTTTTCTCTTAGGATTGATCAGGGTAAATACTCGGCATCGTACGGGATGTACACAAGAGTACAAGTCAACATCTTCTCCGAGCATGACTAAAAGCCAAGGTTTTCATTCTATACTCCCACAGTCAATGGGCATACAACTGGCTCTTTGGCCTGACCTATATATATTCGTTAATGTTAAAGCTGCCTGCCAGTGCCGTTTCGTTTTCATTTCATATGTCCCGAACGTGTGAGAGTCTTCCGACAGGGTGAAAAGCCTGGATTGAAGAAGATGAGATGGATGAATAATCAACTACTTCACCAAAGCTGTCTCGCACAGCACGCTATCCAACATCTCACTGTCGCATGGCGCGCCCAAGGTAGCAGGCGTCATACACAGCAAGCTATCCATCAATACAGTCAACACGTCGATTTCCTTCCACAAGACAACCACCGATTTCCACGCCTCTCTTGCATGGTGACTTCTTGCGCTACCAAACAGACGTAAGGTGTTTCCAAGGCCAAACTAAGGTATGTACCACCTCCGTTGCTCTTGACCACCCGCATAAATCTTCTCTCGTCAAATCCAGGCTTATTTGCGATTTTATAAAACAGGCCGGTTGATTTACAAAATCAAAAATGCAAAAACATAATGGGATGAGCCGGGATCGAACCAGCGACCTTGCGAACTTCAGTCGCACGCTCTCCCAACTGAGCTATCGTCCCATTTGGGATGATGTCATGTTCATTATGATAGTACATCCATGGATAGCCCTAATCTTCAAATGCTGTTGTGGTTGAGGAAGATTTACTTGGGGTGAAATGCGAACCTAAGGTTAGAGTGTCAAGAAACCCAATAATTAAACCAAAGGGAACTATGACCTCCTTATCCGATTCCGCTGAGGTTTCCTGAGCATCTGAAACCTTGTGTAATACTTTTTTAACTGCGAATATTATCTCTACGGGTTTTCACTGGGCAAGCTTGCCGGATACCTCGTAACGGCATTCCTATCATCGTAGGCATATTTACTATTTGTGCCTGTCTATGTTGTTAAATAAGATAATAAGTATTTGAATAATAACGATATTAAATGTTTTCTATCCATTTTTGAAATATCTTTTCGGAATCAAAAGCAAGCAACGTAGAAATATATATACTTTCATTATCCACTGGCATTTCTGAAGCTACATAGGTAGGTAAAACACACTAATAATCAATAAGTCATAAATGATAGTGTTTGTAGGCTAGTGAGAATAGCGTGCACTTACAAATAGTAAGGCTTCAGCATAGGAAGTGGTGAGAATACGTATGTAGGTATAAAAAATAATACAATGTCCATGGTCACATTTTTGTAGTTGCGTCTGTTTCTTTTTACTGAACATTACAACCTCCCCGCCAGTTTAATTCCAAGGTTATTATAAAGGGTAGAGTACATAAGGACCTGGCAACTGGCCGCATTGGTTACAATATAACTAGATTTAATCGGGAAGTTAAACGTTCACTCAAAAGACTACCCGCACCCGTGGACTACCTAGGTATGGTTGACATGTTAGGTCATCAATTCAAATACTATTTACGCTGCACCTCTAATAGGCACTAGTGCACTCCGAGGTCTTGCATGGTTACCTATTGCATTCGTAGATGCCGTTTAAAACACTGAAGGGTGAAAGCGACCAACTAGCTTTTGATGCTTCTCTTGATAAAGTCAATATAGGATTTGATCTTCATCCCAAATGGGACGATAGCTCAGTTGGGAGAGCGTGCGACTGAAGTTCGCAAGGTCGCTGGTTCGATCCCGGCTCGTCCCATTAGTTTTTGTATTTTTTTTTGCCTACTTCGTCTACGGACTACCAACTTAAATATAGTTAAGTTAGTTAAGTATGTAGACAATTGCGGCATCGCAGTGCACAGCGACCATCTAGGACTGTTGGCCGAATTTAATTCCCGCCTTTCTCTTGACCTTAGTTCAACAATTGCGCAAAGATCCAAGGTTAAGAAAAAGACCCTTACCAAGTATTTGGCGATATTTGGGATTACCTGTAAGGCGCATTCGTCTTATGCGTTATCTCTACCTAGGTAAGGTAACCTTGGAAGGCATTGATAATCTTAGTACGGAGGGAGTACTCAGGTTCTGACATAGTATGGATGCGGTATTCCCAATATGTATGTATTACTTACTGCTCTACAGAGTACCTATTATATATAGGATGTAGAGGCCCTACACGCAGCACGTCAAGCTAAGCAATACTTGCATTTTTATATATTGTTAGAGATATACGTAACATTGCCTTAATGGTGAGAACAAGCTTGGAACCAAGTGCGCCCAGGTGGGCGGCCCCGGGGGCCCCGGCACCCTGGAGGTGGATGACTAATCCCCACTGGCAACCTTGGAATCCATCCATGGATAACCCATGAACCCAATACCTAAGACTAAAGTAAAGTCACGGTTGCTATGGACCGCGATATTAGAATTAGACTTATGATGTCTGATTGTGCATGAATCGTCATCTTAAATGGGACGATAGCTCAGTTGGGAGAGCGTGCGACTGAAGTTCGCAAGGTCGCTGGTTCAATCCCGGCTCGTCCCATTATGTTTTTGCATTTTTCCTGCTATCAGGGAATTACAGTTTCGCGGGGTGTAGGTGCCGTAAAGAATATACTTTTTTTATAACGGCAAGAAGAGACCACATTTGACGCTGTTAGCTATTTAAAACAACAAGGATGACGGCAAAACCGCCCAGGCACCGGAAGAAAATTTACGAATCAGTGACTACATACATATCATATGTATGGAAGGAGAGAAAGAACTATCTATCTATACAACCGAATAAAACCACCAGAGAGCAAGCAAGCAGACAGAAAGACAGGCAGGCAACGCCAGAGAGCCGTGTTCCCAACAAAGGAAGACTTCTTAAGGCTATGATATGTGGTTGCCATTATAATAGTTGGATAGAAGAAACGGGGGAGAAGGAAGATGATAATTCGGTAGCAATTCTAGTATCCACCAGCCCGACAAGACTACATCTACTAGCTCTATGGATGTAACTGTAACCCTAGGAGACACCCTTGGAAGGAGCAAATCTACCAGGAACTCTGTTAGAAGAAGAGAAAAATATGGTATTTCCGGCAGGAGCTTCACGGCCAGGCTGGCTCGGTATGCTCCACCTACCTATGTGTGCTCCAGGCCCACCTCCGGTGTTGTTTGGCCGGTTTGTGGTGATTTTATGTGCGGATACCAACTTTTTGCATCAGTTCTTGGCGTGGGTGGGCTTACCGAAAAGAGGCTGTATAGCACTGAACGGCTCGATCGGGTAATGTAAGCCGTGGCTAGGAGTGAGCCAATTGGAAGTTGACATCAGAATATTGGAATTAAGAGCGCTCAGGTCGAAACTACATGTATGCATCCTCTGCAAACTAAGCTGGTATTCGCATATTCGAGTTTTCGAAGGCGCATGATTCATTCTGACTGGAATGAGGGGAGGTTTCTAGTCTTCGCACGTGAGACTGAGAGCCTGGAGTTGGAGGTAAAGACCACCAAATTTAGTGCGGTCCCCTCCCAAGGTCTCCCCTGGATCAGCTCTTCCACGTTGGAGCTGATCGTGTGGATCGGAAGAAGCAAGGAGTGCCGATCCAATGTTTGTCGCACCCAGGTACCAGACTCCGATTGACGCGAGTTGATCTGGACAGGTGGGGGATTTGTGGCCTCAAACACTGAATTCATGACCAAACGACGATATTTGCGGGGGAAGATTATGTATTCTTCTGACGTGACGCATCACTCATTATATTGCCTAACGCTGAAAAAATTCTGGATGATGGATGACGTCTTGGATATCGTAATAAAGAGTCGCTAATACTTTATTAGTATCGCACTGCTTGAGATTTGACATCAAACAATCTACTGGCGGCTGGAGGCAATTATACACAAAGTACACATGAATGGCTGTTCCGGGTATGTGCTATAACGTGGCGGGCAAGATGCTTATCTCTCACAGACGACTTAGAGCACCAAGAGCACACTCGCTGGCGCCGAATCCAAAGGCGTTTGTAGCCATTATATCATTGCCAATCGAGCGAATGACGAAGGAGCGCGGCGGTGGGACGCTGAGATTCAGTGGGGTACACCTTTGCTTCAGACCCCAGAGCTTCATTTGTTCAATTTGTCCTGGGGTCGGAAGAATTTAGTAAACGATACAAGCGATGGTAATACTGGCTAATATTGAGAAGCCTAAAGGGGATTCGAAGTTTCCGACATCCGTGCTGAATGGGTCCCAAATCTCTGGCGAACACCGGCAAATCAATCTGCATCTCAGCACCCCGAATCAGCGTAGCGTCGTGATCTGGGAAGCAGGTTTTACTCGAGGGGAATCCGTTGATATCTGTGGTCATCCAGGGGTAAGTGCTAATTTATTTTGCCTTCTATCGGTCGATTAGCAGCTAATTTTACCAGGAGAAGCCTGGTAGTATCGGTTACAAGGCGATGGCAGATAATTCCAAAGCGAGACGCTATCGAATCCGATCGTCCATCTGTCCGTGGACGCAATCGGCACCCTCGATCGTGTATCGTGCAGCCACAATATGCACCTACTCAGTTTCTGGTTCGGTAACTGGCGCGGCGCTTAGTTAGTGTGGAGAAACCAACAGAATATAGATTCAAGCGCTTTCTTGATTGGATTCCTCGAAAAAGCAAACATTCAAATAGATACTAGCCGACCAGTTCTTTGAGTCCTACCAGATCCTTGCTAGCCAGTTACCCCCCTTTACCCTGCCTTCCGTGGCCTCCCTCCTTCTTAGAAAGATTTTCATCACACTTTTCAAATTTCGTTTTTCAACAGATACCAACCCAAAGTAACTGTTATGGCACCGCGTCTGTTAAGCAAGATATGCCTTATTACCGGCACAGGCGGCAGTATGGGACGAGCAGCAGCCCTCAAGTTTGCCCAGGAAGGCGCCAAAATCGTCGGCTGTGACATCAACACCGTGACCGACGCAACAACCATCAAAGCCGTACGAGAGCTAGGTGGTGAAATGATATCCATATCCCCATGCGATCTCGCAAAACGTGAGAACTGCGAACAACTTGTCAACCTAGCCATCAAAACCCATGGACGCATTGATGTGTTGTACAATAATGCGGGAATGGCCCACATGAGCTGGCTCGACGACGGCAAGGATGACGACTGGTACAAAACAATTGACCAGGAGCTAAACCTCGTCTACCTGTTGACTCGTGTCGCATGGTCACACCTAAAGGAGTCTGGTGCATCCATCATCAACGTTGGATCTGCCAACGGCTGGATTGCGATTCGTCCAGTGCCTGGTATCGCTCACACAGCTGCGAAAGCTGGTGTTATTTCTATGACACGCCAGTTGGCCATGGAAGGACGTGCTCATGGCATCCGGGCCAATTCAATCTCACCAGGCCTTATCCAGACTCTGCAAACTGCACCTTTGCTTGAAAACCCGGAGTGGACTTCAGATGTGATGCAGAAGATCATGATTGGCCGCATGGGTCAGCCAGAGGAGATCGCGGCTGTGGCTAGCTTTCTTGCTTCAGATGAGAGTTCCTATATCACCGCTGCAGATATTCGGGTCGATGGTGGTATGACAGCGTGGTAATGGAGTTATGTACATCACATGTTTTGGTGAATGGTGATTGAGATCAATGCATATCATATCGTGTCTGTCATTGTGTTGGCCACATTGGTACTTTCTTAAGTTGGCCTAGAAGGTTGCTCCCCTGTCAGCTGCAGCATCCTTGCTGGGAAAGGTATCTGTTGCTATACTGTGTATATGCGAATCTGCCTTTGAGTTTCGCGATTTCCAAGGTTGTCAGCCCTGTAGGGTCTTTTTGCTTAGCCGAGCGGGCCGCATCTCACCCAGAAACCTTATCGCCGGTATGTTCATGCGGGTTGCCGACCTCGGGGGCCCTTGCGGCCGCCCGCGGGCAATGCATCTGATTTGTAATCCAACCACCCAGCCCTGGAGGCTGGACAACATACTCATTTAACCACCTCATCATACGCTCATGAAAGGGATGTGCATATCACAGAAAATATTTTCTTTTATTAAGAATATACACGCATTTTGATCAAAGGCGACAGTTTATTTCATCTATAAATACTGCCCAGGTGTTCCATTTCGATGACTACACGCAATGAGCTCAATTTAGGTAGGGCAGAGCTTCAAGGGGGCGAGTACGACTCCGTATATTATGATTAACCTTGTTTTTTTAGGTGATCGATTCCTTTTCATTCCAATAAAAGGCTCAAATGACCGCACAGCGAAGCGCCTAGCCCGATCGCATGCTGTAGCGCACGGCCTGCGGAAGAAAAGAAAGCTTCAGCAAAGTTCTGGTCATAATTTCCATATTCTATGCCCAACAAAGGATCAGAGCCGATCAATGGGCAAAGAGAAACAAGTTGAAGCTCTTATCATACCACCATGCTCCCTCGCTGCAGGCTCCTCCGATCCATTCCAAATGCTGGCTGCAGAGTCGCCGACACTACGGGCATTGCTAAACCGACGTAAGATTCTGGAAATTACCCCATGTCCGACAGCAGCTCACGCAAAATTTGGATATAGAAAAGTTTCAAAAAGCTACGGAGCCGGTCTTCAGTGTTGCTGATGAACTTGTGCTTCAAAACTTCCGCTCCGTCCTTCGAAAAGGACTAGATGATAACGCTCTTCTGAGCGCCGTCGTGCTCACATTTTTATCTACGGTCACAGCCAGTATGACCAGCAGGGAGTGTCTCGAATACCAAAATGAGGCTCTGAGCTCTATCCGTCAAAGAATAAGTTCTCCAGATAGGGCTGCTACGGAGTCTACAATAGGAGCGATTCTGCTACTCGCCGGTATAGAGGTCTGTTCAAGCTTTCTTTCAATCTAGCCATCTTTGGAAGAGGCCTTGCCATCAGGAGCTAAAACTTTTATCATCAAGGTCCGGCTTGGAATGCCGCATCAAGTCCAGCTCCACATGGGGGCAATACACCACATTCTTGACGTATGCCAAAGAAAGGGCGTCTATTTGAGTGACGATATCAAACGTGCGATCTTCTGGTAAGTAACCTGGAGCATTTCATGACATCTAAGCCTTACATTGGCCGACAGGTCAGATTTAAACGGTTCGGTCATGACAGGCTCAAACCGAGTTGTTGACCACACAACTTTTTCCGAGCTCCAGTGGAGGAGAGACCCTTCCCATGCGGACTTCTTTATTCTTCCACCTGGATTTCAAAGCCACTCCTGTTCCCTGGGTCAGGATTTCGTTGAGATCCTCAAGGACGTATTTGCATTGCAATGTATCCGAGATTCAGCCATCCTCGGCAAAGAGGACGTAATGCCGATGGCACATATCGATAACCACCAAGCGTCTATCCAGTCGAGGCTAGTGAGTTTGCCAATTTGCTCACCTATATCGGAATGTTGCCATCAAGCGGCATATCTATGCTCGAGTATGCTTCGCTGCAAAACCTGGCGGACTTCAACCATCCCCGTAAGTAAATCGCATCGATTGCATTTGTTTCTTAGTTACCCATCGGGTTATGCTAATTTCAGCTAGTCTCACCTTTCATTACAATTGCTCAGCAAGTTACAAGCAGCGAGCGATAGTCCAGTGTGGGATGATTCGCCTGATCTATTGGTTTGGCTCTTGCACATTGGGGGTGCTTTTGCCCCGGCAGGGACCATACAGGAAGGCTACGTGCGACTATTGAATTTGAACCACAGAAGATTCAGATGGCTGTATACATCATGGCCAGAACTTCTTGTGATTCTTAAACAGTTCATATGGTCCGACAAAGCATTTTTGTCCCAGGTTAAGGCCTTCTGGGAAGATTATCCGATCTAGACTAGCTCAATAAATAAATTCGTTAAGCGCTTCATTTGCTCAACTATCAGGCTAGAGCAGTCAAAGTGCTGAAGTATTGATTTCAAATCATATCCAGTTAAACGGGCTTATGATCATGTCTTCTTGTATCTGTTATTAGTCAACTATGCCCAGGTGGCGTCGATTACCTCCAGGGCCGAAAGCAGAAACTCTCCGGATATTGTGCCCCACTAGTTTCATAATACAGATGGATGATTGGCCGAATATTGATAACTCTAACCGCAAATGGGCAAGTTCGTTAGCCTTTCCCTAATAGGAAGTATCTTTTTTCCTTTTTGAGAAGTATCTCTCTACCCTACTTGTATAGAACTTCTATTGAATTCATCCGACGACTCCAGAAGATTTTACTTGAAAATCATCTACAAATACCTGGTTTTCCTTAAGATTCAACTATGGGTAAATTTCTTAGCTCTCCCACTGAAGAACAGCCATTCAGAGATTCTCGACAATGCCTCAATCACGCCTTTTCAAGCCCCTCAAGATCGGTGACATGGAAGTAAAACATCGCATCGGAATGGCGCCACTTACTCGCTTCCGAGCAACCGAAGACCGAGTACCAACACTGCTCATGAAGGAATACTACAGCCAACGGGCTGCAGTGCCAGGTACCTTGATCATCGCCGAGGGAACATTCATATCAGCAACCTGCGGCGGATTCCCCCACGCACCAGGGCTTTGGCGTGAGGACCAAGTCGCTGCCTGGAGGATCATCACCGATGAAGTTCATCGCAAGGGATGTTCCATATTCTGTCAACTATTTGCCATGGGACGTGCCGCGGATATCGACGTAGCCCGGAAAGAAGGCTTTGATATTGTCGCGCCCAGTGCTATTCCCATGGAAGAAGGTGCCGTGATGCCCAAGGCCATGACCACCGACGAGATTAAACAGACGATCCGGGATTTTGTCGACGCTTCGAAGAACGCTATTCGGGCCGGCTTTGACGGAGTCGAGATTCATGGCGCGAATGGATTTTTGCTTGACCAATTTATTCAAGACGTCAGCAACAAGCGTGACGATGATTACGGCGGGAATGTGGAGAATAGATCTCGTCTTCTGGACGAGGTGATCAAAGCTGTTGTTCATGCCATTGGTCCTGAACGTGTCGGGCTTCGGCTGAGCCCCTGGAGTACGTACCAGGGTATGAGAATGCAGAATCCGATCCCGCAGTTCACGGATGTAATTAGCAGAGCCACACAAGCGGAGATTGCATATCTTCATTTGGTCGAGTCGCGGATTTCCGGCTCCCAGGATTACGGTGGCCATGACACACTGGATTTTGCATATGATCTATGGAACGGACCTTTTCTGATTGCTGGTGGATATACATCGCATGAGGCCCATAAGTTGGTGGACGAGAAGTATCCAGACAAGGACATCATGGTCATCTTTGGCCGGCACTTCATTTCCAATCCAGATCTCATATTTAGGATTAGGAAGGGTCTGGACCTCAATGCGTACAAGAGAGATAGTTTTTATGTCTTCGAGTCAGCGGTGGGTTATTCAGATTACCCATTCAGCAAGGAGTTCTTGCAAGCGGGACAAATGTCTAGTATAGTTGGGCAAAATAGTTAGAGTACTTATAGGCAATTCCATCAACTCCAAAGAGTCTTCAATGTATGGTTTAGGCGCCAAGGTCTTAAATCACCTTCATCTGACGAACATCATTTTGCAATCTCCAGACTTGTCGGCCCATACCGCCTCGCAGATCGTTCATAGATAAAATCACCTATCTTGCAGCGCTATGTTTCCGTTTTGTTTTCAAGGTCTTTCCGCCTCCCGCTATCTGTCGATATCCCAAAATAGATCATTTAATATATATTCGGAATATAGTTATGCCGACATATTCCCCTGACAGCAGATCCATGGATGTTTCTCTATTTTGTACGGAGTACCTTGTGCAGAATGTCGCACCCCACAAAGTTCATGAGACTTGCAAGTTAGTGAAGTCTCTTTTATTGACTTATGTCGGCTGCGCTAACTGGAACCCAGGTCCCAATGAACGCCGTACAATTAGTCGCGAAGATGTTGGCTACTACAACGCGCTCGTCATAGCAGCAGTTTATGAAATCGCGAGTGAAAATATAGATGTTAATTCCGCCCAGGCATTTCTTGCACCTTTGAAACATTGCATCGAGAAGTACCCATACCTAAGCGTGGTCGTCAAGGACAAGCATACTGAGAAGCCAGCATACGAAGCGGTTCCTAGTATTGATCTGCATGATCATGTGTCTATAATTCACGAAGACGAAGCCCGTAGCAATGGCGAGACGGCAACAATTCAAAAGATTCTACCAGCCATACTTGACCGGCCATGGCCAGCTGATATCCCACCTTGGCGAATCGTGGTCCTCCCTTTGGTGTCGCCGCAAGACACTACAGTGACGCGATGCTTTATCGCATTTGCATTCTCCCACGCTCTTGGGGACGGCATGGTTGGAGTTGCATTCCATCGCACCTTTCTTGATGCGTGGCGCCAGACTACTGGTATGGAGGAGAAAGCTTCTTTCTTAGTCACTCCGCCAAGTCAAACGCTTCCGGCACCTTTCGACACACCCGAAAGACTTCCCATATCTTGGAAATTTCTCCTCGAGCCATTGATAGCAGTTTACTTGCCAAAGTTTGTGGCCAACATTCTTGGGCTCCGCGCATCTGCCAGCACACTAGATGCCGGTACTTGGATTGGGTCACCCATGTTCTTCAATCCGGCAGCCGCTCTCCAAAGCAGAGTAAGACTCCTCGAGATTGAGGCTCCGCTGGTCCAAAAGGCCCTGCAAACTTCAAGAAGCCATGACACCAAGCTCACGGCAACGGTACACCAAATGATTGTTCGGGCGCTAAGCAGGGCCATTCCTAGCCCTGATGTAACCAATTTTGTCTCGGGGACGCCTGTTGATATGCGAGCGTCTATCGGGACTCCTGGTCTCACATGGGGTCTTTTTGTGTCTGGCCATTATGAGGTACATCCCCGGGTACCGAATGTGACGGAGCCTGCTTTGTCCGAGGAGATGTGGGAAGCCGCGAGTTCGATGACGAAAAGCCTTGCTGCATGCGGTGCAAGGCTGCAAGACCAAGCAATCGGCCTACTGAGATATGTGCCCAGCATTAGGAATTGGACGTTGGGTAAAATTGGCCAGCAGCGGGACTCCTCGTACGAACTGAGCAATTTGCTTGCCTTCGATAACATGGGTGACGGTGCAGATCAAAAGTGCAAAGTTGTCAAGATGGTGTTCTCGCAGCCTGGCAATGTTACTAGTGCGCCACTTGTTTTCAACATCATCAGTGTCAAAGGGGGTAGCTTGATGTGCACGGTGAGTTGGCAAGCTGGAGCTTTAGATGTGTCAGTAGAGGAGGAAATGTCACTGGTTGATCAGATATGTTCGTCAATCCAAGCGGACTTTGAAGCCTTGAGTGATTGATGTTACACCCAATTCAACGACCAACCATCGCACCTTTTGTTCATATTCTCAGACTTGTACAGGATAAATAATTGTTGAGATTTCTCCCTCAAGCTGATAGAGCTTCTGCTCCTCCAGGATTCGTCTCTCTTCCTTTCTCTCGCTAACTTGGCTTAATCCATGATTTTATTTCCTTCTACCCTTTATTAGAGGTTCTGAGCCCTTTGTTCTTATCGACTCCATTATTTGAGCACACTCACATTAAAAGCGAAGCAGAGGTAGCAGGCCACCGGGCCTCGTTACCACGGGTGGAAGAGACCTCGCTATCGAATCGACAGTATCACGTTATGCGCAACTTCGACTTCAACGTGCCACTACGCGCACATTTCGACCAGAAGCTGACGAGCTTACCGTCGTTTCCCACACTTTCGAACCTCCTGGCGTTATACGAAGACTGATAGCCACACCCACACCCACACCCACACCCACCCACACCCACTCTCACACACACACGCGCGCGCGCCTGTACGAACACGCGAGACTTTCCACAAAGAACAGCATTTAACATCGGCCCTACCACAGGAGTAGCTACCACGTCGACACAACAAGTACGAGACACCTGCAGCATTTGGCACTAAAAGTCACTCTCTTGGTCACAACCATCGGCGATTTCTAACGTAATGCGCACAAGCAAGAAAAGAAACTACACGCAAATCAAATTTAACGACGTTTTTACTCGCGACTTTAGTATCATCACCCGTATTTATACGGGAGGGCTGAGAAGAAGAGGGGTACACAGTCCAGCCTATCTCTTGATGGCATGAGAAAGTCAATGATGACGGGTCAGAGATGGAGGTGAAGCCATTCGCTTCTCGACTTTCAATGTCGACTTGTTTACTCGCTGTGGGTGCCAGCTTTGGATTTGTCTTATCCCCATATTGTGGCAGCACACCAACAGCCGTGCTACGGCGACAATGACCCGAGATTCTTACTTATGGCGCTGTCTCGGGCCACGTGGAAGGCGTGGCGATGATATTCGGATGGCTCTCTATAGGACAACTTGTGGTCATCTTTATGGGGCTTTTCGTGATGAAATTGAAATTGACTATCATTAGACGACCTGATAAAGAGGATTAGTTAACATACAGAGAAAAAGCCATCCAGCTTTTCCACCTGCAGCTTAGCAGACTGAAGCGAATCCGTTCGATTGAGAGTTGAGATATCAGTGGTGATTGCCAATCTATGTGCTGAATAAAAAGGTTATGCATTTTCGCTAAATAGATATAGTTGATTGGATCATGTGAATCCCCTGTGTACGCTAGGTACGCTAAGACCGGTATACTTTATCCAGACAGAGATCTATAAGTGGCTTGACAGAGCCGCATGGACTCATTCACTCCAGCAGGCCTTCAACCAAATTTTGACCTGCATCATCCGTAGAAAGATGTTCGTGAATAAGCAAAACAATCGCCCTTGAAAACCCATGTATGAACCAGCACTCATAAACTTCAGCCCGCTTAAGCAGAATGGCCGCCCAGTGGGCTAGCAGGATAAGCGCTGCTGGATTTTGAAGTGAAACCATATGATTGAAGTGGTCCGTGGTTTTGTTTAACCATGCGCTTATACCTTGCCACGGCCTTGATAAATCATTGGCTGGTAAACCATTGGACTCAAAAATGCTGCTACAGCATCGAAGCAAGGCTGCAATGCCGTGTATAACAGCCGGGGCATCTTGCTCATGATCTGGTTTTCCGAATATCTCGGCCATACGATAAGGGAGCATCTGAAGACGGTTGAGTAGCACAGTCGGTGTTGTGGCGGTATCTTGTGGGCGATTCGTACTCAAAGATGTTCGAATCTCATCGCCCTTGCTCTGCTCGATATCTGAAGAGTCTCCCAGTTGAGAAGACGCAAAATCTTGAACCTCGCATAGTAAAGATTGTAGCCAAGACTGGACTGTGGCAGGACCCAGGACAGTCTCATAATTCGCAGTGAATCCAGTCAAAGTCCACCGCGCACAGCTCATGATGCTCCTTACTTGGATTGCTGCGTTTTTCGTTTCCTGGAAATTCTCGGTGGACGCAGTGTCTGAAATATTGTTCATTATCTCGTTGAATCCGAGGAAGAATTCGGAACGGAGCTTGGTCGCCCACTCACAGTGCTTTTGCTGTGCTGTTGTCTCGCCCTCGAGCGTGGCTGAATGGTACGCGGAAATGGCCAGCAATCCGCATATCAGCCACCGTTGTTGTAGAGCCAACGAAATGACGTATGTCCCCCAGTATTGTGACGGTGGAGAATCCTCGATTTTGGGAAGTGTTAGACACGTTGCAATGATGAAATGATGGAAGTAGGTCAATGTCTCTAGGTCTACCACGGGAGAAGACTCAGAAAGTGACATCGGCTGTGCTAGTGACGACATTTCATTCACAACAGAGTCCTGTCTGTCAAGCCCACTCCCTTCATCGAAGCCCTGTGACTCTGCGGCTCTACTTGGCACAGAGACCTCGAAATACTTGAGTTTCGTACCGCGAAAGAACGTCTGAAGCTTCACAGAGCGCGCTTGAGAGGCAAAATTATTCGGCGCACTAGCATTGTGGGCATCACTCCAGTGGCGTCTCATGCGTTTGGAGCTAGCACAGAGATGCCCACACCCGGCCATGGTGCAGGAATACCCAGACACTGCGGGTAGGGCATCAACCGGCAGGGTACTTGGACCAGGCAGTGGCACATCATCCGGTTCAACGATGTCGAGTTGATGAATGGTGGATAATAAGCGAAGCCTTTCTTCTCGGTAAATTTTGTGACGGAGCAAATGGCTCCCCAACGCATTTTTCTGAATGGCGTAGTGGCAATCTCGGCAAATCAGCACTTTGTGTTTCGCGTTATACTCGAGTAATTCTCGTGGACCGAGTCGCATTTTGAATGTTATCCCTTCTTCCAGCGTGGAGGTTGGGGTAGACGCTGGAAGATAACGCGGGGCCGAAAGGTGTATGTGCTGCCGTTTACGTATTCAAAATCCTCGGGATTCTATTAACAAAAACATTATGAGATCTTGATCGAGTTGAATGATTTGTTATTGGTGAATCAGTAAGGTTTCCTACGTAGTAATATTTTATCACGAAACAGCTTGTCTCCATTCAGTCTATTGGCCTGTTCTGCATAAATACCAAAACTCGGCCCCGGATCCTTTCCCAAACGGGCTCTAGTGGTAATTCACCGACATAATTCGGGATTAAGTCGGATTTAAGGGCGGAACGGCATATATGGTTCTCAATGGGAACAGTACATGCGGTTCTCCCTGACACCTTTTTATACTGCGTTGGCAATATTTACTACTTACCTGCTTTGAAATAACAGTGGTAATTTGAAATCACTTCAGATATGCGAAAGTACTTATAGGTTGGCAGGTCCTGCCCAAATTTGCTTTTTACTTAGTATCAGCTATCAAACATTTCATAAGCATCATTTTACCTTTTTCGCCTTTCGTCTAAGACAAATTCAGCTCCCCTCATTCTTCTATCAAGATGTCCATCCCAAAGAACCAAGCTGCATGGCTCAACAAAGCTGGCTCTCCCCTACAGGTGGGAGATGCTCCGCTGCCCACAGCTGGCCCAGGAGAAATCGTCGTCAAAAACGCCGCGATTGCGATCAACCCTCTCGACTGTCATATGCAGGACGCCGGGGTCTTCGTGCAGCAATGGCCCGCCATCTTCGGCTGCGATATCGCCGGTGAGGTGTACGAAGTGGGAAAGGATGTCGAACGCTTCAAGAAAGGAAATCGTGTAATTGGGTATGTTATTTGACAGCATATCGAGATCAAATTATCCTGACCTAACTTTTACCTCTCTTCAACAGACATACTATCAATCTGACGAGTGGGCGCCCCCAGGATGGCGCATTCGCTCTGTACACGGTAGTTCCTGCAAACAAAGCCGCCATACTCCCCGATGAAATATCTTTCACGGATGGTGTTGTGCTGCCGCTCGTATTGGAGGCGGCTGTCTGTGCGCTTTCCCTCAAGGAGCCCGGCGTCGCCATGCCGGGTGTAGCTACACCGGCACTGGGCCTTCCGTACCCCTCGCTGCAAGACTTGCCATCCTCTGGCAAGACGCTCGTTATATATGGTGGCTCATCCTCCGTTGGCTCGGTGACGACCCAGCTTGCCACAGCGGCTGGAATTCACGTCATCGCCATTGCTGGAACACACAATTTCGAATTCAGCAAGCGGTGTGGTGCAGCTCAAGTATTTGATCGCAATGATACTTCGCTTGCCGACAAGGTTAGCGACGCAGTTCGAAAGAATGGTGGCGAGTTCGTTGGCATCTTTGATGCTATAGCTACCCCCGAGACTTACGCTCACGACATCACCATTCTTGGCCAGCTGGGTGGAGGACACCTTGCTTGCGTGCACCCTCCTCCTCCTGCTACCGATCTCCCCGCGAATGTCAATGCCGGTATGATCTTTGCTGTTAACGATGTTGCAGCCCCTGTCTGGGAGGAATGGGTTACGCCTGCGCTGCAGTCTGGAAAGCTCCAGTGCCTCCCACCCCCGTGTGTTGTCGGTAAGGGCTTAGAGCATATTCAAACTGCATTGGAAAAGTCCAAGGCGGGAGTCAGTGCCATGAAGCTGGTGGTGGAGCTGTAACCGCTGTACCCCTTGTTTTCCTCCCTAGTCAGCAAATCGTGGCTCTTGGCACGTTGGCCCAAACGTGCTTGATATGGCTGCATCATTCACGCTCATTCTTATATGTATGCTGATCCCTGCTAGCAATGGTTTAAAACCTTGACCAAGATATAAGAATGCCTTTCTGTCCTAAAACAAAGTCACTAAATTAAATGCATCTATAACATCATCTTAAACCAAGTTGGTATTCAGATTATCCAAATTCTATATCGTCAAGTATACAGGCCGTATAAGCGGCTGACCATGCTTTTATATAAATGACTAACCCTCTGTAAATCTATAAACTCTTATCAGGGGTTGTTATAATAATTGAAGTACATATTGTTGAAATAATACAGATGGATAAGTATAGTACATGTATTGTTGGAATGGATTTCTTGCGAGCTGTCGGTATATTGCGAACAGAAATTATGACAATGACATCGGATTCCGTCGGTTGGCAACGTCTGAATGCAGCTCGAATTGAAATTTATTCCTGCGATGCAATATGATGCACATTGCATGCAGAGAAAGGCGGAAGTGATGTCAAAGATACATCGGCGGCGCTAATCTTGCATCCGTGAGGTGTCAGGATTCTTGGCGAGGTCGGGAAGTGAATTAGGGTCAGCGTTGAAGTAACCCCAATTCCATGTCAATTACTGAGAATTCACTGGGATTCTCAGTGAATTCTCAGCATATAATTCCGCGGTTTTAGGAATTACTTCGAAGAAGGCAGAGATACGAGCGGTGAATCGTAAAATCCCTTCCGATAGCTCCTAGCAGACTTTTCTTAAACCAGTCTGACGCGTTTACCAAGACATGCAGTTTCAAAGCAGGCGGAGTGGGGTGATCGACATGGATGATCTCTTCCCCGTAGCTCCTGCAAGGTTATTTCCTTGTTTATCTAAGTCCGGAGCGGCCCGAGGCGCAACGCATGCTGTTGGTCTTTGAACAGGTACAGCAGGACTCGAAGTGCATCGCACACGGCTGCCTCATGACATCAACGTCAATATATATCTGGGCAATTGGTAGCTATTGTGGAACATGCAGCTGAGTAAACTGCATTGCAGCCCCAAATCACACCAGAGAAAGAAGCGGAAATATAGGGAGGATAATATATTTAAGCATTATTAGGATTATTTGTAAATAATCTATTCTTTAAGAAATCGGAGTGCGGATTATAGTTTTATATATAAAATTAAAATATTATATTATATTAATCTAGCTATAAGGTCGAAATTCGAGACAAAAGTTGAAAGTGAAATATAGAAAATTATAGCAATAGGATCTTAGCATATTTATCATATTTGTTACCCAATTAGGTACCTAGGGGTTGGGTTGGGTTATCTAGTATAACCCAAAACCCAGCTTAGGTCCAAGGCTTGGCCCCAAAACCCAACCGAAAGTTGGGTTAGGTCCGGGTCCAATTGGGGTCTGGAGAAGCCTAATAGAGAGGCGGGAGTCGGCCCGTGCCTACTTACTAGTCAGCCCCGCCGGGTAATCGGCAATAGCTTTCCAGGTTTCTAGCTAAAACAGCTTCTTGTCACTAAAAATCCGACATCGACCGCTAGCAATTTAATTGAAAGCACTTATTCTTCAGGATCCGTGCCGCTCATCTATCAGGCACCGATCCTGACGATTCTTGAGAGCCTGGGGTGAGACTGACCAACCTTGTAATAATGTCGCCGCTGTCGCACTTCTGGGGGCACTTTTTCCCGCCCAAGCCGACCTTCACCGAGGCGAACCTGCCTGCAGACCTCTACGGCAAGGTTTATGTCATCACTGGCGCCAACAGTGGCATCGGAAAGGACATCGCCCGCCTTCTGTACGCCAAGAACGCAAAGGTCTACGTCCTATGCCGCTCCGAGGACAAGGCGCTCAAGGCCATCCAAGACATCGAGAAGGCTTTTCCAGATTCAAAGGGCGCCCTGATCTTCATCGCCTGCGATCTCGCCGACCTAACAAATGTCAAGACCGCCGCCGACGCCTTCCTCGCCCGCGAGCAGCGCCTAGACGTGCTCTTCAACAATGCCGGCGTCGTACGTCTACCACCTCTGCGTATCTAGTCCTTCCCCCTTCCGTCATTCTGACTCCTAATTGATAATAGATGGTCGGCCCGAGCGAGCCCGGCGAGCCTATTCCCGTGACGGCGCAGGGCCACGAGCTCTGCCTAGGCGTCAACTGCGTGGCCACCCACCTACTGACTAAGCTACTCACGCCGACTCTCGTCGCCACCGACGGTCTGACGCGCATCATCTGGTATAGCTCGTTCGGTATGGAGATTGGCGCGCACCAGGACGTAGGCATTGCCACCGACAACCTCGACTACCATAAGCCAGAAAAGGAAACCCAGCGCTATAGCCTAAGCAAGACGGGCGCCTGGGCTCTGGGCATCGAGCACAACCGCCACTACAGAGCAAAAGGCGTCGCTAGCGTGCCTATCGATCCCGGTAACGTCGTCTCCGGCTTGCCGCGCGACCAAGCCCTGCAGCTGCGCATCGTCGCTAAGCTAGTGTGCTATCCGACTGTGTACGGCGCCTACACGGCGCTTTACGCCGGATTTTCGCCCGAGGTCGTTTCCGATAAGGCTGACTGGACCAAGGAGTGGGGTAAGTGTGAAACTTCTATAAGACTCCGGGACCGAGACCATAACTAATAATGTTTGACCCGCAGTTGCTCCGTTTGGACGTATGTTTCCTCTCCGGTCCGATTGACTAAGGCTACGCTGCTTGAGGAAGATGGCGGAAACGGGGGCACAGCCAATTTCTGGAACTGGTGCGAGGAACGGATCAAGGAGTACCTTTGATGGCACAGTGCCAACGATTGGGGTCAGCATCTGCTGGTTGCTGTGACGTCTCCTGAGCATCCCACGGCACGACTGAGCATATTACTGAGTATTTTATACCTTCCATACCAGGCACCCTTTCCTCTTTTAGTTAACAGTCTGAATGATATCACGAAGTAAGCATACTATACAACTAAGTATACAGAATAGTTTGTGCCTTCCATATCAAGCGTATTTTCCTCCTTTAGCTAATAGTCTAGACAATATTAAAAAGTAAGCCTGCATTGCGACTAAGCATGCAAAGTAGTCTACACCTTCCATATTAGACATCCTTTCTTCTTTTAGTTAACAGTCTAAATATAGTAAAACTTGGCTAAAACGAACCCCACATATTACAATAACCGAGTGGGTTACATGGGCGGGTCCACTGATTACGTTATACCAGGTAATATTTATTTATTTCATCAAGTCTACCATGCCTATAGGGGTAAGCAAAACCTGTGGGTCAGGTACTCGCGGTAGATCAAGGAGACTCTGCCAAGGTTGATCTGGTGGGAATTGTACTGAGATCGGCAATCTTTTAAGGCCGTGATCAATCAACAATCAATCAATCAATCAAAGTTCAATTAACCTATTGCAGTCCAACTAGTTGCGTATGACCTTACAGGCGCTTCATCCAGCTAAAGCAAGAACTCGAAGCCAAACGCGGAGTTGGGATCATATAGTGCTCCTAAGGAGTAGAGTATATAGAAGCTGACTTGTAAAAAAGCGTGGAATCAGCCCATTCCTATAACCCGTAAACCCACAAACCTATACCCATATCTATATATAAGAAATATATAACGATCGCCATAGAGTGCACCCTCTATCTTCTATCTCTCACTTCTCACTTCTCACTCTTCCCTTCTATCCTCTACGACCTCCCCCTACCTTAGTTTTAATTGATAGTGTCGTTCTCCTAGCTAGTTGTTAGTTAGTATATTTGTCGACTCTAGCTAAGTTTCTCGTTCTACAGCTTCACTTATTATCATTAGTAGACTGCGACATTGCCTGTCTATACCTAGGTGCCTATAGACGGGCAATGTCGCCAGCGCGAAACGTAAAGGAGTGCAAACCTTTTTTTTCTCTCTCAGTTATATAACTCCAATTATACAGAGCATTCAATTGCAAATCCATAGCACCGGGAATACTTTTCTATAATCGAAAGGTTCGAACCTCCTTCCTCATTACTTGACTCCTGATAGAAACATGGATTATAAGTCGGGGTAGATGCGATCCAATTCCACCTTGATCTCAAGTATATCATTATACAATTGCCGGGTAACCAAAACTATCAAACGGTCAGAAAATATGCTCCTGCGGGCGCAGGTTAAGAGCTTCGACTGTAGGGATCTTACTGAAAGAGTGGAGGAGAACGTAATCAACATCATCAGTCGAAGAAAACATTATTCGTTCTTGGCGAAAGTGATAGGTTTGTTCCAGAAGCTCATTTTGTATAGTATCTATATTTGTTAGATGATCACTGCAAGCCCTCTCTTGCTGTATCGATGATGCAATCACTAGTTTCAGAGTTAGCAATTGTATTGTTTTTGCTCACTTTTTCCTCGAAATTTGGTTCAGATCTCCAAGACTTACCAGCGAGCAGATGACATATGCAAGTTGATAGCCGATGCCTGGCAGCAGCGGTACACGTGAAAAGAGAGCTTCGGGCTTCCGACGCCCCCAGGGCATTGACTAGAATGAGATCCAAGGAATAGAAGTTGTCTGTAATGCTCCTTGTCCGACGGATGATGTTACCGTATGCCGCATCAGGGAAAGGCTTTTTCAATTCGAACTCGGAGCGCATTGATGTCTGAAGTCGCTCGATTTGGGAAAGAAGGCGCTCGATCTCAAATTTGTCCTGGGATTGCAGGAAGCAACCGTGTGTGTTCGCTTCTGCCCTGGCGATGGCGCCTAAGGGATCTGATTCCCAGATGAACAGCAGCCGGAGCCACAGCAGATGTAATGTATCATTCAGGTTTGTCCAAGTACGGATGGGCCAGATTCCTCGTGTGATGATGATACCCCAGATGCAGCCCGAGGTCACAGAGATTACTCTGTGAAGAACGATTTCTGTGATATTGAGATTCTCTCCACTTCGATCCGGGGAATCGCTGTCCGTTTGTGAGTAAGAGTAAGCATACAGTACAGAGAGATTGTAGGTTAGTAAGATGAAACGGCCCATGGGGCCCTGTCCTCTCGAAATGATCATGTAAAATGGACCTAGAGCCATGACGAAGCCCAGGAATGCGAGACCGGGAGCATTTTCGCCGACAAGGTACCATGCAGCTATCGAACAAAGGGCCCCGAGACATGTACCGATGAACCGAGCAAAGCCTGTGGTGTTTGATGCACCAATAGTCATCGAACATACCAACATATAGGAGAGAAGGCCCCATTCTCCTCTCCAAAATAAATAAAGGGGTCTCGTCCAGGATATGAAAGCAGGCAAGGTATATATCGCTGCACCTATTCCTACTTTGAGGGCGAATTTGAGCTCGTCCGCACGAAAGAAATTGAAGAATTGCCAACGGTAATGGTTTGCTCTGCGGTGCAAGGTTTCTCTCGGATGTTGGCTCTCAAGGTGATCAGAATGAATAGTCATGCCCGTCAAGCGGCTGCTATCCAAATCGGCATGTACATAGTTTGATGAAGAACCTGACATGGACCAATTAGCTTCATAACCGATGGGTGTCTCTATTGTTTGAGAAGCTCACTTTCACTCAACCGAGGTCTTCCGCGCCTGTTATTATCTCGCCACCACGAATCCCAAATGCCCGCCCAGGACCTATTGCTCGGCCTTTCATCAATTTCGACTTGCATCTCCCCCAAAACTAATAGAAACTGCTGCATTTGTTCAGCAAGCTCAAGAAGAGATACCGAATAGTAATTGCAGGTAGCGAACATCTTTTCAAAATGAATATCGCTCACTTCGCTCAGAGGAATCATTATTTCCTTTCGAGAAATCGAATGCAAGGCGGAGATCCGAGTATCTCGATAAGACTGGATTGCTTCATCGATACGGGGCCGAGCTCCACCATCCACAAAGATCTTGTAATCGGGAGCAGGTCCAAATGACACCCCTTGGAAACTGATTCTCAAGGTAGAAACCAGTAAATTCTTTTATTCATTAGAACACACCATGCCAGACATATGCCGGGGGTCAGTGGCTCTTACCATAGATGTTTCGAGCTGTGATTTGAAGTTTTCGAAAACCTGAGCCTCGAAATTATTCAAATGAGTGCCTCCTCTTGGTGCGAAAACTTTCGACTCCAAGGCCACCGCGCTATGTAGAGCGCCTAGGCGACGCGTTATCTCTTGCATGAGATTCGAGAGACGTTTCGCGATCAAATTCTCTCGCTCCGTCCCCGCGACATAGTGCTCAAGCTTCGCCTCTTCGAGTTGATTTTTCATTTCGCCAAAAGCTTTGTCGTGCCGCGCAGATAGATTAGCAAATGGTACCTGTTGCAGCTTACGAGTGGACCCGCTAAGAAAGCTTTCATTTACGATGGTCAACATCGACATGGACGTGTTTGTCAAAGTTGAGATATTCCCTCGAAATTTCTTGCGCGCAGAACGAGGTAGTATCAACAGCGAGACGGCCGTCGTGATCCCGACACCTAGAAGAACCATTCTCAGGACCTGAGATATCTTCTCGAAAGAAAGAGCGCCTCTTTGCACGGCACCTTCCCTGGTAATGACAATGATCGATGCCAGCGAAGCCAAAGAGCAGGCAACATTGACGAGCGGGTCCTCCATCTTCTGCTTAAACCATCCAATGCACCCAAACCCACCAGCGACAAAGACGACCAGGACGATTGCATGGCCGACTTCAATCATATCGTATCTTTGGTGAAAGACAATGGTGATCCACATGCTTGATAGCGAGAGAAGCGCCGCATAGATAAAAGCAATAAAGGCACATATTAGTGCTTTGTACATGCTGCCTTGCGACCTCGCTGGATGAAAATAGACTGTAATCGTGGCCACCATATGCTTACCATTTTGATGGCCCAAAAGATTCCCAATAAATGGCACGAAGACTGCTAAGGAGGCAAGGAAATATGCGAAGCTGCACTTGAAGATACCCACACCCTGCTCTGAACTGATGAAGTCTCGTGTGTCGCTCCATGTTTTCAATGATTTCCGAGTGATCCATGCTGGGAGTGACTCTTGGTCGGAGATTTCTTGGTCCGCTATGAAAGGCTGTCGTTCCTCTGCGTGATCGTCGGCGCTAGAACGCGCAGTGACGTCTTCCTGTGGTTGGCGGCCTGGTAATGAGTGTGTGACACGGGACTGTGGAAGTCAGTACTACCCCGATGCAACTAGAAAAAGTACCTACCCAGTAGTCTAATAAGGCCCTGGGAATCATTACGGTTGGTCGAAAGTCCATACATCCTAACCTGAGATAGCGGAATCTCCACCTCCGCACTCTCCACTTCGAGTCTCCGGAATCTAGGCTACCGCCTTCTTATTGCCAGTGACGCCATGGCATGTTTTAACTTTTGCCTCATCCACCAGGCATCAACCTCGTTGCTGCAAACATACCAAAAAGATCAAACGGGTCAAACATCTCTTATCTTCTGATTTAATGCGGCTCATCTACACGAAGGCCTCGATGTATGCAATGAATAATTATTAAGTGTGTATTAATCAAGTCGACTCCGAGAATCTATGGATCTGGAACTGAGATCTGCATCAAACTTTCACATTCCCCTTCGATTACATGCATATCAAAACCTAATAGTAATGGGAAATGCCGATCACAACCCCTTCTCCCCAACCTCACAAACCGCAACTCCAACGGCCCATTCAGATCTCAAGACTTGTGCAGCCGTAATCCTCAAACCCAAATCAGGGTGCAGCATCGCGTAAACTACATTTCGGCAACACTTTTGAGTTTCAAAAGATTAGATATTTGCCTCATGTTCAGCACGATATGTTACTTACATTTTCAAGCACCTGTATAGGGTGATAGCCATCTTCCTCCAGGCGAGAACGGAGATAGTTCTCAAAAGCTTTGTCTGGATTGTCTTTCCGGGTGCTGTGCCAGAGAAGTTTGCCGGACCGCAGGAGCATATAGATTATGCCGCATGCCCATACATCCGCTGCTCTCCTATCAGAGACGTTTTGAGGTGCAAGACTTTGCCGACGGGAGCCACGGCGATCGGAATATCTCTCGGGGGGAAGATAAGGGCCACTAGACTCCGAGACATTTCTCCGGATGCATAGCTTGGGCTGATAGTTAGAAGCCGAACTTGAGCTTCGTCTGTGTGCTGAAGAGGACGCAGTGGAATTACCACCATGTATTAGTTGGGCCAGTTCTCGAATTGCATCTTCGCCTTGACCAAAACCACCTACTTTCACTGCGCCCTGGGCAGTGAGGAGTATATGGTCTGGCTTTAGGTCGCCATGCACAACATTATTTTCATGTAAAAAGGCGACAGCTCGCATGATTTGAATGGCCAAACAGTTTAGCTCCTCGGTGGAGACTTGCTCCTTTTGGTCCCTTGTTTGTGAAAGAAAAGACTGAAGATTGCCACCAGCACAGTAGGGCATTACAATACAGAGATTCGTTTGTGTATTATAGAGAATGTCGATAATTGCAAGAACATTGGGATGGGAAAGTGAGATAGTTCGGCTTTGATCGTGAAGCGAGCCAGTCAGCGGAAGTAGAGATGTTTGGGCGCGGCGAAATACTTTGACTGCGTAAAGCTCCTTGATTTTATTGGATATTGAAGCTCGCCTTAACATTGTCTGCGTACGGCTCTGAGACCTTGCTAGCGAGTTGATTTGCTCCGAAGCCGGAACTTTCTTTTCGTATAATTGAACGGTATTGCTATCGTCGTAATGGATGACTCTGCTGAATTTCCCATACCTATCTGCGAACGATGTTTGGGATATTCCTCCTGTTTTGTCATTTGTCGTGGTTTTTTGCATCTGATCAGTCTCATCGGAACCCATCGTTGTATTTTGTTGATGTGACGCGGTAGAAAAACTTTGAGAACGACCCTCGCGTTCAGGTGTCAACCATCCCCACCCAGACAGGATGTTGGTTAATCCATCGATTATTTGAGGGGTCTTGAAATCTCTCGTATCTCTCCTGTTCTCTATTGTCGTGTGGTGATGATGAGATGACAAAGGAGGTGGTGATGATTGGACATGCTCGAAGCGATAGTGCAGAGGAGGAGTATCTCGGGAACTCTTCTTTTGCATTTTATATTCCTTGGTTTGGTAGATGATGGGTATCTGTTGATTGTGTTCTCACGCTGTAGAAATTACGGAGTTGCTTCCTGGTTAATGCTACTTGGTAAACCCCAGTACAACTAGAAAGAGAATTGCAATCAACGCTCCAGGTAGCCATAGATGTTGGTCCTCTGCGATATATGACGTAACTATAAACTAGGTCACTTGACTTGGGGTGACTTTGTTAGAACATGTAACATCCATGGATCCATGGATACAGTCCGGGGTTAGTCATGAACTTTGTGAGTCATGTTGGTCACATCCCGTCTCCAGGGCTACTTCTTACGTATCCTTGCTTATTGAAGGATCTCACACATCATTGTCCCAGAGTTATTATAGGGGGCGGCATTGCCTTCTTGGTCGAGATATGCAACGCAGTCGCAATTCTCTCGGCCACCGTTTCAAAAAAAACCCCCATTACCGTTCTTTGTAGATGCCATATTTTTATAATTGACTAATTCAACAATAACAAGTATTTCAAAATCTACAGGTAGTGTTTTGAACGAAATTGTTCAACTTGAAGAATTGTGAATTAGCTGATAATTTTGGAAGTTAGCTGTAAATGTAGTAAATGGAGAACAATATACATAACCCCGTAACTTATCGACCTCTTACTTATCTTCCTTATTAATCTTAATTAATAGGGGAGGATTAAGATATTATCCCCTTAAGGGTTTAGTTATTACCGCCTTTTATAGCTTATTTAGGTAGAAGATAGGATATACTTAAATTAAATCTAGTAAATTAAGCTTATATAAGTTTCTAATCTTCTTAATACCCTTATATAGACTACTAGCTAGATAAGCTAGTTTCCGATATAGTTAAGTAAGTTACCAATCCTTTATTATAGTCGCGTTGGAGCATATTGCAGGTTCCTTCAACACGGCTTACCACCAACTGGCGAGAAAATTCCCCGATTAATGTAGCTAGCCTTCACCGGGCAGTGACTTCACTTTCTCCCTTTCATACCAAAACATCATTAACATACGAGGGTTTTTAGGGACCATCGCAACGATGCAGTTTTAACGCATCTTGTTTTTTATTTTTATTTTTTCTCTCTAACTCTTTGTCTCTGTTAGCTGCCATATTCACTCCTCCGGCTAGAGGACTAGAACTGAAATCAAAACAGACACCAAAAAAGAGATTTTGGAATTCATTTTGAAAATGATGTTAGAGGTTTTAGTAGAGGGCTAGTCAAGTTTCCATAGCTTTTTATACTCATTTCATCTATCCCGTACAGCCCTAACATATTCCTTTCGATAAATGAACTAGACCACCTAAACAAAGGTCATGATGTATGGTAATATAGGCAATCATTAGATTCATGATGTCTACCTAGGGCTCAATCGTCATCCCAAATGGGACGATAGCTCAGTTGGGAGAGCGTGCGATTGAAGTTCGCAAGGTCGCTGGTTCGATCCCGGCTCGTCCCATTACTTTTTGCAATTTTTTGGTTTATACGGCATGCCGTCTATTTATTACTACGGTTTACCAGTCAGGCCAAGTTTTCGAATTAGCTCTTATTATATCTAATTTTTACACTACTTTTTACTAGGTACTACATATATAATAAACTAGAATATAAACGGATGGGTACGGTGATAAAGAGGCTAGAATAGAGAATTCAGGTGAGAATCATAATACAATAAATAAATAATCGTGGTAGGAATCATTAGGAATCATCCATCTATGTATATATATAATCAAGAATTTCAGTTTAAATAATCCAAGCATTGAGAATGCGATTATCAATCAAGTTGTTACATGACTTCCTTCTATAAGGAATTGGTGCGATAGGTGAGTTACATAAAACACGTAAATCCCAAATAGTACTGCTGGCAACTGGCACAGTCAAAAGGTGTATCAATTAATTATATAGCAACTCATTTTAAGAGCAAAGGCTGCATTCTTATAGCCCTGAAATCCTCCTGCAATCAAAATATTCGCTCCCGAACTGACAATTGTTTGATCGTCCGATTTCATCATACAAAACATACAGACGCGCTCGAAATCAGTTTCAAAATGAGCCAAGCCCAGCAAAGCCAATAGTGCCTTTAAGCAGCCACGCTACTTGCATTAGTACACGAACCGAAAGTTTGACCACTTGACATTTTGACCCTGTTTATGTGACGCTGCGAGACATCACTAACCAATTCCAGCACTAGTTTGTTCATCGGTGGAAATTTAGGCTGCTTTGGTCCCCGCCAAGCCGGTATCGAGCGGAGCGGAGATTTGCACTTCAACAAGCGAGGCTTTTGAGCCTTACAGAGCGCATGCTGATGATCCACCGATTGGACTAGATATGCGTTTGAATCTCCACAGGCTAGATTTGGGGTCCAACATGGCTTTGTTCCTCCTTTTAAGAGGGCAAACTGATTTATCCTTCCATCTGCTTCTCGGACCCAATACAAATAATTTATTTTTTCCAGTTCCAGGGTCTCGACAAACGCCTTCATTGTCGCAAGAATGACAACGCTCACGGTCCGCGGCACCGTATATACTGATTCGGATTATGGCCCCTTCACAGTTCCCGGTGCTATATATACGTTCCAGAATTATGGCCCACTCACGACAATATACACACCACCACCGAGCTGTACAGCCACACACAGGATGATATTCGGGACAATGGTGCAGGATGATCACCCCCGCGGGTGGTACAGTATGGACTGCGCATCGACCAAGTATTCTGACTGCATACCCACACCCACCGCGAAACCAATGACACCCGCCGAGGGTCACCGGCCCATTGGATCTTATTACTCACCAGGTATATACTGCCCCAGCGGCTGGGAGACCGTTGCGCAGGCTGCACGCGATGGCGACAAGCCTCCTACAACTTCCGGAGCAATGAGTCTCGGCACGTCTCTAACCTTTCCGTACTTTCCCTACACGCCCGCGCTGCTGGCAAGGTCTTTGCAGCCAAGCGAGACAATCGCGCTTTGTTGTCCGAGGTATGTGATGCCTGTCCCCGCCTTTATCGGATATATTCAGCTAACATGTTCACAAGTGGCTACACGGCTGATAGACTAGGTGAATGCTGGGATACAGTCCCTTCTTATACTCCCACGCAGGGGTGCAAGGTCATTGATCGAAGCTACATTGACTATGATACTTCCATCGAAGTCTATACCGCCTATGGAGTCGAGAGAACCCAGCTGCATGCAGTTTCTGTTCGGACCTCTGTCTCAAGCTTGACTTATTCTACTAGCTGGGGTCTCGATGATGTCTATGCTACAATGCTGACGCCTTTCTCTTCCGTCTATGCTGTGACTCTGATTCATCATGAGTCTGATATTCAAACTGCGGTTACAGGCGCAAGTACAACTGCAACTGCAAGTGCAGTCACTCAGACTGTGGATATTACTGAAGTCAAGGCTGTTGCATCAACCTCAAATCCTGCCGCGAGATTGCGACCAGGGATATCAAATTGGGAGGGATTCGGGGTTGTTTTGGGCTTTTCTGTTGCTGCAGTTGTGCTGGGAGCTGCCATCGTCTTGCCCCTCTAGGCTTTCATGACTGAAACCTATTTCGATAGGCCTTCTTCAGATGAATAGAACAACATTCGGATTCGGTACTTAGTAGATGATGATCTTTAGTCGCAACTCTTTAACGTTGACATGAAACTTCCCCTGAGCGAGTAATTGTTTTCCCATAGCGGACCAGCCGATGTTGAGGCCATTAAACCGCTTTTTCAGGTCTCGTTGCTTACGATCGTTGATCGATATAACAATAGATGTGTCGTCCGACCTGACGTTTCGTTTGCGCGCAACTTTCTCCTCGGTTACCTTATATAGCTTGTCCCTAAGGACTAAGGGTCAGCGCTACGTCCTGTTCCGTATCCTCTGCCATGGAACGGTTATTCACTTTGATTTTCCACTCGATAGTATACCGAATAAAGCTTGCGGAAAACTCGTCGTCTGGCTCCTTTGCTTCCCACTCGAAGAGTTGGAGCAGCTTGTTGATTTTTGTTTAGGTAGAGAGCAAAGGCTCGGAACAGTCCTGGGGGCAACGGTCCGGTGAAGGACTGAATCCATATTCTGAGGGTGGTGTATATCCGTAAAATCCTGGATTGGGGGCGTATTGCGAATCCTTGTCCGAGGGATCGGGGTCCCAGGCTTGGGATTCGTTACCGTTTGGATGGAAGTAGTTAATCATCGTCCTCGATTTCCTAGTAAATCGAACTTCACTTTTGGTCATCCAGGGTTCAATAGTTAGAGGGTGGGGACCCAAAGAATCCAGCTTATTGTAGGGCGGATAAATCGGCTTGTAAAAATATTTCATCCAATTAAGCTCCAATGTGGCTATCCAAACCGAACACCATGGACGTTCTGTTCTCTCGTTGAATTTGAGAAGACATAGGTAGGTAGATAGATAAATAGATGAGATGATAAAATACAAAAAATGCAAAAAGTAATGGGACGAGCCGGGATCGAACCAGCGACCTTGCGAACTTCAATCGCACGCTCTCCCAACTGAGCTATCGTCCCATTTGGGATGACGATTGAGCCCCAGATGCACATCATGAACTAACAGCAATTGCCTAGATAACCCTAATTCCCCATGTAGCGGCTCTCAGTTAATCAGGAGAACCGGCATTTAACTAGTTAAGCATCTTGGTATTTTGCCCGACAGAATGCTACACAGTATGTGGTGCCATATACTGGAGGAAATTTAATTTAATTGATTATAGCAACTCGCTCATCTCAATCGAGGGTGTCTAGGATATCGTTGTGGGCACTTTTCGCCTACTATGTAATGTGCATGGAGTTTGGAGTATAACAATCTCACAGTCGTCCACCAGAGGAATATTACATAGTATGTACCCAGATTTGAACATCGGAGAACCCTGCCTACCTGTTGTCGCTCAGAAATGGGGCCATTTGGGTGTGTGTATGCATAGGCACTACGGATCCAGAGCGGATATCCTTTGAGTCCTTCGAATTGGTCTCTCTTCATTTCTACAAGATTTACTGGGCTCAAACTCCTTGAACCTTTTTTGTCCGCGTCAAATATTAATTCCAGCTCAAGAGAAGTGATTCCCTACTCTCGCTATGTCTCAACCCAAATCCTATTCTCGGCTGAGTACCAAGCAGGACTTGGATAGACGAGAGCATTTACGAGAGGCTCTATATGCCTTCCTAGCGACATTTCCAAATAAGTTTGATCTTGATTTGATGTTGTAGCCCCAAAAGCTGGGTAGCCATCAAAATCGCCAAATCCTGTGGTCTCCCATAAGTCTCAAAAAGCTCAGAAACTCGGTGAGCAGGCGAAGAAGAGCAAGAGGCATCAAGCCCTCTTGGAAGTAGCGCTCATATATGCGCCGCAGACTTAATCATGCTAGCCGGAATCAGTTCAAGCAAGGTTTCGCCGAAGTTAACAATTACGTACAACAGCATCAAGATAGGGTTTTATTTTTACGTGATGCAGAATTCGTTGCTATCTGGCGGCGAGATGGCAATGGCAATATCGAACTCCCGGACCCAATGTCATGGTCAGCAAACATCGGAAGAGAAAGTCTTTAGCATTAAATGCATCATATATCTATACTACCAACAAAACTTCCTGTTGAACGTGGATAGAAATAAGAATGACATCGAATATATAAATTGGGATATAAAATAGCATATCAAAACATCGAGCCATCACCACATTGCATCATGTTCAACGAAGCATAAGCATACATTAACAAAAACAAATCCCATTCCTCACCATCCAATCTCACAAAGATGCACCACCAGCCTAGTTGTACGGCTCAGGAGAAAACACCTTCTTAAGACGGAAGCGCGACAAGTCCCGAATAACCTGTGCAGTCTGCTTCAAGTTCTGCTTAACAATAACAGCAGTAGGAAGTGAGAAAATCTCATCGATCTCCTCGAGGGATTTGTTCTTAGTCTCCGGCATGAAGATAATCTGGTAGACCCAGCCAAGGACGGCAATACCACCGTAGAAACCAAGCGTCAAACCAATCCGCTGCATAGCCTCCATCATGCGCGTGAAGTTGTACGTAACAATAAACGAGCACAGGAACAAGTTAGCGTCGGCGGTCGTCATTCCATATGAACGCAGGTACGTAGGGAAGACCTCGGAAGGCACGACCCACGTCAAGCAAGCGTACGAGCCGAAGAAACCCATGTACAGTATAATACCGGTGAGGTAAACGCCCTGCGCCGTGGAGGGGTATTTCTCAGCATCGATAGTGTAGCCAACACCGACGAGCAGAAGACCAATGAAGAAACCCGGAAGCATCACGTTCGCCCAGTACCGACGACCAAACCGTTCCATGTACAACACGGCCGGGATGGTGCCGATCAGCAGCGCCCCACCGCCGACAAGAGACATGAAGACGGCGTCCTTGTCGCCGAAGCCGATTGCCGCCATCAGTGTTGACATGTAGTACATCACTGCGTTGACACCTGTGAACTGTCCGAGGAAGATCATGATATTGGCGTAGACGATTGCGCGGCGTGCACGAGGTACTGTGAAGAAGTCCATCCAGGGGTACTTCTTCGACTGGGCTTGCTCTTCGGTCTCGGCTGTGACGGCTTGTCGCATGCCAAGGAACTCGTCTTTGGCTTCGAAGTCGTTGAATCCCCGGATCTTCTTCCATACTGCGTATGCTTCGACCTCGCGTCCCTTGTGCATTAGGAATCGGGGACTCTCTGGCAGGAAGAGCATTCCCACGAAGAGGATTGTCGAGAAGACCAGTGAAGAGCCTAGGATGTAACGCCAGTTTCCTTTGACGCCGACGAACATGGCAGCGACGGCGTAGCCGAGAACTTCGCCCAGGGCGATGTTTAGTTGGTATAGGGAGACGAGGTTACCGCGGAGTCTGCGAGGGACTGGAATATTGGTATTAGAATTGAGAATACAGGTATGGCGGGGTGTGATGGGATACATACCACACTCTGCGACATAGACTGGGACGGTACCGCCCTCCAAACCGACACCAGCACCAAGAATGAATCGGCCAGCGAAGATCATTCCGAAGTTGATGGCGCCAGCCTCCAGGGCGGCGCCGATGGTGTACAGAATGCAGGAGACGATGATGGCCATACGACGACCGAGATACTCGTTCGCCGGAGAAAGGAGAAGAGCACCAGCAACGGCTCCGAGCGGCATGCCGGCATTGACTAGACTGTTGTTTGCTGAAGATAGGCCTAGATCAACGGGGAGGTAGAGGTTTGCACCACTGATAAGTGACTGGTCAAGACCAGACAGCATACCTCCCATGGACGCAAAAGCGACGAGGATGTAGGTGAAGGTAGCAGGGTTGGCAATAGTCATCTCGAAGCGGGATTTGGGAAGACTGTGCACTTGATCTTCAAGCTGCTGCAGTTCCGCGTCCATGACGGCTTCGTTAATCGCATTTTGGCCCTTTTGGTCCGCCACGTCATCCATCTCGAAGGCGACAGCGTCCTTGTCCTCACTGTGCGTGTTTTGGGGCGCCTCGACATCTTTGAGGTCGGCCATGATGAATTAAATCTCCTTCCCAGGAGATGGTTTGTAAGTTCTACTAAAAGATATGAAGTATAACAGTGGAGTGAAACTGTGGAGAGAAACTGTTACTTCAGGCTCTGCCGGGGCAGAGACCGGGATTTATAGAGAATGGAGAGAAAATCTGGACCAAGCAATGGCACTAGCTGGTAGAGGCAAGAGGGGGAAAGACTATTTGAGGCCGTCCGGATGACGACCACGGCGACGGTTGATACTACGGACAACAAAGGCTCTCTGTGGAGGGGGGCGGGGAAAAAAAAGCCAAAAAAAACACCTGGGGATGCGATTCTAGAGATTTTGGCCGAGTCGTTGGCCCGGCTTGGTCTGAAGTATGGAAGTAGTATGCACTCCGTACTTTCCCATGTGTGGAGAGAAGTGGGGGAATCAAGGCCAGTCCGGGGAGATCAGGTCAAGGGGTTAAGGAGAAGGGGAATAACGAAGAAGAGGTCTCACCGGGAGGTAAAAACAGACTAAACCTGGAATATGCAGTGTACAGTGTGCGGCAGGGATTGGAATGTGGAGTGACATGGGGAATTCAAGACATCGGGACTGCCGACGAATCGTGGGCCATCAAAGCTTATATCGAGCATTCCAGGGCACACGACAGTCAATCCGTGGAATTAGCTCTCAGGTCCTTCATCGACAATGCTTTAAAATGTGGTCTTGGACTTTCCAGAATCTTCCCGGCTTCCCGTTGTGTCGGTATGTATCACGGTATAGCCGTAGTATTGGACGGGGTGAATACTGCGGAAGAAGACAATCCCGACCCTCGAAGCCAAATATATCACACCTACTTGACAAACAAAATAGAGTTTCATATGACAGCCTTGGAAAAGCCAAATATCCGGGACTCGAAAGACTATCCAACTGGGTTGGGGTCCCCATGGGGAGAACTGCCATGCATCGGCGAAATTTCGGGGAAAATGGGACATATCATGACTTCTTTGGTCAAAGGCTTCAAATCTGGGGCTTGGGCCCATCAACTGTGCACTTGACCAGTGACCTGTATCTGAACAGAAGAGGGAGGAAACTAGCTTCCGAGTGTATGTTCCTCGGAGGCAACACGGCCCCCTCAGCCAAACACGGGATGGTCACGCCGGGCGTAAAATGCGGGATTTTCCCGAGATGGCCATTCGTTAACTGTTGCTTAGCATTAGGGGCTACCGCTAAGCAATTCCGACCGAGGTCCAATTATGGGTGCCATCGCGTATCTTGGCTGGTTAGGTGATGGTGGGCTGATCTCTGCCCCATCGGTGGTAAGACTGAGTCGGGTCCGTAAGAATCTGAGGGATTCAGCCTAATATATCCCCAAGTGTGGGGGAAAAGTCAAATTAACAAATCTGCGCGAGTTCTCAGAACATACTACAACCTCATGCTATAATGGATTGGGTATAGATCTAGGTAGAATCACCTAACCATCATTTAATGAACTTTGTCCTTTAAGATATATGTACTCGGTAAACATTGGACATAAAATAACTCCCGACGCCATGCTCCCACCATGCAATGTAAGCCTCCACACTCTCATCCACGTCTTCCAGACATTCCGACAGGCTTCCGAACACTGGGGTCAACATGGGGACTAGGAGACCTTCCTCCCTGTAATCTGGCCCGCAGTCGCTCCTGAGCTGAACCACCACCAGACCCAGCACGGTCGAGATCCGGACGACCCTGGGGAGGTTGATGCGACCCAGCTCGCTGGCTAGGCAATGGCCGCGGTCCAGATGGACTGGAGGTGCCAGATCCAGCAGGCGAATGGGACTGAGTAAGTGTGATGGCGGGACCCGGCGGCGCGCTGTTGGCCGAGGCAAGTGGTGGTGCCGTGCCACCACGTCCGCGACGAAGACTGGCTGTCTGTGGGATCGATCCTTGGGATTTGGGAGAATCACCCCATAGGTCGCCTAGACCGCCGCTCCGGCCGGCGTTGGGGTTGGCGGGCCCTTGGTTGTAGCCGCCGGAGGGTAGCTGTGAAGTCGCAATCGGGCGGGAGGATGCCGGAGCTGGACCCTTGGGGTCTTGTGGGAGCCATGGTGGGAATGGACGGCCCTTTTCGGTGTAATAGGCTCGAAGGGCGTTGGAGATGTGGGAGCAGTCTTCGTTGTCGGGATCGTCTCCCTCGTCGCCTAGGGTAATAGCACGGCGAAGGTTGGTGAGCCGTGAGCCCAGGCCAGAGATGGCCGAGGAGCTGGTCAGGGATGTGAAGTATGAGCTCATATTGCAGCAGCCAAGTGGTGTGGTTGAGTAATGCGCGGTCTGCAGAATGGCAGCTTCAAGGTTCGATGCGGGGTGGGGTTGGCGCGGAGCTGGAGCTTTACTTGTGGGGACCCAATGCAAATGATTCGTGGTCGAAGAGTTCGACAGGATATGAGGATGATTTCAATGGATTATTAATGGGGATATTAACAGAAGAACCGGCTCCTGGGGTGAGGTGAAGTTGTTACAAAGGAAATTGAAAGAGGGCATTCATTGGGCCACGTGATCACGTGTTTCACCTAAATAAAGCAACGGTCATGTCTTCTCAAATAAATTATGTTCAGGCATCTCATGAAGAAAAGAGATATCAAGCTGTACAATTGAAGATAAGATAGACATTGGAAGATCTAGGATCGTGAGTTGTAGTGGATGCAATATAGCAGGGTATGATGCCCGATCACTAGCACAGAATAAGAATATAAAACAAAAGAATTGACTGCCCAAACGCCATGCAAGATCAGGTAAACTTTTTCCCAAATCCTCTAAACATTGACAAAATTATGCCATGACCTGGTCCTTGCCAGCACCCTCGGTCTCGTATTCGATCTCGATGCGAGGACCCTTCTTGCGAGGCTTCGCCTGGGGAGCAACATGCTTCCGCTTGGCACTGGGCTTGGGCTTCTTCTCATCCGCGCTAGCCTCCTCGTCGTCTTCGCTGTCATCATCATCGCTCTCATCGTCATCGTAATCGCTGGAGTCGGCTGAGTCAACACCCAGCCAGTCCTCCATATCCTCGAGGTCCTCCTCCTCATCAAGGTCGCTGACATATTCGACCTCACCAACACCCTCTTCTTCCTCCTCCTCGAGCTCCTCGCCGTCATCCATGTCCACATCACGCTCACCGTCACCAGCCCGCTCAAGACCACGGAGAACCTTCTTCCAGATACCCTCCTCGACATTGAGTGGCCGGTCACCGTAAGCACCGCTGCGTAGACGCTCGATAAGCTCACGCTCAATGGCTCTCTCGACCTTAGCGGCAGACTCGGCCTTACGCTCACGAGTTTCCTCACGACGGCGGACCTTGGGCGCCAGCTTGGGCACAACCTTCTCTCCGAGACGCTCGTCCTCCTTGGCGATGTTCTTCATGCGGATGCTGACCTGCGTCAGGCGGGTGAGACGCTGCTTGCACTTGTGGGTCAAGAACTTGGGCCAGTAGATAAGGCGCTCATCGACTTGCTCGAGGGCCTTGGCGTAGTTGGAAGATAGGCGCACGCGCTCCCACCATTTGCTGGGCATGTGTGCTCGTTCGACGGTCTTCATGTACAGGTACATGACGCCCGTTTCGGGATCGCTTCGGACCGTCGCATACCGCGAGTTGGCCAGTGGGCAGGACTGGCGATTGCACAGACCGCTGACATTGTATTCATTGCGACAGAAATTTTGGTCTTTCGTCGTTCTGGAGAGAAGATTGGAATGGTTAGTGGAAGGTTCTTGTTTTTCTGTCCATGTATAATCGAGATAAAAGGCTCTGCGGACTGAATAGCCAGCAACTGAACATTAATACTCACTTGAGTTTGTAGGAGCAGAATTGCTGGTTGATAACCTGCCAGACAATCTCGTCAGACATGATGGGCGAGGAATTGGCAACCGAAAAGTGGTTGGTCCTAGAGTCTATGCAGCAGATGCTTGACCCCGAAGAAAAAAAAAGATTCGATATGTATTGACCGCCTTCCTGAGTTGGGTGGTCACGTGCGTGCTTTATCGATTCCGCGCAACGTCATTGGAGGGCCCCTGGGATCCGCCTTCTAAGGTTGCCCAGGTGGCATCCAACTACGGAGTACTCCGTACTATATGTAATAACGCATAACATGCATCTGCCATATTCTTATATGTATGGCTTAAAAGGCCCTTAACAACTGGTAGAGGAAAGACTGTAATCGTTCAACATCATGATGAAGATATATTGTATCTACATATGTATACGTATATCATTCCGAAGAATTGATGGACGTTCGTGACACTAGAGTCAAACTTCCAAGGATGGAATTGAAGTGATTGACTAATCTAATAGTATGGAAGTAGCCCGATGGCAGATGCGCCCAACAAAACAATGCTCAAGATTAATATACAGAGAGCCACATGATACCAGATCGGTGGTAGCTAGGGCATGAAAGCAGCGAGAGATAAAAAGTACCAAGCAAGAGAATAGTACTATGATACACCAAAATCATGACAAGCACTAACTCTATCCACGGACTTTTCGGTAACTTGGCGGGTGCCACAACTGTTTGATCATTTTGCCAGCCCAGACTGGAACCAGAGACACTGCTAGCACAGCGAAAACTCGCCACAGCCAGTCAAGGGTGATCACGTAACTAAGGTCAAAGTACTCGCCCAGGAAAGGGACACTGCCTGCGTATACAAGCAGCGTACCAATCAGACAGAAGATCATGACCGGGTGCCAGGTTGTAATTGCAGTGGCGACCATGCCAAGCTCATTGAGGACGAGGGCCGTGAAAGAAAGACTAATTAGGCGCGGCCCTGTGATGGTATCCAACAATATCTGAGAGAGACCCTGGATCACTGCACCCTGGTAGACAGAAATGAGAACCCAGCCAAAGAACGAGCGGTAGCTTAGACTCTTCCCTGCCTTGAGCTCTTTGTAAAGCTCTGGATAGAGATTGGCGAGACGCTCGTCGACATCCCGATCAAAGGCGAGGGAGAAGACCGGTGCGTTGGTATAGACAGTCGCGTAGCCGACCATGAGCCAGTTGATGAACAAGCCCTTGGGATCGAAGTGGCTGGCGATGCTGTACATAGTCTGGCAAACACTGATGATTAACCCACGGTGCATGATGAACTGTGCTAGTTTAGCAGACCGCTTGTACGAGTTGCGGCCGTGCCAGACTAGAAGCTTGGTGATATGGTGGAACTGCGTGATACTAAAATCAGCAGCTAAAGATGCTTGGCGGCCTTCCTTGCCCACAATACCAATTCCGACATCGGCTGCTTGAATCATCGAGACATCGTTACCGCCATCTCCGATGCAACAGACACGTTTCTTTGTGTGTTTGCGAATCAGGTCAGCAATCTCAGCTTTCTGGGTGGGGGAGCATCGGCATGCGATCACGGCGGGCAGTAGCACCGCGACAGAGATGAAAGCTGTTTTGAATTGGCCGAGCATGAGGTTCAAGGACTCGCCATCAATCAGCAGGCAGCAGTCAGTCTTGTTGCGCAAGAAGTCAAGAGCTTCTTGGGCAGTCGATTTGTCTGTGACTTTGGTGACTGTATGAATGTACTGGCCCCGGGAGACCAATTTGGCAGAAATAGCGACACAACGCGCTGTCTCCACTTTGTCACCCGTCAGCATCCAGATCTTAACACCAGCATTGCGTAACAGCTCGAGAGAGGATTTGACGTCGCGCTGCAGCCGATCTTCCACACCGGTCACACCGGAAAGCTCCAAATCTTGTTCAAGGTATTCGCTCACAACCTTCGCCATGCCCGCATCTCGGCCTTGGAAAGATAGTGACGCTTGTTTGTATTTACTAGAGAAATCCTGATATTGCTGTGTGGAGATTCGTTTGCGTCCAACAACGAGAGTTCGCAACCCTTCCCGAGCCATGTTCGTAGTCTCCTCGTCAAGCCAGTCATTCGGTGCAACAATAGTTGTCATGACAGTGTCTGCACCCTTCTGATAGAACCAAATTTCACTATCGTCTTTGCCGGATTCAAGCATGTTTTCATCGTGCTGGAATTGGACGATAATCCCCATTCGCTTAGAGTCGGATGTGAATGGGAAAATGTCGAGAATTCGAGCCCGGACCACAACTTGCTTGGAGTCGGTGGATTCCAAGACGATACTTTGTCTGTCTCGATATGCTAGCTTTAATCCAACTTCTTCCGTATATCGAATAATGGCGATTTCATCAGGCGACGACGCTTGATAGCTCGTCACCTTCCGGCCGTCTTCCTCCTCTGTGGTCGGTGTGACGTTATGACAAAGAGCAAGCGCTAAGATGATATCCCGGACGCGGGAACCAATCTCCCTTCTTGTCCGCGGCGCTGTGGCATGGCCAGCTTGAGTTCCAAAGACAGTCGAAGGCGTTGTCAACGTATTGCCCGAGAACGCAAAAGCCTGACGAATAAACGAGGCGACTTCGTCCATTGCCTCATTGGCGTATGAGACAGTGCCAACGTGTATTTTTTTTAACTCCATCTCATTCTGGGTCAACGTTCCCGTCTTATCTGAAAGCAGATATTCGATCCTTCCCAGATCTTCTGGAATTGTACTGGTGCGGACGACCGTTCCTGGAATGTCTTTGTCCCGTTCGATAAACCGCCCGTAAACTGACTTGGCCATGTCCAGATTGACCCGAAGACTCATGGGAATGATTGTGGAGAAGAGAATGAGATAGATCATGATCGCAACGTACCATTTCTTGTCGTTTGTTGGTTCGAATCTTTGCAACCCGACAAGGATGATTGAGAGAGTAAATGTGAGAGCGCAGAGTATTTTGGTGAGGTTGTTGATTTCGAGTTCTAACAGGCCGGTCTTTGAACGGGAAGCAGAAGTTGAAAGCGAAGCTCGGGTTTGAGATCCTGTATAGATGATGACGGCATAGGTGATGGTATTAGACGCAAGAACAGTGTTGGCCCAGGCGGTATTATCGATTGTCAAGGGAGCTGATTGATTTTCCACAGGCCCAGGCGTTCCTTCGTTGTTTGGAGGCCCAGATGATTTGTCAACATGAGCATCGTAGAATCCAGTGGGCGGTCCCAGCCCAATAGTCCCCACAAATTCATTGACTCTCTTATCAGGAGCGCTAGCTGTGATTTGTAGTCGACCCAAATCGTCCAGAGGAAGCGATTGAGACAGCATGGAAGGCAGACGAAGCTTCCAGTCAGTTTCGCCATCCAATTGATCAGTCCGGATGAAAGTATCCCCTGCAGGTGAATTTTCAACATCTTCACCACTCTTCGATGTGGTGTTGATTGTGGGTTCGGACGATCCCTGACCTGGTCCGAGCAAGTCGGACGACGCCCCAGGGACAGGTTCTTCCGTTAATGAATGACGAGGAGTGCCAGAATCATTTGAAATGCTCTTCAGAATCACCACATCGGCGGGAAGGCGTTGGTTCTTGCGGACTTTGAGCACATCACCAACCTTTAGGTCTCGCGACTTTTTTGTGACCTCCATCGCGTTGGACCTTCCTAATGCTATAGTGCAGTACTCTTCCGCGTTCGCTTCGGCATCTCGTCGCCGACGACCAATATCATCGAGTGCCTCTTTACCCAATGATATTGAAACCACAAAAGCCAAAGGCGCAATGTAGGACGACATATAACCAATTCGTAGCACCGGAATGACCTGTGATAAAGCAACAAGGAGGAAGTAGATGTTGAAAAAGAAAGAAAATTCGTTGTAAAGGGTTCTCGGTAGGAAGCTCCATGGTGTGTATTTTGCATTCGAGACCACATTGGCCGGATACTTAGCAGCCTGGTACTGTCCGACAAGTACTTCGCGGGGAGGTTGGTTCTCAGCATCGTTGTTATTTGATCCAAATCGGATTGATGTGCCCTGTAGGAATGCGGGAGTTTTGAATCCTGGGAAGCGCAAGCGGCTGCCTTTCTGGGGAGCCTCATCGGTAAAATCGCGAGTCGAGGCTCTGCGATCTAAGAGTGGTGCATCATCGTCTTCCAGGTTCCGGGAGCTTGCATGTGAGTCCCGCAAGCCTTGCTCCTCCCCGTTCTCTAAAAGCGCATCGGTATCATCCTCCAAGTCTGCACGTCCAGACGCACTCTGTCTCCACCGACTTGCCGCTCCGACACGCAAGTTGCGCAGCGCGATACCCGGCCCATAGCTTGTTTTGCGGCCAGTATAGTCCCGAGACTCACGAGGCTGCTGAGGCGATGTCGTGCTGGGGTCTAGCTCTTCTAGATCCAAGTCATCGTCGGAGTCCGACAAGGCGTCTGGCGCATCGGGATGGTCAAGGGGGTGTAGGTAGTCGGATGAGGAAGGCATTCTTGGAAAGCTGGTATGATTCAAGTCAAATCGATTGCTGGTTGTATGCAAGGTGTTGCTTTTGGGCCTTGCATCAAAGGAAGGTTCATCTCAAGTATATGTTGTCATGTGCGGTGATATTGGTCAAAACGCATATGCAGCATGATGATGAAAGAGTGGAGGGATGCTACCAGGGTTGAAAGAGGAAACAAAACCCTTCTTTGTGTAAAATGCAGTCAATGCCACAATCATAAACAATTGTGAAATATATAAAACGGAGAACCGTTTTGAATCTCGTTCAAGACAGTCGATGACTGCCTGTTTGGCCACGCAATCACATGAGTGCATAACTCGCCCGCGGGCACCACCTGCAATAACTGGCTGACGTAATACGGCGCTTTTAAGGTTAGGCATAAAACAGCCGGACTATCTGTTACTCCGAATCACGGGTTTGTGTTTTTCCTATTCGGGACAGCATCCTGATGACTCAGCACCTTCATCAGGTGGCCCCGGGAATCATAGGCGGAGATCGCCCTTCGCTGTCGCATTATTCCAGGATAACCCGACTGCTTGGTCTTTTTCACCATCAGCTGATGCATTCATGACCGATTTATTTCTTTGAGTTTTTTGCTCTGTTTTATATCTACATCGTTTAATGGATTCTTAAGTTGACGCCCTCGACCCCCGTTTTTCTTCACGATTGTTGATCTCCTGAGGCGTCATTGGAGACGTGTCAGGTTGGTCCCTCCGGACTGCGCCCCCCATCTCCAGTCACGTTGGCAATCGAGAACAACTTTGCACATATGGCGCAGCAAGCGACCGACAATGATTCGGAGTCATGGAATCCGGCATTACGACCCGAGAACAATAACTCTCCTGTTGCGATGAGCTCGATCCAGAGTGGGTTGTCGGATCCGATTGCGGCGGATGAGCCAAAGGACAAGTCCCCAGACGATGTTATATCTCCACAGAGTGAGGATTTCTCTGCGTGGGACATATCCGACGAGGTAGACGGGATTCAGCCTCAATACACGAGCTTGGACGTCCTAGTGAACAATGCATCACCAGTGGTGAACCAGGCCGTGTGTCTAGACACTGATTCCGTCAATAAGACTAGTCAAGTCCCCGATGAGACGATTGAAGCGGTTCATACAACTATCGCGCCATCTATTGAGAATGCAGATACCGTCCTAAACCCGACCCTGCCAGAAACCCAGCCCGCTCAACCAGTTCAGACCGAAGCACCTTCAGTCCAATCTGGTGCGGATGCTGGTAATAGTTTCCCCATCACTATAGACGGGCCCGCCTCTGTTCAAACCGAAACCTCTGATACTGCCGTTCCCACTGTCGCACCTGAACAAGAAACCACGTTGGAGTCGACATTTGTGAGAGAGACTACACCTTCAACAGAGGAGCAAACAACGGCACCCGAACCTACGTTGGACACTTTTAAACATGAATATACAACTCAATCCAGCCCCACCGAAGAACTGTTGCCACAAACAGACGAACGGGATGCCGATTCTGAGGATCCCTGGACCACCTTTGAGAGGGACCTTAGCAATACGCTGCCCTCCACCGAAGAGGCTACTCCTCTTGGCGAAAATTCCCATACTATCCCAGAGTTTGCCTCAACATCTACTCAAGTCCAGGATAGTGATGAGCCTAAGTTTGTTGAAGAAGCTGTATGTCCATCGTCAGAGGAAACAGCATTTACGGGTGCATCATTTGACGAGGAGAGTACTGGTGTCTTCAACTCCACTGGAAAGACCATCGCTTCAACCGAAAATGAGCAACTTGATCCCGTGTGTCGTTCGATAAATGTTGAATCCGAGAATATCGATTCACAGCCTGCTGTCGCGGAGACCTTTGCACCAACCAACGACGCCCACCTAGATCCGGCTGCAGCAGACGTGGATACAACCACTCAGGATCAACCTTTCTGGACAAGCGAGCCGAGCGGTGAAGTCGACTCCGATGAGGACAACTTTTTTAACCAACTGAACAGCCAGACAAAACCTATATTTGCGCCGCCAGAGGCCGAATCCAGGTTCGAGGAAGGGGTCCCATTGTTAGATGAGTCTACACCGGCTTCGCCTCAACACCCACTGGAACAGGAGAAATCAATCGACAACGTGTTTTCCAATGATGAAGACGATGCAGATGGCTTCTTCAGCTCGGCTCCAAGACCAGAGGTTAAGAACGACGATGAGGATTTCTTCGGCTCCATCTCAAAGGAAGAGGCCGAGGAACAACCCGTTGTTCATCTCGCCCGAAAGAGCACGTCTCAGGTCTTGGAATCGGCTGGGTTTGCTCTTGACTCCCCAGTTAGTGACGCTTCGGCTGCAGCGCAATTTGATGCTGCCCTCAAGGCTGCGTCGTTGGAGCCCCAAACAACAGCCGATCCCTCGGAGGAAGAGCTAGCGGCACGGTGGGAAGCCGAGCTAGGTGATTCACCGGATGATGATCTGGCGGCTCGTTGGGAGGCGGCATTGGACGATGACGATATACTGCTGGAGACTGAAGCCGATCAGTCTGTCTCTGCACAAGAGCACATTCATCAAACGCCTGTTCAGCCTACCGACAGTGATCTATCGGCTGGCTTGAACAGTCCCTTCCAGACCCCCCAGGCCTTTTCTCAACCAAGACCTGTTTCTAACATATATACACCCCACCAACCGTCAACTGGTGATCTATTGCAGGGTGCTCCTCTCCCAGGAACTGCGCCGCCAGCCTCCGGAGCGATGTCTTCATACTTCTCGCAACCACCGCAGAATCCTGTGGCAACCAGGGGAGAAAGTTTTGCTGAGCGGTCAAAACAAGGTTACAAATCTCCTTACGACCTTCCAGATGATATCTCCCGACCCCGAAAGCCGGTCGTTACCCACAAGCCTGTTCCTCCAACAGTGACTAGTATGCCCCCACCACCTCCTCCAGGTGCTTCTGGCGTACCGATTCCTGCTGCAGCTGTCTTCCCCCCTCCGGCAGCTCCCCCCTCGGCCGTGGCCGCTCCCCCTGCGCCGAAGAATTTCTACGAGGAACTTCCTCTGGCGCCACCAAGGTCCAGGCCTGCCAGCTCAGGTCGGTACACCCCTAATCCGCAGGCGGCGCCGACGATGACCGGGTCGTCTCTTCCTCCTCCCCAGGTTCAATATGCTCCTGTTGCACCACCAGCCGCACAGCCTGTCGCACTCCCAATCCAGTCCACACTTCAGCCACCTGAACAGCTGGATCCGTATGCTAGCTTAGCATCGAGTGCCCCAGCTGGACCTCCTGCCGTTGCAAGGTATTCTCCCCAACCTCCTGGCTTGCAAGCACCCTCGAAGCCACCTTCGATACCGAGATATTCCCCCGCTCCCCCTCCTACCTCTTCCGTTCGTACTCGTTATGCCTCACTGCCACTTAATGTTCCTGGCCAAAATTTGCCTTTCCAGCCACGGACGTCAAGTCCGCTGGCACACCACGAAAAGGTTTCTTACCAGCCTGATCAATCACACAAGGCCCCATCTCTCGAGCCTGCGATCAATCTTTCCCCACCGCGCGGACAAGGAACTGGCTTCGGACAAATCCCACCTAGCGCTCCGCAATATCTCAATGGTCCTGCCAGCCTACCGCGGAGAGAAAGTGCGGGCTCACCTGTACAGCAATCTCCGCCTCAAAGTCGCTATGCCCCCCAGGAATATCTCAATGAATTCGCCCAGCGTCTCGCGCCGGCTCCGGAATCCGCTCCTCCTGCTCCCGGGACCAATGTATACACGTCTCCACCACCTAGCGATAATCAGATCGGTCCACTTCGCAGGTCTCAGACCCAGTCACCTGCCCGGGACTTGACGAGCCCGCGTTCCTACGGACAGAATATCGATACCCTCCAACGACCGGCTTCGGTGCAAGTTTCGGGCTCGCCGACCAAAACCGTGAATCCGTATGCTCCTGCGCAGGCTGTTTCTCAAACCCGGGCTCCGACGCAGCACCTGGAATTTATCGCTCCCAATGATGGACAGGAGCATGATCCCCTGGAGCGATGGAAGGGTGCTCCGATCTTCAAATTCGGGTTCGGTGGATCCGTGGTATCTTGCTTCCCTAGGCACATTCCTCGCTATTCCGCTGGTCAAGTGGCGCCAATGATTCAACCCACTCTTGGTGAACCGAAAATCTCCCAGCTGGGCGAATGGCTGCCCTCCGGTGATAGCATTGTCCAGCACCCTGGGCCCCTCAAGGCAAAGTCAAAGAAGAAGGAGTTGATTGCTTGGCTTTCTAGCAAGATTGCGGCATTTGAAAATTCAGACCTTCCAAGCTACGAACAGGTTCAGTCTGATACGCACAAACGCCAGGAGGAAAAGACTCTCCTCTGGAAGGTTGTCAAGCTTCTGGTAGAGAATGACGGTAATCTGGAGAGTTCTCCTGAAATTCAAAAGTCTCTCCGCCAGATCATGTTCCCCAACCTACCCAACCCTGACGCAGATGGATCATACACCAGCAGCTTAACCGCCTCGAGTGGATTTGCCCCCTCGAAAATGCCTTCGCAGCCTGATGCTGTTGATGCACAGTGGTTGGAGGAACTTCGCCTACACTTGATCTGTGGTGATCGCGAGAAGGCCGTTTGGAGCGCTGTCGATCGACGTCTTTGGGGACATGCTATGATCATCTCATCCACCATGGACAGGTCGATTTCGAAACAGGTCGCTCAGGAGTTTGTCCGCCGCGAGGTCCGATCCAAATCCGCAAACACCGAGTCACTTGCAGCCCTCTACGAGATATTCGCTGGCAATATTGAAGAAAGCATCGACGAACTCGTTCCCCCGTCTGCCCGAGCGGGTCTGCAACTTATTAGCAAGGCCGATGGCCAGGGGTCTACTAAGAATGCGCTCGAGGGTTTAGACAAGTGGAGGGATACTTTGGGACTGGTTTTGAGTAACCGAAGTTCCGAGGATCACCAGGCCCTGTATTCCCTTGGTCACCTGCTTACTTCTTATGGACGAACAGAGGCGGCTCACGTTTGTTACATCTTCTCGCGTGCTCCCGTTTTCGGTGGCCCCGATGATCCAAAAGCCAACATCGCTCTCCTTGGCGCTGACCACCAGCGTTGCCCTTCTTCCTTGATGGATGAAGATGCTATCTTGCTGACTGAGGCTTATGAGTATGCTACGTCCGTTCTCGCCAACAGCCCAACAGCCCATCTGCCACATCTGTTGGCATTCAAGATCCTGAATGCCAGGTGTCTCGTAGACCAGGGTCGCAATCTAGAGGCGCAAGGATATTGCGACGCAGTGGCAACGGCATTGAAAGCAACCACTCGTCCCTCGCCGTACTATCACCAACACCTCTTTGCGGAAGTTGAAGAACTGTCTGCACGTTTACGCCAAACAACCAGCGATAGTGGCTCTTGGATCTCGAGGCCAAGCATGGAAAAAGTCTCGGGGTCTATGTGGGCTCGTTTCAATAGCTTCGTGGTAGGTGACGATAGTGATGCTGCATCGACTGGATCCGGCAAGGGTGGCGAGCATGCAGAATTTGGTCCTTTTGCAAATGTGGCTGGCACCCCAACAATTAGCCGCTCACCTTCTGTATCTGACATCTACGGTTCTTATCCCGGAGCAGCAGCAGGAGCGCAGCCTATTCCTACCAGCGGCGCGTCCAAGTATCACCCGTCGAGCCAATATGCGCCCAATGGCTCGCCTGAGCAGTTTAAGGGCCGATCTTCAATGGATTCTCAGAGATCTGCTTCCTACTTCCCGCCCGTTGGGCAACGTCGAAGCTCACAAGAACTCTCGCCCTCCATTGATCAACAGATGTCCTATGGGGCTCCAGTGTATGGGTCACCAAACGTGGGTGGGTATCAACCAACGCCTCCTCAGTCCTCTTACGTTCCTCTTGCTCCGGTAGAAGAAGCTATGTCACCCGCTGAAGTTCCTCCAGCTGCACAGCCCATGGTGAATGGTCTCTTTTACCAGCCTCCAGGACAGGCCGCCACATCCAGCGAATCCCCCTATTACCAAGGGCCTCCTGGTATGCCAGCTGGTATGCCAGCTGGTATACCAGACTCGGAGTCACCCTACGCACCTCCCGTTGCCAGTTCGTCTTATGAACCGGTTTCCTACGAGCCGGTTACGGCTGGTGCAGACATGGGCTATGTTGCTCAGGAGGAGGATCTGCAGCCAAAGAAGCAGTCAATAATGGATGACGACGACGATGATCTTGCTGCCCGGGCAGCGGCTATCCAAAAAGCGGAGAATGATCGCAAGGCAAATGAAGCGTTCGCGAAAGCCGCCGAGGAAGATGGTATGTATAAAGAACGCCCATCGCTTGACTCACTTGCTAATCTGACTATTGCTGTAGCCAAGAAGGATGCCCAACAATCTGGCAAGAAGGGCTGGTTTGGTGGTTGGTTCGGCGGAGCTAAGAAAGAGGAAAACAACTCCGGTGGTGGTCCCATTAGAGCCAAACTTGGCGAAGAAAGCTCCTTTTACTACGACAAGGATTTGAAGAAATGGGTCAACAAGAAAGACCCCGGTAGTAGCGCGCCGGTCCATGCCACCCTCCCCCTCCCCGAGGATCCGCTCCCCCCAGTCGGACTGCGAGCTCGAGCAGCATGCCACCAAACGGTGCACCTTCGATGCCCCCAATGTCGGTCTCTGGCAGCCGGCCTCAATCTTCCTCAAACACTGCCCCGCCTTTCTTGTCCTCTAGCCCAGGCTTCTCTGGTCTCGCGTCTCGGTCCGTTTCTACGGGAGCGGCTATGCCAACACCGCCCGGTAGTTCCAGCGGCCCGCCGCCGCGGCCTTCTTCGTCCTTGACTCATGCTAGCTCAATCGACGACTTGATCGGTGCGCCTCAGGCGCGCAAGGGCAACACGGTTCGCGGCAAGAAGAAGGGCCGTTACGTTGACGTGATGGCCCAATAATCATCGGGCTTTATCTGAATGGCCGATGATATAGTGCTTACCAGTCGCCCGACCAGTTAAGTGCTATAATGTCCTTTTCTTTTGTTCGATTATGTTTATTTCATCGTTATGCCTTTTATTTGTTATTACCTGATTTCTTTGATGAACCACATCCCCCTACCCTTGAATAATACAACCCCCTGTTACTAGACTTGTCATTGCCCCAGCATCCTGCATGTGTCTTGTTTCTTGCCCCGGCAGACACGCCATCTCTCTGCATTCTCGCTCACTGAACGTCATCCGAAGCCTTGCTTTTGCACATAGCTTGTTCTTTGCTGTTCCTTGGCGCGACCTCATCCATGGAGTCAAGGGCTTGTACTCCTGGCATTATGTATATCACCCTCCTCCCCTTGCTGTTCTATTCTGGCCTGACATTTTGTTGCTTGCTGGAACTTTGGATCTGGAGGTTTCTTCTTGCATGGTTTCTGCCATGCACCTGTCTTAATAACGATTTCTAATAATTCATTCTGACCTTCGAACGCCTGAAATTTTGGAAGATGGACATCGTAGCTTAAGTTTCACCACAGCATCATGTGGTGAATGAATTGATATAATACTGAAACGTGACTGTTAGACGGCTTGGTTGTTGGAGGAAAGCATTCTTGGGGGCAATGTCAACTCACCGTTAAACAAGATTCCTCTCCTTCCCGATTACCTGGCAGATAAACGTAAAGAACTAATGCCATTTCATTGATGAAGCCTAACCCGAATGAGAAATCGAGTCAGCACTTGCACCAGCGAGCAGCAATTCCAAGTATCATCAAAAAACTTACAGGCAACAACCTTGGGACTGAGTCTCCCAATACTGAGCACCCGACTCCAATCTTTTCCATCAATCCGTACCTTAGCCCAACCAGAATCGAATCCCTCAACCGCCTCCCGCTTCCGATTAAGCTCACTGGGAAGCTGGCTCATCTGCTCCTGGCTCATCTGCGCAGGGTCCAACGGTGGGTTCACGAGATCAGACCAGACACTCTGGATGCGCAGCTCGTCCGTAGCAATAGCCAGCCGTAGCGAGCCATGCATATTAGCAGATAATTCAAGCTTGGGAGACGAGTTGGTGGACAGTGCCGTGGCAGCTGTGTTAGCGCCTGCCCCGCCGAAAGAAACAGAGTGCATGCCCGGCGCATCGGGTGCCATCACACCCGGCTGTTGGCTTTTGCTGTCTGTGGATGCGAGTTTCGTGAAGCGATCGGAGATGCTCTTCAACTGCGCCAGATTGGGTAGGATGATGTGCACTTCGGGGTCTGGGCAGTGCGGCTCGTGCAGCCCTTCGACTGCTGACTCGTGGAGTATCTTGATGGGGATTTCTTGCGTAATCCATGTCTGGCGCTCGCGTGGTCCTCGATCGCCTGTCGTGTCGGCTAGAGTTGCTTCTGGGTCTGGGTCTGGGTCGTCGCCAAAGCCATCTGCGTTATTATTGGTGGCCAAGGCCATGTTCCCCTCCGTCCATTCTGATGCGAGGACTGTTAGTGCTAAGAGGGGAGTTTTCTCTTTTTTAGTTAGGCGAAGCTGTGTATGTGCTGAGCCCCAGGCGGAGCGCAGAGCTCGGTTTAGGACACTGATGTTGACTTCGATGTTGATGGCGTCGGAATTAGATTCTAGCTCGTAGGTCGTGTCATCGAAAATGGTTCCCTGGGGAATGGTTAATATATAGATAATATGACCGCTAGGGTTGATATTATTATGCATACGACTGGTATTGATGCCCACACTTGTGTGCCTTGGTCGGGTATGATGGTAAAGCGGATCACATCGTACTCGAGGCGCATCCAACATACCTTGCCCAGCGAGGAAAGTGATGCGGTGAGCTCTGATTTAGTTAGCTCGGATCCTTTGTACTAACGATTAGGCTTACTGGAGAAGGTCCTGCTGTCTCTTAATTGTGTTCGGAAGCGCATTGTGTGAGTTGATGATGGAGGGAGGAGGGTCGATCTCAACTAAAGTGCTTATCGCTATCGTCTATGGCAGAGATGATGATCTTGCATCTTCCACTCTCTTTCTCGCAACTTTGGAACAGCTTGACGGCATTCAATTTTACATATATTCCTCCATGTTACAGTCTTCTAATTCACTCGGGTCAAGAGTCAAACTCGCGACCAAAGCTGCTCCTACTCCAGATCCATCCTCGGCCGAGTTCAGAGCAATCATGTCCAATCTGTTTCCCTCCCAATCAAAAATATCACGAAGACCCTGGATTGCGCGGTTCTTCAACATACTATATTTACTGAACACCGAGCCATCAACGCCAACGTGGCACTGACGGATGCTTTTCTTCTTGCAGATGGCTGCAATTCCACACGCGTAGAGACGCGCTGCACGCATCGCGAGCAGGCCGATAAGATGACGACACGCCTTCAGTTCCTCCAGCGAGAGTTCCAGATTGAGGCTCTCCTTGAACTCATCTTTCATGTCGGTCAGACTTTCCGACATGTCCATCTCGACAGTAGACAGAAACGATGTCTCCAATGAGTTCGCGATCCGAAGACGCGAGACATCTTGGCCCTTGAAGAGTATGCCTCCCTCGTGCATTGTCAGCATTACCAGACGCAGCATCTCTCCTATGTACAACCCTGCCACCATCTTCTCGTAGATCTGCCTGCCTGGATGAGCAGACTCCTCGTCGATCTGGCGGTCAAAAGGAGTCAAGGGCAACACCTTACGCTCGTTGTCAAAGGAGCCGTACTCGGTGTTGATGATTACAGTTGCATCTTCGGGCAGTCCTGAATCACGCAGCTTGGGGATCAACCGGCATTCTTCCATGTACGCTGCATTGCAGCCAGTACTGAAAATGCTACCAATCTTTACCTGCGGATCCCGGTAACGTGATGCAACAAGGGTCCCCGCTGTGTCGTTGACGAGGGCGACCAGTTTCACTGGGACGTCCTAGTTTGATCAGCTCCGACTCTTGGTATTCAACGTGAACCTACCCTCTTTGCAAGTTCCTCTTCCAGCTGAGGTACTACATCGTGCCCTTCTACTCCGGAAACATTGAAGTTTTTGGTCCAGTGCTGCAGAATGCCACTGCGGATAGACATTTGCTCCACTGGGAATGAGAATGTGAACGCCATCGGTACTGGGCTTGAAGGACTGGGATCACTGTGACTTTCACTGAGGAAAGTTTTGATTCGGTCCGCAATAAAACCCCACAGGGCTTCTTTTGTAGTTGTCTTGACTTCCTCCGGAAGCTTGTATTTCCGCTGACGTTGCTCGAAGTCTCTCTTCCCCGCGGAAAGACAGACATCACATACACGGATGTTGGTTCCTCCCAGGTCAACTGTGAGAATGCGTCCTTTCTCCTGGCCTGTTGGGTATCTCATGATCCATGTGACGTTCATAGGCTTCAATTCACACCGACATTCCAGTCAGCATCAACTCGATATTCATATCATCTTGGGTCAATTAGTACTAACAATAGAACCACCCTCAATGCTAAGACCTTTCTCCAGTTCCTGAGAAAAGTGATCTGAGATCGCCTTCAACTTGGGCGGATCGAGCCAGAACCAATCTTCATATTTCTTGAGCTCTACAAGGAGGTCTTCGCGAAGCCCTTCCAGAAGTTCTGGGCGGTAGCGAAACCCTTGCATGATAATCAACTGGCTTGGTAGAAGATACTTGTGCAGCTCTGCAACTCTGGAGAGTCTCGGGAATATTCCCTGGCCGTATTTGGGCTAGGAGAGTGCGCCATCAGTTCCGACAACGCCATCATTACCGCATAGTGATAGCAGATATCGATCAAATAGGTAATTTGTTTTGGTTTTGCTGTATCAAGATCTGCTACGGAGAATATAGGGAATAATTGGGCAAATATTCAAATATTCTTACTCCTTGCGTTTGGAGTTGAAGCTATTTTCAAATAGCCTTGTTACCTTTTCTGATATCTGCTTTCCTCACCGATTAAACATGAAAAATAGTTTTTTTTTGACCGATATGCTCCAATATTCCAAGTTATCACGTATAAGAAAATGAAGAACTGTAGTATTTTCCCCCATAGTACGGCGGATCACCCGGCGATGGTTCGCGGCAACTCCACTCAAGACCTTAGGGCCTTTCCCCCTGATCGGATCTCCACATCCATCAAAATAAATTCAACTTCAGAAAATCCTCCGAAACTATTGTTTTGATATCATTGTGATCAGAAAGCCGGTCTTTCTCTCCTTGTCGCTCATTTGTGCCCACTTCAGCACCATCCACTCTCTCCGCACTCCCTCGCTTCTCGCTTCTCATCAACTTTTCTACTTACCTCTCCTCAATTTCCAATCATTTTTCCTTTTCTTTATTTTTCTCTCCTTCCAGCTTATTGCTTGCCAAGTTCTGCACTCACTTAAGACGCGCGTCTCAGCATGCGGGCTCGACAGTCCTCTTTCCCGCCCTCGTTCCGACGTCCGTCACTTACATGCCATCCTCGAGCCAGTCGAGGCTCCCTGTGACTTTACACCCCCGATTTAGGCTGAGCATCTATTCGGCATGGCGGCCAGTCGAATAAATCCGAGTCGGCCTTCCATCCGCCTCTCCCCCTCCCACTCCCGAAATAACTCGCGCTCAACCTCATTTGAAAGAATCCCTGGCACCATCTACCAGCAACTCGACCCTCTCCTCAGCAACCTCTCCCCCGAATCAACCCTCCAAGCCCTCACATCAACCGACGCAGTCCCTTCCAACGAACAAGCCGCTCATGATATCCTCTCGCGAAGCATCTCCCAGGTATCGCCTTCGGAACGCGCCCTAGGGATACGCGCGGCGGTAGCTGCCCAAAACTTGAACTTATGGCACAAAGAGGTCCAATCATGGGATTGGCCAAATCAGCGCGACGCGAAGGTTGGGATGGGCTTCATTCCTCCATCTGAGTCGCACTCGGGGGGAAATCTCATCCCTTCGGGGTTTTTGGCTCCCCCTAGCAACACCCAGGCAAGCTACTATGGGAGCTTGTTAGCCACCGTGGTTGAGGGATACGAGAGAAGAGCCGAGGAAATCCGCGATGGAATGGAAGATCTTAACGTGGAAGAATTAAAGGAACACGTTTTGAATGCCCACATTCCATCCAGGTCTCGGCCCTCGTCCGCCACAAGCTGCGCGTCCGTGCCTCCGCCGCTCAGCTATGTACAGCTGAGTGACTTTACAGCTGTCATTACCGCGACCATCCTGCGAGCTCTTCCATACCTATCGCGACTGAGCGCCCTACTTGCCACTTGGGAAGTTCGCATCTTTGTCTTACGCCAAATTCCTGGTCTGCTGAGAGAGCTGAGCTTGACTCGCTCCGCCCTTGACTCCTCCCTCCACGCCTTACGAACCCCGCATTCTCCTGCCTCCGACCCGAGCGAATCCTCCGATGCATCCCTAGCTGCCGACCATGTTAAACTGGAGTCCGCAGTTGTGGCTGTGGGGAGGCGGATGGACCGAGTTCTCGACGCGTTGGAGGGTCGTCCGGATTCTTTGCCCGAACAATGGATTGATGACTTAGAATCCATTGAGTCTGACTTTGCTGCATGGGTGGTGGAGGCTGATAAATACAAGGTTCACAACGCGTGGTTGCGGTCAAAAGCCGAGTCTCAAATGGCTGAGATGCGCGCAGCTGACCTCCAGCGCGCAGAGTCATTGAAGGAAACACGGCAGGACCCAACATCCGATACAGCTGTATCGGAACCTTCAGATGATCTTCGTTCCCCTCAGCAGGATGAGGTTGTCGAACATGAGCCCGAACTTCAGTCTGGCCTTACATTTTCGTCCGGTGACGCAAGGCCAACTAGCCCACAATCTGCTGAACAGTCAATGGTACCTCTTGAAGAGACGCCACTTCCTGCAGACTGTGTGGCAGGTGACGCTTCGCGAAACCTGCAACTCTCGATATCGCTATCAAAATCTCCAATCGAAGAGAAGCAAGAAGATATCACACCTGTGGTTGTGGCAGAGGACCTAGACACACCAACACAGTCTGACTTTCCACCAGCTCCTGCGATCAGTCGACAGCCCTTTTTAACTCCTGCACATACGCCTTGTGCAATTGATCGCACCTCAGAAAACAAAGAAAACATTCCTCCACCCGGCTTCCAACAGCTCGATGGAGCTATGTCACCTCCCAGCCAAGCTTTCACAAGACCAAGTCCATTGTCCGAGCATAGTGCCCTGGCTGAAGATTTTCAACATTCCACTGCACCTGAAATGGAAGTCCAACTTCCTGAGGTCGTCGTTTCTGCTGATGTACCCGCCGCGGAAGAGCTCAATGCCTCCGCTGGTCGCAAAGACTTGCCTAGTGATACTGTGGCTGAAGAAAAAGAAAATAACTCCGACGAGGGGGCAAAACAAGCTGCTCCACACCCCAAATCAATCGAACTCAATCCTGAGCCTAAAACCATCAGACCTCCCGTTGGCCAAGATCCTAAATCCCCGAACGGGCCGAGTGAACAGAATCAGTGTGATACTCCGGTAGCAGCAACTATCTCTCCGGTTCTCACACCAAGGTCAGAAATCCGAGCGCCGAAATCGAGACCGTCTGGCAGGGTTTCCCAAATACCCATGGCTGTGGCATCACCTAAGTCGGGCTCAAATCCCGCGCCCACCCAGTCTCACCACCCGCGGAATGAAGGGAAGCCAGAACCTTGTCAACGGACTGTTCGCAAGCCGCTACAGAGCCCTATTAAACTTTCCAAATTCCGCCCAGGGAAGCCTGATCTCGACAAAGATGGTAAAGTGGTGCACACAATTACGCATCGTCGTCGGACATCTACTGGATCTGTGGGTTCCTTGCTTTCAGACCATTCTTCCCTCATATCCAGTCCTGAGGTACCTGAGCCGCGCACTGCTTCCTCTAATGTGACGCCTCTTGGGCCATCATCTCGCCCTGAATCTACACATCCTCCTTCGCATGGGGACTATACCTTGAGAGAGGATCATCTGCGTCGTTTGGAAAACCAAAAGCCTGATCCGCGAATATCTTTCCAGCAAAGTCGCACGGTCAGCCTACCCCTCGAGCGGTTTATCAACGAACGCTTGGAGTTGGGCCTGGCAACCGAGTCGGCGCCAGGTGTGGCTAGTGTGAAACAGTCTAGGACTAGGACACGCTCTGTTACATCTGCCGACTTCCCCAAACCCCCAAAGGTACGTGAACCCATTGTTCCTTTGATTATGTGCTCATCGCTAATTGGCTATCTTAGACACGAAGCAAAATCACATTCCAGGATACTTCTGCTGCATCCATCCCACCGGTTCCACGTCTCCCTACTCACCGTCATCAACTGTCACGAGGAAAGTCTGCATCTGACTTAAACTCTCAAAATGAGATGGCAAAAATTGCGGAACGAAATAAAAAGACATTCGGGATGAATTCTGCCCGAAGAGCCATGGAGCACCTTCTTCAGCCCAAGTCTCTCCGCTGGCGGCAGCGACTAACTGCCCATCCAAGTCTCGAAAGTCTGGGTGTGAAAAGACAAGAACTGTCCTATGTAGAAGAGCATGAATCTGAACTCACCGATTTCGGATTCCGCCCTTCCTCGCCAACCAAACACAGCAAGCAACCGCGAGACCAGCTTGATGAAAAGATTAACTCGATTCTCAACTCATTGCCTGGTCATATCCATTTGGTCGACTCCAACCACGAAGTAGACACATCGTCATCCTCGTCATCCTTGGACCGACGAATGCGGTACAGATCCGAATCCCCCACTGGTCCAACCCGCAGCACCACTCCCGCACCTTCTCTGACCTTGATGCCCGCTGCCCGGAGACGGCACTCTCATGCCTACAAAACAGAGGACAGCTGTGTCAAACTCTATCACCTCCATCACGGAGGCCAAACGGCACCGACAAAACTGTTCGTTCGCACCGTTGGAGAAGAGGGGCAACGAGTGATGGTTCGTGTTGGCGGTGGATGGGCTGACCTTGGCGAATACCTTCGCGAATATGTCATTCATCACGGTCGCCGCAAGGTGTCTGAAACCCCTCGTGTGGAGGTGCAGGGCATAAAAACACGTTCCTCGCCGTCTTACGCTTCTCCGAATACTATGCTGACCCCAGCTACCTCATATGTTGCCTCCGGCCGGGCTACCCCCCTCCCGACCACCATCCGTGCTCAGTGCCCGGCCACCTTCATCCCTTACCGTCCACAAGAAACGACGAGGCTCAACCGCATCCGATGCAATGGGCACTAGGGCAGTGACAACAGGCCACATATCCTCCTTCACCTCACCCCCACCCACTGTCGCCCCTCTCCCTTCCTCGACCAGCAGACGTCTTTCAGTGTCTTCCGGCTATTCAATCGGGGACGCCAACTCCCCCAGCACCGTCGCTGCTGCCTCCATGGCCAATGAATCCCGCTCCACACCACTGGGCTTAGCTGGTCCTAAACCACGTGCTCGGTACGAATCCATGAGCCCAGAGGGCGAAGCCTGGGTTGCAGATGTCCTCCAAAAGACCCGCCGCTCCAGCTCCCAGACCTCACCCCAGTTCGCACTGAGCATGCCGCCAGACCACGATGCCGATGACCGATTTGAGATTGGCGACGGCAGCGTTGTTGGACACTCCCTACCCAAAGTCCGCAGCATTGGCGATATTGGATCTATCGGCACAAGCAGGCGGGTTGTGCTGAAAGGTCTTGGGTCTCGCAGGCCGTGAACTTCGACAAAAGTGATCCTTCGCATATAATATTGATCTTTTTGATTCCCTATTTTCCCCTGTTCTTATTTACCCGCTGTACACAACGCGGATGGGTCTGCATTTATTTTTCTTCGCATCATCCTGGGCTCTGGGCTCTTGGACATATGGACATTTGGCAGTACATGTGTTGACGCCGTCCTTTCATATCTCGGGTTTTTATCTTCTCTTCTACTTGCATCAGCGTGGCGAATCTGTTCTCACTTGGTTTGTGTTTGCTTTGGGATTTGGTGTGGTGTTAGAGCTCAACAATACCCTACAGTTATCTGGTTGATAGAGTTATCTTTGCATTTACAAATAGTTTGATACATATTGCATTGTTTTTTCTATACACTATATCTTGCAGAGTACTCCGAAACTCATCCTACCTTGACGTCGTCGCACTTGCGTGCACCAGTGATCGTAGCAGTGTAAGCGGTTGGTTTCCCGCCGGGATTGTTATCCGGGATTGGTTCTATCCATAAGGTCAGTACGTATATATGTAACGTATCCCGTAATGACGGGTTCAATATGACCCTACCATGGGCATAAGCGAGCAGCAGCTTGGTATTGATAGCAACCAAGACTATCATGTACATAGTAGGTTGTCAAGTCTGCCCGATTTGGGCCGAGACCATGGTGGATTTCCGATATCTCGGCATTCATAGAAAATTATCAGGTTCAGCATCAGGGTCAATCACTAGCCGTCGCTGTGATCACTCATCAAGCGACGAAGGCAGGGTTATATAACTTGTCTACCCATTAGGGTTATCCAGCTACCGCTCCCTGGATGAGTTGATGGTTAGTTCATGATCCTATCGGCATACTTAGTCGAAGTGTCAAAATTCCAGACTAACTTACAGCTGCTGGGCCGCAGCTTCAGCATCCTCCGTAGTATGACGAAGGGCACCTCGTGAACCTGTAGTGCAGTGCAACGGCTTGTGCAGCCGTCGCTGCTGCCTCTGCTTCGGCAACCGCAGAAGCGCTGATTGGGGCGTTGGGATTTACCCTTGCGATGCCGCGAGGGGCAGCCCCATCCTAATTCCACAGGCGAATTGTGCTTCTCTCCGGAGTTCAGGGAGAAGAAAAAAAAAACGTCCCCGGGAAGGCTTGAACTTCCAACCTCCCGATTAACAGTCGGACGCGCTAACCAATTGCGCCACGGAGACAAAATACGAGTGTGATAATGTAAAAGAACGGTATAAATAAGTGAGGAATGGGTGCCCCAGGTTCAGGGATCAGGACCTCGTCGGCCTATGGGGGTAAGAGGCTGGAGCGCGAAGGTAAGTGAGGGATGAAAAGGAAAGAGGCAAGAAGGAAAGCAGAAGGGGAAGGCTCTTTAATATAGTAAAGTCTAAAAGAACTTGGGAAGTAGTTATACTCATTATATCAGTTATAAGCTCAGTGATACAGCTTTCGTGACTATCGACAGACCGGATCCAGTCCACTCTTCCAGTGGGATGATCCTCCTCAGTGTTCTCATAACTGTCAGAATCCCCTACTAAGCCTCAGGTCGCCCTCGACCGTGAGTACCATCAGTCCCCATCCACATCTCCCTCGCATCTGGACGCTCATCCAGCTCATCTCAGATTGCAGCGCACTGGTGACTATTGTAGGCACCTTTTACTTGATGAATGTAATCTAAATGGCTCAGCAACTCCATGTTCGACATGTGTGCAGCCGGTAGGAGTCGAGACTCAGTAAGGTAGGCTTGAGTTCTGAGAAGAAGAACAGTGCAAAAAGAAGAAGAAAGGCTTGAAATTTGTAAAGAGAGACTAGCTAGAATGAGAAGTCTCAGGTTCCTTCACTAGTTTGGATTTCCAATCGATTTGGAAAGCGGTCATGCCGCCAATCTCTTAGGGCGGAGCGACGATCTCACCGAAGTGGATGCGGTCGCTTATTAGGTCCTTATATTTGGTTTTCTTGTCGAGTACCTATATATAGTGTCGTAGGCTCGCACCTACCAGCACGTAATAGTCCGAGAAGACCGCGAGGAAAGGTAGGCGTTACGGACGATGCCAACTCCATTGGGAGGACTCAGTCGTTTGGCAATTCGAGCATGGCCCCGCAGCACACTGGCCTTGAAGTCTGCCGCCCGTAGTCGATGATGCTGGGCTTGCAGGGAAGCGGTCACCGGCTGTCCAAGCCGTTCGTTCAAACGGGCTTGGAGGCCGGTTTCGTCTCCGAGGACTAGCTGTTCTTCGGACATTGAGTTTCCTGCTCCGGGGCCAACAATACGAATACCAAGGGTATGGCTGCTCCAATGGGTGCTTGGCGCATGAAAACTGCTGAACAAAGTGCTCGGGCGCTCAAAACTATTCCGGGGTCGATACCAATAACAAGCCGAGCAATTGTATAATGGATTTCCCTGGGAACTGGCCGGGTCGGTATACCAGGCGTTTGCCCCACTGGTCGTGCTATCACAATTGTGGCATTCACGTTGACCACTAGTCCTCCTATTGCTCTGCTTCAACGGCATAGCATGATTGAGCTGATGAAAGATGGTCAGGGGTACCTCACACTATTCAAGTGCCTCGAGGTACATGTCCTCACTGTAGCCGATAGTTTGCCTCAGTTTAGGGTTCTCACATGGCACACAGATATCCAACAGCATTATCATGGCCTGATCGAGCAGGCGAACTAGCCAATTGATATCCATGATTGGAAGGTTGTCGAACCCCTCTAGCCTCTGTGGAAAAATGCCAATCTTGCGGTAGCATGGTACAAGCCTATGGATATTGGCATAGCAGTAAAGGTACACCAGCTTCGTACCATTGGGTAGATATCGGCCATCGGTCAATTTCTTCGTGCTAGTTCGCTTGGACAGAACATTATGATCCACACATCGCCCAGAAACACTTTTGACGCTGGATCCCAGTATCTTGTATCCGCGGTGTGCTCATTTCTCGTGAGTTCGGAGTGGCAGCCTAATCCTAGATTAGTCAATCATAGTACACAGGGCTGGATATTATCCACGTAGACTCACAATGTTGGAAAGCATCTTGAATAAGGTGGATGGCAGAGTTGAAGATATCAAAGAGAGACATAAAAGAAAAAGAGATGAAATATAAAATATAAGTGAGACGTGAATGAAGAGAAGAGAAAGGAAAGAAGGTAGAAAGGGAGAAGGGCCATTAAATATACCAGACGCGCGAGCATATGAGAGTTTGAGACCTCTCACATTCTCAGCTGGACACCCTCCAACAAGGCCTTTTTGAATTGCGTCGTTCGACGCTGGATGACTGGTCTCGTCATGCTTCCAATTTCAGTGATAAGCAAGGAAGAAACAGTGTTGCTCACGGCGGAAACATCACCATGGACATCAAAGCTATTGAGCATATGTTCGAGGAAGAGGAGTCGATCTTAGAAGAAAACCTGAGAAATAGTTCCAGTGTAGGTGCTAAAAGGGCGTGGAAAAGTGAGAGATAAGTGAAAGGGAGATGATAAAGAAAGAAAGCAGAAGGAGAAAGCCCTTAATATAGAGGGACAGGGACCATTAAATATAGTAAACGCGCAAGCATATGAGGACTTAAGCCCAACCTAAGGTATCCCTGAATGTTCACCTCATTTAGAAGCCTGATATTTCTTAGTCGCCATTCATATCTTATATACCAAGACGGAGTGAATGTCCTCTATAATCTCCATTTATAGAAAAGATGAGGAATTCAATATATAATTTATCAAGCAAATCTACTCTCATGAGCTTATAATATATCTGATAGAAAACAAAGAGGGCAAAGAAAGGCCTCACAACGGCCGGTGAGCTGACAAAAGAATAAGCTGAGAATGAAAGACTACAAGAGACATAACCCTCAGTTAGATCAACTTCATACATGTAGCTGATTGTAGAAATAAGCATCAATCCAATGCACGAATCCTTCCCTCATCTACACTCCTCATCCTACCACTCCCCACCCTTCAAGCGGTACTACTCATCAAGAGTGGATCTATCAATCATCGAGATACCTCCCCGGGGAGCACAGCTCAGGGGTGCCGCTGATCGCGCCAATCCATACCGGGATAGACTGGAACGAACTGACCATGCGCGAGGGCAAGAACAGGCTCGCAGCAGAAGTGCTTGTCGCCCGATCCAAACCGTATCTCCCACCTGACCCTAAATTTGAAGATGTGCCAACTACAGAAGAAGGCCAAAGACGCAGAGATTCAAATTCCAGTCCTGCATCAACCTCCGGTGTTACTCTGCCGCCAAGCTGTTCGGCCACACAGTAATGTGATCGGACTGGAATCTACCATCATTTGCAACAGGAGGATGTCAGCGACTCAGCGGCTGCGTTTCTATATAGAAGTCGAAGCTCTCGGCTTTAACTATTAGCACCTGTTCGAATGTGGTTTGAGTATTCTATGTGCATGTATACTCGGATCGTTCCTGACTACTGTAGATATCTCTATGAGTCCAATTAGAGCCCTTAAATAAAAATCATCGATTCCATTCAAATGCGGGTGGGTGAAGACTTTGCATAATTCATTCCAAAATAAAGGTAGAATATGGCAAAACACCCTGATGCATGTCCCTTTACTCCGCAAACCGAGTCATCAAAGAAGAAAGAAAAAATCAAGGAAGAATATACATGCAATCGTAAATCGTGAAAAGCCAAGAATTCGAGAACAGTGGAAGGAAAGCAATGACTTAGTCCAGAGAGCATACATCGATATCAAGCAAGACATCCAGTCCCAACATCAGAAAACCTGATGCCAATCATGAAGTCTGTTGGCGTTTCCAGGGGATGTCTTTGCGAAGTAAGTCGCGTAGCTCTGGAGAAATCACCTTGGGCTTGTCGGCCTCGATTGCCTTTTGAAGGGAAGAGGGGCCAGCATTGACTCCGCTGCTTGATCCAACAGTAGGCTGGGGTAGTTTTCCCTTGCTGCCAGAATCTTGGCTGGTTGCACCTGGGCGACGCTGGTGGGCGGTGGGCGCAGCAGGGAAGTTGTCTTTCTTGTCAATGGCTTGCACGGAACGCTCGAAACGGTGGAAGAGCGATTCTGCGCGGGTGAGAATGGGTACGAGGTCCATTGTGTTGGAGAGTTCGTTGACTAGAGATTGCAACGTTAGTAACTTGAAATCGGAATTACGTCCAGTTGTCAACATACTGTATTTCAGCACTTCATCAAAGTGCTTGAGATGATCCATGATTACATCTCGGTGCTTCTCGAGTATGGCGAGCGCAATGAACAGGTGGAAACTGCTGGAGAAATAGTCGGTCCACAATGTCTCCCATAGACGCAGGACATCACTCCAGTCAAATTCCCGTTTGTACCACACCAGCAGCATGCGGAAGAAGAAGAAGAAGTTGGTGCTGTCAGCGGACTGCAGATGCAAGTAGAGCTGCGGGTCCATGAGCTGGACGAGGTTATCCAGCGCTAATAGCTGGCCACGCATTCCAGATTGGTCTCGGAGGAAGTTATATTCCTATACAGAGACATTAGTAAGAGAGCGCGACTTTTTGCATCGTGGAAAACATACCATTCGATCCATGAACCCGACAAACGCCCAGAAAGCCACGGCGTCATCTTGCATGACAGCATAGATTGGCGCCAGGAGATCACTCATCCCTTGGACGTACCCAAGTTCCGGGTTGAATTCATTATACGTCAAGAGCATATCCTTCATCTGCTCCAGGTGCACGTTGGTACCCGTCTCGGCGAATGGAGAATCAGGATCCGGATGAGGGATATCTTCGCCCGCAAACAAAGGAATGGTACGGTCGGTGCGGTGAACATCCTTCTCTATATCCATGTGTTAGTGGCCGCCATGTCTAATTCAGTGCGTGATCTCACCTATCCGATTCTTCTGCTCCTTCCAATTATCAAACTGCTCGATCGTCGAGTTTCCCTCGACCATTCGCTCCCACCAGCCTGCTTTCAGCCGGATATACTCATCGCGCTTGGAGTTCATCATCGCTTGGCGCTCCTCGCGGCTGCTATCCCACGAATACACACCGAGAAGGAAGAGCCATGCCTCCTTTCTGACGCCATCATTGGGATCCAAGCCGCCATGGAAGATCCGCTCCTTGACTTCCTTCGCCGTTACTTGGAGTCTACCCGATGTTGGGTCGAAGAAGCCCTCCCATTCTTCCAGCTGAAGAACACGGCGTCGCTCCTGGAGAGCCAGGTTCCCGGTCTCCAGCTCTAATATCTCAAAGTCGCCAACCGAGCTATTCTCCATTTCCAGCATATCCTGCGCGGTCCATATACGCTGATTTCGCTCTTTATCGCTCTGCTCGGCAACACTCATCGCCCAACGAGCCAGATAGACCCTAGCGCTGTCGAACTCATCTTGCAACGTCTGGATCTCTGGATTCTTCATTAAACGGCGCATCTGAGGCGGTATGCGAGGATTCTCTGCTATCTCATTGGCAGTCCGACGGGTAAAGGTGGTGATTTTGCTGAGCTGCTCCAGCACTTTCCACCGTGTTTCCTTGAGAGTCTTCATGAATGGATCCATGTTGGCATCAGGCGGTTCGGCTCGGGATCCGGCGGCGGCGGCTTCGGGCTGTGCCTTTGCTAACAAGGACTTATCGCCGTGGCTCACCGGCCGGCCAAAGGACAGCTGGTCCTCATCCGACGGGTTGATGAGGTAGACGTTGCTGTCCACCGCGGAGCGCTGCACCTCTGCATACCTCCGCAACCAGCGCAGTACCTCATCGCCGCCCCAAAACAAACCCCCTTCTTTACCAAATGGATCGAAGGTTTCCTTGACCCTCTTCCTCTTTTGTAGAATGGTTGACTCGCATTCGTCGTCATGGAAAAATAGCGCGGGGAAGCCATCGCCCGCTCGAGTGTTTATTACTAAACTCCCAAACCACCATCCCAGGCTCGGCGGTCGTACTAATAGCGAGTATATCTCTGATAGCGGAACTGCAAAAGAATACAACCCAATGGGGTCTTTGTAGGTGGTGGTGGTCGGAAGCGGCGGAACGAGGTACTTCTGGCGCGGTGGGGAGTCGCCTTCAGATAGGTCTACTTTCACATATGTATCGTAGGCTTCTCCAAGGGAGGACTCTGGGACCCATGCGAGGAGATATGAGGGTGTATCGGGGGTTTTGGATTGAGACGCGGATGCATGTGATGCGGGGAGAGGTTTTTGCTGGATGAGGGCGATAAAGCCAGGGATATTATCTTTGGAGGAGGAAGTTGGATGAACATAGACCTGGACTTCTTGTTAGCTTGGTATTTCTCTTAGATGGAAATTGTCTCACTTTGCTTTTGGAGAAGAGCAGCTTAACCCCTCTACTCGAGGCAGCCTGGGCGATGGTATTGTATTCATCTTCTTCGTCGTCACTCATGGCGTAACAAGATGCTGGAGGTGAGGGTGTAGGAGGAGGGGGAGTATATTTGACCGGGGCCATGATAGGACGTTGGAAACTTTTGACGTTGAAGTTTCAACCTTTCAAGTTGTTGAAGGTTGGAAAGTTGGAAGTTGGAGACGACGTAATTGCCCGATAAGATACGGATCGTCTGATTTCCCTTATCCCGCCAGGTGATGGATGTGATGCTTCTTTCACACTTCTTTTTCTTTTGGATCTTTGTTGAGATGTTCTATGTGCTTGAATTGAGGATCTTGAATACATCTCTCTTTTCTTCTGTTTTGCTCTTTCGCCTTCGGTCGCCGCTCTCGGATCCTCCAGGCAGCCAAATTCATAGTGAACCTCAACATAGAGGTAAATAGATTAAATAGGAATCTCTCTCTATCTGTGATCCATTTGTGTTGCAAATGTGGTTCGTTCCTGATTTTTCTAGGTGGTTATGGTGTCTCTTACCTACATACATTATGTATGTACATATGTAGGTAACCAATTTAGATCACCATTGGAAAACCACAGCAAATGATTGGAGCAACTGTTGCTATCGGGCATTGTTGTGGACATTCTGATTTCAATGTTTGTAGTTCTCTCAATATCATCCATCTTCTAAGGCTAGCTCGAGCATAGACAGGCTAAAAATGCCTACTTAGGAATATCCACTTCCGCTCTCGTAGATCCCCCCATTGGCGTCATTGTCCCTTGACTCAACTCATAGAAGTCCCAAGACCCTGAAAGTATTTTGCCTATCTTTGGGGCCTTTGCACGGCCAGAACATTTCAGATCTGTGCGTGAGCCGTGTGATCAAACGTGACATCAACGGGACTCGATAACTCATTTGGGAAACGATATACCGCACCTCTCCGGCGCAACTCAAGGTTGGACAACCTTATTGCCACCAAAAATTGCATGTCTATCAGTTGATGTCGAGAGACACCACCTGTTGACACAAAAGGAAATCTGTCGCGATATAAAAATGCGTCTCTTTCGCTGTCGCAGTCGCAGTTTACAACTCCAATCGTGTCAACTTGATACTTGAATATACTCAACAACTTCATCGATATCATGTCCGAGCTCACTCGCACTTTGCCTGCCTCCTGGTATTGCAGTCAGCCACTGTATCAAATGGAGCGGCGGGCGGTCTTTCTCAAAGTATGTAAAGCAGTCTTGTGACAGTTGAAGGAGACTAATACGTGTTCCAGTCTTGGTACTTGCTCGGCCCAGTCACCAGATTCCAGATGGTGGGCGAGCATGTTCCATATGAAGTTGCGCAGCAACCCGTCTCTGCTGTTCGCACCTCGGGGGAGGCTCTGAACCCCGTAGCCGAGGAGCTAAAGGTTGTCTGCGCAAAAACGGTACGTGTGATCTAGGTGAAATGTGAAGTTACCACTAACAATTGTGCTACCTACAGGGCAAAGAACTGCGCAGTCATCTCACCCCTACTGGACTCCTCTTCTCAACTATCTCCGACGATGCTCCCAGTTTCCATGAATTCTTCCCGGAGCTTGAGGAGCTGCTCGGTAAAGTCGACTTCACCAAGCTACCGCACCGTCGTAGCATCAGCTATGAAGGCCGATTCAACTGGAAGACCATGTAATATTCTCTCTTATCCTTTTCCACTGTCTTATTATTAACTTTTGTCAGGGTCGACGGATATCAAGAGTGTCTACACTGCCAATACACCCACCCATCCTTCTCCAAATACTACCCGCCGACATTCTACACCGTGCGCAACAACCACAATTTCTCCCAGCATATCGCAGACCCGAACAAGTCAGATGATGGCCTTTTTCTATACTTCTTTCCCAACTGCACACTGAATGTCTATGGCGGTGGTATGTCCTCCTTCAGAGTATGTCCGACCGCTGACCCGCATGTCACCCGGATGGAATTCGATTACTTCCATCTTGAATCTGGGGACAAATTCGAAGAATACTTTAAATTTGTGCGTCAAGTTGCTATGGAAGACTTCGAGCTCTGTGAGAAGGCCCAGAGCAACCTAGCCAAGGGGGTCTATCACGAGGGAATTCTGAACCCAAACAAGGAAAACGGCGTGTCTTGTGAGTTGTCGCTTTTAAAGTTGGTTCATGCAATAACTAACACACATTTCTCCCTTAGACTACCAGGGACGGGTGTTTGATATGGTCTGCGAGCAGCATGAGTTTGACAGGACCGCAAAGACAGCGAAAGAGCCTGGACTGGAGGAGCATGCTGCGCCCTCCATGGTTCAAATGACAGCGTAGTATAGTCGTAGGAATATAGTGATCGCTCTTTTGATATAAGATATGAATATGAATGCAACTATAATCTTAATGCCTGCGCAGTAATCACCGTATGATAAAGGTAACCCCAACCATACGGGACCGAAAATCGGAAGTGACAACATTGAAGTCAGCCGAGTGATACAGCCAGGAAATTCCAACCCAATCGGGTAATATAGGGAGACATCTGCGCTAGCTAAGTGTGGAGAGTATGATATGGAGGGGCATTTAGACCTCAAGTATATCAATGGCAGATGCCAACCACTTTCTATTATCCAAAACAGCAATACTTTATTTATTATGGAGTCTACCGATGCAGATTACTTAGTATCTCCAGCGTCCATCCTCGTGGCCTTGGTGACAATTATCTTTCTACTCCACCGAACATGGCCTCATTTATCTCAACCTAAACCAGAGAAACTCACCGAATCTATTGCAATAACCTCTTCAAACAATTCAGACTTGTCCGTTTCCAAAGAACCCGAAATCCCAGAGGGATGGTGGACCGGTCGGGAAGTCTTCGAGCTTGAACGGCGCGCACTCTTCAGCCAAGTAATAGGAATGCCGCTACAATATGGCTTGACAGCATCGCTAACATTCAACTCTAGACATGGCTCTACCTTGCCCATAGCTCCCAGTTCCACAAGCCTGGCTCGTATCAATCATTTGACGTTGCCGGGTTCCCGGTCTTTCTCATTCGCGGCAAAGACGACAAGATCCGCGCATTTCATAATATCTGTCGTCATCGTGCCTATACTATTACCAGAAAAGAGACTGGTGCCTCCACTGTTCTTGGTTGTCGGTATCATGGCTGGAGCTATGATACCACTGGTCGGCTGGTGAAGGCTCCTCAGTTTGATGATGTCCCTGGGTTTGATAAGTCGCAGAATAGTCTGTTTGAGGTTCATACACATACCACTGATCAAGGGATGATTTTTGTGAATCTCAATTCTGGTGAGCCGGCTACACTTGACAGTGCGGTGGCTTCGAGTTTGAGTGGATTTGCGCGCATAGCTGGTCTCGAAGCGAAATCCACTTGGGTTGCTGGTCAGACTTTGTCGGGAGACTTCAATTGGAAGGTTGGAGGTAAATAACTAATGTCAAAAATTGTTGGAGACAATAGCTGACACTTTAATAGCACGATCTCGTCACCTCGATGCCTATACCAGCGAGTTACATCCCAGATTGTCTGAACTATCGGGGCGCTCGCCTGTCATGAAGCTTATCAGGTCTATTACGCGAAAGAGCGCCCTGGAAGAGTGTTCCTTGTTTCCAATTACACTTATGTATTCGCTTCAGGATGCGGATTTATGCCTCACCCTTTCCTTCATTCCCGCCTCTGAGTCGAAGACGCATATTCGCTACGACCTCTTCGCCCGCTCCGCTGTCAATGAACCGGAAATTCAGCAAATGTCCGAAGAACTAGAAAGCGCGACAAAGAATTTGATTGGAAAGATTGAGCTTGAATATCAGTATATCTCAACCAAGCAAGGGTGAGTACTTAAAGCTATCTAATGTCCGACATGATTTGTTCCTAATCTCTTTTTCTTCTTTTTCTCTTATCTAGGTCTTCGGGCGAGTTAAATCACACAAGTATGGTCCTTGAATATTAGCTTTTGTTGTCTATTTACCTAACCCGATCCAGCAGACACCCCTCAAATTTTGAGTCGACTCCAGGAGCACGCAAAGCTCGAACGGATCGAAGGAGCTCAGATCCTCCCGGCCATGCACAAGCCAGAAGGGAGCACTCTGTTCCAAAAAGCAGACCAACGTGAGTGCTTTAATTTCAGTTCGACCTTAATATCTACTAATTGACAGCAGTCTGCAAAGAGCTGGATTGTGCTAGCGGTGGGTCGCAGAACGGTACTTCACCAAGTGCACTTGACTGGTAGATTTGTCCAAATCTCATCTTTGCTTTTGGTCAACCTGTTTATTTAACAATTGGCTTTACGACTGGGGGCAGATTAATTGGGACGGGAGATCTTAGGCAATATTCAATGATCTATTTTGGGAATGTGGGGGAAAATTCAACTATTGGTGAATTTCTAGAATACAATAAACATACCAAACCAGCAAAAAGACAACACAAATTCGAATCAGAACATCAATAACAAACGTAAGAACTGAAGACAAACCAGCGAAAACCCATCAGACATAAACGAAATAAAAAAACATCATATGCAGGAAGCGCACTCCCATGCTTCATACAACAAGCACCGCCGATCCCTCTACCAGTACCAAGCCGAGACACAACCTCTCAACTTCGGCGATTCGATCCCCCCTACGCACAGTCTTAGTGACCATATTGCTAGGATCCCTGATAGGACCAAGAGTCTGTCTCCCCCCACTGCGAGCAGTAACATGACTCGGCCTATTCCTCCGAATATGATCCGCGCGAGCAGGATTCGGCCCATTGCCATCATCATACATCAGTAGTACCTCATGTTCAGAAATTCTGCGTAACTGAGGGCTTTTGGGGTAGCGTGCGCTATCGCGGGTGCGCGAGCTATCCCGCGAGCTGCTCCGAAGCAGCCGCGTCCCTGTACCGATACTGTGCTTGAGGATACTGAGATCGTTATCGCGTATGAACGCCTCAAGTGCCAGGTGCCATTCGCTTCCGGGCCAGAAATTAGACAGACGGCGGACGAGTGCTTGCATCTTGCGCACCGCGAGAAGCTCCATCACATTCAGCGTGGGGTCGGTGATTCGGCCGTCGGCGAGCTTGCGCTTGTGCGATGCTAGTCCTTCGGCGATCTCGGTGCCGAAGATCTTGCCGTATTCGTTGTCGAATAGCGACTCTGGTAGATGTGAGAGGATAATGGAGAATATCTCGCCGCTATGAAGGTACGAGCTTCGAGCCGCGCAGATCAGGGCATAGCCCTGCGGGCCTCCGTCTAATCTGGACTGCATGGGATCGCATTTCTGGCACAGCCAGTCGATTGCGGCTGGCTCGTCGAAGCATGCGGCGTACATCAGCGGGTTCATGTTTTCCGAGTTTCGGACTTCTGCATTGAGCATGGAGAATTTGTCAAGCCAGGCCATGAAGTCAGCTCCGGCGGGGTTGAAGGCGGCTGCAATGTGCCAGGAGGATTCTAGCTGTCCGCCGAGTTCGTGGAACTGGTGCTCTACATTGCCGATGTTGATTCCGTGTTGGTAGAGTGCTTCCGCCACGGGGACGGGTGCGACAGCACAGAACTCGTGCATCGCTGCTTCGTGGAAGATTGTGCGAAGTTCCTCGATCGGCACAAGTCTTGCCTGGCGTAACCTATTCAGGGCAATCACGAATTGAGAAAATGCGCCGACACCGACGAGTGAGAGAAGAATGTGGTTCTCGCGGGTTTCTCTGATATCTCTTGGTTTGGTCAGATGTTGAGGATCTGCATTGCTGACAATGTAGGTGAGCAAATCCATATTGGGACCATTCAATCCTGCCTCAAGCCAGCTTCTTCCTGATAAGTCATAGCCATTGGGTGTAACAATCCCAAAATAAACCAGGAACTCTAAGCAGGAAGAGCATTGCATTGCGACATTGTATGCAGGGTGGGTCTTGAATGGATGGTTGTCCGTTTCTCTTGGGAACATAGTGCAATCCGACAAATGGCCCATTGCATCTTCATAATCCGTGTAGGATCGAATTAATTCCTTCCATTTTTCGACGGTACCAGGGCGTTTGAACCATTTTTCCACACTGGCTTTGAGAGGTCCATTGTGTTTTACGAGTCCATGCATAGCGTGGATCTTCTTTTCCTCCATATATCGAACTCCCAGTGAGAAACCAACCATTCTGTCAAATATTATCTCGAGTGCCCTTTGAGGGAGCTGGGGAAGAGGCAACTTGGTGGCCCATTGGATTTGCTGGGCTGCTGTTTTCTTGTCGACGTTGCTTGGCCAGGCAACCTGAAGCACACCTCCTTTGACGTTTCCACTTTGCAATCGGTCGAAGATGACTCCCCAAACTGCTGGACCCCAAGAGTCCAGCATTTCTTCGTCGAAGCCGACCATGATGAATAATTTGGGAGGGTTTGTCGTGAGATTTTGTGAGGTTCGTGAGAATCTATCAAGCTGTTGACACACAGCTAGTTTATATATTTTTCACCTCTCCAACCCCCAGGAACGGATATGTGATAATTCTCTGCAATTCCCTTTGGATAAAGGAGCCAAAGAAGATAAATATAGATTTGGTCGCAGTTATTGGACAAGAAGTAACATAAATTCCTCCTAAAGGGGGAAGACGGGGACGATTCTAAGAGCACAAATGAACAAAGAGTCGAAGAACCGAACCTTTTTCTAGAGTGGTATGGCATCATAAGTTCATATTCATACATTTGAAGAGCAATATCGAGCCAAGTTATGGAGTTCGAGTCTACGGCGAGCCCAATGCATCAATCCTATATGCTGAACGGAGAATGGTGGTCGCTAACATCCATTTCTCTGGCGTCAAGTCAACATTAGGAAGTTGAAGTTTTAGTGTCGAAGAAACCTCATTCAAGAATAATGCATAGCCCAGTCAAAAATCACTCATGGTCATCAAAGACAAGGACTCGACGAAATGTGGGAAACGTGGCTTTGATCGGGTTCATTTTGAAACAAAGAGGTTCTTTCACAACCCAGAAGCGGCCTTGGAAGATTTCGTGATTTCTATATACGAATTGAAGCGAAAGTTTTTCTGCCTCTTATGCGAAAGGTCTACCCAGTAGTCTGGCTAACCCCCATATCCAGGCTCAGTTTTACTTGCTCGAGCACTACAATGTGTGTGAATTATTATAGCACAGAGATCTAGATACTCAACCGTACTAAGAAAAATGAAGATCGCTATCGAAGTTGAAAGCAATTTTCCCGACTCCAGTTTTCACAAAAAAAGAGGAATGTGCAAGAAATAAGGAGCCATTTTGGATAATACAAAGAATACTATCGACAGAGTCCTGCAGATGGGATAGCTTACCCTTTGAAATATAAGATTAATTAGAATTATCTATTCATAGTTTTAAGCTGTATAGACTAGGCGGAGGCTCTCGAGGATATAAAAAAAATGTATAAGATTTCTGCAAGACACAGAATTCAAGTCAACTCTAAAACCAAGCCCTGGGCCCTGGAGGATATTCTATTATTGGCAATGCCAACCTACATTAGATTCTCACGTTACGCTTCCAATTTGGTCTAGAGTTTCTACTCTTTTCTAAAATGCTTGGCTCTGGATATAATTAGCAACACTCCGCGCGCAAAACATTAACATTTGTAAAATTATGTCCCCACCCCACCCCCTCTGGGCAAATATCATATCTGGAAGAGAGAGTACAGTTTTGTTCCTGGGATCCAATAAATCCTGCACCCTCTGGGTCGACGCACTCAGCAACATCGCCGGGTAACTTGCCTAGATACCCCTCGATAGTCCAAGCGGGGTCAAAACGGGCGAGGTTACGAGGATCTTTTTCTTGGCCTACGAGGTCCTCCTCGGAGACTTCCTCGGTGTACAAATTATTGGTGGGACTTGGGACTGGGGACTGGGGAGTCTGGAATTGTTTTCGAGTGTTTCCGAGGTGGACTCGCGTCACAATGGTGTCTATCTAGGAATCCACTCATGGACCCGATGACTACCTAAGAAGGGGCAGGCCCCGGGGGCGCTTCCAAGGTTCCTAAGTGTAAATTTCCGAGTAGATCGTAGACTGTGTGATACAATGTAGTACGAACATGATCAGCATACACATAACCAAGCCCTAGGGGCGATATTCATGTTAGGTGATGTCAGTTTAAATTGGACCCCACGCGGCACGGGAGGGTCCTCTCCACAGGCGCAAAACAGGGGCCAACTCCATAATACGGCGTATTTATACATTTACGCCGGAACTTTTATTGAAGATTGAAACTACTCTGAGATAAGCTGATAGAGTTGATGTCATTGGCCAAACTTTTGGCTTATTACTGGCCTCAGGCTCTGGTCACTCGTGGTGATCCTCAACTTCAAGTTGGTGCCCACTGATCAACGGCATCTAGTACAACATAGGTAGCACATTTTCTTTCAGTTTTATCTCCGAATAGGCCCGTCTGCCTCTAGGCAGCTTAGAGATTGTGAATATTTACAAGATACTAATGCTTTTTACGCCATACTTTGTAGACTCCAAATCGAGGAGCAACTCTAGTATAGATCAGAGACAGGCACATTCAAGAATTGAACTATGATTCTGCTTCAATTCTAGCTAAACAAATACATTGTTCCATCAATACCACCCCTGTACTAAATACGCAACATTTGAAACCACACAAATCAACACTCGCCGGCATCGATCTCGGCATCAGCCGTAACATCAGCAAGCGTAGTCCCAGCAGCAATCTCATCATACCAAATACTCCTAGTCCCCTGAGACCCCTTCATCTGCTTATCATCATGCCACCCATTCGCATAAAGACCAGCCCGGAACTGGAAAGCCGCATCACCCTCAATGGTAGTACGGAGATCCTTCTCATCTAATACCTTCTCCCCGTCATACCAGACTCTGTAATACCCCGTCTCATCCGACTTCCACTTCGCCTCGATCTCAATTCGGTGCCATTTACCCGCAGTGACAGTGGCTAGGTCGTTAAAACCCTTAACCTCCTGCTTGCAGACCGAGCCTTGCTTAACACGCGTGTAGAGTTTGTTGCCCTTAAGCGAGACCATGGTCGTCGGCATCCAGTCGTCGCAGCCGCTGTCTGTGAAGTCGCCGATGAATTGCGCGATTCCGTAGGATTGCACGGGGGAGAATTGCCAGTCGTCTTGCAGTCGGAAGGAAAACCCATATGCGCCTGTGTCGCCGCGCTTGTACACATCGTTCTTTACCACTTCCGAATGGTACCGGCCCGAGTAGTCTTTGTCGTAGATTTGAGTCATTTTGAGCGCAGTTTTGCCCTCGTACACCTCGTCTGTCACTTGCTTCACGGTGCCCTTGTGTTCTTTGTTTATCTTGTCCCAGCCGGAGGTTGTGCCGGTGTTTTTGAAGATTAGGCTCGCCTGGGCGCCTAGGCTGAGTGCCAACAATGCTGCGACTGATGGGAGTTTGCCAAACATGGTAGGTGCAGGTACAGTAGACAATTGATATAGAGTAGGGTTGATGGTTGTATCTTCAACTACTTACATTCTCGCGGGTTGGGCGGCTTTATACGTACTAATCCGACCTTCACTCAGGGAAGTTAAATTGTACCGAGTTGCTCATCAGTTTGGCTGATGTTGTCTCATCGAGTCTTGAAGAATCCAGAGGATTTACTCAAATGAGAAGTGAGCCAAGCTCTGAGACGAGCGATCAAGCCCAGATTCATCTACAGCATTCATCTGACAGGCCACACCGTGGGTAAGGATGGTCTGTGGCAACTGCTATAGGGTCAAATCGTCGGGATTGTCCTGCAGTTTACTATGTATAGAAGTGAGCCAAGGCATCTGAACGAGCGATCAATGCCAGATTCATCTACAATATGCCCCTGATAATCCATCGTGGAGAATATAATGACTGTTATTGGGTCAATAGCTGAGATTGACATGCGAATGTAATATATGGACCCCTGTGGATCATCCAGCTCTCGCCATCTGATGGTCGAGAGGTACTCCATAACCCTGCACAACGTTACATTTGGTTCAAGTTTCTGAGCGCGATGTCTGATAATCATCAATCTTACTGTTATAAGCAAATGATCCAAAGATATTATATTGAAGATCGAGTAAGCCGAGGGGACCTACGGAGTAATATAAGATGAATAGATGTTACTCTGTTGTAGATGAGATGAAACTGATAGTCCGTGTTGGAGCCTGAGGCAGGGAATTCCTTTGGCCTCAGGCAGCAAGTCTTCTCCTTTCGCTTTCTCGAGGTCCTCACTTACTTCCAATCTACTATATTCCTCGATCTCTTAGCCCTCTACCTCTTTCTTTCTCTCTCTCCTTTGGCTTTTGTTTCCATTTCCTATCAAAATTATACTTCGGCTTACCTTCCGCATCTTCCCTGATGGGTCAACGAATCTTCAATACATATCCAAGAGAATAGACCTTGGAAGGTTGGACGCGAAGCCAAGTCGTTATCGAATCGAGCATCAAAACCAGCCCAATCCACACGTGGCGAAGGAAAATCGCCGAGAAAGCCGGGCCTTTGCGCCCCCACCCTTCGCCGTTTCCTTCCAAGGTTTGCAATATTAGCCGTGAGGTCATAGTCGCGTTATCGCTAACGGTGATGAGGAGAAACGTGAGGGGAGGTACACGTGCATTTCACTTGGACTTGTTGAGTAGTTGCTCTTTTGATGTTATTTTCCTTCCGGATTGGGCCAATGCTCTTGCCGAGTGTATAGTCAAGCAGACACCCACAGTGGACTCTAGCCAGGCTCAGCCGTGCAATCTGGTTCCCACAACTGTTCAAGACATTAAAAGGGGGGATATATCCACATTATGCTACAGAAATATTCAAGAAAGATATAGGTATGCATGAGAGAATTTTAGATAGGCAAGAGACCGCACTCGGAAATGAAATCCCCTTCTGATTGGGTTGACAAACACAAATGGCTGATAAAATTAAATAAATATATACGTAGTATGTAAGGAGTAACACGGAGTACTAGAAGTATCAGTAGGGTTTCTAGGGCGTATATACAAATAGGACTTATGTACAAATATGGACGTATGTACAAATATACAAGTCTATTATCCTCACGGTCATAGTTATTATCTTCACGGTCATAGTTGGGGGCGGCCCCGGGGGAATGCACCGGGCAATGGGGCGGAAAATATAGTGGCAAAATCGCCATAGATACTTTGTATGTATGTTTTTGTGTGGGATGTATTTTTATCGCATATCATTGGCCCAATTCGGCTGTTCGTATCCATACTGCAACTCACTTCCCCTGACGGCAACAGTTCGTGTCAATCAACACGAGAATAAGAATAACATTCGCTGCGCCTTTCCGAGTACGAGAGAACACGAATTTCGATGCAACTATAACTATAGAAATAGAAATAGCCATTCCAGTGGTAAATTGAAGAATCTTCTTCGAACAACACCTTTCACTCTGTATCTAAACGACTTGCTCAATTGGGAATTTGGGGGTGATATTTTGGCCCCAGGGGATCGCTGTTTAGCTGCAGCACACTAACCCAATAATCGACAGACTAATCAATTATTGTCTGATTATCTGGCTGGGAAGTCATTTTGAAATACGCCCATATTCTCCGTACAGATTCTTGTGGGACCACCTGCTGATTTCATTTCGGGGGCCTAAAAAGACGATATCAACAGGTCTGTGCCTATGTTATGCGGTATTAGATCTACCTAAAATAGTTCCCATTCCAAAGCTCTTTTTCTGTTTCATCTTTGCGAACTCCTATGCAAGAGAAAACAAAAAAATACTTGGGTTCGTTCTTTGTTCTATACAGCCACAGCCGGGACGAACTATTTTCGACAAAGAAACCCTTACACTTCGCCTCCACGAGTCTGCTCTCTCACCGAGACTCCAATTCATAGTATGTTCTAGCGCAGCATGTGATTGGGAGCCTCGAGCAACGACATACTAACAAAGAGCAAGGACAGACTAAACCGGTCAACAATGCCCCACGAATAAAGATCCAGAACAAGAGCTGAGATATGAGTTATTGGCCGTTAATGTCGCCTTCTCGGCCTCGTGATCCTTCAAACCAGAAGACCAAGTCTTCAAATCAAAAGAAACTAGGTTTTCGTCCTCCGTCGCTGAAGCTTCGAAGAAACCCCTTCGGTCTTGAATCCAAAGTCACAGCTGCCCGGGGCAGTGTTTCAAGTCAATCGAGTCCCACAGTCCACAAAGACCTACAGACAATGCTAGCGAAGATCGCGGACACCACCCATGGCCCGTCTGCAGCAGTTCCAGGGGCCCCTGCTAAACACATGGCACCCGACACTAAAAGGACTCAAGGCCAATCACACCACTTGGGTCTCAAAGAAGAAGATATCGCAAGCGGGGGCGCCGGGGATACTAGGTCTGCCTCCCCGCAGAAATCTTTGGACACTATGTTGGACTTGGAATCACCCCAAGATTCCGAAGGTGATTCTGAAATTTCTCCATTGTCGGACTATCCTCATCCATTGCGTTCAGCTTCCCGCTTGGCCCGATTCTTCCCAGAGCTATCCTCGCACTTCTCCGTTGTCTCCCCGGTCAGCACTGATTCCAAAATGGACCGCTCGACGGCGCCCTCTTTTTTCGAACGAGAACTAGAGGAACGCGTGCAGACCTTATATCGAAGCTCTGAAGACGTCGCTCCCCATGCACGTGAATCTGCCGATCAACCGCAGATCAGTCTCTCGTCTTCTGGGTCTGATGAGACTTTGGATTATGCTTCATCATGCTACAGTCGTCGCACTTCGGTGACCAGTGTCGGCAGCACGTTCTGGGGAGATGATGGACAACACCCTTACAAAACGGCTGATGCATACTCGATATATTCTCCGGTCGCCGCGGGTGTCTTCGACGATGCCCATTCCATCTACTCCTCGCGGCCTTCCTCAGTAGTGGCGCCCTGCCACCTACGCGTGTCAAAACCCGCCCCAATCCCCATCACCAAAAAGGTATCAATGAACGACCTCAAAAACAAGCCCTTGCCGCTAGAGCCATCCTTTGGTCCCAGTTCAGCCCCAAGTCACCCCAGCGACTCCCGCCTTTCGGCAGTTTCACCACCCTTCAAGTCACAGCGGTCAACGCAATACTCCAAGAGAGATTCGCTGATCTCGTTGCAACACTCCACCACGGTGAGCCATGACGACTTGAAGCATTCCATGTTACACCAGTCGAATACCCGCCGAAAATCAAAACATCCATGCCATACATGCGGACACAGTCAGCGTCAGCCGCAGCGTCAGGGTCGACAACGGTCAGATCTGATGGTCGCTGGTCATCGAGCCCGCCATGTCCCAACGTTGTCGCAGGCCGCCGAAGAACTCGAAGATGCCCTAGCGGGCCTGGCTGATCAAGATTTGTCTCAAAAAACGCTGCTGATCCTCGATGGGCCGTTGCAGATCAGCCGCCATAACGGGGACCTGATTGCTACCCGGCCCGCCCCTCTCCCCCCTTCCACAAAGCCTCACTCACAAACCCCGCAAGGGAAATCGACTCTGGAGAACAGCAGTCGGGTCAATACGATTAAATCAAGAGACCCAAGTCCAACTAAAGAAAAAAGTCACAAACTCAATAAGAGGGAGGCGAAAGACAAGCCTCGTCGATCGGGCAGGGATAAGGAGAAGGAGATGGATGAGAAGCCAGATGCAAAGAATACTCCAACTCCCAAGGAAACCATCAAAAAGGCAAAATCCAAAAAATCTTTCCTATCCTTTCGCAAGCAAAGCCAAGCGCCGCGCGATGCAGTTAGCGTCAGCTCACGGTCGGAAGATTCCCTCCACATGACATTGGAATCGCATTCCGCCGATCCCCTCGATCTGGCCCCCACGCGCGACAGCCTGTTACTTCAATTACCCCGTCTACAAACTAATCATTTCGGGAATCCCTTCGATCACGTCGCGGAACAAGCAGTTTTGTCGGGTAGCCCCGGCCCAGTCACCATGGAGGGCGCGAAACTAGAGGAGCCCATCGACTCCAAAATCCGTCAGAGCTGGGCTTTGGTCTCGACTGCCAAGGGGAGCAGTGTCCAACTCACCGAACAGATCTATGAACTTCCTGCTACTCCCCTGTCGCCTTCATCCGCGCTCCCTTCGCAGGCCGAGCGCAATGTCCCGTTCAATATCACCCTCCCCGAAGATATGCCGGTGGATTTGATTTTGTCAATCATGCAGAACATCGACTCTCTAGATGACCTTTTCAACTTCGTCCTCGTCAATAAAAAGATCTATACTGCATTCAAAGGTCGCGAGCTGCCCATGCTGAAAAATGCCCTGTTCAAAATGTCCCCGCCCGCTTGGGAAATGCGCGAGATGAGTCCGCCATGGGAAATGGAGTGGCAGCTACTTATAGATCCTGACTCCCAGGTTCCAGAATACACGCCCACGCTGTATCTTCAGAGGTATGCGCAGGATATCTACACCCTTGCCAAGCTGAAGGCGTTGGTTCTTGCACGGTGCGCTCCATTCCTGCGTCACGATACCATTCGTGGTCTAGCGGGCGTAGATAACACCCGTGCTGAGGAAGTGGACGATGCGTTCTGGCGGCTCTGGACCTTCTGTCGTATTTTCGGCAGTGGTAAAGGGCGGGAGAATGATATCGCTGGCCAAATGGACTGGTTGAAGGGTGGTGTCCAGGCGAAGAATTATTTCACCTCGGCTTCGACGATGACACAGCCTTTCGGTATTAATAATGTTCTGTTTGAACCGCCCGAGGGATTCGGTCGTGGGAATCTTTCCGGTCTATCGCAAAAGCAGATGTACGATCTGACGGAGATCTGGACGTGCATGGGTGTTCTGTTGCAGCCGTTGCATGGAAAATGCATAGAAGCTCGCAAGGTCGGCATTTTTGATGACATGAACGTCCCAGATGGTGATTTGGCTCTCGAAGAGACCGTTCTCGGTAAGTGAACCAACACTCCTGTCTATTTGATCACGGCTAACTCAGAAACACAGAGGAGTGGACTTCATACATTCTCACGCTCGGTCTAGGTGCAGTCTTAACACTCAGCTCAGTCTGTCCGGCCGACACCACCGCCGCCACATTCACCAAAGCGAAGTCAATCGGTCTCGCCAAATGGGAGCCAACCGAAACCGAAGCAAGTCGATCATCATTCCTGAAAGAAGCAGTCTCTCGCGCCTACGAGCTCCAAGAACGCGCACTTGATAGCCCGACTGAAATCAGCCCGCAAAAAACAAGCCATATCGAAAATGACCGCGATATCCGTGAGCGCCAAGCTGGATTCGCCCACGAGCTTCGTCGCCGCCGTGAGCTCGGTCTCGATCCAGATCCCACAGGCCAGTTTTCCTTCTCTGCCGAACGCCCTATGTCGGAGTTTAGCACTATTGTCCATAATCTCAACGGGTCGATTCGAGATCACCGGCCCATTCCATCTGTGCCTGCTCTCGTTCTTGACAGGTCCTCGACGTCGACTGCTGGGACGGCTCCTAGTACCCCGACTTACCCGTCTGATCCTGCCACTGCCTTTGCTTCGTCGTACACTCCTCCGCCGGCTATGGCGCCTCTGCCTCTGCGGCCGCAGGTTCTGGATCCTGTTGACCGCGCCATTGATATGATGGTTAATGAGCTTGGCTTTAGCCCGCAAGATGCTAAGTGGGCTCTTAAGATCACGGATACTGGTGAGGGGATTGATGCTACTGCTGCTGTGCAGTTGCTTCAGCGTCAGCGGAAAAGGAATGAGCGCAACCCCCTTGGTCATAGTGATACTCTGCTGTCGGATGTCATTAAGCGTCAAAAGTCACAAGAGTCAGGCTGGCGCTGGGCTTGATGGTGATTTACTTACTTTGCTTTGTGTTATTTTTTTATTTTTTTTGCCTGCATCATGTTTCCTTCACGCTATTTGTCCATGATTTGCTGCCACAATCATTATGTGCGATATACCCTTGCTGTTTATCTTTGAATATCGAGCTCTTTTGGTCTTGGGCCATTCTCATAGATCGCTTTTCGCTTCAACGCTCGTTCACCCCATATCTCTCTATATAGTCTCGAATTGTTCTTATTGTTGTCTGATTTGATACTGACCTCGTGTTGTTAACATCTGTTTGAGCATATTCAGCGAATAAATTGCAATATGAAAGGTTATACATAGAAAAGTCCATTTCACAAATTAAACCTTTTCCCCCTTTTTCTGCTGTCTATCTATGAAACTGAGGGGATCAAATATCTATCTAAAAAGAACATCTTAAAAGACTACCAAAAAGATCATCATCGACCCAACTAAATCATGTCATTCGCAAGGACAGAGGCCGCATAAGCGGCCGACTATTCTTATTTGCATGCAACTCAGCCTGGTTTAGTGCTACAATATTAGATCGAGATCTTCCTTTTTCTCCCTATTTATATCCATCTCCGTAAATCACACTCCACCTGTTCCATGTCCAGGGTGGCATTTCTAGTCTGGGCATGATCTTGATATCAACAGACACCAAGACTCCTTCAGATATCTGGAGGAATCTTCGGAGTGTCTACAGACGCTGATGGGTATATTGGCCGAGGCTCTAGAGCAGGAGACTGACCAGACAAACGAAACAGTGCGATATGTTAATGTTCTCGAGACTTAGCCTGTTCTTGATCAATGTGATGGATTTCCTGGGTGGATGAAATGTTCTTCGCGGGCGTTGTGGGATATATGAACTATGATGGTGGGTTTTCTGAGATGAGGATTTCTTATGCCGGGATTGATGGTTTTTGTGAGGGGTTGTATGGTACATGAGATGGCGAGTGCATTTGAAGCTGAATGAGAAGGGAGGACTGGCTGTATTCTATTCATAAAAGTAGGTTCAACTGTTGAGATTTCGAGACAGTTGAATAGTATTCTTTCTTGGGGTCATGGCAACATCTCCACACAAAATCTATCAGGCTCAAGGTTGAATCGAACACCCGAGTTTGTCTCAGCAAAGAATGCAACAGCAACAATCTATCTTCGTGGAACGGGCTAATGTATATTCAAATGCAAAAAAAAAAGAAAAAAAGGCTGGAACGAAAGCAAAAACTCGTCACATCGTCATGTCGGCACATTTTATAGGTCCGTGTATTTTAATCAAACATCATTCGGCTCGTCGTCATCCGACTTGTCTCCCTCATCACTGTCCACGCCCCAGCCCTCTGCTTCAAGTGCGCGACCGCGGATGCCGAAGCTCATAATGAAGCCAATAAAGGAGACCGCAGCAAACACTCCGAATGCCACGGCCTCTCCTTTGGGCTGGATCTTGGCTGTGAGGGAAAACAGTCCTCCGGAGAGGAATGGGCCCACTGCACGTCCAGCTGCGGAGAGAGTCTGTGCAAGGCCATTCAAAGCGCCGAGGACGGCATGATTAGGTGCTGAGTTTGTGACCTAGAGAAAGATTAGTCTCGGTGGAGTTACAAAAAAAAGCGTATCGGAATTACTTACCAGAAGCAGAGCACTGGTCAGACCACCCACGGAGGCAATGGTCTTGATCAGCAACACAAGGCAAAGTTCGATGGCCATGATGGCTGACTTGCCAGTCATACCCTTGCTAGTCTTGCTCTTGTACCCAATGAAGGGCAGTAAGATAAATGAGACGACAAAGCCAAATAGGCCTGCGCGGTAAGACCATCGATTACCCATCTTGTCTCGCAGACGGTTGAAGATACAGATTTGGAAAATGATCGTCACGATTCCAGCAAACCCTTGAGCAAGGCCAATCTCGGACGGGGTGAGTGACCGTCCGGCCGGGGGCTTAGCTTGCGCGAAGATTGGGAACAGCGAGTTGAAAGAAACATTGCATAAAGCAAAGATCAGGTATGTCAAAAGAAGTAAGAGTGTATCTCGAGTGAAGACCTCATCCCAAGAGAGTTCCTCGGGGTGGCCAAGGATGCTTGACACCTCAGATGCAGAGTCTAGATCACTGTCATGATCCTCGGTCTCTAAATCGAAGCGGCTGTGGGGATATAGCACTGCTTGCGGGACCTCCACGTAGGTCGGGTGGCGGGAATTACCGGTGAACTGCCACAGCCATGTGAACAAGTTGCGCACCTTTTTGCCAATTTTTGGAAGGCTGTCTGCGTCTTCGAGGCTCTCTTCCAAGAAAAGAGCTGTGAAAACGAAGTCCACCAGAAGGACAACAGCGGACAATATGTTTGGTGCGAGATAGGGATACGGGTTTTTGTTGCCAGTAAAAGGGTTCGTCTCGAAAACAAGGAGTCCTCCTAGGAGGGGTCCCGTTATACCTCCGATTCCGTATAACACCGGCAGGTAGGTAAAAGCCTGGGACTGGTTGCTTCGGTCGGTGATTTCTCCGAGGCAGGTGGACACCAAAGCCTGGTTTCCATTTACCACACCCATCAACGCCTGCACAGCTATAGCTTGTACAAGAGTCTTGCAGAATCCGAATGCAACGAAACACAGCGCAGTCAGAAAGGTGCCAAGCAGAATCACCGGCTTGCGACCAACACGGTCCGATAGCCAGCCCCAGAAATAGTTTGTGCTAAATTGAGCCAGCGCGAAAGCCGATGCAATGCTGCCCACGTATACGCCCACCTGGGTCGGTTCCACTTCGGGGAATGTCGATGCCATGTCCGGGAGGTATGGACTGATCGAGTTCAACGCCGTTTGCTCCGCCAGTGCAATTATCGCTAGCACTGCCATTTGCCTCTTCGGCAGCGGTGATGACGTTCCGGGGAGATCAGCGGTGTCATGTTGGGGATCGTGTGAGCCGTCCGCAGAGGACTCGGACTGGCCCGAGTTAGGTCGCCCACGCGACTTGGGCGGTGGAGTATCGAAGGTCTGGTAATGCTGCGTGGAGGAGCGGCGATTGAGCGAAGCCCTGTCTGGACCCGTCATTCTGGCGACACACCAGCAAAATCAAGACCGAGTGAAGTCTTGTCACAACTAACCATGCGATTGGAAGTCGTGCCGAAAGCCTGGTTGTAGACGCAATGCTGGTCGTGTGAGTGCTTATTGGTATGTTTGCAACCCGCGCTGGTCAAATCTTTGCCCAGCCAATAGAATAAATGTGTAAATGCAGGTCTAAGTAGATGTTCAAGAAACAAAATGTGTCGAGAAGCTTAGGATGGTTGAAGTTGTGGCTGCAACCTCGGAAAAGACCGCAACAGATCAAGGAACACAATGATGATGTAAGCGATGCTGCAGACCCCCGACGGTCGGGATCAATGCTGAGTAATTTGTTCTAGCAGTGGTACAATTATATTATTCATTTGGATTTATCTGCATGGAACTTGTTTTGCTTATTCCTTATTGGGTTGAATATTCATTGCCCTTGCATGTCGATCTTGTGTTACAATGTGTTGGTGCCGAGGCTCAACAAGTTATTCCAACGGTAGGCCACAAAGTATGTAGCTGGGTAAGTTGATTTCCTAGGTCAGTGATATCATTGGATATTCGTAAATATTCTTACCTATGATAAAACCCGCTAGTTATATATAAGTCAAGATAATACGGTAAACAACTTGTTCATCTGTTCGCAGCTTGGGCCCGCCTATGCAGGCATCATGCTGATGTGATTTGTAGGATTAGCCATAAATCATCAAAATATATAGCCAATGGAATGTACCGCTTGGGTACATAAAGTTGATGGCGTCCATTTAATAATCATTGGCTCCTATTAGTCCACTCAAGGGATGTACATGTGTATGCAAATTAGTACTGCAGGCACACATATATATTGTTAATATCTTACCCACAATACAAATGATACGACTCAAAATAAAGATCTCCTTGCTTTATCATGGAAATTAAGCCTATAGATCACACCGCAACACCAAGTGCCCAGGTGATGGTAAATAGGGCGCCCAACGGCCAATTTTGACGCCATTCTAAGCTACTGCTATAGGGTGGCCCTTTCGCCCATACTCAGAACATTGTCAAGGAAGAAGTGTGGGCGAAGGCCCAAGGCCAGGATCCATTGAGGATAGTTACATATAGGAAGAATATTGCCTACAAAATAGGTAGCCGTCCTCCATAACATGGCCTGCCGCCCACGGATGACTGGACGAAATACAAGAACGTGGAGCAAACGGGCGAATCCAGCAACCCCTCGATTCGGCCTGTCTTGCTGCAGGATGATACATAGGAGGATACATATATAAACAGCTAGATTCCTAGGCCTATCATTCCTTCTCCGTCAATATGATTCTCGATAGACATCAGACCTACTTCCCATTCATTGGTTGATCGTCGTAACTTGGCACCGTTCACACATTATGACAATCATTTATTTACGATTATCGAAGAACCCGAAGAACCCTGTTCCTATCGAAGATCTTTCCTTGTCACCGAGACTCTTCAAAAGATTAACCAGACCTGGGCTAGACGAAGCGTACCGAGAACAGCATCACCTTCTCTTCTCTAGACCATGACATCGATGTCCTTGGCGATATCTTTGAAGAATGGTTCTATTAGGAACCCCCAGTAATCAATACATTTCGAATGCTGTCCGATTCTTGATGGCTGCCATCAGCCTTCTGATATTATTCGGATCTTCTTTCTCAAAGGCACCATAGTCTAAATGTGTTGGCAATGTCCATACTACTCACCAATGTACTCCGATGCCTACATGGCCGTATTGGCCTTTAGCCTTATAGAACCCTAAGGTAAGAGACCTTTTAGAAAAGGAATGAGACTTGTGGGAAAAAAAACACTGATCAAGATTTGAGATGAAGTATCGGAATAAAGATCCACGCGATAGTACTTTCCGGTCACTTATGGAACCACAATATGCTGCATTTACCATCAACCAGCCAAGTGGCCGAGCAGTAACTCAGCCATCGCATCTTCCTTGGTCTAGTGGTGATGATTTCCGCTTGTCATTAATACCGATAAGCGCGGGAGACCGGGGTTCGATTCCCCGAGGGAGAGATTTATTTTTTGCACTCGTTTCCTTTACCATGATGCATATTTTTCTCTTTTTTTTGGACTTATTATCTTTGTTTGACTTTCATTGCCCATCCCATAAATGGTTCTAACGGATCTGATTTACCCATAGTTAGTGGAGAGAATGGCCTCTGAACACAGCTTGAAAATCCCGATGTGAACATTTTAAGTGGGGCCTTGCCCTAAAAACTCCGCTGCCCCATATATCATAACTTGACTGAATCTTCTCACAGGCCGGCTGGCCCAATGGCAAGGCGCTTGACTACGAATCAAGAGATTGCAGGTTCGATCCCTGCGTCGGTCACTTCTTTTTGCTTCCTGGCTTTCTTTTTGCTCCATTGTTGGAGATGAGGTTAAAGTGGTGGTGGTTGTTGGGTGGTAGTAGGGTGGTGGTGTGGCGACTTTAGTTTTTGGGAGTGGTTGCTGAGTTACTAATTGCAGTAACAAAATTGGAATCATCGGATGTGAGATTGTTATGTTTAGAGATGTGGAAAACAGGATGTGGAAAACAGGCACAATATTAAGGATATCGTGCAAGATAATGATGCTGCATTGGCATGGAAGAACTGCATATAGATAGGAATAGTATACCGTTGTGGAGGCAGAATTGGGAGGTATTGCCGAAATACCAATATGAGATAGCTGTACCAGTTAATGCAAACATAAGAGACCGAGAGTCCAACATCTTCTTATATCAGTGGTGATGGTGGAGGTTTCTCAGGCCAAACAGGTCCCTAGTCAGGACCGCATATCAAGTAAAGCACATATCTATCCATGAACGATCCCGACAAGACCATGAAGGATTCAGTTGTGTTGGACTGGTGCTGGCATTGGTATGTGTGGCTAGATAAATAGAGTTCTGTATTTTTACGAAGAATCTACTATATGAGAGTATAGCAACTTGACTGCAAGTAACAAAGTAGCAGGCAAAGGATTCATATAAAACGTACATAGCTGAGGAATTTCAAACTAGGATATCAAGTCGTACCTACTTCATCAGCAGACTAACCGCCCAGGGAACACTGAGCCCTCGCAGATCTCCATAATGTTGTCCAACGCCCAGGAACACAATGGGAATTCCCGTGGCATGGACCATGCTGACCAGTGTCCCCACCATGTCGCCGACTGTGTCACATTTACTGATAATGAAGCCGTCCAAGCTCCTACCGGTGCCAAATGCCTGGTTGAAGTTGCGGGCCTGCATGACACTGTCCGTGCCGACCAGAGCCTCACCAACCATGAAAATCTTGTCTGGGTTAGCAAACTTGGCGAACTTCTCAAGCGAGGACATCAAGCGCTGGTCGTTATGCCGACGGCCGGCAGTGTCGATCAGGACGACATCAAACTTATTGGCCGCTGCATAGTCAACTGCATCCTTGGCAACGTTGGCTGCGTCCTTGCCGTAGCCCTTCTGGTAGATCTCCACGTCGCCTGCATTCTCGCGAACGCTCAGTTCCTTCAAGCGGTCAGCGTGCACGCGGAGCTGCTCCACGGCACCGGAGCGGAAAGTATCGCATGCTGCAATAAGAACACGGTACTTGTTTTGAAGTAAGAAGTAGCAGATCTTGCTCAGGTTGGTCGACTTTCCAACGCCGTTGACACCAACGATAGACATGACATATGGGCGAGGTGCCTGCTGCTTAGTGGTGGGAGCGACCACAGCGTTGATCTCGCGCAGCAAATCCAAAGAAGAAGTCGGCGTCAGGATCTTCCGCAGCGAAGATTCCATGGCCACATGCAATGCGGCATCAGTACTCTGGAAGTTTCCAGTCTTCTTGCCAATCATCTCACGCTTAACTCCCTCGCAGAGCCGGACAGCTGCTTCACGGGCGACGTTCTTCTTCAAGAGGTGTTCTTCCATCGCCTTGAGAGGCTTCTCGAGATCAGATTCTGTCAGAACCTTTCCTCCAACAATATTACGGAAGAAGCCCCCAATTGCGTTAAACCCAGAGCCAACGACACCCGATGAAGCAGTGCCCTTGGACTTTTCCGCATCAGCTTGGTCCAAGATAGATTGAACTTCCTCACCCAACTCCTTCAGCACGAATTGGCCCTTGCCAGTTCGACGACCCCAATCTTCCTCGGAGACAGCCTCCACCGCTGGAGCAGCAGCCTCTCCTTCCTCCGCGGGAGCAGAATAATCGAGGATCTCTCCGTCATCCTCATCTGCCATCCCACTGGCATCCCATCTGCGCATCTTCTTCACAGGGGTCTTGGCAGGCTTTCCCTTCCGGACTTCATCGCCAGACGATGCGTTGGCGCTCGAATTGGCAGCCTTGCGGGAACGTCGGGAGCCGCGACCTCCGGGCCCGGCTTTCGCTGTAAGAAGATGACCCTGAGGGGTCGAAGATCTAGAAATTTCTGGTGTAGCTGGTGGCGTACCCTCGTCAGAGGTCGCCCCGGCTAGCGCAGCTCTAGGCTGCGCTTTGGGATGGTCAGCACGCGCTTGAAACGGGGAGTTGTCATTCCATACCTTTCACCAGGCCAGGCACCGGTGGCGGCGGTGGGCCTCCATTGTCCGATGAAACAAGCGGGTCTTTCTTTTCGCCCGTCTCTGGCACATATTCCTCTACAAAGCCACCAGTGTTGTCTTCAAGCTCCCGAACTTGCTGTTCAAAGTATTGATCGAACCGATAGGTCTGGATTCTCGCGCGGTTTCCCTTCACCTGGTCCTTGTAGAGATCGATGAAGATTGTCGAAATATTCTCAAGAAGTTTGTCAATCCAGCCAAGGTGGAGTAGCGATTGGTAGACGGCCTGCATAAACTCAGAGTTAGTCGAAGCAGTGAGGCGCATGCGCATGCGACAGACATACCACGAAGATCAAATCGAATTCCTTGACTCTCTTCCATTTCAGTGTGTATTTCTCCTTCTTGTATGCCGGCGAGACTCCACCAGTTGTAGCATTCTGAGGCACGACCTTTTCCTCGATAAAGACATCGTTGATCAGGCTGTTGATAACATGTGCGCCCACTGGAGCGTACGCCTTAGACCAGAGCACCACGCCCGATGTCGTCAAAATCTCAAAAGCCTCCAACATTTTGAGTATCTCCGGTAATCAATATTCGAATGTGAGAAGTAGATAATCAATGTGGGAGGTTAAAAAAGGCCCGGTGTGACTTGTTGGTGGCGGAACGGGGCGAAGTTGGGGGAGCTCGGAAGTGGATTGGATCTTCAGCCACGTATAAACACTTTCCTCCGCTATCAACCTCGCTTCTTCCCCAAACCCCCGTCACACGATCTGGACGACACGTTCGCCACCGAAATTTCACCCTCCTTATCCTTCTATCCTCGTTTTTCTATTTAAGTGCATTATGTATCGGGGCTCTTTCGCTCCGCCGCCCGCGCAATCGCCGCCCCTTCACCACCCCGTCCCGCAGCATGTCTCGACAGTCCCTATGATGCGCTCACCTCCACCACCAGCTCCCCAGCAACCCCCAAGTGCTGGATATGGCGGTAACCCATACCAACCGTCACCGGCTCAAGGTGGTAGCGGAGGCTATACCCCTGGTGCTCCTGGATTCGGTGGATTCATGAACGAACCCACTGCGCAGATGGGCTTCCAGGTCGGCAAAAGCGCAATGGCGGCCGGACAGGAGTACATGGAGAACAATGTATGCAGCATTCACAGGTCTATATTTACCGCTTATAGCTAACCTGGAGATGATCTACAGTTCAATCGCTATGTCTCTATACCCGCTCTCAAGCACTACTTTAACGTCTCCAACTCCTACGTCCTGAACAAGTTTATCCTTGTCCTCTTCCCCTGGCGACACAAACCCTGGTCCCGACAGCAAGCCCGAATGGCTTCAACCCCTGGACCAAGTGGTCAAATCATGCAGCAACAATACTCATCCATGTTCCTGCCTCCTCGTGACGACCTGAACTCGCCGGACATGTATATTCCCGTCATGGCCCTGGTCACATATATTCTGTTATCGGTCTTACTGGCTGGATTCCGGGGTGATTTCCACCCAGAGCTTCTGGGGTCGATCACCACCACCGCCATTGCAGTGATCGCCTTCGAGATTCTATGCTTGAAGCTGGCCACGTACATTTTGAGCATCAACAATGACTCACAACTGCTGGATCTGGTGGCGTACTCGGGCTACAAGTTCGTTGGAATCATTGTCACTATGGTGGTGTCTGAGATCTTCAACCCCGGACAAGGGACTAGGGGTTGGATTGGCTGGACGGTGTTTGCGTACACATTTTTGGCTAATGCTTTCTTCCTGGTGAGTGCCGACTTTTACCTAGGTCTTCAGTGTGTTCCGAGTTGCTAATATTTAAACTCTAGCTTCGCTCACTCAAATATGTGTTGCTCCCCGATTCGACCGACTCCGCCATGCATGCCGGTTCGATGCAGGCCGTGGCTCGGTCCCAGCGCAACCGACGCGGTCAGTTCTTGTTCGTATACTCCTACGCGGTTCAGTTCATTTTCATGTGGGTGCTCAGTCGCGAGGGACCGTCCTCTGCGGCATCTGTCGGCTCTGCATCGTCATAATTAGGTACGCAGAGAGGCAAGGAAGGGTTTGCTCTTTGCTATTTGGGAGAGATAGACTAGGTTGGTAGGAAGGCATAGCATGAAGGGACAAGCTGCTTGCTCTGGGTCTTTGGGCATTGCACGGCCGAAGTAACGATATAGCACGACTTATTGTAATCAAAAATATTTGCATTTGTACCAAGGTGCCTGTAGACATACAACTGCAAACATACAACATAGAGGGATCAAGATGAGCCAAGTTGAGTTTGTTTTCGAGATACTACAGTACAAATCTAAGCTACTGAAGGAGAAGTTGCTTTTAAAATATTTTGCATTTCAATGGCTATATAAGACAGCGAGCTGCCAGTCTGACACAGGAGGTCCTATATTCTTTTGGAGGTTAGCGACTAGTCACAACCAACATAACAAGCAATAATGTGCAAGGTGATAAAGGTTCTCAGAGATCTTGGTAGTTAGGTAATTTCATAGCGAGAAGCTCAATTACTATCTAGGCGTGATAAAAGTTTCTAATCATCGGACCTGGGGGATGGATGGAGGATTGTGTGAACGTACCCTATGAAGAGATGGAGAGCTGCGAGGTTGTCGAGAGAAGCCTGAGTATCAGGTCAATGTCCTAAAATCTTCAAACAGTCAGCGCGATGTCTCACAAAAGCATTGACAGCATAACATGAGGGTTATAATCCATATCAGAATATGTAAGAAAATTGAATATCATCCGACAGTGCTGTATAGAGAGCCCCGGCGAGGGCCTCACAGACACTGGGTCAATCGCAAATTACGGCATCATATGAGGAATGAGGGGAAAGAAGACCGGAAGACATGGGGAAAAAAAGGGAATATGAGCATACCTTAGTAAATGCTACATGTGAGCAATTGTCGGAACTGGAGCAAATGCAGACTCATC